CGAAACCTCCCAACCCTCCCCTCAGCACCAGAAAATCACCAACTACACGAAGCTGACCTCGGCCCTCCCAACCCCAAATATCCAAACTATAGTCCCCTGCATCGCCTGGACCCTCCACCCCTTCCTCCCCTTCCTCCCCCTCCTCACCTCCCTCACCTCCCTCACCTCCCCTTCCTCGTCGCCGTCACCCCAACACACGACCTCCACCTCCACCCACGCCCACTTCATCCTCTTGTTCCTCGTCTGCTTATACCTAATCTCCCTCGGATTCTCAAACCTCCCCGTAACCCTCTTATCGAAGCGCACCTCACCCACCACGACGCTGAAGAGGCGGTAGTGCACGATCATGCCGAGGCAGCGACCGCCCTTGTCGTCGTCGAGGCAGAGCTGGAGCGCCCGGACGGCGTCGAGCCGTGCGGACGAGTGGAACCATTCCGCGAGGACGGGGTGATATTCGGGGGCGGTGGGGAGCGCGGGGTCCGGGGGCCGGGACGGGAGCGGTGCTCTCGAGGGGGGGTAGACGGCGCCGACGACGAAGGGTCCCGTGGCGTAGTAGTCGGTGTGGAAGAGGAAGGTTGGGTGGGCGAGCGAGATGACGCTCGGGATGGATTGGATGCCCGCGTTTGCGGTGATGAACCAGGCCATTTTGTAGGGGGTTTGGATCGGTGGGTTTGTTAGGGAGGAGGCGAGGGGGGACGAGGGGACGAGGGGGACTTACTGCTATGGAGGCGGATTTGTGGGAGAGGTTGAGGTCGGTGTGGTGGGTGTACCAGATGCTTGTGATGGGTTCGTTGGTGGCCAGGGGGCAGTGGATCCAGACGAGGTTGGGTTCTTGGGCGTCGTAGGCGGCCGGGTTTGGTGCTTCGCCTTCGCGATGGGAGATGATGCTGTGGATGATCTCTCCGCAGAAGGCGACTGAGATTCCGGAGATGTTTTTGAGGTCAACATGGTGGAGAATAATATCGTCGGGCAAGTATTGCTGGGTTCTCCAAATTTCATAAGCACCACGACCACCACGACCACCATCATAGAAGATGGTTCTGTCTCCCGGTGTCTTAAATTTAAGGTCAACATCTTCAGGAGGATGAAGACATGACCTCGAGCACCGCCAGATGATTTGGGGTCTTCGTTTACGAGAAGGATCTGTACGTAAGATCCGTTTAATGAAGATGCCCTGCAAATCGTCAACATTCGACATTCACCTGAACAAACCCAAGTCCCAATCATACCTTTGTAAGAACGTGAACTCGATTGTCATTGCCATTGCCATTGCCATTGCCATTGCCATTGCCATCGCCATCGAGCTTCATGTAGTACATGAAATCCACTCCCCTCGTCCTCGGCACCGTCGTCTCGTCCGCCACGAACTCAATATCCGTAACGCCAATATTATCGAGAAACACAACCACACCTTTAGACTCATCTCCCTCCTCCTTAATCAACTCATACCCCTTCTCCTCCTTATTCGACAACGACGTCACGTACCTCGTCCCGCCGAACCGGTAAAACCTAGCATACACCTCGCCTTCAAACGACACCGCGTAGTCCCCCCCCCTCGACTCCGTCCCCAACACATCCAACAGCCTCATCCCCTCGCCATGGGCCACGAACACCCGCATGTGGAACGCAGAGTCGAACTGGCTCCCTATGTTGTCTAGGATCTCGTTGGGCAGGCTGCGGCAGCGCTGCACGATGCAGCGTAGGCACGTGCAGCCCTCACTGCTGCTGCTGCTGCTGCTGCTTCCACCACCATCACCCGGCGCAGCAGCACTGGCGGGGCAGGTCGTCACGCTGAGCACATCCGAGAGCGTCCGCTGGTTGAACGTAGACCGGAAGTCCAGCACGGAGTCCATGGTGGGCTGGCGGTCCAGGGTCAGGGCGGGAGACAGCGCGAAGCCGACTCGCCAGCGCTCGTGGATGGTCGAGAGGTCCCGCGCGAGGCAGTGGCAGAAGATGTGGCATGGGAACGCGAGGGGGAGCGACGTACAGGGTATGCAGTCGGGTGTCGGACAGTTGTTTTCGGATCGAGTGGTTATAGTTCGAATGTAGATTGGGCCGGCTTCCTCAACTAGCTAGTTGTTAGGGTTGAGGGGATGGGTGGTGGGTGGGTGAGTGAATGAATGATTGAACGTACCGAGGAATACCTGTTGCCCTATGAGAATGGGCATGAAGCAAACAACGCATGTCCACCGAGCGATGTTGAGATGTATAAGTGGGGATTCTGTTGGGTAGTCGTGGAAAGGATCGTCGAAACTGAATTGGATTCTATTCCCGTTATTACCAATACTCATGATTGAAGCTGTACGCGAGTGAAGGAGTGGAGAGTTAGTGGTGAACAATCGAGGGAATCGAAAGTTGAGGTTTGCTCAAGTATATGATAAGTAGAGAAGTCGCCGTATGCAAGTGAAGTCTCACAAGCCTTGGCCAGCGGGCAGCCTGGCCAATGATTGAAGATGAACTTATGCAAAAGGCTGTATCTTGCAATATCCTGTTGATATGAAGTGTGTGTGAGTGTGATCGACAGCGTCCTTCAGCCTTGCTTTTTGCAACACCCAGCAAGAGTAGCCAGACACTGTGTAACAGACGACGTAAGCGGGCGGTTCATAAAAAAACATTGTTGTACAGCACCAATCATCGTCGTGAAGTCTTTCCTTTTGCTGCCGTGTGACTCTATAGCTATAGATCGATATAACACATACGCTTGCTGAAGTTTGCTTTTTCTTCGATTACTGGACACCTAATTTTCTAGATCCTTTCTTCATGATAGTCTGAAGTGAAGAATGCGAGATGATGGGAAAACAAAGCCGCGCCATATAATACCGAAACGCCTGAACGAGGAAGAAGGGTGGGAGTGGTATCTAGTCGAAGAGGACTTCAGCAGATAGACAGACAGACAGACAGGACACGCACCCAAAGAACCCAACCCAGAAGACAGGGTGACACAAGAAATCTATCAGAATTTCCAACCCCACCACCCCCCACACACCTTCCTACTACCTACCCATTCTTAGGCATATACTCCCAAATCTTCTCTGAGCTCCAATTCTCCGTCTCCTCCTGCCTAGCCTTAGCATCCTTCCCGCGCTCCAGCGCCTCGTTCCTTAACCTCTCGAGCTCGGGATCCATCTTGTGCACGAGCCCCCTCAGCTCCTCGATCCTCTTCTTCTGCCTGTCGTCCCACTCGACCTTCCTGCCCTCCTTCTCCGCCTCCGCCTCCTTCTTCTGGTAGACGTCGAGCTCCTCGAACAGCTTGTTGCGCTCGTCCTGCTTGTCGTTGTAGTCTGTGTAGTTCTGGCGGCCGCCGAAGCAGATGCCGTAGCCGTCGCAGTAGCACGTGTTCTGCGCGGGGCAGTACACCTCGTGGCCGGTGAAGATGTAGTGCCAGATGTACTCGAAAATGCGGCCGGAGAACTGGTCGTCCATGGTGGTGGTGAGCAGCCACTTGCGGTAGTGGATGAAGCGCTCGAGCGGGATCTGGCGTATGCGGTCGCCCGTCACGGCGAACTGCGCGCAGCAGACGCCGGAAAGGGACGGCGGGATCGGCGCCCCCGGGTGCAGCTCCTCCCAGATGTGCCGCCGCCAGTGGATCTCTTCGGGCTTCTTGAAGAAGTCGAAGTCCCCGCCGGGCCGGTCCATGTGGATCCAGTCTGGGCAGCCTGGCTCGTGGTGGCAGCGCACGTTCATGTAGCCGAGTCGAGCGATGCGTTCGTGGTTAAGGCTTTTGATCATGCGGACGGAGTCCTGGCCTTGCAGGATGTTGTTGTGCCATGCGAAGCGGTGGGCGTGCATGAAGAGGACGGTGTCGGGGAGCTTGTCGTAGTGGTCGATGATGTACGTAAGATAAACCTATCAATCCCTTCACGTCAGTAACATGCTTCCTCCCCTTCCCCTCCCCCAACAAGACAGACGACGGGGAAACTCGAATTGAAAGAAACGTGAACGAACCATTGCCTCCCTCCCCTTATTCTGCGGAACCTTATTCTCCGCGTCCGGGTTATCAACCTCGTACACGATCTTGGGCGTGTCGGGAATCTCCCTGTCCATCCAAGTGATGTCCTCCTTCATCGTCTTCGGCACCACCATGATGTGCGAGTACGTCGACCCGGGCGGCTTGGCCACCGGCTCCGTGAAGCGGATCGCGATCCCGAAGTCGAGCGGGTCGCCCTGGTACGGCCGTCCGATGGGCAGCGGTTTGGCCTTGCCTGTGCCTGTGCCGGGCTTTGTGGCTCCTCCTCCCGCGGGCGCGGGCGATGTGTCGAGGTTCAGACCTGCGCCATTGTTGCTAACACCCGACCCTGCTGTTGCTGTTGGGGGGTTCTGCACGAGATTCAGATACCACCATGCCAGGCCGAATAGGAGAGCGACCGAAACGAGGGAGAGGAGGCGCGGAGGTCCTGCGAGCATGATTGCGGTGTGTTGATTTTCGTGACGTTTTTTAGTCCCGGTGGACTTGTGGAAAAAGAAAGAAAGCGACTGTTTTGTTGTTCACGGCAGCGTCGAGTTCGTTGCAGGTGTATGGGGGTGGTGGTGCGGCGGCGATGTAGTAGGCTTTTTTTCTATCATGATAGGATCGATTGCATTGTTGAATCTCAGGGCCCCGGCAGGTCTTTCCGAGAGGATGTTCAGACCATGTGAGGTTGTTGAAGGATTGTTGAAGGATTGTTGTGTTGAGGTGAGGTGTGTGGTGTGGAGATGGTTGGTAGGTACTCGTAGTGCGTGGGTGGGTACGGTACGGGAGCATGAATCGTTTCCGGCCATTCAAGCTGCCTTCTCATGCGTGCGTGCAGGCATCATCATCCTGGGGCGAAACACCACAAAAAGCGTGAGATATGCATGGTCAAAAGGTTGCGATACTAGATCCTCTTCACTGAAGTATGAATTTATAAACCCAAAACACCGAATTTACCCCACGGGCAGCACAAGAATAGGCCGGAAATTAAACAGGTCGAAAGGGGGAAGATGGTCCTCTTCCTTGGCAAAGGCTTAATTCCATCCCCCAGACAAGACATAGACAAACGAATTATAGATTAAAAAAGGCACCATCACCATCATCGTAATTCTAATCCAATACTACACAGTACTCCGTATAGTCATTCTCATATATAATTGATCAATGCAATCACTCATCATGCTAACCCTAACCATACCACACTCAATTCTACCCCCAGTTCCAGTCCGTTCGAAGTGTCTAGCTTCGCTCTTCCGAATCTCCTCCATCGACTGGAACACCCAAAGCTCGACCGACCACCCCGTTCGCTATGTCCAGCACTCCCGCAGCCGCTTTCGCCATTTCTAAAGAGAGGGATTATCCTTCCAGTGCCGGTCCGGAAAATGAGACCCAAAGATGCCATTCATAGAGAGGGACGGGAAGGGAGGAAGGGAGAACGGGGAGAACACCCGAATGAAAATATACACCGGCCATGCTATACAGATCCCACCCAGTAACAGTAACTTAAAAGCCCATGAAAACTGAAATCGAGAATGTGAAAGAGGAAAAAGTGCAAAAAAAGAGAGAAAAAGTATTTGCCTGCTATGCTAATCATTGGGTGATTTGTGCTCCATATCTCGTTTCATGCGTTATCAAACATTCGGTCTCGGCTCCATGTTGTCCTGGAATGAGTATTTGGTGTACGACGACATTGGGCAGAGCAGAGCATGAGCTGACCTGCCGGTCCTGTTGTCTTCACAGTTCCAAGCCGTACCATGCTCAGGTCAGGGTAACATTAAATTCCCATTTACCTGCATGAATAAGTCGGTGCCCTTGATCGTCTAAGATTTGCGGAGTTCAAAACTAAACATACCATCTCTGAGATTCTGAGCCGTATCCTCCAGGAGAATGATACGCCTCTTGGTGCAGTATGCCGTCCTATCCAACATATCCACCTTCAAACCCTGCAGCTGATCGATGGGCTTCTCGAACATCTCGCTGAGGTTCTCGACGGCCATTTCCAGATCCTTCTGGTTGTCCTCGAAGATTTCGGTCAAATTGTTGCGTGCAAGGTAGTATGCGAAGGCATAAGTCCATTTAAGAGTCTGCCGGCATTGCTGTAGCGCTTGCGACGCAGAGTCTAGGAACTGCACCTCTATCCACGACATGCCGGACGTGTTCTGGAGCTGCGTCATCTTCTTCTCCGTCTTGAGATAGATATCCTTATCCAACTTCGCAGACTGTTCGTGGTTTGCATATCGGTTGTAGTAGTGGAGGTAGCGCTCGAGTGATTGTCTCGACTTCGCTTGGGCGTCTCTGGCCTCGGAACCGCTCTTCTCCTCATATCGGTTGCAGTTGTACCAGCTTGTTCCGTGTTCCGACCAGACGCCCATGCACATCCAGCAGAACTCGTGTCGGCACTTCCGGCACGTCATATGATTGCAGCCACCGTTCTTCTCGATGGTAGAGTTACACTTGGAACATTCCTTGGTGTTGGCAGAAATCCAGTTGGCCGTCTCGGAATCGTCCTCGCACTTCTTCAACCACTTCTTCACCAGCGAACACGGCGCAGGCTGATGGTCGTTCAGCGAGCAGCCGAAACAGAAGTAATGGCCGCAGTCGCAATGCACGGTTGGAACCACCTTCATCAATTCCTTGTCTTTGACACCGCACTCTACAGCGAAGACGCAGTTCGGCGCGGGGCACCATCGGAGATTTTCCTTATCGTCGACGTAGGTCCTGGTAAGTAGCTCGTGATATCTTATGCAGTCAGTATATTGGAACCCCACATCTGCAATCCGACTTCGGAACAACATACCTATCCTTGAGGCTTTCCGAAACGAGAAGATCGAGGGACTTCGAGTCCACGATCCGCGTGCAACCTTCACCTGGACATCTGATCCGGGCCGCCTCACCCTCGTCCTTGATCTTCGTGAAGAGATACTGCCTATAGCAGTCCAAGCAGAAGCGATGCCCACAGCGCATGGCAAACGTATCCAGCTCGGGCCCGTCCTCGCAGCAGATGTCGCACACGAAGCCCGCAATCTTCTCAAGCTTCGGCGGGTTAGACTCCGAGGACTCGCCCAGCCCCGCACTCTCGAGGGTCTCCTCCGTCTTGTCCATGTACTGGTCGATCAACCGTTCCTTGTTCCATCGTAGGTGCCGGAGGAGGATCGCGGTGGCTTCTGGCGGCTGCCCGAGGATGTTCGACACTTCTTCGATCTGCTTGTCTTGGTGGGATTGTATTTGCTGTGGGCTGAAAACCTTGAAGTCGACTTCGTATGCGTGTTTCGCGGGTTTGATGTCCTTGTCTTGGCTGTCGAAGCCCATGTCATCCTGATCCATCTCGAAGTCGGAATCTACGGTTAGTTGCGTTAGACCTAACAGTAGCAATATGTGTATGTGGCAGACGTGAATGGGAATGGCAGTCAGAGTGAGTGGCGGTCACTTCTGGGTGTCCTTACCGTCATCGAGAGCTACATCGCTATCGTCCATGATCTCGTCGTCGCTCAGCTGGGAGCTGTTGAAGTCGTCGTCGGAATCCATCTCGGCGATAGTGGGGGGAGGAGCAGTAGTGGTGGATGTGGAGGTGGATGTAGTGGTGAGGACCGGAGTGGAGGGCAAGGAAGCAGGAGTAGTTGCTTCTGGAGTGATCTTCTTCCTGGGGCCGTCCTGCGCAGTGAGCCTGTCAACAGCGTCTGAGGCCTTTCGCTTGCGAGTGATGGGAGGCGTGGTGATGTATAGGAAGCCGAGCCTCGCCTTGAATGACGAGACCAGGCTGCGAGCGAGCGAGTGATAGGGTGGGTGGGGTCTGAAATGGGTCGTCGGAACAGAGAGTACGAGCAGTGGTGGCGGCGTTCAGTTCAGGCAGCGAAGGAGGAAGGAAGAAACAGAATGAGCGCGTCAAGGGTTTTTTTTTGCAGAATATTGGTCAGCTTCTTGGAGTCACAAGGATGAGGCGAAGGTGTTGGTCTGGTCGGGTCGGGTGTTTGCAGAGCAGAGTGTTGCTCAGTCTAAGGTAAGTACCTAGAGTAAGGCAGGGCAGGCAAGGAAGGCGAGTTTAGTAAGGTGAAAGTGAGAGTGAGTTTTGGTAGGGTAAGAATAGGACAAGACAGGACAGGACAGGCTATGTCACAGGTCGTTTGGAGAGGCGAGTGCGGCGAAAAGCACGACCACGAGGGTACGAGTAGCGCATGGGTATGACTATGACCACGGCTACTCGGACGGGCACTACATACAATACACTACGAGGATCACAGGCAAAAGACGAGGAAGACGAGATGAGGCAGGCGTAGCGGGAATCACGGGATAGTGCAACTCGAGAATGTACGTACAGGTACAAGTAGATACCATTACCGTCCATACAGAAGAGAAGTACATACTCCGTACTGTAGATATGACGGATAAGTACAGGTCGTGATTCTAAGTGCGAGTCCTAGTGCAGTTTCCGGGCGCGGAATTAGCGGCAATCTCCACCAACTCACCAAATTCAGTACCCAAGTCTCAAGGCAGACAAGCAGCCGCTGCTGGCCGCATATAGATAGTCACATAGTATAGTGAAGTGTAGTCCTTGTAGGTCATGGTTAATTCCTTGTAACTAGAGAATGCATACAAAATATCGAAAACACTGTTGCCTTGTACCTCAGCTCACTTGCTCCACATATTCAAGAACACATTAGCAAATCATGTACCTAGAAACATCTTGGGAGGGTTTTTCATTCATTTGATACTTCATCGTGCATGGTAACCCCTCCATAGCTGATGCTGGTGCTGATGATGTTGTTGCGCGGCGCAGCCAAGGCAGATAGCTATCTCCCTACGCACGCATAACTACCATAGGAAACTACAAACAACACAGCTTACCACCCTATTTATTTTATCGTTAACGTAGGTAGCTACCTAATCCTCGTCGTCATCCTCGTCATCGCTCTCCTCTTCCGACGACTGATTCAAGTAATCGATGAGCTGCCCCGTCTTCTGCCTCACATCCAGCAGCTCCTGCTTCTCGCTCGACTTGGGATCCGCCCACCATTGCAGCATGCCCTCCTCCTCGATCAGGTCGATCTCGATCAATTTGGTCGCCGAGCTCAGGAGAATCATGTCTCCGCCCTCGCGGTGCGAGAGCTCGTTCTGGAGGAGCATCATGAAGTCGACCTGGTCGGTCTTGGCGGACGCCTTCTTGTCGAAGATGCTGCGTTCCACGAGCTCGCGGTGCTTCTCGAATACCTGCGCTACGGCGTTCTTGACGCTCGTGCCGGCCTTGACGACGCTTGTTATGCGCTTCACAAATGCTACTACGATGGATCGCCGCACTTGGTGGTCGGAGGCGTTGGTGCTCATGCGTAGTGCTGTAGAATGTGCGTCAGTGACTGGGTTGGCCAATAGCTAACCGAATAGATTATTGCCTTACCTGTAAGTTCTAGTTGTATGTTGGCAGAATCGTGACCCTCATTGAGTGAATCGTAAATGCTGGAAGACGCATCGTGATCAAAATTGGCAGCGTGTTGGCTGGCATAGCTATCCTGGGACCCAACGGAAACGAAGCTGTCCGCAGCAGATCGGTTCTGATTGTGGGAAACGTCGAAGTCGGCTTCCGAATCTGAGTAGAGCGTAGATATAGAGTCCGCGGATAGTGAAAGATGGGCGAGATTGTACACTGCAATATGTCAACATCAATAAACTCCACCGGATGTCGACCAACTTACTCTTGCCGCTCAATATGAGACTGTCGACCACCTCGTCCTCATCCTCCTCCTCAGAGTCCTGGAACTCAAAGCCGTCGCCCTTGTCACCGACAATAGCAATGTCTGGCTCGCCCTTAGCAAGCTCCTCGCCCTGCTCTAGCCTTCGCTTTGCTCTTGTAACCCTCGACTCTGACCGCACAGTCACCCCGTCGCTAATACGTACACTGTACGAGACCAATGCGCCGGGTTCTATCGTGCAGTTCTTCCCAACTTGGGCTTCATTCGCAACGATGGCCTGCGTGACCGTTGACCCATCGCCAATGATAGCATGATCCCAGATATACGCGCCGTCAATGGTAACGCCGCGCCCGATGTTGCAGTTCACTCCAATGATGCTGTTTGAAATCACACTCCCATCGCCAATGCTTGAACCCCGGCCGATGACGGTCTTCGGATTGATGATGCAGTCCCGCGCCAGTATGACACCCTCCTCCTTGTACGTGTTGCCCTTCTGTAACCGGTACGACTGACCCTGGAGTAAATTGCTATCCGGACACAGCGGGTACGCCCAGCGGGAGACGATATCCCTGCTCACGGAGTCATAAGCGTGGAGGTTCCGCACGCGGGCGGCGTAGCGCTCCGCGACAATGTGCGTGTGTATCGTCTTGCCGTTCAATTCGTAGTCCTTGAGCACGCTGTGCAGGAAGCCCTTGCGGGGCGCCTGGAAGTCGAAGTTATCGCTCCACAGCGCGAGCACGTCGGGCGTGCAGATGTCGATGCCGCAATCGATGAGATCACCGCGTATTTCCAGCTCTTGGTTGTCCGACAGGAGATCCGGGTCAATTGAGAGCGTGTGCGTCTGCTCTCGGTTCGGCATCTGCTCGAAGTGGAGGCATCGCTCCTTGGAGGGGTCGATCACGAAGATCGGGTTCGTTCCTTGCGCTTTTGTGCGGTGGGACGTGCCGGCTTCGCGGAGGACCATTGTCATTATGGCGTTCTTGTCCTTTGCCCGACGGGCTCGGTGTGCTGCGAGCGCGGGCTCGAGTGAAAGATTGCTGACGACGTCGCCGTATACCACCAAGAAGTCGCCCACCAGGAGTCCCCGTGTATCCAAATCACGCATAGCGTCTCCAATTGAATGTGAAGTAGACTGGATCAGCTCCAGCCTGGAGAATGGCGAGGACCGTGAGTTCCATTTCGACCGTCTGCTTAACTATCAGTCATGTCCCTGCAGGTCGTACACACGGAACAAGAGGGCCACCATACGTTATGTAGTCTTCGACCTGTTCCTTATGCGCTCCGCAGTATACAAATACTTCTTCGACGCCACCATTTGCCAGAAACTCGAACGTGTATTCGATGAGCGGGGTATTCGCGAGGGGCAGCAAACACTGGAGGGGGATTAGTGCATGCGTGTTTTATATATATGAGGACTTGAGACGGACCCTAGGTCGTTCGAGCGTGAAGGGACTGAAGCGGGTTTCGAATGGATCTGCGAGTATCTGACATTGTGGTTAGTGTTTGCGATTTTGAGGAGCTCGGTTCGGTGCGTGCAGCAGTGGGATGGAAGACTCACGACGGCCTGCAGAGGATCTTCGCGCTCCTCCTCGCCTTGCTTGGGTTTGTCGCCGGCTTGGTTCTTCTTGCCCTTTGGCGGCATGGCTGCGAGCGAGGGCTAGGAAAATTAAAAAGAGAGAATAAATAAATAAGAGTGTGTGTTGCGGGGAAACGTTATGTCCAGTTGGCGTTGGTGTGGCTCACACAGTCTGGCGCATTTGGTTCGCAAAAAATCGTGATGAGTCAGTCGGTCAGGGTTGTGGTGCAGTGCGGCGGGTGCAGACACCTCCGACCACCCCCAGCAACACCACAACCACCACATCGCATTTTTGCAAAACGACCACGCCGGGAGGGGAGTCAGAAAGTGCGTCACCAGAATCCCAGATACGGCCAGACTCCCTTTTCTGCCGTCATGGACAAGGACAAGGTTCTTCAATCCGATCCTGTGGGGCTTGTGCTTTTCGCTTTAGGGTTTGCCGGTGGTGGCACCCCCCCCCCGTCCCCCCCAGTCCAGACCATATGGTGCTTTGACGAGCTTCCTGGCACTTGTACTCACGTGTTGCGGCTTCAGGGCAAGGGCGCAGGAGGTCTAGACCTGGTTCTCTCCCCAGGGCCAGCTCGAGCAAATAGCTTAATGCAACGACATCCATACTTCCAAAGAGAGAAGAGCGTGGGAGCCAAAAAAAGGCACGAAGCACTCGTGGATCCCATTCTTACATACAGCTACGTAAAGGGAAGCTCGAGGAAAACCAAAAAAGGCCTGTTGAAAAATGCTGCTTGTAAAAGTACAGAGCGCGCGCTGGCCTGATGTTTTCCAAACTCAAGTCTTTCTTTCGTTATGACAGTCTCTATAATTCCCTTGGGCGTGATCAATATGCATCAAAATATGTAACTCGAGAAATAAGCCCCCCCAGAGAGAAAAGACTCTCTAACCAAACCCCCCCAAAAAAACACAAACACGGAAGAAATAAGCGGATGGTTAAGCTGTCAGTCTTGACTAACTCAGGGTATTCATCATATCAACCCTGCCTCCATCGACCTGGCAACTGTACGGTTACCAACCAGCGAAGAGACGGCAGGGATTCCGACCAAATTTTGGCAGGCGAGAAAATAGTTTTCTGCCGAAATGACTGACTGGAAGAAGCCAGTCTGAGCTGGCACACCTCCTTCTAGACAAATTTGATGATTCCGTCGTGCATACGGCGCACTGATTTCGATGCAGCCCAGGATGGCTGAGAACGGTATCTAGAGGAGGCCTACACCCACTCGGCACGGCAAAGAGCTCCCTAAAGAACTCGCGGCAAGGCACTCGCTAGTCGAACATTCGGCGCGAGGTCCAGATTATCGCGGCCTCTGCTGCATCGGATTCATGGGCTGCGGCTGCATGGGTCCGCCGTACATTTGTTGTCGTTTCGCCGGATTGTTCATATCGTCACCGCCTGAAATGTCGGAAAGTTGCCTTCTGTGTCCTTGCTGTTGCTGTTGTCTTGCTTGCAGTTGCATCTGAGGAGATGTGCTGTAGCCCATGGCACCCTGCATCGGGTTGACTCCATATTGCCCCGAATGATTCTGCACAGCTTGCAGATACTCGTCGGTAACATTGCTGCCGACTGGCGAAACTCCCGGCATTGCGTTCGGCGAATTCCAATTGCTGGTCGTGGCTGGCGATTTTGCGGGCGACTCCTCCTCCTTGAGTACTTGCCTAGCGGAAGACAGCGGCTGTGGTGCGACCATGCCTCCCTCCACGTGACTCTTCTTGAGGTGTACCAAGTGCTTGTCAAGACACTGCAATAGACCTTCTTTCGTAAAAGGCTTCGGAAGCACATCGTTCATGCCTGTTACTTGTGAGCAATGCCCTGCGAGAAAGGAGAGACGTTCATCTTACCATGCTGGAAATACATAGAGATATCGTCGCTTCGAATATTGGATGTCATAGCAATAATGGGCGTGTTGTCGAATTGGCGGATGAGATGGCAGGCAGACACACCGTCCAAGTTAGGCATAATAATATCCATAAGAACCAGATCGTACTTGGAGCCTGCGTTCATCTTGTTGACAGCTTCCAGTCCGTCAAGCTGGTAACATTAGCAAAACCCTTGGTGGCATGGGAAAATGGTACTTACAGCACTATCAATAGAGCAATGAAAGGCGTATAGGAACTTGCTGCCAATTCTGCGACATGTCGGGTCATCTTCCACCAACAAAATCTGAGGTGGGCGCACCCATCCTGGGTCAATCTGCGAACTCTTCTTCCTGGGCTCTGGAACGCGGATCTCGGTGGACTCTGCTGGCTTGCTTGGCATCGGGTATGGAATGTTGTTGATATGCTCGCTGTACATCGGGTCGATACCGTTAGTATGTCCGACAGGATACACGACATTGTCGAGGTCATTCATGCGAGCAGAGGCAGATGAACCTGCAGAAGCTGGGCCGCGGCTGACGGGTCGAGTCAAGTTCCTCATGAATTCCGGCGGTGGCGTCGTCAACGTTCCGTTCATTCGCATCGTGATCTCGTTCATATGCTCCAGGTTACGCGGGTTCAACATGACATCTGCATTCGTCTCGCTAAGCAATTTCGAGGCATGTTGAAGCGGCGAGGCTGGAATGTCATCTTCCGTAGGGCCTTGCGCGTTGCTGGGCGGTTCCACGTTGCCATTCTGCGTTTGTGCGGGCGGCTGGTTGAAGGGAAGTCCCAGCCTGCTATCGCGGCGGCGCTGCGCATCAACGTTGTGCAAGAAGGTCATAACATTCTGCATAACGTGTTCATGGTTGACCACGGTTTTCTGTAGACCAATGACTTCCTGGAGCAACATTGAATGGTGGATGCTGAGCTCGTTGTACCTATCCTGTAGAGACTGCAGCTGCGCCTGTGTAGCCATCAATTGCGTATTCATGAGATCCAGCTGTTGCGAGGGGATGATCATATCCTCCGGCTGCGCATTAGCCTTGCGCGGTGCGGGCGCTTTCCTCCTAATGTTGTCAAGCGCATCCTTGTTGTTGGCCTTGAAGTCCGGGTGCTTGAATTCCCATGCCTGAGATGGTTTGTGAGCGGGTGAACGTGACAGCCATACAGGACGTGCAACCTTACCCCTGCGCCGTACGGCGATTGTCCATTTTCTTCGTTGTTGTGGCGCACTTTGTGGAAATCGTATTTGTTGAGCTGTCTGACGAAGCTGGCAAAGTTGCTGTGCTTGAAGTGCTTGGGAAGAATGTGTTTCGTAAATTTTTCGTTCTGATACGGGTAAGCTTTCCGAGTCCTCTCACTCTCCGTGGTCGCCACCGCAAGAACGCACCTCGAGGACGACAAAACTGTCTCCATCGTTACCCCATCGTACAACACTCTCATCGGATGGGTTTTCCAACATTCTGGCAGTTTGTTATTAGCGCATGAACATGTAAATCGGGGTTTCGCGGGCGCGAAAGGCGGCGTACTTGTACAGCTTACGAACCTGCATGGGAATGTTAGTATCATCGTGACAAGAATTTGCGCGCGCATCCTCAGACTGTGCGGCGGGCGATGGTCCTTACAAAATCGCTGGAATTGCTCGAGCCCGAGCCGCCTCCCTGGCTTGAATCCATCTTGAAGGGGAGTGAGGAAGAGGCGAAAACAAGTTTTTTTTATAAGTCTACCACCGAACTTCTAACAACCACAAAGGACCCCCCAAGGGGCCCAATTTGAACTGATCGGCCTACGATGGAAGCGCGACTCCGTTTCGAGGGAGTAGGTTGACGCCGAAGGTGTCGAACGGGTTTGAATCGGTGATCCGAGGACGAAGTTCGGATGCAGGGTACGCAAGAGTGGGGTTGGATGGTGTCGCGATGGTTCTGAACATACGCGGCGACCCGCGGCGGGAAGATGAAGTCAATGAAAAGGCGGATAGCAGCAGGAGTGGTGGAGGTTGGATGGGAGGAATAATAGGCGGGAGACGATGGGAATGAGGAAAGTATGGGGATGGGATTGGGGATTTGAGATGGGATGGGAAGGGTAGATGATGCAGGAAGAAGAAGCGGAAGAGCGAAACGACCGCCGTCCTTTCTAGGGTAGGATAGGGTAGGATAGGCAGTATACGAGTAATAGTAGTGTAGTTGCTCCGTAGTTAGAGGGAGGTAGGCACGGTAGGTAACCCCGTAAGTTGGTAGTGGTAGATAGTTATTACTGGGACGAGGACAAGGACGAGCGGCCAACTTGGCTGGGGAAAAAGAAGTTGGCTTGCCTGGCGGCGGGTGGGTACAGCCAGGGCCGATGCCGAGTACAGCGAGTTGATGAGTTTAACTGGTAATAGCGTAATGGGCTTTTTTGGCTTTGGGTTGGGGGAAGTGAGTTACGGTAAGTCCCCCTACCAGTTGCAGTTGCAGTGTCCTAGCACGGTCACGGTCTACTATCATCTAGCGAGGAGCGGTAGTGGGAAGGCTAAGAACAAGAGGCAAAGGCAAAAGCAGAGTGGCAGTGGAGGAATGCGGTAAGGTTCATCGTCATTCTGCACTAGGGCCGTCTCTGGCTGAATCGCCAAAGGAGAGAAAAGGGTAAAGCCGAGGAGGTAAAGAAGGGAAAAGAAAGGGAAAAGGAAGAGCCAAAAACCAAGAGCGAGGTCAAAGTCAAGGTCACGGTCAAGGATCAAGGTCAAGGTCAAGGGTGGGAGTGGACATGGGACAAGGGACACATGCATTCAACATTGGGGGGGGGGGGGGGGGGGGTTGGACATGGGTCATTGAGACAAGGGCAAGGGATAGGTAAGGCTTGGGGATGGGCATTGGAAGGATGGATGCGATGGCTGCGATGGCTGGACGGGATGGGAATGAGAGAGGCATGGGATTGGAGATGATAAAGGCGGGCGTCTTTCTGATCCTCCGCCCTGGGTTTGTTGTCGTTGTTGTGGTGATTATGGTGGTTATGGTGGTCGAGCTGTGGTTGATGTGGTGGTTGTGGACTTGTACGGAGGGAGACGTGCTGTTGCTTGTTCATCTTGTTAGCGAATAGTGGGGACGAGCACTGAACAGGGTAAAGGAACCCAGACGGAAAGGCGGGTGGGTGGATGAGTATGGATGTGAATGTGGATGTGGTGGATGTGCCAATGTGGACGTACATACTACACGGTATGGAGTGGGTGGGTGGTCATCGTGGGATAAATAGTAATGTACGGAAGTATTGCTGTACTACCACATCATCAGTGACTATATACATACCTAGGTTACCAGGTAGGTACTCGAGTCCTGTCCCTTTCCACTCTATTGCATGACTAGGTATGGGAGGAGAGATATATGCTACTATAAAGGTACATGGTGAGGTGTGTTCTTTCAACTTGTATGTCCATAATACCGACTGCATACAACTGTACAGAACAGTCTCATCTCCATATGTATAGTACGGAGTATTCCGTATGTTGACAGCTGCAATAAATGGTGCTTGTTCTCAATGAATATCAACTAACCACAAACTACTCGCACATATGGTACGCTACGCTACGCTTCTGCCATTCGCGCCATCGTCGTGTCGCTCCACGTACTTGTTCGTAGGTATACGAACTACAGGTGCCTACAATTTATCTAGTTTGGTTCGATCTGGCCTGGTGTGGTATGGCTATTGTCGGTGCCGCGTGTGTGTGCACGATACAACAGGAGAGCATGGCTTGCGCTGGCTGCTTACGATCTCTGATCGAGGTGCCGTGACGGTGGAATACTTGCGGAGTAATGAGGAATGAAAGGAATGGCGCGGGTGGGCGGTTGTATCCAGGCAGAGATCGCATCACATCGCAGCGCATCGCATCGCATCCGCACTTGTCTAGCATGTAATTGCAAAGTAATCACTGTATGTACTGGCACAAACTGGATACAGACAAGGACAAGTATAGTTTTCTGTGCTTACCTCTATTCGGCTACCATGCTCCGTACCGAACAACTCAAGCTTCGTTGATACTCAAATTCGTTCTCTGTCCCCTCCCTTCCCCTCCTCCCCAGCCCGCGACCCTTGCCAGATACTGTACAGATACTGCACCTTTCCATGCATCTACAGGGGAGCGCGGTCCTTCTGTCTCGGCGGTTCGCAGTCTCTGGTGTCGTACACTGCAATGTGCCGTCTGCGCAGTCGTCTTGCAACTCAAAGCCATACCTACGAGAGACTACATGATTGTCTGGACACTACGAGTATTACTCATGCCCTCTCGGTTTCTCTTTTGGCGATCGGCGAGTGCAGATCTACACATCATCTCCGTGCAGGGACTATCCAAGATGTCAAAGGACAGCTCCTTACCGCTTTGGGTCGCAAAAGAAACCAATTCATCCTCTCTCGGCGGAAGCTAAACTGACGAATCTGAGAAAAAATTCTCGTTTCCGAGGCATACCAATCAAGCTCGCTCGTACAAAGTCCCCTATTCACTCGTACAACTGCTAATGAGCAGAAAGGGAAGAGGGAAGAGTGCGTCGCTTGGGCAGACCCTAGATTTGCGTTCATATCCAGAGGTTGGCACGTGCAGGCGACCACGGTGTCCTAAAACTCCTGGTAACCATCTACATACCACCCAGATACATACTTTTAACCTACCTGCACGGTATTAGATGCTATTCCTTAGATTGCATTTTGCCTTTGTAATACTTCAACAATACTGCCGTCTCAAATTGCCATGCCGCCTAGGGGATGCACGACCGTGTAGTCTGTGTGTACACAGTACATATTTGGGCTAAAATTACCTACCGCTAATTATCTACGCCCAACCATATCGACTGTGAAATTAATTCCTCCTGCGCTCTGCTGTGCTCCGCTGTACAGTGCAGTGCTATGCTATGCGGAGTAGGGGACGGCATGTCGCTACTGTAGGCACAAGTTGCAAACCGTGTAGTGTAATGTGCCCACCCGTATTATCACTCGGTCCGGGGCAATGTCATCCATCCATTCTTGCGGGACGGATTAAACCCTATCACTTTGCAGAGGAAAGGGTGAGCATCAACATTCAGTACCTATCTAGATATCCATCTACCTCGTAGGTACATACGTTACAAGTTACAACGCAGTGGAGCGCCGTGCAGCGGGCATCGAATTTACCCTTGTAAAGGAAAAAACCCTTTCCGCGCCACTGAGGATAGCGAGCAGCTGGCGATGAGAGTTCGGTGTAAGAGGTAATAACACTCATGGGTGGGGAGGAGGCATGGGAGGGTAGGGGTTGGTGTTCAATTAAGGTATCGCGATGTCGATCCCACAGGGAGCCAATGACGACGTCGCTCCGGAGTTCCTCAATTCCCTGGGCTCTGCCGCTTGCCGCTGCCATCTCATCTCATCTCATCTCAATTGTCAATCCCTTCAGGCTTCGCCGACCACAAAACGTCATACCTAACGCCTTTCCTCTTCCTCCTTGACCTTGACCTTGACTAGCTGCTTGTAGCCTCGTAGGTATACCATTGGTATCTCGCATGCACAAGAATAGCTATTGCTCGTAGGCTGTACACAGTACTCCGTAGTAGCTCCCCATAGCTGGTTACCTACACCGTACACCTATCTCTGTAGACCCAATTCATCTCCGTCCCGCCAACTCTTCCTCCCCCCCTCCCCCATTATTGATCTACAGTTCCGCCCTGTCCTGCCAATCTCAGCAGCCACACAATAATAACCTCCAACACATTCACCTCAACACCTACCACACTACACACGCCCACCTACACACACATCACAATAATGCTTGCCACACGTCTCTCCGCGGCACGTCCGCTCGCTTGCGGCCTCCGCCGTATGGCTGCTGCTGCTCCCGCCAGTGGCTTCCATAGCTCTCCCCGTGCCTTCGTCCAGGTGGGAGACAAGATCCCCAGTGTCGAGCTCCAAGAGGGATCTCCCGGCAACAAGGTCAACATTGCCAATGAATTGAAGGGCAAGGGCCTCATCATTGGTATGTCTCACCCTTCTCTCGGCCACCAAGAGTAAATCCTTCGCCTACTGCGGCCCTCTCCGCTGCCCTCAATGAGGGATGTAGCTGGAGCTGTCCTCTTCGATCACGATCTCAATCACATGACAATCCCTCACATCCGCTTGCAGGCGTCCCCGCCGCCTACAGTCCCGCATGCTCCGAGTCACACATCCCCGGCTACATCAATTCGAGCAAGCTCAAAGACGCCGGTAAGGTCTTTGTTGTCTCGGTCAACGATGCATTTGTGTAAGTTCCGGTCGATTCCTCCCCATCATCGTCTCTATGTTTCGTTTATGCATGCGAGCAAAAGAAGCCACTATTGATCTATTCACATTGGGACGAGAACCCATCTGCACGATAATTTACTATATTGTATGATGTTTTGATCGTACTCGAATTAGTGCATGTTGTAGCCAATCTCGTCCGTTCTCTCTTACTCCTCTCTTCTCATTCGTACAATTTTGCATTTCCTAATATGGAAATTTCTATTCATCGATTGATCAATTGCTCTGCACTCTCAACATCTCATACTTCCATCTCTCTCAACCATCAAGATACCATAACCAAACATCACCACCACCACCATCTCCTTCCATGTCCCAATCCCACCTCAACCTCCCTCCCTAACTCACAAAACTAACAAAACCCCCTCCAGCATGAAAGCCTGGGCCGACGTCCTCGACCCCTCCGGCTCCAGCGGCGTACGTCCCCCATTCCCCTTCCTCCCATCCCCCCCAATCCCAACCTAACACCAGTACCCGAATTCTAGATACGCTTCCTCGCCGACCCATCCCTGGAGCTCACCAAAGCCCTCGACGTCGCCTTCTCCGCGCCCGCCATCTTCGGCGGCGACCGCTCCAAGCGCTACGCCCTCGTCGTCGAGGACGGAAAGGTCAAGGAGGCGTTCGTCGAGCCGGATAATACGGGGTTGAACGGTATGTCTTCTTGTCCCCCGCTCTTATTTTCCCTTTTGAGTTTTGAGGTTTGAGGGGAAGTTTGCTGACGTGATGGGTGACGTAGTTTCTGCTGTGGAGAATGTGCTCGGTTGAAGTACGTGGGCTTCTCGACGGATTTCCCTTGGAGAGAGTGGGAGGGGATGTTTGGGGGGATTAGATAGGGAGGAAGGGAACAGGAGACAATGAATGGATTTTGGAATCAATTGAATGTGAATGAATGCGTGAACACATGTGTTAAGGTAGCCTGTGAAGTTAAGTGAAGTGACCTTAAGTAACATCAATCAACCATCTTGATGCAATAGAGAAGTCAAATAGAGAGAGAGATCGTCAAGTGTAGAACTTAGAGGTTATTTTTGGTGATGTGTGATGCTCGTGGTGTTATACTTATATCTATATTTAATGTCTTTCGAAATGATGTACCTGTACATCTGTTTATAACTTTGTTTATGTGTTGATTGTCCATATGATAAAATATAAGCACACATTCATAATCTAATGCCTGAGGAGCAGTTGTGTAGGTGTATGTGCATGGAAAGGGGAAATTGCTAGGAGATGGTGGTTGTGATATATATATGTGCTTATGTTTCCTGTTTGTGTATAACGTTGTATATCAAGGACACGGTAGAACAGACAGGGGATGTCCGTTTGTGTATGTTTAATTGCTTGCTTGCTGGTTTGTTTAGGTGTTTGGTTTTGATTTGATTTGATTTATTTGTCGGTGGGAGATATATGCACCAACATATATACATATCCTCAATGCTATACTTCCACCAGTCTTCACATCAACATCAACATCACACTCCCTCCTTCCCAGCAAACCACCTACCCAACAAACTTCCCCCCACAGTAAACACAAACATCACACGCCGCAAACACACACCTCGCAATATCCCCCTCCCCCTCTTCCCCCCCATCCTCCACCTCCTCACCCTCCTCCCCCCTCCCTAACATCCCACCCAGCCACCCCTCCCCCAAAACCGCCGTCCCACAAACCCCACAGTACTTTGCCGCCCCCGGCGCCTGGATACTCAAAAACGACACCCCGCACCTCTGAAACGCATGTCTCGCCTCGCACGTCGCGGTCGCGAGGTCGTCGAAGGGAATCTTCGAGGCGCAGAACGTGCATGTTTCGCTGAAGGTTGGGGAGGCGGTGGCGGTGGTGAGGAGGTGTAGGGCTGCTTTTGTGCTGGCGAGGAGGGTGGTGGTGAGGGGGGATGCTGAGGATGAGGGGGGTGAGGGGGAGTGCAGGGCGAGGGCGAGGCGGTAGGCGATTGTTGCGCGGGGGAGGAGGGTGGGGTTTGAGGGGGAAGGGGAGGGGGTGAGGATGGTGGTTGTGAGGATTTCGAGGCGGTCGTGGATGGTTGGGGGGGTGATCATGAGAGTGCGTTTGAGGGTGGAGATGTCTTTGTCTGTGGTGGGTTCTGAGGGGGTGGTGGTGGTGAGGAGGGGAGCGTGGTAGACTTTGAGGAGCTTTTCGAGGATCTCGTCTTTGGTTTTCGGGAGCAGAGTGTGCGATTTTAGGTTTTGTTCTATCCATCTCCTGACGGTGTAGAGGATTGCTTCTGCGCTGGCAGGTTGCTTTTGGAATGTCAGCGGTGCGTTTTTGTCTCCAAATTGGCTGATCGTAATTGTGGTGCGGCGGTCGTGAGGGGTGCCATATTCGATCATGTCTGTAGGGTGGACGGTATGACATGAGGCTATGGAGTCTCCCAGCGGTGAGATACATAGGCCGGCGACTTTGGCCACAGAATTGCCCTTCAAGTCGAACCTCGTGCTGTGTTGTGACACGCTGCTGGCGAGTCGTTTCCGCCAATGTGGCTCGCTGTCTTCATCCAACGGCTTGAGTCCGTCTGGTGAAAGTTCCAGTACTGAAACAGGGCTACGTAGAGTCATGGTTTGGGTAGCAAAGTGAAGTCGAGGGTTGTCGTGGCTGAAGACGTCCCATACAGCACCAGATAGAGTGTCCCATTGTCCGTCACGTTTGAACGAAGAGCGACTGACGAAGGCGCCGTCGACCACCGAGAATGACAAGCACACTACTTCGGTGGTGGTGAAGCAGGCGAGAGATAGTGTCTTGTTGTTGTCCTTCCAGGGCGTCCATTTCAATAAGCCTGCATACTTCGTCTCAATGTCTGGAAACACAATCTCTTCTCCCAATATCAAGTCCCCGTCGAGGTACGTGACAATCCTCACTCTTACATCCCAATTCGTTGCATACGCGAAGATCGATTGGCTTGTCCTGCCTGTCTGAATCCACGGGCTCCATGCTAGGTGAGGAGCGTATCGCTGCTCATCAATGAGATCTTCGAACGTAGACAGGTCGCCGTTGGCTTTATGTGTTGTCCCTGGCGCAACCGAGAAACTACACATAACATCTGCAGACCAGGCAGTATCAAGACCTAGAGTTGTAGCTGGCGAGTTAATAGACATCAGAAGTACCTGATTATCATCTGTCGCAACACTTATCAAGTGCAGGCCCCAGCGCTCATGTGTACCAATCGTGCTCCCCGAGGGTATCAAAGGCGCCCAGGCAAACGTCCTGACGCGGCTCCGTAACCGCAGTCTTTCAGCGGGCTCCGTGACAAGAGAATTGGTCCCATCATTGCCAGTGGCAGAATTGGCGACATACTCTTCAATACTGTCGTTGATGATCAATCTCCTCCCCCAGCTCCCTTCCTCTTGCGGCTTGCCATCCGAAGCCCAGAGTGAGAGCACAAGATTCGCCGTCAGAGCAGCCAACGCGCTCCGCCGATGTTTCGCAAGACCGGGTGGCGACCATGCGAGTCCGAAGGTGAAGCTCGACGATATCTCTTCGCCGATCGAGTATATCGATTGCGGCGCTGGCGTCTTCACTGGCAACTCCTCCACCGTGAACCACGGGATCTGCAGCGGGAAATGGCGCCATTGGGAGATGTTGCGGTCTGAATCGAGCGGCTCAGTGCTGGGGAACTATTCATGTGATTAACATGAATCCATATTTACAGAGGACAACAGTAGACGAGTGCACTCACCAGCAGTTCTACCTGCTCGTCGGACGCTAGTGCGATGATGCCGTCTGGAGACCAATCAATTGCCTGGAGGCATGCTGGCCAAGATTTGAGCTCTGTTACATCGGCCATTCGAATATCTGTGCTTGGGCTCTATGGAAATCAGCGATGTTGATCATTTTACACGTTTGATGGGTTGTTGATAGGAAGAGGAACGTGGACGGGTGCTTTAGTGGAGGAATTGTTCTGAAATGTTTGGAGTGCATCGCTTATCGATAACATCACTGCGGAATATGGAGATTCACTACAAGTATGATCATAGCTGGTTAACTTCACCACGAGTAGGATTAGCATCCTACAAAAGCTAGGTCATGTGCAAATACATGGGGATGTTCCATTTCTCTAATTTTTCAGCCATCCTACAAAAGTTGAAATAATTTTCCCCCAACGCTATCCCATTCCCCGTCCCACCTATACTCGCTTTCCTTCAGAGCTCCCTCCTTCAAAGTAGCCAGCAGACCGTCTCTATCCTCAAAAAGATTAACTAATAACTGCCACAATTTATCCGAACTGCCAAAACCCTTCCCATTGACGTCTTCCTTGACGAGTTCAGGCCAAGCCTCGAACTTCCCCCACCCAACCACAGGAAGTCCCGCGCCGAACATGTCGACAACTTTCATCGGCAAGTCCACGCCGGACGATGAAGTGTGCAACGAGACGCCGAGGTCTGCGGACGCGAGTAGGAGTGCATAATCCTCGGGTGTGAGCCACGCTGTGCTGATTACGACGTTTTTGAGCTTGCCTTCCTGGTTGAGGGAGGCGATTCGCGAGAGGTAGTGTTCTTTCTGGGGACCTTTTCCTGTGATGATGGCGAGGATCTTGGGGAGGTTGGGTTTCGAGGTTGCTTGCGCGGAGTAGGCGCATAGGGCGTCGAGGAGGAGGGAGAAGTCTTCGTCTGCAGTCCAGGATGTGGAGCTTACCAGCAGTCTCCAGGGGGTGGAAGTGGAATCGGATGTGAGGTCTTGGGCATAGGAGGATGTCTCCGGGAGGCGAGTGAGGAATGAGGTGCGGGCTTGGGAGGAGATTGGCTGGAATAAGGATGCTGGCCTGTCGTGGAGGGTTACGGCTTGTGCGCCGTAGTCGTTCTTGAGGACGCGGGCCATGGCATTGGTGACGGTGATATGGTGGGATGCGAATCGGGAGAATAGTTTCTCGTAAAGCGCGGATATCTTGACAAGAGGATGGCGCGGTCCGAGTTTGAGGCCTAGAATTGAGTATCCAAAGTTATGCCAGTCGATCACTAGGTTAGTGTTGCGAATGAAAGATACAATTGTTGCAATGGCCAGTGTTGGAATCGAGGGTGGGTTCTGGGTGGTGGAGTTAGACATTATGCCGATGAGAAGATGTTCTTAGCACCTACCTGAACGAGCATCCACCTCCCGGGTTCTGTTCGATAGCATAAAGCATAGTAGAGATTGCTTGTCTGCCATATAACCTTGAGAGGTGCAAGAATTGGAAAGAGAATCTTGCTGCTAGAGCGAAGAATAGCTGGTGCAGGAGAAAGTGGCACAATCTTCACATGGGGATTTGATAGAATGTCCGGGTGGATTTCGGACTCTGAGATGCCATCTATGTTAGCATAATTGATGTACGGACTTGGGCGTTGAGCGTCAACCCACCATTGTATCCGATCAAGAATACCTTCCCGCCGTGCTTTGCAATACTTATGGCATGATACTGCATTCTGGGAGACCTGCCAATGTCGCCTAAGACGACAATTTGGAAGGTCTTGCCCGCTCCCCATAGGCTTTTACCAGGGACCTTCCCTTCTGCATCCGACTGCTTGCCATCATCTTCGCCCTCAGCGGAATTGCCAGGTGCCCTATTCTTGTAGGGATCGTATCGCGAGGGCAAGGTGAGCAAGAATAATGTGAAGCCAATGGACAGGCAGACTGCAAGAGCTAGCGCTATCTCAAAAACGTGATGAGAGGCGTCACCGAACATTGTATGCGGCTCTGGACTGCCAACAATGTATGGTACGGATACGCTGATGGCGGCTTTAACAATAATGGACGACGACAGGTAGCTGTGGCGAGTCGGATGAAGTGAACAAATAGGTGTTGGTCAAGCAAGCGATTGGTGGTACGCCGTCGGCCCAAGATGGACCAGTGCGAGTCCAGCTTTTCGGACTATGTTGGCGAGATGTCGGAGGATGTAGGTAATACTGTTCTTATTTTCCTTGCATTACTATTGTTGCTGGTTTATCTGTGTGGGTCTACCGGGAATATGTAGTATGTAAGTAAGTTGATAATAAGTAAAGAAGTATGTATTGTAGGCATACGAGGTATTACGTTGCAGTGTAAATTGGTGACATATCCGGTGGCTCACGGCTATATGTAATTCAATGATGCAGTCTCCAGAATGAGGATAATTGAGTAGGTAAATACGTATGTTTCAATCTGGTTAGAGTAATGAATAGTAGAGATAACATTTTCTAGTATAGCATTGCGTGTTCACTTAATATTTCGTACCTAGGTACGTAAGTATATGTAGGTACCTAGGTAGATACATGTCATTAGAGCCCACGTGTGTCTTGGGAGTGAATTTAGTCATTAGTATTGGGATTGGCAACTTTGGCGGGGATTGATAGTGATTGGCCAGGGATGGGCTGGGCTGGATTGACCCCCTAAAAAGGCAAGCGCCCGCTATCAATCTACTCCGTACCTACCTATTCCATCCCCATGTGTGTTCACCCATCCTATCACTAACAGCTTTAACTTAAACCCAAGCCCTCATTTTCTTAAACTATCTCAACTGCGAACGTCACCCCTAAAGTTGAAAACCCTCTACTCACCCGCCTCAAATTCATATCCTCCAAACCCACCCCGCTTTCAATGACACGCCTCGCTCTCCTTCCGTAAATCCATCTCAAACCTCCCCGCATGCATGAGCTGCTGTCTCACTGCGCGCGACCTTAGGAAGCGTCAAGCCCGGCCGCCATGGCTTCTACCTACGCTCTGCCGTTAAACTCTCCCACGCAAACCCAAACCCACAGCCATGGACACTCACATTCACAATCGCATTACCTCTCCGAACATTCCCCAACCTGGACTCGCCGTTCCAGCGACACTTCGACCATGAACCATGGTAGTACGTACGCTGGGGGTCACCGCCATGCCCGCTCCGACCTGAACGGACAACCACGCAACGATGTCCCCTCCCCTTACGCAGATAATGGACCACCCCTCAATGCGCATGGCCACGACCGATCGAGGTCTACAGACACATCTTTCACACTCCAACCATTTGTGAATGGCAAATCGAGGGGTAGGCCTCGAGGAGACTCGGACTTGAGCCGACCGGCCGCACGTAAAACTGCTGCAGTTAGCAAGTTCGGATTTGCGCCCATACAGGAGACGCCGGTCGCACCTCCTACGTCGTAAGTAGAAGCGGCAACAATTAGAGCCATTGGCTAACAGAAACAGGAGTTCATGGCTACAATTGCCTGAGGCTCTTACAGCCTTCCTCGTACCGCTCCCGTTCATCTTTGCTTCGCTAGCATACCCAAGCATCCTCCGCCGGACAGGAACTGGGACCGCGCCGTCTTCCGAAGTCGAATCCGTGGCTGAACGATTACTTGAATCTATAGGGGAGGCGCCAGGAAAGGATGCCGCAACAGGCGATTCCAGGTTGCTCTACGCGTGCACTTTATCTGCAATAACACTCCTACTGATAGGATCTTTGTCAAAGCTCCGCCAGTTGATCGATGAGCCACTAGACAGGAGGAAGTCTTTCGGTAACTCTGACTCCTCGGGGGGCGCCTTGAATACAATATGGAACATCCACTCTATGGGACGCGTCGCTTTCAATACGATGAGCATAGTACTACCATTCTATGCCACTATGCAACTGGGTGGTGCAAAGAGCTCCTTCGTACTTCTTGCTGCGACTACTGCTGGATTGGGGGGACTGGAACACAAGCCGGGCAAGCATACCGTTCTGGATTCCATTAAGCGGACGCTTCGGACGCGGAAAGCAACTTGCATCATTTTGGCCGCTGTGGCGCTCTTGGATATTTTCACGGTCGCAACCAGTTCAGGCGTTGTCTTTGGCTATCTCGCATTAGGAGCCTCCATTCTAGCAGTGCCCCCACCGTTCCCAACGACTGGATTTTCCTTGAAGACAGGCCTCAACGGATCGAGTGGTTCTTCTACCCGGGTATCTTTGCCAAAGCCTACATCGCCTCTGATCAGTACCCCCGAGGACACCCTTCTTACACTGGTTGCTGGAGTGTTTTTGACAATCATCACGATTCTGGTCTCCCTTGGATCCTCCTCATCCTCTCCTCTAGGAAACCATGCCTTGTCATTTTCCACGCTTTCCGTTGTGTCGTTGATAGGTTTGGTCTATTTTGCCGTGCCCTCGGCGTTGCGCTCGCAAAAGAAAACGGGGTTTGCTTTAGGAAGTGCCTTGACGGCAGCGTTCGGTATCTGGGAACGCCCACAGTCTTGGGAATCTAAGGGAATCTTCTTGACAGCATGTGCTTTAGTCCTTTTGGCTGTTTGGTACGACACAGGATCTGCCTCTCTTTCCCATGTACATTCGCATGATCACGCCCATTCTGACCACGGCCACTCCCATGCTCACTCTTCGGACCATCACCTCCATGGCAACCACTCTAAGCTTTCGGCATTTCTCATTGCACGATGCACACCAGGATCTATAATCCATTCCGTTTTGATTGAAAAAGACTCTAGACGGATTGCGTACTTCGGAGTGTAAGTTTGCTCAAACCCTTTTTAGGCGACGTTTCACTGACATGGACAGGCTCAATCTGTCGTTCATGGTTGTGCAGTTCTTTTACGGGTTCGTGAGTGGGTCTTTGGGTCTACTTACGGACAGTATCCACATGCTGTTTGACTGCGCCGGTCTAGCAGTTGGCCTTGCTGCGGCAGTAATGAGCAAGTGGCCTCCGAACACCAAATTTCCGTACGGTTATGGCAAAGTAGATACCTTGTCTGGTTTTGCGAACGGAGTTTTCCTTATGTAAGTTTTCACAGAAAGGTTCTACTATGATTGATGCTAACCCTTTCAAGGCTTGTCAGTGTAGAGATCGTCTTCGATGCATTTGAGAGACTAGTGGATGGCGCAGAGCTCTCCAGGCTGAATGAACTTCTCATCGTTAGTATTCTAGGTTTCCTTGTGAATATTGTCGGCTTGACGGCTTTTGGGCACGCCCATCATGGCCACGGGCATGATCACGGACATGGTCACGATCACGGCCACGACGACGGCCACGGCCATCACCATCACGACAACGAAAACATGCAAGGCATATTTTTGCACATTTTGGCCGATGCGCTCGGCTCAGTGGCAGTCATAATCTCCACGCTTCTTACGAAATATTACGGTTGGTCAGGCTGGGACCCGATTGCCTCTTGTATCATAGCGATCCTGATTTTCTTCTCCGCCATCCCATTGGTCAAGAGTTCCGGCATGCGACTTCTCCTGTCTCTACCCGCGGACGTCGAATACAGCATGCGGAACACATTACAGGAACTCAGCTCTCTGCGCGGGGTGGTAGGCTACGCCGTACCCAAATTCTGGCTGGAGGACGAGGGTGCGGCTCATGCGGAGGTCCATGCCAAAGAGCATGAGGCGTGCGGTCACAATCACGATCACGAGCATGACCATAAGCACGACCACGAGCACACCCATGACCACGGCCACGGCCACGCGCATGCACACGACCACCACGACCACAGTCACAGTCACAGTCACGACCACAAACACGACCATGACCACGAGCACAACCACCCAGTCGGCCAGCAAAGGGTCCTAGGCGTAATCCACATCATCGCCTCGGGAGCCGCCGACCTCGAAGACGTCCGAGAGCGCACAACGCAGTTCCTCAAAGGAAAAGGCATGAACGTTGTTGTACATGTAGAAAGGGAAGGAGAAGGCAAATGTTGGTGCGGAGGAGGAGGCGGCGGCGGAGTTGGGGGGGCATCAGCAGCAGCAGGCGGCGGTATAAAATCCCACTGAGCGGGCGAGCGAACGCACGAACGCACGCAATGTACATTATATATAAACACATTTCGTCCACATTCTTGACGACGGGAGTTGGGTGTATATTTCAAACGATGTTCCCAGGATTAAGGGAGATATAGGAGATCAGGAGTTTTTGGCGAGGGGAGCATTTGGTAGTACATTTATTTTCCATTTCCGTTTCGGCTCTCTTGTGAGAGGGAAGGTTTTTAGGTTTTGCGAATCGAGGTACTTATGTTCGACTATATAACCATACTTACATATATATATGTATAGCATACTGATATGTATTCTCATCTTTTCGAAACCAACTTTTCGCACTACGATGTCGTTCATTACACCGATAACAAATCGCCCACCGGAATCTGGCACACTATCTTTCATCTCAATGTATGGACGTCACATCTACATACCTCCCCCTTCCCCCTCCCCCCTCCCTCCCTAAACAGACAAGGTATACCACAGCTCTACCCACCATCGTCATACACAAACGAGTCTAATGTAGCAAACACACACACCCATCGTGTACGTCACGTCCGTCGCACCCGGGCGTTCCCCGCGAAGCAACGTGAGCGAGGCTGTGATAGTTTGTAGTTTGTCTCGTACCCTTTTCATGCGTATGTACTCGACCTCATCTAAGTGCTTGCTGGCTGCCTCGACGGCCTTGCGGGTAGTACTGCGGATACGAGGACGGGTGCGTACGTACGTGCTCGTTGCGTGTCTGGTGCCTTGAGATGTCTCGAGGTGCTTCGAGGGAGGGCTGGAGGGCGTGGGCGTTCTGCCGATACTTCTGCCTACTTGGTTTCTGCTGGCGGGTGGGTGGGTGTGTTTCTCGACACTGGATGAGGTGAGGTAGGGGAGAGTATGGTGAGGCTCTTTGGTGTTTGCTGCACGTAAGGGTGGTAAGGTGGTGAGATGGTGAGGTGAGGCTGTTGTGGTAGATGGGGGTGGTGGGAGGGATTTGATGGTGTGATGGTTGGCTTTTGGATATGATATATATACGGTAGTTAGTTTGGTACGGCGATGTGGTAAAGTGGGGAGGTTTGTTTATTGTGATGTAGTACACAGTATGAGTAGTTAGATGGTAGTTTCTAGGAGAGGGGATGGGTGAGTTTGTCGGTATAGTGTAGTGTGGTGTAGTATAATAGTAGAATGTAGTAGAGTAGAACATAGCAAAAAGATCGCGATGGGAATGATGAGATACAAGCTTTTGAAATTTTGTATATAAGCCGAACATATGAACATAGTGATATATCTAGCAGTTCCTCACGAGATTATGAGGAAGAAGACACCGGAAGTTTGGATGTGCCTTGTCTTGTTGGGTATCTATGTTTCTCTCGTTTGGGTTGATAGCTGAGGTTGGCTTTTGGAGCGTCCAGGGCATGCTGGTTGAGTTGGGTATGCTTGAGTTACATACAAGGCTGTTCATTTGTGTTGTCTTATGATCAGTATCGTGGCAATATTGATAGATCATAATATAATACATATATTTACGTGTAGTCGAGGCGTGATAGAGTGAGGCTGCTCAGCGCTGATTAGGGTTAGGGTTGGGTACCGTACCCAAGTATCTCGAGGTCGCCTCGCCTCGGAAGTTGGCGGTAACTAAAATAACTCTTTGCTACGTACGTCTGGTGGGTTTTTGTTTGTCTCTGGAAGTGGGACCACCTAACAAGTAATACCACTGTGAACAGTATGTAAGAACGCTTGATCCTCCAAGTATGGGGGCCTACGGCAATTGTCTGTAGGACGAGAACATAGAACGGATTCGGCACGCGCGGTTGCGATTTACATATTACATATGCAAGTCGTTCCTTTTGGGTAATGGATTATGTTTCAGCAAAGAGTCACCGTGACCATGACTGTCACCGCAAATTGTTTGCGCGGTACGGCGGGCGCGCGGCGGCTCAACGCATGGTTCGCCGGTCGCAATGTCAAGGCAACAGGAATTGTACCTCGTACTGAACCGATTTTGACTCCTGCGTTGTCCTCATCGAGCGAGCGCGAGAGCGCACGTCGCCTCAGCCTGACTGGGCTCGTGTCGAATACGGTTTGATGATTGGGGTAGCCTTATGGTTTCTTTGGCGCACAGTGCACACTTACACAAGTACCATACTCGTGCATACAAGAAGCTGTCACGTAGTAGTACAAAGGGCCTTTGTCACGAATATTCCTTTCTCACCGTCGGGGAGGCTATGCAAGAAGCACTCTGTCTGGTACGAATAGCTGTCCGGTGAGCGATTGCGACCCGAAGAGAAGAGGTGTGAAACGAGGATGGCCTTGCCTGGGATGGGATAGGATGGCGTCAAGCGTTGAGCTGCGGTTTGCATGATGATCGCCCGTCCAGCCAGATGTCCTGAGTGGTCGCGGGGCGAAGGCGGCGCGGTCAACCACAACCAGCAAAGCACGACTGGCTGGGCGGGCGGCGGCTTGTTTGGAAACGGTGTTAATTAGGTACTGTTAGAGAATCCGGGTAGATATGTACTCGTGGGCAGGTAGGGCTTTCAGAGGACAGGACAGGCATGCGGCGGTGGTTGCGCCGTGGCCTTTCTAATGGACGGTGGCCTCGAGCTGGGTATGGGAAAAGGGAACGGTCGACACAAGTGAACCAAACGGATAGAGTATATAGAGGGGAGGGGAGCGGGCCGTCCTCGCGCGCCTAGTCTGACTTGTTATTTGTTGTTGTTGCCGTCGTCATTGTCGTCGTCGTCGTCGTCGTCCTGGACTCTTATCTTGTTATGATTCGAACCTCGTCTTCTTTGTCTAGTTACTCATTGTATGAGCTCTTAGTGCTGTTTACCTTTGGACTCACGCTACTCCACTTCGCACTGCCCCTGGTGTTTTTCGCCGGCCGTTGAAAGACAAAGATTACGAATACTATTATTTTCCAACCTGAACAAACAGATACATGTCGTCGATGTTGGGTTTCGAGAGTTGAGGAAGTGGAGTGTCATTAGCAAAACAGCCACAGCCATCCAGCCGCTAAAGGCAGTGGATGACATCACACCTGCAGCTTCCAATCGAGGGCATCCCGACCTGTTGACTTACTTGACTTGGTCTTGACTTGGTCTTGACTTGAGTCCTTGACCATCAAACAAACTGGGAATCTTGTCAACAGAAGAAGAAGATACTAGCAACTCCCAGTTCAACCCATCCAGCCATCAATCTGTCCGTCTAGAACCTTCAGCAGCATCTGGGTTCTTTGGAAGAAACAACACTTCGATTTCTTTCCACATCACATCTTTTCCGAACCTGGTCCTGGTCCCTGGCCCCCGGTCTTCGATCCACCATTTCCTGGTTCTGGGTCTTGATTACTACCAACTATCCTCTACTAAACAGGCTTGTCACTGTGTGGTAATAGTTGTTGTAGTGTAATAGTCAGTAGTCAGTGAGTGGCGCCTGACTGCTTGCTTTGCTGCCCATAGAAGAAGAACAAGTGGAAGAACGAGGAAGGTGCCTTCCTGTTTCTATTTACTCTGTACGTATACCATCTTTCCCTTCTATCCTACTCTACTACACCCAACCTCCTTCACCATTTCATCATCCATTCACTCTACACTCTCACTTTCACCCTCACTTTTCCTCACCCTTCACTTCACTCACGAACCTGGACGCCTATCATCTCATCTCATCTCATCATCGTCCCCGCCAAACTGCACGCACCTATTGCGCGCATACACAGAAACACTCATAGTTACTCACACTCAAGTCATAGTCATACATACAGCAAGCACCAAGGTGAACTGTGCTGATCACTCAGCCTCCTCGTCTTTTCCACCCCACCTGCTCGTCGCTCTGCTGCACGCTCGCCCGATTCAACCCACACCCACGCGCACTGTCGGTGTAAGCTTCCGGTGGGCGCCCCTCTTCTGACCCTCCATCCAACCACTCGTCATCCGCCTTCTTCACTCGTCGCTCGTCAAGAAAACGCACTGCGCCCACTTTCGCAAGACTTTCTAGTCCTTTTTGCGATTTTGTTTTCTTACACCACTTTCCATCCTCTATCTATCTGTTACAGAGCGTTACTGCTGTACACCATTACACAAGGCATCGACGTTGACCCCGCAGCTACTTATCGTGGTCTGCTCGCTTTGCCATCCACCACAACTGCGTCATGTCCACCATCTACCGAGAGCGCGAGCGAGAGCGCGACTGGGACGTCGCATCCTCCCACGGAGGTTCCCGCGGTTATACCACCGTCAAGCGCTACAAAATTCCAGACAGGAGCCTAGAAGAAGATACCTACGAATCTGAGATGCGGGTCGTCCATCGAGGCCGCTCTCCATCCCGCGAGCGTGTCGAGAGGAGAGAATATATCGTTGAGCGGGACGATCCAGTGCCCCGGGAGCGCGAAGTGCGTGAGTACCGCTACTCGGAACGCGATGTAGAACGCTCGCCTTCCCCTCGCCGCGAGATCCGCGAGTACCGCATCGAGCGCGAGGTGGAACGCTCGCCTTCCCCAGTCCGGGAGTACCGTGTGGAACGAGAGTACGAACGCGAGGTCGAGGCTCCCAGGCGCGCCCCTTACGAACTGGAACACTACTCCAAGTCGACCGAGTTCTTCCGCCCCGAGCAGCAACCACAACCTATCATCATCCGCAACGAGGCACCGCAGCCCATCATCTTCCAGGAACCCGCGCGCCAACAGATCATAGTCCGCCGTGAGGAACCTTCGTACGATCTAGTCGAGCGCACCGAGGTGCAAGAGGAGAGGCAGGTGGCACGGAGAGAGCCTCGGCGCGACGAAGACTACTATTACGAGCGCAAGATCAAAGAGGTGGACCGTGGCGGTCGTCATGAAGAGCGTTATTTCGACGAACGTGAGCGCTACCGCGATCGTGACGCCTACAGCGACGATGATGTAGTCTTCATCCGGAAGGAGAAGGACACCTGGGGCCCGGATCACAGTCCACGCCATCGTCGACACATTGCCGAGGGAGTCATTGGCGGCGTAGCAGCAGCAGAGCTCGTCAGGCATCACCGGAAGAAGAATGGCGAAGATCCTGGCGGTCACGTTCGACAAGCTCTCGGATATGGCGCACTGGGCGCTGTTGGTGCTGAAGCCATCAGCCGACTCAAGGAGCGCCGTTCCCGATCTACTTCTGAAGACAGAGGAAGGAGGCGCCGCAGCCGATCTTCGTCTCGAACGAAGAAGATCGGAACCATTGCTGCCATCGCTGGTATCGGCGCTCTTGCATACGCAGCGGGACGCAAGAACAACAACACCACCGTCATCGAGGATCGTCGCAGTAGGTCGCGGCGGCGCAGGTCATCTGTCGTATCGACGACCCGCTCCACCCGCAGTGTATCACGAACCCGTTCCGAGAGTCGACACATGGATCCAGAACACCGCAACCGCAAGGCCGCTCAGGTCGGCCTCGCCAGTGCTGCCGTAGCCGGTCTCGTTGAACGCCATCGCAGTAAATCGCGCAAGCGCAAAGGCTCGAGGAGCCGCAGCCGCATCCGTCAAGGCATACCGATCGCCGCCGCCGGCGCCATCGGAGCAGGAGTCACTGGACTGTACGAGAAGCGCAAGGCGAAGAAGGAAGCAAAGGAGCTTTCTAGGTCGAGGTCGAGGTCGAGGTCTAGGTCTAGGTCAAGATCCAGGTCGGTACACTCTATCACGCGGAGTCGCAGCACAAGGAGTGACACAGGCCTAGTAGAGTACGGTGGTGATCCTATATATACTGACCCGGCTACCAGCCGTCATCGTAGGGACGATGACCCTGCCGACTGGCGGCACCGACGCCGGGGCTCGTCCAGCTCTTCCGATGGAAGGCGACGACGATCGAGTCGGAGCCGTAGCAAGAGCCGCACGCGCAAGGCGGCAGAAACCGCTGCAGTTGCTGGAGTCGCTGGCCTGGCTGCCCATGAGGCTGCCAAGCGGCGAGATCGCAAGAAGGCTGAGAAGGAACGCCAGAGTGAGTAGACCTCTTCACGGCTGAGGGAGATGCATTCTGAACCTTGTTGCAGAACAACACGAGCAAGACTCGGCCTACTCTACCAGCAGCTATAGTCCTCCCCCAACGACCGCACCAAGCAACGATTCTAGATTTTTCCCCGAAAGCAATTACTTCCCACCACCACCAACTGCACCCGTAGACTCTTATTATCCCCCACCGCCCCAGAACACCTACAATCAGTATAATCCTGCGGACTATGCTCCTCCCGCCGGGCACATCCCCAACATGGGGCCTCCCGCCGGGTATACACCTCCCCCGATGCACCAGGAACCCGGAAACCCATACGCACAACACGATCCCCAACCGATGCCCAGACGCCCGCAAGACAATGTGAGTGCTCTTTCCAATCCCGAGCACAGCAATCATACTCGTGGTGGGTCTAGGCTTTCGCCTGACCGTGAGCGTAGCGCGACTGACATCCCTGCTTTTTCAGATGTAAAATCTCCCGTTGCACCCGAGCCCGTCCAACCGGCCAAGTCAGTACAGTTCGACCTCAACCCGCAGGAGCAGTCGCCCGAGCAGTCACCGCGCCATGGAACTTCGCATCGTGAGCGACACAGAGATGAGTCCGAGGACGATAGACTGGACGAGAGAAACGCAAGGGGGAGATCCCATAGCGAGGAGCACAATAGACGTAGCAAAAACGACGACAGCCGTCGCCACCGTCACCATCGCCGTAGCAGTTCTGTCGATTCCGTCGCCTCCGACGCCACCGTTGAACTTCCTCCTCGTTTTGATGCCTTTGGTCGGCGGAAGGACGATGATCCATTGGCAGAAAAGTTGGAAAGTGTTCTGCAGGGCTTGTTTAGGTAGAACGGACTTGACTCGTGTACGGCTATCCTTGCTTCTGTTATACCCCTCTCTTTGTTGCTTTAGAAGGTTTTTCTTTTCAAGTGGGCTTCAGTCTATTTTGCTTGGGTACTAAAACACATTCCTGGTTCTTGACGGCCTTGCATTTTTGTTTGGATGGGGAACTTTTTTCTTTTCTTTCTTTTCTTCTTCACGTGGATGGAATGGGTTGCTCGTAGATGTCTTCGAGGTCCTGACCTGTCGTGCCCTCCCTCTTTTCATGTTCCCATGGCCTGCCCTCCTCTGTTTGCATGTTTCTTTCTCACTACCACTTCTTCTGTTTGCTTTTCCCATGCTTGGATTTTCTTTTGTTTTTTGTTTTCTCTGCTTCTTCCCAAATCACGATGATAACGAACGGCCGATTGTTACGATGATGACATATCTATCTACTTTTCAATCTACTTCTCAATTTACTTACTCTTCATTGCTTTCTTCCTTCCTGCTCACGTCTTACCTATCCTCTCTAAGGACTGACATAGGAGAAGGGGCGTTTAATACTTTTTCTTTTAAAATATATGTGTGTGTATGCTAGGCTATTTTATGAATATGTTATATGTCATTTATTATCTTCAATTCGGCGTCCAATGATTTTGCTTCCTTCTCGTAACAGACGAATGAATGTCCTGTTTTGCCTTTCATGGGAGGTGAGATGTGTGAACTGAGTCTGAGATGATTTCGATTTGGGTTGATAGGTTCGATAGGGTAGATTTCACAGTGTAACCCGCATATAAACACATGTGTATGTAATTATGTACATGTACATCTGTGTAGACGTGTAGAGGTGCATGATACCTGGATAATGGAAATTGACAATGCTCTTTTTCGTTTTTGTTTTCGACTTCTCTTCTTCTTCGCTACATAGAGTAACTTTTATGTGTTTTGAAACGTCTGATTTGCGTGATTGGGAAATATCGTTCTTTTCATTTCTTTTCTTTTTCGTCGTCGGTATACTATATCTATATATATAAGCAAAGCATGTCATAACGAAACATACACATTTTTCCGTTCCCATTTCCCCCCCGTTCCGTCCTACAAACAAACAAACACATCCTATCCTATCACTCAGCACCCGCGAAAACATCCCCCAGCTCAACGACACCAACACTCCAAACCTCCCTCTCATCCTCCACCTCATCGCTACTGAGCCCCAACCCACCCTGACCACCCTCCGCTTCACGCCTCTCCCTCGCCTGCCCCGCAAGCCTCAAACTAACCCTCTTGAAGTAATCCCCCATGCTGCGCTGCTGGCCAGCCGTGAGCGACTTCCCGGGTCCCGCCATGTACTTATCGAAGACGGCAGCCTCCTCATCGACGACGCTGAAGAGCGCGAGGAACGCTGCTTCCGCGCTTAGCTTGACGGGGATGACGGGGTCGCGGACGCACGAGAAGATGGGCGGGGTGAGGAGCTGGATGTGCGGGCGTATCGAGGACGTTTGGGCGCGCGCCACGGTGCGGAGGACGACGAGCGCGAGGCGCCGCGTGTCGACTGGGTGGCCGGGCTCGATGACGGGGGCCAGGGATTCGAAGATGGGTTTCGTGTGCTCGAAGGCTTTGGAGGTCGTGGGGGAGAGGAGGTATTTTCCTGCCGCGAGGACCGAGTTGTCGGAAATGAAGGGGTCGGTGTGGGCGATGCCGGCGCAGATTACGGTGATGGTTTCGTCGGCGAAGGAGTCGGCGAGGGCGGAGGGGGCGTCGAGGAGGACGGCGTTGAGGGCGAGGATCGAGGACTTGGTGAAGTGGGTTGTGAGGATGCGGGTTTTGATTAGGGGGGTCGAGAGGTCGGAGGGTAGGTTGCCGATGAGGGCTCCGAGTAAGCGGGCGTTGGTGATCGCGATTGAATCTGTCGAGGGGGTTAGTGTTACTGGTGAAGAGTGGAAAGGGGTGAAGGATAGAAGACTTACCATCGGCTTCTTCGGTGTCGGTATCGATGAGCGCCAGGATGGAGTTCCTGCTAGCCTCATTCATGTTCTTTCCAGCCTTGCTGACGACTTCGAACAGGGCCTTGAACATAGCGGTCTTGACGGCCTGATCGCTGGTCTTCGCACCCGCCACCAATTCAGAGATGAGCGGGTCGACTCGGGGCGTCATCAAGATCAATGTACCAAGCGCCTTAGCAGCACGAGCACGTAGTACGTCTGACGAGGTGTCGGCAAGCGACTTTGCAAAGGTTCGCTGGAGCTGCGGCAAGAAGGGCTTGAGGAAAGTGGGAATCTTCTGGAGGAGATTGTTCAATGTGAGAAGAATGGCAGCCTTGACATCAACTGAACGCTCGGATACCACACGAATGAGCGGACCGGTAATCTGGACCACGAAGGGTTGGAGTGACTTGTCGCTCGTACGGTCGACAATGTCTGAGATTGCCAACGCAGCTTGCGTCCTTTGGTCCACGGTACCGTTCATGAGACCCTGCAAGAAGATAGGGAGAATAGCGTTGATACCCTTCGGTAACGAGAAACCAGCCAGGTTTGAGCCTGCCACACCGACTTGAAGGAGAGACTGCCTCGTGGAGATGACGAGCGATTCCATCTCCTCCTTCCGCAAACGTTTGGTGAGCGCACTGAGCGCACTCCAAGCTGCCTTGACAACGTCTTTGTCGACGTCGTCGAAAGCGATAAGGAGGGCGCGGATGAGATCGGGATAGTATCTTGAATAGTCGACATCGGTTTCGGCACACCACTTCGCCAAATGAGTGTCCGCTGTTGCTCGTCGCCGCTCATCGGCGTGCTGGATGAGGGCCTTCATGACGCTCATCAAGGTGTTCAGACCATCAAACTCGTCAACCGAGAGGATGACCGTGTCGAATGCGGCCTCAAGCTCGGACTTCAGGTCAGGGTCCTTACAAGTAACGATGTTGTCCATCATTGTGTTGAGGATCGTTGGGAGTCTTCTCGTCATAGCGGAGCTAGCCACCTCGGCCAAAGAAGCAATGGCGCGGGCATTGAAGGCAGACATGGGCGATTTGAGGAGTGTGGGGAGGAGGTTAGGAAGAATGATATTAGACCTTGCATTGTCTGTGAGTAGAGTAAGGAGGGCGGAGAGAGCATTCTCAGCCTCATCCTCATCTCGAAGAAGGTTGAGGAGATACGGAAGCACTTGGTCAACGGCTCTCTTGCCGAGGATTTGTTGCAGAGCATCGAATGCTTCAGCGGCGGCTTCTCGCACTTCAGTGTTTGGATCGACAAGTGCGGTTCGCACAACCTGGATGAGAGTCTTCTCGTAGTCCTCGAGCACTTCTGGCGAAGCAGATGCGATAAGTTCTCGCAGAGCGATACAGATACCTTGCTTAGCATCTGTATCAGTAGTGTGCAATCCTTCTTCCAACGTAGGAAGCAAGGTAGCCAAGACACCCTCGCCAGCCTTTCGAATAAGTTCTCCGAGAGCGTTTCCTGCGATGACCTTCTGCTCCATGTTGGAACTGGCGAGCCTGCGAATGAGGAATTGTGTGAGGGTAGGGATGAGTTCCCTGAGAGTCCGTGGTGTTGCCACCAATGCCTTCCAAACGTTGATCGCGGCCTGTCGTACAAGTCCCGAGGTATCGCAACGGCAGATGTACAAGGCAGACAAGACCCTGTTGCGCTTCTCTTCTCCGAGGACTTCGAGGAGAGACTGACCAGCCTCCTTTGCACCCTCTTCGACTTCTTCCTGTTCGGCCTTGCCGCTGATACCAGTAAGATTGAAAAGAAGATCTCCGACGAGCTCGACGGAACTGAGACGGATGCGGTGGCTGTCGTCTGAAAGACCTCTCTCCAATTCGGGAAGGAGTAGGTCAATGGCTTTGCTGGCAAAGTTCTTGACCAACAAGCGACCAGCACGCAAGGCAGTTTCTCGGATCGACTCAACATCATCTGCAAGTCCACCAAGGATGGAAGGAATGATCTTGCTGAGATAGTTTGCGAAGCTGTTGCCAAAGCAAGCGGGCAAGAAAATGAAGAGTGACATGAAACCCTCCCGCACCGATGGCTTGTTGCTGGCGACATTTTGCAGAATTGACGGGAGTGTCTCTTCCAAGCGACCTGTTCCAAGACCAGCGAGAACTTCGGACAAGGCTTGAGCGGAACCCAAGCGATCTCCAGCTCCGGTGTCCGACTTGAGCGTAGCCATAAGGCTGGGAATGAGGTCTGGTAAGGCATCCTCTCCCAATTTCTCGACCAATGAACCCAATGCTTTCGAAGCAGTGGCTCGGGTTGTAGGGACGGGATCAACAATTGCGCCTCTGAGGCCTGCCACGAGAATAGGAAGATGAGAAATGAGATCTTTGCGCTCAGTAAGATGAGCCAAGCTTCCAATGATCTGAGCGGCTTTCTTTTTGGTGGCCGATCTGTCACCCAATCCTCGCTCGAGGATGCGGACGACCAACGCAAGTGACGGCGCATCGAGGTAATGGGCGAATTGAATCTTGATGAGCGCATCAAGAGCATCATCGGTGTGTTTGGTAGGATCGCTGAGAGCTTTGAGGAGGAGGTTGACCACACTCTTAATCTCGGGGTTGCTGATGACTTCGCCGAAGCGCTGCAGACTGCGATTCGCTGAGGCGCGAACTTCCTTGTGACTGTCGGTAAGCACAGTGGTCAACGGCGGAATGATGTCTGGCAAACTCAATGCTAGCTGGTTAGGATCCAAGTAGGCCATAGCACCAAGGGAGTCACAGGCTCCCTTCTTACTGCGCCATTGGTGGTCGTCTAAACCGTCAAGGAGGATAGGCAGAACCTGCTTAACACCATAAGAGCTCAGTGTAGAGAAGCAGGTCTTTGCTGCATCTAAACAGGCCTCGCGAACGTCGACACTCGTGTCACCAAACCCAGCAAGCAACTGCGGGACGACCTGAATCACATACGGCTCGAATATGCGTCCTAGAATCAGGGAGAAAAGTTCATATGCCAGGAACGCTCCCTGTCTTTGACCTGCATCCTTTTTGTTCTCTGCTGCGCCTTGAAGCTTCGACATCAAACGGTATTCGCGAAGAAGGCTCAGTCCCTTGCCTCGGACGATACCGGCCAGACCATATGCAGCTCCTCGGCGGGCTGGGTACTTCTTTGAATTCAGTAGTTGTTCGGTCATTTGCTCAACATAGGTCTCGAGCTCTTGTTCGGAGGTTCGGACGAGTGGTGGCAAGCATTGTGCAACGGCATATTGCACGGTTTCAGAAGGAGTGCTGAGAGTAGCCAGGAGTCGCTGCACAACCTTCGGGACGCGTTTATCGCCAGACTTAAGATGTCGTCCGAGGGCACCGTAGAGAATAATGACAGCCTCATTGACTTGATCATACATCTCAGATTTCCGATCAGGGCCTTCTAGTGCGTTCTCAAACAACTCCATCAACGCCTCGACCTTTGATTGCGCCTTGGTCGTGATGATGGTAGTAGTAGCATCTACCAACGCTTCCCGAACCGTAGCGTTACGATCACCCAAAGGCCCCTGGTACACCATGAACTTGAAGAATTCGACAAGATCTTCATCTTTGAAGACTGGTGTCAACTCTTTGAAGGCTAGCGCAATTCCATCTCTTGCCTCCCATGGATCACGAAGATCAACCTTCCGTGGCATACCGTACTCGTCGCGCTCGGGGACTCTTGGCTTTGCCTTCTCGACATACGCCTCTTGCAGATCTTTCAAGATCTGGTTGAAAATTTCTGGGAAGATGCGTACTATCTCACCAAGGGAGCGAGCTGCGGCTCTTCGGAGTTGCTGATCGAGTGAATCGAGGTACGGGGTTAAGCGTGGCGCCACATCGGGCGTGAGCTTCAATTGGTTGTCCTCCCAGATCGTTTGAGCCAATTCTACATTTTCTGGTACATCGTCGTGGCATGCCAACCAGATCTCTTCACTGAAATCGAAATCTTCCAATTCAAGTTCAGAATCAATCGCTTGTAGAGTTGCAGTTCGAACCGCTACTTCCGGAACGATAGTACCACGGAGCAAAGCATTGAGCTCTTCGACAGTGATATTAGGTGCGAGCCCGCGAGATAGATCTAGTAGACAATCTTTTGTGGCTTTGTAATGCTGGTTAAATCGTTGCATTGAAGAGACGAGACTTTCTATGAGTGTCACTCGAGGTAAGCGACCGTCAGAGCCTACTTTGTTAGTGAATCGAAAGATATCAAGTCAGTGGAAGACCTACATGAGTTTGAATGGAAGGACAAGAACTCGAACACGAGGATGAGCTGCTCATCTGCTTCTTCGGGAGAAGAACGACCAATGCCGCCCTTCTCTAGGGTCAAGAAGATCAGTGGCAAGCAGTATGCGAGCGAAACAGTATCCAGGGGCCTCTGTTCGCTCATGAATCGCAACCTATATAAGACTCTGGTCACAAGATCTGCTTATCGTTAGTTTTGGGTTTCCAACTGGGTGGTCTGCAACGTACCTCCTAGATCCTCTTGCTCATACTCCTCGGAAAGGTGTAGAGTTCCAATGGTCCTCAAAGTAGCAACTCCAATGAATGGTTTGAATACGCCCAAACGAGCGGATATACGCTGCGAACACTTGATGAAGGTCGTTGCTGGTGCATCACCCAAAAGCAGACCAGCTCCGGCACGGATAACCTGGATCAGAAGATCCACAGCTGGTCCCATCCATTGCTCTGCTTCCGTTGGGGCTCCTGTCGCAAGGCTCTCGATGATCCCCACACCACGGCGCATGTTAAGCTCAACATTAGCCACTTCTTGTCGGATAGCTGCTTCTTTGGCTAATTGAGCGTTGACCTTTCCTTGCTCTTCCGAAGAGAGCTTCTTCGTTTGTCCCTTCTTCTGCGCCAATTGTGCCCTCAGGTCTTCCTCCCACTTGAGAGTATCATAGTCTTTGGTATTCTTGTCTAAACTCGCAGGCGCTTTCTTGGAGAGAACGTCAATGAAAGCTGTTCCTTCTGGGGTGCGGAAAATAGCGGCCTCAGTGGGGCCAATAGACTCAAGTTGCTTTGGATTGAGATCCTCTTGGAATCGCTTTACAACAGCAGGGAGAGCAATCTCCGGCGCCACGAAGGCAAGGTCAACATAAGCACCGTATGCGGCTTGTCCTATGGCAGGGAAGTCTCTATTGCTCTTGTCCTGTACCGTACGGTTAATACCATTCCATATGGAGTGCTTCCGAAACTTACAATCGTTGCATCTAGCAGCAGCTGCATGCACTCCTCAAGATGCTCACGGGCAAGCTGACCAGGGTCCACACCCATTCTTAAGCAAAGATCGATCCAGGATGATCGGGGGACAATTTGCGGACGAGCTAACGGAAGAAGCTCGATGCACTGCTTCTGTAGTGTGGGGAGTGGTATAGAAGGCGCGGAGGTTCGCAACGCATCTTCGGGTAGACAAATTGAGTTCAGAACTGCAGAGAGCTCATTGACGCCTGACTTGGAAGCGACAGCTGCGCTGTCTTTGTCACCTTGCTCATTAGACTTGTACCAAGCCCAAATCCCGAGAGATATAGCTCTGGAGACTGCTGGTGGGTTCTGAAGGTACACATCTGACAGTGCTCGTCTGGCAGCCAATTTCGCGCGCGAGGGACTAGTATGCGCAACAATGAAGTATATGAATGATTGGGTCCATGCTGTTTGAGCTGCCTCCGGAGCGTCGTCTTTCCAAAGCCATGGAGCTACTGAGGCCAATGCCCTGAGAGCAATCTCAATGTCTTCTACTGTAGATACTTTGCTGTATACCCTTGTATTCAGAAGGAATGAAGGTTTTGGAGATGTCGCAATGGATTGTGAGACAACGTCGGTCTTCTTGAAAATGGCAGCAAGTTTAGGGTCGTCCAAAGTACGGACTTTATCTAGAAGAATCGCGGTGACAAAGTAGCCTACTGTCACCATGCCGCTCTGAGTAGCAGGGACTGGGTTAGCAATAACGTCCTGCCAGATCTCTACCAATTTAGGGAGAGTAGCCTGGCAGAAATACTGGATATCTTCTTGACCATGCTGCTCGGATGATAGTGTCCACCAAATCTCGGCTGCCTGGATGGCCCAGAGTCTACGTATTGGGATCCGTTTGTCGGCCATGCCTTTAATAAAGGCATCAGATATGGTCTTCTCAAATTTCACACCATTTCTTAGTCCGAATGAAAGGTGCTTGATCAATGCAAGAACTTCAGCAGTAACAGCTGCCTCATTCGGCTCTTTCAAAGCTACTGCAGAGATGCCTACAGGAACCTTTTGTGCCAATTGTACTGTGTTGTTGAATGATGTTAGCATTTGAGCATGGATGACCTTCTGATCTGTGTTCGTGACCTTCCCTTGCTTGAGGGGGTTCAGAACTTCATCCACAATCTTATCAATGATTGCGTCATCAATGGATCGCGATGCCAGAGCTTCAAACGTCCGTAGAGCTCCTGCACGAATAACGGCGTTTGTAGACTTGATGTTCGAAAGAAGTGGCTTTAATAGGTTCCCATGGAGCACTGGCGCTAGATCCATAGCCTTCGGCAGAGACTGGATCAGAGGCGTTACAATGTCGTTCAGAACCACCTCGGGTGCTCTCAACAGCGCTCGCTCGATCGGTGGTATGACTTCTTTTTGTAGCTCTTCAAGCGTAGGGAAAGAATCGAAAAAGTCATGTAGCGCGTTGGAAATGTGGCTAGGGAGCTGGGTCCGTGATCCAATTATCTCGCGAACGTAAAAAGCGTAGTATTCCTGTTTGTGGCTCTCCAATTTGGGCTTGACTACCTCCAGTCGCGACGACACACCCGCTATCACACCGAGGAAAACAGCATTCCCAGCCGTCGGCGAAGTACCCTTGGTAGTAAGGGCTTCAACCAACTTTGACAGAGCGTCATCGCCAAATTCTTTGGAGCGCAAGATGCTGCGCAATGCCCGTCGGGTCACCGTCAAGGCTGAGTCTTGTATACGTCCCGCTCGCCGAGATCCACTTTCGCTCATGCATGTCTCCAATACCTTTGCATCCGCCAGAGCGACGTCCAAGCCGTATAGAGACCATTGTTCCGGGACCTTCACGAACTGTAGGAGGAGGACGGAGCACCAATCAACGAGGATGAATGCGTTTTTGTGCGCAAGGCTCTTTTTAGAACATTCTTGCTTCAGGAATTTGACAATTGCGGGCAAAGTGGATTTCGCATATGCGCTGTTTGCGAGGCATACGAGAAGCTTTTCGACAGCTCGTCTGGATTCGCGGTCTTCATAAAGAGGGTACGTTTCGAACAGGATTTCGAGGAGGTTTAGGACATTATCAGATGCGAAAGCTGAGAAGAATTATAAATTAGTTTCTTGTGTCTATATCATCCTTCTCCCAGGTGCACAGATCATAACTCACAGTCATCCTCCAATTGATGTTGAAGGCCTGACAACTCCGCAATTCTACGTTTTGTAGAACTCGTTTTGAGTGCACGGTGAAGCTTCTCACGATCGATGGTATGAGAACCATTCACCCCATCAACAGCCATCGTGCAAGTTCCATAAGAGATGTTGCGGGGTGATTGCGGGGAGTTCGCAGTTATCCTCAAAATTGCGAAGGGCTGTAAAGGGCGGAGGTAGGTTTCGCCGAGGGCGGGCACGGTCCATGCCCAATCCTACCAACAAGTACTATGGAGTAACTAACACATATTCTCTTCTCCAAAAGACAAAACGAAATTGAGGGATTGTACTATCGATATTTCTTTTTGCATATAAATTTTTTGAAATGAACTTGCAGTACATGACAATTATTTGAGTTCGATCTTCCAGTAATCCAGAAGGAGATATAGAGAAATATGCCACCCAACCTTTATGCCGCATTTCCGGGGACTTCCTTCAACAAACTCTTCTGCCTGAGCCACATACTGCGGAAGTTTTTGGCTCCCCATAATTGAGCGGCACTGAAAACCACATGCAGAAGCGGGGTGACAATTTTAAATGGCAAGGTCCAACGATGCCACAGAGAGCCGAACAGCCACATGACGACTATGGTTTCGATCACAGTGCCAGAAAGCGTACTGATGAAGCTAAAGAGAAAGACTCTAGAAAGAAAATGATGGTCCTTTGGGTAAACACGATACAGAATAATAGCTACATGTGGCCAAAACTCGGCGATGAGATCGAAAGCACCTATCCAGTAGATATATCAGCAACCGAACAGGCTTGGTGAAGAGAAGTTTCTTAGTGCGCTACATACCCCAGACGAAACAAAGCACAAACTCGATGGTGGCGTCCCTTTCGTGTTCCCAATTCAGGCTCATTGCCACAGCGCTTTGGGCGATCATAATCGCTCCAATGTGGTGGGCACAAGCGATAGGGGAGAGCTTTGCACGATACAAGAGCTCGAAAACATACATCGCAATGAAGATCTGATTGATCACGATAAGGACTGCAATTACTCACGTCAGCAAGGGCAACTGATTGGTGAACAAAGACCTAGGCGCACCATCACCGTATGTCACTACTCCTCCTCTTGTATAAAGGGTGTGCACCGATGATTTGCCAAAAGTCACATTGACAAATGGATATGCACCCACAACCAACATGACAATTTTGGCGATGCCAGCCATGTGGTGATTGACGAATCCCCGCCGGTTGACTTCATTGAGATTCGCGTACTTGTCTCCGTAGCATCTTTGCATCAAATAAGATTCGAAGAGGTAGTAGCGTACTAAGAAGAAAACAACCAGCGTAATCGTAAGAATGAGAGCAGAAAAAGGTGCCAAACGAGAGATGGCTTCATTGACCAGGTCAATAACATGAGGCCCGTGATAGATCGTATGAATCTCTTTTCGGGCTTCCATGTCGTCGGAAAAGACCAATCAAACGCCTTGCCAAGGGGGGCCAAGAGACGGTTATGGGACGAAGCGAAGGTACCCCGGATTTGCCAAGTATAAAATGCGAGAAAATGAGGAATTTAAAGAAAGACACGACGATGAACGAGGAAACACATCAACGATTGAAATGAAGGTATGCAAGGTAAATGACTGAAGGAGACAACAGGATCTGCGAGGACCTGCGAGGCATTTTCATCACACGCTTGATTAGGCTGAGTGCATCTTTAATGAGCAAATAAATGGCTCAGTAGAGTGAGGAGGTAAACAGGTCTAAATAAAGCAACAGCCACAAGTGGCGCACAAACGATTCCCGCGGGGTGGCTCGGAATTTGGTCCGTCTTCGATACCACCGAGGCTGGAACCCCTAATATCAGTCGTACTCGACGCAGTGGTCAAATCAAACGCGTTTACGAGTTGTGTTACTTCGTATCCGACAGCGCAAATACCTGCCAGGCCTGGAAACTTACTATGATAGTTCAAGGACGCCTACTATTCCCGGGTGATATACAACTCTGGTTCTCGTCCCAGACCTAAGGTACCTGTCTAGGTACTCGTACCTAGCATTTATATGGCCCAAAGACCATCTGATCCTGCCGTTCAATTAGAGACTGTCTACTCCGTACTTCATGTTTCAATAAGGGGTTCATTACGAATAAGAGAATCCGCATTAGATCTGTGTAATACGAAATTCGTTAACTCCAGTCCATTTCAATAATAGACTCGGCCATCAGTGCAGCATTGGTGGAGCAGCTTCGTTCCACTAACCCAATATGGCTTAGCATATACGCTAGCTTCTCTCCTAAGCAAACCCGATTTTGGCGACAACGAGGCCCCGCGTTACTTGTAATAGTACACAATCCTAGCTTCTGCTTTTTTTGTTTGCCGGCTCTTTACATGACGGCCGGTATACATGGGAAATCAGCTATCGTGAACGATGGCTAAAAAGAAGAAGCCGGCTTCCAACCCTGCCCGAGGATTTGCCACTACGTCGGTTGCAAGCAAACCAAAACCAGAAAGGATAGTTGAGCCGCCCGAGCCAGCAACATCCAAGAAAGACATAACTCCATCTGCCGTGCCCCAGGTATCGTCGAGTGCACAGGCACACGGTGGCGCCAGTGCACAGCCAAAGAACCCCCAAAAGACTCCCGAGGAGTTGGAAGCGCAGCTAGAATTGGACGAGCTCCAATTGCTGGTAGAGAAACACGCCACTAAAGTACGTCGCGAAGCACGACGCCAGATCTTGAAAGTCCAGACGGATCAGAGGGTTCTCCGCTCGCAAGCCCAAAATGTAACCGTTCAGGACTGGGTGCCTAGAGATGTTTTGGATACTATCATCTCGTTGGCGCAGGCCGAATCCAATGATTCGAACCGAAGACAAGGACAAAAGTCTTTGACTAAGACACTCTCGGAAGAGGATGCAATGTCCAAACTATGGATCTTGGATCTGACATTTCGTGGCATGGGGTTCACCGAGGAGAACATAGATCCAGTACTCAAATGGCTCTGTGCAAACGCTGCTGTCGTTGATTCAACGAGTAGTACATGGGGTTTTGCTGAAGGTCTAGAATGGATGGCACTCGATCAATGTGAAGGCCACTCGTTCAGTTATGATGGACCGAAACCGAGTCTCCCTATCGGTGAATCCCCTGCCACTTCCAGGCCAGGTAAGTCAAAACGTGTTTGCTCGATAATAACATCATCAATCGAGGACAAGATGCTTTGGTTGTAGAAACCGCGCTAATCATATCAGCGACGCCACCACCTGCTGATGTAAAATCCCAAATTGGATCGACCAAAGAAGCGAATTCATCAGACAGGAGTAATGTCACCTCCACTCCGGTCGAAAGCGACATCGGCGAGGTGGCAGTAAGTGATCTCGACAGTGATATAGAGCCAGATCAACTTGTCCCAACCTATCTGAACCTCAAATGTAAACTCTTTGAGATTGATCCTGATGCTTTAGATACAAAACCAAAGAAGAGTAAGGGGACCAAAGCGAAAACTGCTAAAGCGTCTAATACAGCTGCCGTACGCAAGCTTCTGTCCCAATTGCAACAACTTGAGTCAGATGCATTGTTCGATCAAGATGCAGCCGACACTGAATGGCCTGTCAAACGTAATCAGATAGCGCAAGCTAAGGCCACAGAAAAGAAATCCTTTCCTGAGACAAAGGCCACGCCTTCTTCCTCAACAGAAGCGGCTAATGATCAAGAAGCGGACCCAGCAAAGGACAAAGAAGGCGATCGGGAAAATCAAGATAACGGCAATGCATCCGATGATGATGGGGAACTTTTAGGCGACATGTTCTCCGCAATTCCAGATGATGATCCGGCCACAAAAGACTCCATAGATCAAGATTCACAGAATGTGATACTTAGAGATTTTGGAAAGCAAAGTGGACTCTCTCCAAGAAAAGTGTTAGAGGAATCGGTGCGGTCGAGGCAAGCCATCTGTTTCGTCAAGCAAGGCTTGTGCTAATCTCACTATAGGGACCCGGGTGCAAAACTTTGGTACAAGCTCATATCACCAACGACATATTCATGTCGACATTCATTGGTCATCAAATGGTCCAAAGGTCAAGATACTGTTTTTGACGGTGATATTCCTGGGTTCGACTGTAACATTCAAAAGTTCCAGTCGTCTTTCAGTGCGACGGTGGTAGCAACCGTGTCTGTAGAGCAGAGTGAAAGCTTGATCTCCACAGTAGCACTTTTCTCAATTTGTGCACCTTTAGTCAAAGAAGAGAAAGTATACATCAGACTCCCGTCCAATTGGAGAGACTACTATAGAGAACTTCTAGACCATCGTAAAGAACGCCTAGACGCAGAGGATCGTCAAACGGTCAAGCGACTCCGTACCATTGTCCAAGAGCAGATCGAGGAAGAAGAGTCGGACGATGTTGTACTCACTAATCGATTCAAGATGCGCAATCAAGCAGCGAATGGATCGAGCGCTGCAACCTCAGGCCAGAGTACACCGACTTCAAATAATCAAAGCCTTCGAGATTTGTGGCATCACAAGGCCGCCGCCAACTCCTATCAACACATGCTCCAATCGCGCATGAACCTCCCCGTCTTTAACTTCCGGGAATCTATTTTAGCAACTATTGATCAGAACCAAGTGACCATCATATGTGGTGAAACAGGTAAGCAGAGCTTCAAATGCTCACCCCCTTTTCTGTCTCTCTGCCTCTTTCTGCCTCTACCTTTCGAGTAGCCTGCTTTGAATGACGACTAATGACTGTCTTCCCGATTTAAGGTTGCGGCAAGAGTACGCAGATACCTTCATTTGTCCTGGAGCATGAACTATTACAGGGAAAGCAATGTAAGATATACTGTACCGAGCCTAGACGTATCTCAGCAATATCGCTGGCTCAACGTGTCAGCGATGAGCTTGGAGAGGGACCAAAGGACTTGGGAACCCCTCGTTCCCTTGTTGGCTACGCAATTCGACTCGAGACGAAGACATCAAGTCAAAGTAGGCTTGTGTTTGCGACTGTGGGTGTCGTACTACGAATGTTGGAATCAAGCCGAGGGCTAGACGACCTCACGCACTTGATCATTGACGAAGTGCACGAGCGAAAGTAAGTTCTACACCATAGAATAACAGGGCAACTTCACTAACCTGGGACAGCATTGACACCGACTTCTTACTGATTATTCTCCGTTCACTCATGATCCGTCGTCCTGAGCTTAAAGTCATCCTGATGAGCGCGACCGTTGACGCCGATAAATTCTCAAGGTATCTCAATAGCGCGCCAGTTATGATGGTACCAGGCCGTACCTTCCCCGTTGAAACCAGATATTTGGAGGACGCCATTGAACTGACACATTACGATGCGGTAACGAACGACAAGTTGAACGATTCGGATACCAGCGAGAACGAAGAGGGCTCCTCAAGAGAGAAATCCGGGATTCCTTCCAAGCTTCCGGGTTACAGTGCTACTACTCGTAATGTACTCTCGAGCTACGATGAGTACGGGATCGACTACGATCTGATCATTCGCCTGATCGAAAATGTTGCATTTGATGCAACGCTCGCAAGATACAGCAGCGCCTTCTTAGTCTTTTTGCCGGGTATGGCCGAAATTCGTCAGCTCAATGACATGCTGCTCAGTCACCCGTCGTTTGACAAGCAGTGGTTGATATATCCTCTACACTCGTCCATCTCGAGTGAGGATCAACAGGCTGCATTCTTGCTTCCTCCACCAGGTATTAGGAAAATAGTACTTGCTACCAATATCGCAGAAACGGGTGTCACAATTCCCGACATCACTTGCGTGATTGACACCGGAAAGCATAAAGAGATGCGGTTCGATGAGAGAAGACAGTTGTCGCGCCTTACGCAGTCGTTCATCTCCCGCGCAAATGCGAAGCAGCGTAGAGGTCGTGCTGGTCGTGTGCAAGAAGGGTTATGCTTCCATCTCTTCACCAGGTATAGGCACGATACTATGATGACGGACCAGCAGACGCCTGAGATGCTTCGGTTATCCCTACAAGATCTCGTCATGCGGACCAAGATTTGCAAACTCGGCGACATCGAAAAGACGTTGTCTGAAGCCCTGGATCCTCCAACTTCGCGGAATATCCGACGTGCCATAGACGCCCTCATAGAAGTAGATGCCCTGACCTCAGGCGAGGAACTCACTCCACTTGGGCGACAGCTTGCGAAATTACCATTAGACGCTCACCTTGGAAAGTTGGTCCTCTTTTCATGCATGTTCGCCTGCGCCGATGTCGCCATAACAATCGCCGCGATCCTGTCATCCAAATCCCCCTTCCTCACACCCTTTGGCGCCAAACAGCGTGCCGACGTCGCCAGATTCGCCTTCAAAAAGGGCGACTCCGACCTGATCACCGCCTACAACGCCTACAAGACCTGGAAGGCCATCTGCACGACACCAGGGCGATCCGAGGCGCAATTCTGCCACAAAAACTTCCTGAGCGCCCAAAACCTAGGCAACATCGAGGACCTGAAAGCGCAACTCCTCTCCTCCCTCGTCGACGCCGGCTTCATCGCGTTCACCAGCGAGGAACGCAAAGCCCTCAGCCGCTACCGCAGCACCTCCCGACACCGAATGTTCGTCACCATCCCGCCCCAACACGACCTCCACTCGCACAACGACATCCTCGTCAACTCCGTCATCGCCACGGCCCTGTACCCGAAGATCCTCACCCGCGAAGGCAAAGGCTGGCGCAACATCGCCAACAACCAAACCGTCAGCCTCTCCCCCACATCCGTCAACCGCATCACGCCCATCAACCCCACCACCGCCCGCTTCCTCTCCTACTACCACATCATGCAGTCCAGCAACAAGTTCTACAACGCCCACTCCACCTCCATCGCCCACCCGCTGCCCATGATCCTCACCGTCGGCGCAGACAACATGGACTTCAAGCTCGCGGCGGGCATCATAACGCTCCCCGGCAACGTCCTGCGCTTCTCCGTCGCAAACTGGAGGATCGCGGTCGCGCTCAAGGTGCTCCGCCGACGCCTCAAGGAGATTCTCGCGGGATGCTGGAAAAACCCCGGGCGTCAGCTGTCTGGACGCGAGAAGGAGTGGATGGAGTTGTTCTTCAGGATCCTCAGCGAGAAGTGGGAGCGCGAGGAGAAGATCAGGGAGCGTGCGGCCGGGAAGGGGAAGTAGGGTTTCTCTGCCCAGAAACCGATTCGTCGTCTCGTTGTTGGCATATTCTGTTGAGGAAGGGGTTTGGGCGAGTATATCACGTCTTGTGCCTGTGCGTGTTTCGTGGGGGTTTTTGGTGAAGGGGAGGGACGCGATGCATTCACAACGAATTCTGGGTTTGGATGTATACATTTTTTGGAATCTTGCTGGTTCTGCATAGTTCATCAGGGCAGCATGGCGTGGCGTGGGGACTCTTTATTCATCCATCCCTTACTCACTTTCTATCACCCTCCCCCAGCCACACAAAAGAATTCAAAGCAAACCGCACCCCCACACCCGACAGGACAATACCTACTCCGTACATAGACAGCTAGAAACTCCTCACATATAAAGACAAAAGTATAGACTTTTTTTTAAAAAAAAAAATCTCCCGTGTATCGATTGATTTGGTTTCTTTTCTTTTCTTTCCAACACAACCAGCTTCATCATCATTAATTATCAAGCTCAACATCAAACACGGCATTTGATTGAAAACTTGATGAGGAGGAGAAGTTTCCATTGCTTTTGACGTCTTTGTCTGCCGGGGGCTCGTGCAGGTGTATATCAGAGGTTCACGGCGATAGGTGAGGTATACAAGGCTGAGAGATCTTTTGGTTGTGATTGGTTGTATTGCTGATTGGATATACTGGTATGTGCTATGTGTTGTTGTTTCTTTCGCAATCTGGTTGGAGTAGTGGTTGCAATTGGTGTCGGTCGTTTTCATCTGGGACAAATTGATCACCCATGTTCAGCATGGTGAAAGGTTGCATCTGCGTACCCGCGGAATGGGATTTCCCAACTTTGGCATGGGATGGGATGGGTGTCGCGTGGGATCTTTCATCTACTATCCTTGATAGGCATCGCTTACCGAGCTGAGGTGAGGTGTGACGGCAGTGGACGGTTACTGGCAAAGAGTTTGCTGATGGCGGAGTTGTGTGTAGCTCATGATGACGTCTACATTTGCAGTTTTAAAGTTCAATTGTATTCGACCTAGGTAGCGCGATCAAGTTCTGGCCAAGGTGCATGGTGAGGCTTGCAGTATTGCACCCAGTATGATGGGACTTCTTTTGTGATTCAGGGGCGGGCGGGCTTAACGATCCTTCAAATCGTCGATCAAATAAATGTTTGCAGCTTGGGGCCTTGGATCATTGCACAGTATTGTTTGTATTGGAGGTTCGTCAGGCCAAGCACTATGGATCGGCTCGTCATCAGTCCCAGCCTCCTAGGTCGGATCCCGATCGATCTTACTCGTATTTGTTGGCTTATGATGGTACTGCATGGATGACATCGCTGATGCTCTGTGAGCCTTGCGGTTGATGGTGGGATGTGGAAGCATGCCGATCTGCACACGGTCCAGACTTCTTTGGTGCGCTGGTCACTTGGGACCTTTGGACTAGCGGAGTCGGTCAGTCGGGCAGTCAGTCAGTCAGTTGATGAAAGCGCAAGTCGAGCGAAACCAGCAGAGCAGAAGACCAGACTAGATCCTAGCAGACCGCTTGACTGTGAGGGTATGTATGCCCAAATGTGGGCGCAAAGTGCAGCAGGGTAATGTCGGTTGTTGGAAAAGTGTGGGGTTTCGGTGTGCTGTGGTAAGCGTGTCCAGGTGGACAAAGTAAGCCGTCATCATCCCTGCCAATGCCATGGAGACAACACGTTTGCCCAATTCTCATACTGTAACTTGTAAAATACACATGCACACATGGCCATAAACCCAATTGTAATCGCCAGTCGGAGAGACGTATCATGCTCGCTTAGCCGTGATGGTATGTACGAGTTGCGTCCAGTGTTGAAGGGTTTGGTCCATTCTATGTCTATTCTTCCACCTGATCACTTCTCAGATGTAGGTATGTATGCATGACTATCTTCTCCGTAAAGAAGTTGTATTCTATGGGATCGCAATTGTGGATTTCTCTTCCATCTGGCAGGAGATCTGATCGTATTATTGATGGCCCACTCGTGCACCCTGCGTAAGACTCTTCCCCTCTTCTTTCTGTATTAGATTACATAGTAGTTACTTGTACGGTACGACACGGAGAACGTACATACAAGAGATGTTGCACATATGGTATGGTATTCTTCTTAGTTGTATGGTATGAGTGGAGAATAAGGGACATGTCTGGTGTATGAGGGTCCGGATCACGCGGAGGCCAAGATGCGCTAACTGGCATCACGCTGTTCCCCCCTGGCGCCTCTTCCCTGACTCTCCTCTCTTCTCCCTCTCACATCTCACCATCTCACCATCTCATCTCTCTAGATCCTCTCTAACAACTGCTCTAACCGGAACCTTGTTCTGTACAATTTCGTCCTGGTCTTGGATTAGATCCGATTATGTTATGATTTCCTGTTCTGTCCTTTCCTCTCCTGTCCTGTAGCCACTCCGTAGTCCTGATTTGACCATTCATCACCGGCGAGCCGACGAGCCATTGCTTGTGCTCATGGTAGCCGAACCCACCGCTGCAACTGTTGATCGTTGGCTGGAAGAACACCACCAGGAATCCACTCACCGTCTTAACTACCCTGTGGATCCTGACTCCTCCTCCTCCTTCTCCTCATCATCATTATCGCATCCAGCCGATGCCTTCCCTCTCGCAACTTTCTCCAACCCTCCTTCCTCCACTACTGCCAGCGCAACCTCCGAACTCCATCACCTCCGTAACCAATCCGAACACGTTGGAGATCGTCTCCCTACTCGCGACGACGCTCGTCCGCACGTCGTTCGCTCCCCCGTCCTAGTCAATTTTACACACCAACAGACCCTGAGCATGGATGGGGAACCTGCCACGCAACAAGCTCGCCGCCGGTCCTCCTCTCTCGCCAGCGTCAACGTCCCCGCGAGGAAAGAGTCCAAGAAGCATAGGAGACATCGCTCAGATCACATCCCCGAGGAGGGCGAGGACGACAGCGATTCCGGCGAGCGCTCCCGCACCGATTCCTCCTCCGAGACAGACAGCACAGATTTCGAACTCGACGACATGAGCTCACGAGACGGGCTCGAGGATGACGAGGAGACTGGTCTTACGGGGAGAGATAGGAGGCGTCGCCGAAGGAGAAAGAGGCGGAACACGCGACTCGATCAGCGCATCGTAGAGGAAGTCAAGTTTGGGAAGGACGAAGAGAAACTGGCGAACGAGAACCTCATCCGTTCCATGCTCATAAATGCTCTCTTAATTGGTCTTTGGTAAGTTCTCCCAATGTCGGACTGACGTAGCACGCGACACCTAACCAATGTCTCCCGTCTAGGTACCTGTTTTCCATTTCCATCTCCGTTTACAACAAATGGATGTTCAAGACGGACAAAGGCGACGGCCAGACACAGCACATCTTTCCCTTCCCGCTTTTCACGACATGCCTGCACATGATTGTTCAATTCACACTATCGTCTCTCGTTCTGTTTATGATACCCTCGTTCCGGCCACGACACGACTCTCTTACCCCCGCCGATTCGCGCTCTCGTGAACCCGTAGATACCAAAAAGCCATTGATGACGAAATGGTTCTATTTTTCACGCATTGGGCCCTGTGGTGCAGCGACCGGAATGGATATTGGGCTGGGCAATATGAGTTTGAAGTTTATTTCATTGACATTTTTCAGTGAGTAGCGGCGTGTCCACTGCGTCTGTCTCGGCATCACTAACGTCGAGTCTAGCTATGTGCAAGTCTTCAGCATTGGGTTTCGTACTGATATTCGCTTTCCTATTCCGCCTTGAGCAACCGTCCTGGCGACTGGTTCTCATCATCTGTGTCATGACAGTGGGTGTTGTCATGATGGTGGCCGGCGAAACCGCTTTCCATGTTCTTGGATTCATCCTCGTCATGGCCTCCGCGTGCTCTTCGGGATTCCGCTGGTCTCTGACCCAGATCCTCCTTCTCCGCAACCCTGCCACCTCGAATCCATTTTCCTCGATATTCTTCCTCGCACCCGTCATGTTCGTCAGTCTTTTTATCCTTGCCGTTCCGGTCGAGGGCTTCGGCGCTCTGTCTGAAGGTCTCTCCAACCTCTTCGCCGAGAAGGGTGTTGCGCTCGGCATTGGCATCCTCCTGTTTCCCGGAACTCTTGCTTTCTTCATGACGTCTTCGGAATTTGCTCTGCTGAAGCGAACGTCCGTCGTGACGCTAAGTATTTGCGGTATCTTCAAGGAGGTCGTAACGATCACAACCGCCAACCTAGTCTTCAAGGATCCCCTCACACCCATCAATATCACCGGTCTATTTGTAACCATCCTTAGCATTGCTGCCTACAATTGGATCAAATTCAAGAAGATGAGGGACGAGGCGAGGATGAAAGCACATATCAGCGTCCAGGAAGATTACCAACCGGTGCGTACCAGAGACCCGGATTCAGGCACAGTGGCTACAAGTTCGAGCGCACGGAATCCGCTTAGGGCTGCACCCAGTCTGCCACCGAGCGCACAAGCCGAACGGCCAGCGACAGATGCCCCTTCGCGAGCATCACCAGTCAAGAGACCCGAGGATTTGGAGTAAACGGATACTTGCTAGAAGCATATCCCACCACCACTATTACTGTTATACCCATGCTACTTTCGAATTTCCACCGTCACGTCATCGGACGAGCGCGTCGCCATTTGGATCCCGCGATCCGCAAACATTGCATATCTCCAATCTGCTATTTCTTTTTGTTGGTCACATTGTACAATCGCATATCAAAACGGCGTTTCTTGTTCGCACATCAATCTCATTTGTTCTCTTTTCTTTTGTTTTTGGGGGGCAGAATCAAATAGGCAAATCCTGTCAAGGACCTTTTTGAATCGCCATGTTCCGGGGTACAATTATACCAGAGCGAAGGGGGCACCAACCAGATGTTGGCCTACCTCACTCACATGGTCTCTTTTTGGCGTAGGAGAGAAGAAAAAGGGAAAGGGGGGAAGGATCAAAGCAAGCCGACGGTATCTGTATCCTTGTGAGGATATGTACCTCTATAGAGCTCGGCTAGCCGGCCTACTTTACTCAGTCACAGGGTACGTGAAGTATCAGGACTGACATACAATACAACGTTGCTTCCTTCCATGAACGATATTCAAGCATCTGAACGTATGAGTGAGGTGGGTTTTTGGATTGTGATATTCAATTGATGTGCGTGATGCATTAAGTGCATCTATTGATATACTATACACAGACACAAGCCTGTCATGTGTATGGTCGTTCGATATACTCGCCCACATCTCGTCGTAACAAGGAAAACCCCCATCCCCAACGCCAAACTCAGGCCAAAAAGAAAGACGACAGTGTCAACAAACATATTTTCCCCTCATGCCAACCTCACCACCCATCCATCCCCTTCCCCCCTCCCTCCCTCCCGCCTCCCTCTCCTCCCTAACCACTTACCTACCCCCTCTTCCACCCCAACTTCGCCAACCTAACCCTCGCACCCACCCCCAGCACCACCAGCACCCCCGCCAAAATAACCCCCCAATGCCTCACCCCCAGAACGTTAACATTATAATCCGTCCAGCTCGCCGCGACCACCGTCCCGACCCCAACCCCCAACGTCACATACCCGCCCACACGATGATACTTCCACACCCCCCTCGCCCTCTCCTCGCCACCATACACACTCGGAACCCAGTACTGCGTTACCCCCACGACCACCTGTAGCGCGATGAGGATGTAGAACGCCAGCCCTAGGATGGCGTGCGGGGATACGAAGTGGGTTCCGGAGTGGGAGATCTTGTTTATTTCGATGATGAGGAGGCCGGCGAGGAGGAGGAGGGTGGAGAGGGTGTTGAGGAGGGCGTGGAGGAGGGTTCCGAGGCGTTTTTGGGGGCGTGTGTGCGTGGGTTGGAGGAGGAGGGTTGATTGGGTTAGGAGGAGGAGGGCGGTGGTGTTTAGGAGCTGTAGGTTGTAAGTGTTAGGATGGTGGTTTGGTAAGGGGAGGGGGAGGGAGGAGGGATGGGGGGGACGTACCGGGTGGGGAGAGAAGAAGATTAGGGGGTGCGAGAATATGGCGCCCCAGATTATGGCTGTGAGCTGGTGGTTGGGTGTGTTAGTATGTTGTTGGATTTGGAGTTGGGGTTTGGATTGGGAGTGGTGTTGAGGGGGAAGCTTACGATCCATATGCCGGCTTGGGCGACGGGTGCGGTGCCTGGGGAGGGTTGTTAGAACGTTGGACAGTTCACTTGTTTGGGAAGATGTAGTTCATACCTATCCAGAGGTTCTTGTAAATTGGCTGGCCGTCTTCTTGACTGGCATCCCCGCGGCGTCCCAGCAGCGGTTCATCCTCTCCCAATCCCTCCCGTGGAGCTGCGTCATTGCTGTTGTAGTTTTCTGGGATGCCGGTCGCTGAAGCCATCTTAGAGCTACTACCTCGATGGGTGATGAAGTGTGCAAAAGCAAAGCAAAGTGTTACAAGGCGGGGAAAGAAGCAGCACTCATTTACATAGTCGTCAATGTTGATTGTTAATACGCGGCTTGTATGACGTTAGACATTTCTCCCTCGAGTCCCCTCACTCAAAGGTAGCATTCTTCCTAATCCGTACTAGCGCGCGGGTGCGGGAAGCTCATTCGGAGCTAAGCAGGCCCGTACATCCGACCAATCACAGAGGAGTGAATGTAAGTCGTCGTCGTTAAGCCAATGGCAACGACGACGTTCATGAGCAATGATGACACTGGATTCGATGGAATTTCACTTTGCTTGCCGTGTTGGGAAATTCGTTGAATGGGCTTAAGAACGAGGGACGAGACTCGAGTCTTGTACCTTGTTGGCCCCCTCCCCCCTATGACACTTATGGCTATGGACCCTATGGGTACGTACCGATTATCGTCCCATGCCTGATTGGAAAGAGAGGGAGAGAAGGCTGGCTCTTCTGTATGGGCACGGCTTCCCCTATCCACTCTGCCCTATTCTGCTCTGCCCTTTGTTCAGACAAGCCTCGATCTAGGTTCATGCAGTGAGGAGAATGACACAGTCACAGGTAGGCAAATCGCTGTATACAGACACTGAGATTCATCAGACGACATGCATCACTGCATAAGTATAGGAGCAGTGCGGCATACCTCCGTGGTATGACGCAAACCTCCAGGCGGGACTGCACTACTCAATTGCAAGCATATCTACGCAAGAGCATAGCGACAGCTCCTGCAGGCATCACTACTATGTCAATGTCCTATTGTCTCACTGTATGCAATGCAACAACGTACACATCACCTCGAAAATATACATTTACTGCAATCGTTACAATTACACGGCAAGCTCCGTCGAAATCTCCAGAGCAGACCTGTTCTGTTCCCGGTCCCGCGTGGCGGCGTGTAGCGCGCATAACCAGTGGGGAAGAACCATCTCCTAGCTCCAGTTCTTACCTCTCAATATACAGGCCATGCTCGAATGCCGTTATCATAACGTTCGTCTCCGACATACATCTCATTCCGATCGATTCATATCCGCTCACTCGTGGGATTCCGATCTGCCGAGGTCGGAACAAAACATCTACCGACTATCTACTTTAGCAGCATAGCAGTTGAGGTGATTTTCCCACTACAAGTACCAACTACCTAGGTACGTACGTAAATATATTGATGCTCGGAATAGAGTCAGGCGCTCATCGATTTCTCCACCCCTAAAAGCACAATCTGACTCAAAGGGGGACGGAACGATTGTATTTTCTCCAATCTCCAACTTTGACGATCTGAACTGTTCTGATTCATGTTTGATATAGGGCGTGCCGTCGGATGACTCATTGGAACATTGGAACACAACATATAGCTAAATTCCGGACAAATAACGACCAAGTCAATCTTGACGGACATAGAAAAAGAACAATTCCTCAATTCCGATAACACTTGGACTTCCAATCCTGCTGGTACCTTGACCTCAAAACACAATCCCATCTGGACCTTCAACAACACCATCCACCACATAACAAACACCACCAAACCCCAACATCACCACCACACAATATGGCATCACAACCCTCCGCACCCTCCAACCCCAAACCCGCCCACAAGATCTCCCCTCTCCTCCCATCAGAAGCCCACCTCTACCAATCCATCCGGCACGAAACCTTCAAACCCACCATCAACAAGCTCCTCTACTCTTCCCCCCCTTCCACAACCACCCTCCAAAAAGTCATCTCCGACACCGTCCTCGAAATCACCGACGCCACCAAGGGCTGGCTCTACATGTCATGCCGCGACTCCTCCACGTCCGCCATGATCGCTGGCGCCCGCTGGCGGTACGTCGGCCCATCCTCGATCCTCACCCAGGAATCCGCCTCCCCAACCCTCGACCGCTTCTCCCTCCCCTTCACCGTCCCCACACACGCTATCCCCTCCCCGCGCCCCTGGCCCGAAGTCGAAGCCGGCCTCACGATCCCATCCCCCTACCCCGAATCCAACCCCGAAGTCTTCACTGCGCTGCTCAAGCTCTTCAACGACAACCGCCGCGAGATCCTGGCGAATCGCCCGCACTACGTATTGTACACGCTGGTGACGCACCCGGAGCACCATCGGAAGGGCGCGGGGGGGCTGCTCGTGGATTGGGGGTGCAGGGAGGCGGATAAGAGGAATGTGGAGTGCTATCTTGAGGCGAGTCCGATGGGGGAGCCGCTGTATAAGCGGTTTGGGTTCGAGAGGGTCAAGGTGGTGGAGTTGGATTTGGGGGCGTATGAGGAGGGGGGCGAGGTTTTTGAGTTTATTGTGAGTGGGATTTTCTCTTTTTTTTCTTGATTCAAGGGGGTTAAGAAGAAGAGGGGAAGGGAGGGGATTCAGGAGTGTTGAAGACTGACTTGTGTACAGCTCATGCGTAGGCCGGCGAAGTGGGAGCGTGAACGAGACGGGAAGGAGGCGTGAAATCAATCGACTTAACGCCGATCCGCCAGTGCTAACTTCAAGATTCGTTCTTTTCGACGAGAGACCACTTTATCAGACCTAAATCCTTAGGAATGCTTTCTATAACAAGCACACACAGAAAGAGAGGCAGAGAGAAAGAGAGAGAGAGAGGAACGTCTGGCGCAATCATAGAAGAGGATAATCATACATTTTATGTACTTGTAAACTATCCGCGCCCACCAAAAAAGGGCCCGGTATACCTCACTAACAGGGGGGTAGACTCTTTCTAATCAACAAGATATGCACGTTCGAAAATAACAACCTTGACCACGCCCGTACTCTGTTTGTCCTATTCGTACCCAATAGATGCAAGAAAAAAAAAGTACATATAATGCAACGGAAGATGAAACACTAAAAACGCCCTGCCACTTTCCCTACATTGCTAATCAATGCATCTTGAGACCAGCACGACTGCTGCCCTGAGCACCGTCGGTGTCGGGATCGTAGTCGCGATCTTTGCCGCTGTCTTTCCTGATGGGAACGGGCGTGGGGTTGGCTTCCTTGAGGGGAGCGCTCTCCACTCTTTCTGTGTCGCTGTCGCCGCCGTCGCGGCTCCGCCTGTGGCGTTCCAGCCATGCGTCGTCGTCGGACTCGTTGTCGGACTCGTCGGACTCGACGCTCGCGTAGTGGCTGTCGTTGCCCGCGGGGTCCTTGATGAAGCCGTCGATGATCCAGTACTGTATCGCGTTCATGATGAGCGGGAAGATGAACATGACGAAGGTGATTTGGAGCGTCGTGTTTCCCTCCGTCCAGCGCAGCGCCCAGTCACCGACCCACGCGATCCACGGGAGCAGCTGAAAGATGAGGAATACGCAGAACTTCATGCCGAGGAGGCCGAGGAAGTAGAGGAAGGATTGCTTGAGCCACCAGGTTGCGCGTGCTGGCTGGCCGTAGTTGCCGGACCGGATGGACTCGGGCGGGTTGGCGAGAGGTGTCAGGGCGGCGCCCTTGTGGATGAGCTTGAGGAGTACTACGAGAATGGCAATTCCGATGGTCGTCTACGTCGAATTAGCACGTATTCACACTGTAGTTTCGCAATTCAATACTTACGTCAATTGCAAGGTTAAGGAGGTAGAAAGAGCATGGGTTAGGTTGTTGACCATCCTCAGCAACAGTCTTTGCAGCAACATCGAACTTCCCAGACGAGAACATCGACATGACGATATTCGCAAGATGCAGCAGAACCGAGCCGAAAACCTGCTTCGACACATCGAAGAACCAGATCTTCAGCGGTCGTCGCGGAGTCTCGCGCCACCTCTTATACACCAACGATGACACCGCCAAAAGTCCAAGCGCGCCTTGCACGATCAGAGCGTAGGAGCCCAACAAGTGGCACTCGTTGTCGTTCTCGTCCATGGGGCTCATATCGGTCGCTGTCGGTTGTGCTGCTTGCACGTCAGGAACAGAAGTTGATGCTGGCTTCGACTCCACAGGAGATGGCGTAGGATCCGTATTAGTCTCCGCTGCCGACGATCCTTGGGGCTTTGTATCCGGTCTCGTCGGTCGTTGAGGTTGAGGTTCCGGATCCACGCCCTGGATTCCCATAAGTTCGGTCTCGAATACTACACCCGGACATTAGCTTCTATACTATACCAGTAAGACAGCAAATATCCCTTACCTAACGTCGAACCCGCAGGAATGGCGCCATTAGCCTCCTGCCCGTACCCAAACGACGGCGGAATAATCAGCTTCCTGCCCTCGCCAATGCACATGCCCAGCAGACCCTGATCCCATCCTTTGATCACCTGGCCGGCGCCGAGCTTGAACGTGAAGGGGACGCCGCGGTCGTAGCTGGAGTCGAACGTGCTGCCATCGCTCTCGAGCGTGCCCTTGTAGTTGACGGATATCCGGTCCCCGGACTCGGTTTTGCGTTGGCAGTCGACGGCTTTGGTCACCTGGATGCCTAGGGCTTGCGCGGAGGCGGAGGTGATGAGGAGGGCGGAGAGCGAGAGCGCGGGGAGGGGGGTGCTGAGGAACCGCATCAAGGTGATGTGGGGGCAGACAGAGAGTTCTGCCTGTGAGGTCGAGGAGGAGGAGGAGGTGAGCGGAAGTCGTGGGACTTTGAGGGAGTGTGCTGCTGTGTATGTGAACGGTGGCAGAGGGTGTGGCTGTAAGTTAATAGTGCTCTCGAAAATAGCCGCGGAGTGGCCAATGGCGGACGATTATGAAACAACCTGATGGGGTTAGACCCGGGTGAGTCCCGCAGCTCCGATACAACTACCTGGGTATCGGCCTGGAGTTGGAGAGTGTGAAACAGATAATTCAACAATACGGATGGTTCTGACGTGATGATTCCTGAAAACCATTGGCATGGTCTGAGCCGAATGAGTAGATCTGTGAGTTACCAAGACTGACAGGTATGAGACACCCGACTGATATTATGTGCACAGCCGGAGGCACAAAGGTAATCTAGGATGACCACGTGAGCCTGTAAAGCACCACCTATCAGTTTACATATTGCGTGTCATCTTTTTTTCCATATGTTCCATACATGATTTATCCATTGATAGTATGGTTCTGAAGCTCGCGAGCCAGGCTTTCGTCGTATGAAACAAAAACACATACATTCAAGTCGACTTCCAGCGAGCGATTCAAGAGCAACAATGTCGAAAGAAAGTAGTACAATCTGGAGCGTTGATCAATCTAGAACACCTCTGAAGTAGCTTAGCTCATTGTGAGATGTATATTGTAAGTGGGACTACCATTGTTGTTACCACCAATACAAGAGTATTGCAACGGTATACTATATAGACTAGCATGCCTTCCCCTCCCCAGCACTACAAGAAACTGAACCCAGCGGACGGGCAAAGTCAAGAGGCCGTAAAAGGAGCCATAAGGCATTCCATAAGAGGAGAAACACAACATTACGCCTCAAATGCCAGAAAACCCGTTACGAGTCCCTTTCCTCTCGTCCCGTCTCCCCCCGAACACAGTCCACAAAGACGACGAGAGGAACAAGATGACGCCAATTAGTGTTGGTGTTAGCAAGGCCGTTTTGGCTTTGCCATTGCTATCCCATCGATGTCCGGTAGTGAAATGCCCAAAAAAATTACATTACATTACGCACATGCCCTTCCATACCCCAAAAAAAGAAACCTGGAGGAAGATGAACGTCAAAATGGAATGAAGAAAAAAGTGAGTTAAAGTGGTAAAGGTGCATAGTGTAAAAAAAGGTAAATGGAGTATTGAAGAAAGAAGCTGTTTGGCTAGGATATATAAAAAAGAACTGTTAATTATCCCCTCCCTTGTCCTAACACGTGCGTGCGTGCGTTTTGGTCGTTAATATCCCCCTCCTTCCTTTTCTAATAACCTTTAAGAAGGGTGATGGTGGTGTGTTGTTGTATAGGTAGGTGTATGAGTGTATGAGTATATGTGTGTATAAGGGTACTCCTTTCCCACACTTTGTTGAAAGCCCGACCCTCTTCCCAATTCATTTCATTACATTTATTTACGCCGAATGCATTGCACGGAGATTATGGTAAAAAAGGGGGGAGAATGCGTGCGCGCGCTCTGAGGAACGTTGGTTTACAAACAGAAAAACATGATTTATTTCCCACAGAGGTGTATGTCTTTCCATGCGCCGATATCGCTGATGCAGGGGAAGTGATTTGCTTGCGGGTCACACTTTTCCACGTACTTTTTTCTGTTGCTGTGGACCCGAGCGTTTGTGTACGTCTTCACGGTCTGTTTGGGGGACCGTGGCCGGCTATGCCTTATGATTTTCGTAATTTCATGAGTTCCGGTGGTTTGGAGGGATCGTCTGGATCCAGGAATTTGGTCATGACTAGGGAGAGTTCTTTGAACTCGACGGGTTTGGTGACATAGGAGTTGAAGCCGGCTTCTACGCACTTAGCATAGACATCGCCAAGGACGTTGGCCGACAGTGCAATGATTGGATGTCTTTTGTAGGCGTTCTTCTTCTCCCATCGTCTTATCTCCTTGCAGGCTTGGTAGCCGTCCTTGTTTGGCATGTGGAGATCGCACTGGAAAAGTTAGTTATGATAGACAATGGAGTAAGGTTTGGAAGACATACAAGGATAATGGAGTAGTATCCCGGTGGCTTGGAGAAAACCCTATCGGTACATTGAACGCCATCCAGAACGGTTTCAGTCTCGATAGATATCTTGGCAAGGAATTTCAAGACCACCTACATAATTGTTAGTTTCTCTCGAAAATCAAGTCACTTGAACTAGTAAAACATACCGTTTGGTTGATAGCGTTATCCTCGACGAGTAGGACCTTGTGGCCCTTGTCTCCAAGCCGTCTTTTCAGCTCTTCGAAGACGAGCTTTTGGTTGAAAACTACTTGTTGTGCGGAGTCCTGGTTGCGATCCGTTGACGACTCTCGTTCCTTCTGGGGATCGAAGATGACAGCAAACTTCGATGGCTTAAGCGGTCGATAAATGAACCGAAGCCGACGATCGAGAGACAGCTGATCATAGTCATACACCGGTGCTTCCCTGATTAGCTCTTTCTTTTGCGTTGGGTCAGAAACGACAACGATGGAGGTCTTCTCATGGACTAAAGAGCTTAGAATCTGATCCATGATGGCGATGACTTCGACTGTGTTGTGGAGTACCAAAACCACATGTGTGAAGAGGACAGGATCATCGCCGCCTATCATACGCTGTGCCTCGACCAGATTGGGCTGGCCTGTTATCTGGTGAGGTATTCCCTGGGGCAATGTATTCCGAATGTGTCTGATGGTTGCTTCTCGGCTATGGACCAGAGGGCAAACTACGAGGATCGAGTACATTGGCGGTTGAAGGGCGCTTCCTAACGGTGACAGGCTACGGCTGATGCTGACTTCCGGCGAGCGAACCGTCTCGTCTGAATTGAGAGTCAGAGATGAATCATCCGATTTAATGTCCTGGTCGCTGCCCAATCGTTTCACTGGGAGAGCAAGGTTAATGGTTGCATCCTTACTTTCGGAATCCTGCAAGAACGACGAGGCAGAAGACCTTTCTGAACGCAGACTTGACTTGGCGCCCCCAGACGTAGGCCCGATCGATGGATCCGAACTGCCAGACGAGAGCAAGGGTGAATCGCGTGAACGCTCAGAAGTTGTCAGGCTAGGCGCGGGAGATTTGACTGAATCACTATAATCGGATGAAATGCTGAGGATGCGTTCCTTGTGGGCGCTCGCGACGGAAGGGATTTGAGGGATAACCGGTCTCTGGATGGCTAGAGGTGTTGGTGGCGCTGCACCTGCCAACGGTTCTTGAGAAGGAGTACCTGGTGTCGGCGCAATAGGTGTAGGATGATCATCATCTGTCGGGAGACCGAATTTGAGTGTGAAGAAGAACGTGGATCCCTTCTCTGGTACACTGCGAGCATCCATCTTTCCGCCATGGAGTTCGACAAACTGCATCGATATGGCCAGCCCGAGTCCAGTGCCACCGTGCTGTCTTGTGCTGCTTCCGTCAATCTGGCTGAAACGCTTGAACAGATATTTGGCCTCTTGCTGGGTGAAGCCTTTGCCCGTATCGATCACTTCGAATTGAACCATTGTTTCGTTGTCATTCAACTCGTTGGACTTGTCTGTTGGGCACGTCCTGCAGCGAACAAACACTTCACCTCTTTGCGTAAACTTGATTGCATTGCCCACCACGTTGAGGAGGACTTGTCTGATGCGGAACTTGTCACCTTTGACCATTGATGGTACACCCTCTTCGACGAGGTAATTGAGCTCGAGTCCTTTCTGGATGGCCAGACCCATGTTGAGATCGTTGACCTCCTCTAGCAGCGAAGGAAGGTGGAGCCATTCCATGGTTAGCTTGATCATGCCTGCTTCTACTTTTGATAGATCGAGAATGTCGTTGATTAGATTGAGCAAGCTGTCCGTGCTTGCCTTGATGATGTTGACATGTTCAAGCTGCTCAGTGATGAGGGGGCTGTCCAGGAGGAAATTGACCATTCCGGAGATACCATTCAAGGGTGTGCGGATTTCGTGGGACATGTTACTCAAGAACCGAGTCTTTGAGTCCATCGTCTCCTTCAGAGTTTGCTCGAGAAGTTTATGGTCATTGATGTCAGTGGCAGTGCCATACCAAGTTTCTTCATCCTGCTCTTCTGCAAGACTCTTCTCTAATAGTATGCGCACAAGGTGCCATCGATAGTCACCGTCCTTGTTACGCAGCCTGACCTCCGTGCTGTAAGACGCCCGACCATCGGCGTCCTTGCTGATCTTGAGGATGCCGGTGTCTGCCAGTTTGGACAGTTTGGCTTGAGGCATCTCCATATCTGACGAGGCACCCGGGCTTGTGACTGTTCTCTCGGTTTCAGAAGATTCTTCAGAGGAACTTGAATCCTTCCGGCCGTAATCTGGTGGAAGCGTGGTAGGCACGTTCGTAGTTATGCCGTCATCCGTCATTTCGGGTAACTTGCACTTGATCACATCGTCAGGATGCACGAATTCTAAGAAACCATTGCCATGTGCTTGTTCCTGTGTTTGTCCGGAATAAGTGATCCACTGGCTGTTGCAGAAGCTGATGCCGCGTCGGTTAGATACAACGAACACGATTTGAGGACTTGAATTAGCAAGGGCGCGATATTTTGCTTCAGATGCAGCCGTCTCCTGCTGCCGAGCGGCATTCAGTTCAGCAAGATGCTGTTCGTGGAAGTCCATGTTTGTTCCGATCCAGTGGACGATTTGCTGGCGCTTGTTCTTCAAGGGAGCAACGCGAACATAGAACCAACGGTAATGGCCATCGAAGCGCTGTAGTCGGACCTTCTGTTGCAATTGTTGTCCGGTACGCAGTGATTTATTCCACTGCTCCAGATAGGCATCCCGATCTTCGGCATGGATAGCATCCCAGGGCTCTTGAAGGACTTGCCGCGAATCTCTCCCACGATAAACAAGGAACTTTGAGTTTACCCAAGTCAGTGTACCTGTTGTGGGGAGAGCGGTAAATATCTGGACGGGGAGGGAGTCTATTATTGTACGCAATAAGCTTTCCGATGGTGGTGGCATATCAAGCACTTCGGGGAGAGATGTATTTCGGACGTGGCCAGGAGGAGCGGGGGAATTGACACCTGGTGTTGTTGCTGCTGGGAGAGATTGAAATGAGGAACTGAAGTCTGCACCGTAGGAATGTAACAATGAGTGGCCCCGATGCGTTGCTGCGGGTGTTGCTTTGTTGGGCTGACGACGAGAGGCGCCGGATTGACCTGCTACATTCTCTGAAGGAAGTTGTGAGGAGCCATTCTCATTTCGAGGAGTGGGCGTATCCTCGCCCAGGTTCTCTGAAGAGGCGCTTGGGTTGAATCGCTTTGCTGCTCTGAGCTCGGCTTTGCGTGCAGACTGGTCGGACGATGTGGCTCCTGGAGCAGGACCTCGACTGGATCTCTTTTTCGCGTCGAAGTAACTCTCAACAGCTTCTGCTCCAATAAGGTGCCCTGGGGTACTACCAACAGACTGTTTACTGCTGAAGCCCATCGCCGAGGGATCCCACCCGGGGGTACCACCAATAGAGCCACCTGGGCTATGCTTTGATCGACCAGAGTAATCCGATGGGCTCGTCACGCTACCAGCGGCAGACCCTCCAATCGTCTCCAAATCGAGGTGCAATAGATCATCCAGTTTATCTTGGTCAGATAAGGGTGTGAAACCAACCTGCTGTGGGGAAATGAATCTGCGACTTCGAACACCTGTCGCCTGTGCTTGGGCATTAGTATACTGCCATGCGTTGGAGAAAGACGTCGCAAGGTGAGGTCCAAGCAGCTTGAGAGAATTAGTTAGATTACGTGGATATGGTACGGTTGGCGAAAGGATGGACAAGATGGCGATCGGGGCTAGTCGCTGAACCTCTTCTGTTGGAGGTGGCGACTTGATGGATTGCTCAGATTGGGAGCGGGACATTGAGGGGGTTTGGGTTGCTGAACTCAAAGGCTGCATAGGTTGGGATAAGGTCGGGTGTAATAGTGGGATGTGGGTGATGGTACTAGCCCTGTCGATGCCAATTGCTTCCACCACCCCATATTGTGTGTAGTCTTGACTTGAACCTGAAGGGTTGAAGGTTTCTTCGTCGATCTTGCCACTGGCGAAGAACGGGTTTTCAGCAGGGTCATTCTGGATCGCGGGAGAGGGGGCTGGAGATTGCGCCCACGGAGAACTGGGGAATTGTTCGTACTCTTCGTAACGGGGTTCTAATTTTGGCTCGTGCTCGGCCTTTGCTGCAAGGCTAGCACGACCCTTAAGATGTGTGCCTTTGTGAGAATCGTGTGCGGATGAGGAGGCAAGCTTGTGTGAGGAAGGCTTGCTTGATTGTTCGTCGTCTTCGGTTTCTGATATGGAGTTTTTCCTTGATGCTCCCAGAGAGGTTGAGTAATCTCTCGTCAATGTGACCACCCTACCGCGTTCTAACACGCGGTTTACCCCGACATTGTCGATTAGAGCATCCGGTTCGTGGTCTAAAGCACGCAGAACGGGGAACACTGCTGTTTGTGGTTGCGTCAAGAGGTCTCCGCCAACGCTCGAGAATTCCGTGTCGCCAAAGTTAGAATCCTTGATGGACGATATCGATGGGTGACGAGGTGAGCCGTCGAAGGACACTGGCGATACCTGACGCAATGGATGATCTGCTCGAATCGTAGATTGTGGTGCATGGCTAACCGTTCTGAGTGGCCCTCTTGGCCGAATTGGGGTTCCGGGCGAAGCATGGTCGGATGGATCCTTCCGCTCATGGCCAGCGAACGAGTGTCGAGAAGCAAACTTTGGTCTTCTTTCTGGGGCAATGCTTGGTGATGGCACATCTTGTGACTGAGGATCTTCGAAATTCCGTCTTGTTCGAATTGGGCTTTGTTTTGTCTCAGCCGGTTGCTCTTGCGGTGGGTGTCGTGTGTCGAGCACAACTGAGCTGTGGGTAGTCTTCTGGCCCCAGGGAACGTTTTCAATATCGGATGCATCGGCGGGAACAGCTAGTGTCGCGCGCTCTGCCCCATACCAGTCCCGCATGATGGTCGTAACAGCCTCCCACCACGATGCAAGACCGGGTTCTGCCCCTATTTGCAGAACGAGATCGTAAAGGCTAGGACTTGGAAATCGTGGGTCTTCCATACCGGGACTGGGAAATGGCATCCTACCAGGGGCGAAGGGTGTACCAGATGCCGCAGGAGTACTACCTTCAGAGGCTATTCGTTCCCTAGGAGTCGCAAAATCCCTGGCATAGGTGGCAGATACAGTTGGCGAAAGCTTCGTAAAGGGCTGATGGAACGCAGAGGACCAGGCCATTGGAGTACTAGGCACAGTAGGGAAAGGATAAGATGGCGTACGAAGCGGATAGCCAGCAGGGGTGGGTGGCATGCTTCCACGAATTGTCCTGGCGGATTCTGTAGATTCCGTTGAGGCTGTTGCACCGGTTGGCAAAGGACTGCCGAAGGCGCCCTCGAGGGTTGGTGACATGCTGGGAATCGGCTCCTCCTTGATGGGCGATATCCTGCGAGTCCCGAGGGCGATATTGTTTGCGCTGGATGCGCTCTTTAGGCGCGCACGTTGCTGCTTTTGTAGCATCTTCAACTGCAGGTTGCGGAGCCTCTCGATCTCCAACTCGTCCGGAGACGACTTCTCACGAGAGAAATCATCCTGGCTGTCATCGCCGCCAGTGTCTAGTTCACTTTCTTCTTGTGTGCAGTCGCTCAATTCGCTTTCGGTCGTGGTTTCCTCGTGAACACCGGCTGGTGACGTCGATGAATCCTGGGCGGAACTACGGGGTAGGCGAGGTAGAGGAGGACGATTGGCATGCGCTGTCTGAGATGTGTGGGATTGTAGTGTGTGTGATGCCTGGGATTGGGATACGGCGATATCTAGAAGGCCAGTGGGAGTGGCTGTGGCTATAGGAGTCGTGATGTCGGAGTGGGTGCTGGTGCTGGAGGCGGTAATGTCGTCGTTGGCGAGGTTGGTGACGTTCGTGATAGGCGTCGACGAATTTGGCGACGGTAGCGGATTTTCACTCATTATTGCATCCCCTTTCTCCCTCCTCCCGCTGCTGAAGAGAGTAGATGTCTGACGGATGGAGCAGTGGCCGTCCAAGCAGAACAAGTACACCTACGGGCGGACACATTCGGCGGTTGTGTGGTTTAAGGTGTGGTGTGTGTGTGGTGGTGGAGGCGCAAAGGCGGGAAAGGCCCTGGAGAGAGGATGCTTGCTGTGTCGGCAGCCAGGCACTATGACGTATTCAGGGTGATTTAATCGGGGCGAGCCTGTTGGTCACCAGCGCACAACTCACATAGTAGGGGGAGAGAGAGAGACACACACATGCACGCACACATACAGTGTACACTAAATAGATAGGTAGTCAGGTAGAAAGACACAGCCTGATGCAGTTGCAGTTATTGACACCGGCACACACACACATATGCAGAGAATCGAAGCAAAGAAGCCGGCAGAGGCGGTGTCGGGATCAAAGTTGGCACCAGCCGTGGGGCAGTAGTAGAAACAATTCAAGAATTTAAAGAGGAACTCCCTACAAGGGCATACACGGATGGGTCAGGTTGGGTTGGATCAGATCAAGCCACAGGTGAGTTGCAAGGAATGGACGAATTAGGTCAGGTAGATGTGAAGATTTTGGCTGAGCGCGTGGTGGCTTTCCTAAAGGCCCCCCTTCGCACTCTAGGAAGGTCACGGCAAGCGGGTGCTATCTACAAGTACATATGCAGTGGCCAGGGAGTAACACTGACTGTACGTTTACGGTGTAGGACTGTAGGACAGGTTACGGACGGTAAAAATACGTTGCCTGGCCTAGGATGTGGCTGAAGAGTCAACCCGTAATAGCAGAATTGTTGAAGCGTCTATCATCAATTCCAGAATGGGCACGTTCACTAGTTTGAAGGTTCATTGACTTGCAGTAGTACGGTGTACCTCGTGGTAGTTGAGGCTTGGAAGGGGAAAACCTGGGAGGGGGAGCATACAAGGGCCTACTATGTAACTACAGGCAAGTAGGGAGGATGACAACGAGTAGCAGGGCAGGGTACGAAGTAGGGTGCGAGTAGGGCAGTATGGCGGCACTGGCGGACAGAACACTAATGATCAGGTTGGGTTGAATTGAAGGGGGAGAGGAGAGAAGAGTGGAGGGAGAAGGTTTTAGTTTCGTTACCAAGCATACTCGTAAGATGATTACTTACTTAAAACGAATACGAGCAAAACAGGTTAGGAACAAGAGGCAAGGAATAATATATTTGTAGCCCATAAGATTTATTGAATGAATTAATCTGGTGATAAATCGAATTGACTCTATGACTACAATCTTACAACTCGTAGCATCTATTGATACGAATGACTATGAGTGCGGTGAGTTGTTGAAGAGTGTAGTACGAATCCCCAGTGAAGACGTCAGCCAAGGCGGCGCTCGCTAGGAACAGGGTCACACTTCATCATCAATGATGCCTGTAGACTACGAGTGACTACAAGTGACTATTACAACGAGGTACTCCGTTCTCTCTCTAGAAGACTGTCAGTAAGCAAGAGGTTTATGGTAACTCGTAGTCACTCGTAGCCACTCGTAAGGTCTTCCTTGCCATCCACGCCACAACATTCAACCCTTCCAACCCACCCTCGTACGTTTTCTTTCCCAACCCAATTCCAATTTCTTCCATCATTCGGCCCATCTCCAAATCCCCAATCTTCGATTCACGAATCTCGATTACCCTATTTCTCGATCCCCTCTACGTACGCTTTGACCGCTTGCAGCATCCGCGGCGCGCGCCCCCACTGCACTTCAGCTTTTCTCGCTGGGCCAAAAGAGAGCATACGGCTGGCCTTGTCTCTCGTGTGATTGGTTGGCACAGCATACCGTCACACAAGCCTCGTAGGAGAGAAATACCATAGCATCCGAATGCGGAACAAGCGTGTCCCCATAATTAGCCCGCTAGCGTTCTCGATGTCGCCTAGCGCCGTTTGTCTTACATGTGTGTGTAATTGAAGGAACAGATGTTAGAACAAGGTACAGGTTAGATGGATGGGAGGTTAAGCCTCGTACATGGGACTATAATTACATGTGCACTTCCCATCGTGATTTACACCTAGCAATCGAACTTTTGTTAAATGTGCATCGTATGTTTTGTCGCCCTATACGCGGTTCGCTTGTAACGTAACCTATGCCGCTAGTTATGGTATGGAACGGACTAACTACTCTACAATTCACTGTACCTGTATCTTCATCTACCCAGAGGCTAGGTGTATACCTACCCGCACCTAGACCAGACCAGCAGGTATACTCAATCGAGGATTGGTTTACATCGTCCTCTCTCCGTGGAGATGCCGGTTCGAACAATTCGCCGCGCCGAACACGCCACTTGTTCGCCCTGTTTGCGCCCTAATAATCGACCGAGATACCTACCAGCGCTACCTACTCAGAGAACAAATATCACATTTCCCATAGTCCAGTTTCGTCCACAGACATAATAATAATCAAGCCAACGGTAAGCAGTTGAAAACCCATACACACTAATCCATTTCGTACCATAACGACGCTACGGTACACACGTAGGAGTATGTCAAAATAGTATTATCATAGAATCGAACCCGCTAAACCCCCTTTCAAAAATGCACCCTCACTCTTCTATCTAGAACTGTATCTACAAAAAGGGGAGGAAGATGAAGAGTGTCACGCCCTGCCCTACTTTCTCCATCTCTCTCGCTCGCTGCGTTTACCCAAACTAACTACCTCCGCACCCAATTGTAAATTTGCACACCCCACGCCTACCGTTACGGACCGACGGACAGAAGAAAGTGATGATCACGAGGCAAAATATCTACAGAGTGTGTATATCCAAGGTTCTTCTGTTGCCCTTCCAGACTAAGGGGGAGGTGGGGAGCCCAACTTACGTGCGCACGTGGCGAGCCAGGATAGTGTACCAAACAAAAGCCAAACGAACCAACACCCTACCTCCGATTCTCGACCCAACTTTCTGCGTGTGTGTACTGTACTCGGTACATTAGACTTAGACGCCCGAGTAGGTTCCGCTGGCGATGCGCTTGACGCTCGCGACGGGCTTCCACCCCACGATGGCCGGGCTGGGCAGCGGAACGGTCTCGTCGGCATCAGCGAAGGGGTCGGTTTCCCCTTCTGGCTTTGCGTCGATGGGGGACGGCTGGGAGACGCTGAGGCCGCTGCCGAAGCTGAGGGTCTCGTCGCCGGTGACTTCCCAGCGAGCTTCGGTGTTGCCTGGCTTTGCTTCGCCGTCCGTGGCGAAGCGGACGCGCATCAGCTGTGCGGGCTGGTCTTTGGTGAAGGTCGCTTCGCCGAGGCGCCAGTAGATGAGGCCTCGTTCCCGTGAGAAGGTGCCGGGGGGCTTGGACTGGCAGGATGTTGTCTTCACGCCTGGTTCGAGGCGGACGACGAGGACGAGGTTGCGGAGCGTGATCGACGATGCATTGCCCAGGTTGTAGTCTGGGTTGAGCGAGTAGTGTAGTATCACTGACGTCTGGTTTGGCTCAACACGCCACGCCGGCGACAGGACGAGCGGCGCGAATGTAGATAGATTGCTGCCGTCGAGGTGGACTTGATAGTGGAAGGCCACCGACGTCTTGGTGATCTTGGTGAGGTCGACGTTGTACGTTCCCGGGGCGTCGGGTGCTTGCTCAATGAAGGCTGGATTGGGCGCGACCTTCTCCAGAACGGGGAAGTTCTCCAATCGAATGTTCTCCGTCCCGAATGGACCTGCAGAGAGATCGACTGGATTGAATGCAAGCGCCACTTGACCGATGACCATAGCTTTGGTCACCTTTCCTTGTTCGAACCATGCGCTAACCGTCTCGACCAATGACGCATTTAGCCCTGGCTCATGCAGGTCTGGGTGTCGGATGGTCGTGCTGGCAGAGCTGCTCAGCGAACGTCCAGATCGCACGGACTGGGTATCGGAGGCTGCGTGGTCGTCGGCAAGCAATGTCCTGTGGGGAAGCTTGAATGCTGGCGATGACGGTTGGGGTGGGAGTGTGGTTGCAGGAAAACCGCTTGAACCAGGAGCAGAGCCGCCTGTTGAGGGCAGAGGAGGGATCGATGACTCTCCGATGCTTGTGAGCTCCGGTGTCGCGGGATTTGGTACGAAGATGGTGTTGCGAACATCTCTTCGGCCACGTAACGTGTTTGAACGTCTAGCTGTAGGTGCAGCTTGCTGCAAATAGTCAGTCGATGCCACATGGTTTGAATAAGTCCAAAAAGGCGTACCGCTCGGAGAGTGTTCGCTAGCGTAGCCACAGCCGCGTCCGCATCCCCATCTTCTTCCTGGATGGGCGCATTGCGAATATCAAGTTTGAACTGCGGCGCAGGTGCACTCTCACCGGGAACGCTGAATGATGTCAGTTGGTACATAAAGATCTCGGCGGATTGGTTTCTCATACAGGCCTGCCTCCCTCTCCGCTTCCGTAATGGCGTCAATCGCCGACGGAGGAACAGAGAAGCCCTCGGCGTCTTTCTCAGGCTATTCATCTCGTTAGCGTAAAGTCGACGGCGCTTGCCCACGTGAAGAATTTACCTCCGGTTTGACGTCAGCTGCGGGAGGAGGTGACAATGGCTCATTCAGTTCAGGAATGGTTTCCTGTGCTGTACCATTCACCGAGCTGGCGCCCGTGGTTATCTCTTGAAGAGGCTCCGGGCTGGTAGCGCCATTGGTCCTCTCGCTTGCAGACTGTCGTGTCTGTCGCGGCGAGCTAGAAGCGTCCGATGGTCGCGGAGTCAAGGACAATCTTCTCGATGGTGATCCTGGCCGATCGTTCGACATAGACGAGCCGGGCGCATCACGGTCCTTCGCCTTGCCTTTACCAAATCCACTGAATGCGGAGCTGAGATTATTAGAAGATGATTTCCGCTCTGGTGACGATGCTCGACCATACGGGTGGCTGCTCTTCCTTCGACCCAGCACTGTCCCAAAACGTTTCAGACCCTTTAGGCCGCTGTGCTTAGTCTCATGAACTAGGGTTGACTTATTAGTATGTCAATCCGTGTGCGCGAACCGTTAACGTACCAGATCCGCTCTTCTGGCTCCTGTCATCTTCGGCCGGTGGTTGATGTGGTGTGGATGGAGGAGGAGCAAGGCTCCTAGATGGCGTAGCAGTGTTACTTTGCTTCCTTACGGGCTGTTGTCTTTCCCCACTCTGCACTCTTAAAACGAATGTCTTGATCTCATCCGCCGTCTCAATGTTGAGCAAGACATTCAGTGTTTCTTCTGCACTGATTCTGCTTCTCTCCACCTGGTCCACCTCGTGTGTCTGGAACTGTGTGAGGACGTCGCGCAGGTGGTCCAGCCTAGATTCGTCGACTGCCTGCAGTTTTTCAAAAACGTACGGTGCTTGCGATTCCCACTGTAAGGTCGCCTTCTCGACATCGCCAACTGCATTGGCGACTTTGCTCGCCTCAGCCTTGGTACCCTTGTCCCTCAGTTTATCAGACTTCTTCTTAGCGGTCTCGATCTCCTTAGACATGGCGGCGAGGTTGCCAGAGATGGTAGCCATGGCTTGAACCTCGCGATTGGTCGTAGCGAAGTCGCGGAGTGGGCGCTCGACATCTGCGTCAATCTTCTGTGCGAGTTGGTGGTGCGATTCGGCGACGGCCTCGGTTGCGCTGACAATCTTCTGCCATGGTGTTGAGAACACACTGTGTACCATTAATATTTCCACGTTCTAACACTGTCGTGGCGAGAGAGAGCATACCCCAAGTCTGAGGACTCGTCCGGAGGGTGCTTGAGAGCTAACTTTCGAAGGCCCTGAACATAGAGTTCCTCCACACGGCGCCGTTCCTGCGGATTTATCAGCATTCGAAGCCCGCGACGGGACTGGCGTATCCACTGACCTGGAGCCAGTCTGCGATGTGCGAATTGAGCTGGCTGACATGGCGCATGCGATCATTGAGGAGATTGACAGCTTGCGCAGGCGGGAGAGTGTCCTAGGAGAGGGTCGTCAGTGGATGGAGCTTGGGCAGCTCGGGGAATTCACTTGCCAGCAGCGCTGGATAATCTTTGCGTTGTAATTCCATGAGTTCGAGATGCGGAGGAGAGCGGCGCGAAGCCAGAAGGGAGCGAGTCAAGCCGTTCACATAGAAATCGGGTCCGGAGAGCTCCTCGCGGAGGGTGGAGAGCTGTCAAGATCGAGGACGTCTCTTCGCTGTCAGTCGACGGCTGGGGCTGATCCGTATTGGGATTAGACCCGAATGCTGCGGTTGTGCGCGGGTTGACGTAACGTCGCAACTTGTCTGTTAGTTCGGCCAAAGGGCGTTATGGATGTTGGCCTAGTGATAATAATAGGAGATGGGTTATCATGAGACGAAATGATTAATCAGTGAATGCATTGGCGACGGTTGTAGTCTGGGATCGTTACGAGGAGGGCTTTCCTGGATGGAGTTGGGCGAGGCTGCTGCTAACTATGGCGAGTGAGTGAGTTGGCGGACTCACCTTATTTTGTTCCGGTACGGGGGACTGGGTACCTGTTAGTACGCACTCACGCACTGTATGTATACCTACATTGCACTTGCACACTGGAAAGACAGGGAATATCTTCCGGCGGCTCGGAAACTGTTCAGTTCTTACCGAAGACCTCACTCCTTGGCAACAAACACCCACCATCGACCTTCTACGTCTTGGTCTTCGTACTCGTACCTTTCATAAGTCTCACATTCGGTCAAATAGCAACACATTATAGTTTGGTGTTATCTCCTCAGTTTGACAACGCATCCACCATTCAACAATGGCGATTGCATCATCGTCCGACTGGCATTCGTCGTTGGGTTTCTCTGCCCGACTGACAACAGTTACTAAAATGCAAGTATCCCCTGATAAGCTAGAGAGCCCTCAGCATGGAAGACCTAGCAAGAACTGTTCCATCGCTCAACGTGTCCGAGATTAGTTGTCATGGCATAATGTTGTTGTAAAACAAGCTCGCAATAAACATTGTTTTGAACGTCAACAATAACAATGCTACTGAGAAGGACGGTTCATTCGGGTCAATTCAGTCTAAACCTAACTTCCAGAATGCCTCAATTCTGACAAAATATTGAACATTTGTATCTTGGCAATGGTATTGCCATTGGGATCCAATTTCCTGTGTTATCGCAGTTGGCTTGCACTCGCTTGTTGGACCTCATACCGATATAGATTCTGACTTGGATTTAGTTCGCTCGCGCTGCAACGTTGTGACCCATCAATATCCCCTGTAGATGCCCGCAAAGAGGCAACCATAGTAGAAGCACAACTATATGATAGCGCAACTTCATCTGTACGAAATATTCGTCAACCTTGATATTTACTCAGCAAATTGACCTATGCAAGGATGACTACAATGAGCGATGCGAACAAGCTATTCACGATTACAATCAAAGAGAAGCTGAGATTCCAACATTGGAGGTAGGTCACCCATATCTCTTCATCGAATGTGTATGATCGCAAAGCTTAGTCGTAACTAGGAAGAAGAAGACACATTACCTTCACCAACCGGTGTAGACATTGGAAGCTATAAGGATGCAACATATTACAAAGAAGGTCTCTTCTCGGCCATCTACAAAGCAGCAGCCTTGGACCAAAATCACAATGCGTCCGAAACCCCATCCAAACCTCAACTGGTCGCTTTGAAAATAACGACGCCGTCAATGATGGAAGCACCTCACGATTCACGGCGCGAGGCCAGGATCCTAACAATGGCGCAATCAGATCATGTCCTACCGCTGATCGAAACCTTTCGAGAGGCTGGATCTAGATTTGTTCTAGTTACTCCATTCATACCATACGACTTCGATCAACTTCTCCAGGATAAGATGCTATCAAAAGAACAGATCAAGAGATGCCTTAAAGACTTGTTCAGCGCACTTGTATTCGTACACGCAAAGGGGATCATTCACAGAGACATCAAACCCTCAAACATACTGGTGAAGTCACTAGATGGGCCCGCTTATCTGTCAGACTTTGGTATATCGTGGGCCGAAGGTGTAACTGGTGCAGAACCAGCAGATGCTAAGATTACGGACGTTGGTACGACTTGCTACCGTCCTCCAGAACTGCTTTTCGGCAACAAGCAGTACGGCACTAGCTTGGATCTATGGGCTGCAGGCTGCACTGTCGCTGAAGCTTTGGCTCCTGATCATCCAACATTGTTTGATTCGGGAGAATTGGGCAGTGACCTTGCTTTAGTGCAGAGTATATTCACAAAACTGGGCACACCAAACCTTACGGTATGGCCGGTAAGAAGCTCGATCTGTTACTATACAGTACATTAATGAAAACTAACTCTTCTTAGGAAGCGAAAACACTTCCAGACTGGGGAAAGATGCAGTTCCATGAGTACCCGGCTCAAACTTGGCCGTCATTACTTCCTAATACTTCGGAAGTCGAGCACAATCTGGTCGCTGGGTTAGTCCAGTATGAGAGTTCAGCGAGGATGACCGCGTCTGAGGCAAGATCAATGTTGTGCGTGCTATGCTTATTGCTAATTTGAAACAGGTCCTTCAGCACGCATACTTCTCAGATTAAGTTTTGCTTCACATCTTGCAACCCGATCTTGTTAGAAGCGACGATAATGAACCTTCGAATACCTGCACATTGTTTTATAGCGTGTTATAAAAAGACGACATGAATTTGAACGCCGGATTTTCGTCTTACGCATTGGATCTTGACTTGGGTCAAATGTATTTATCTACCTGCTGGATTCATTCACATGGACGGATATTTTTGGTTCCAGGCGGAACAGAACTCCAGTAATACTGCATACACGATCGTCGTAATTTCCAAAATGCGTTCCCATTGGAGGGCCATATGCTGTACAACGGTGTTTCTTTGCTTATGTACCAGATGCCTTATGGCGCAAACCAAGTGTGACGTCGTGAGTGGATGGAAGCTCCGTCGCTTGCGTGGTCGAGTACATTTGGTGTGGTTTTCCCAATCGGGAAAGGTCAGAATCTAGACCTGCAGGGTTGATGGGAGCGCATTGACCGGGGTCCTCAACCTTGAAGTGAAAGGATACAAAACAAACCCCCCGCCGTCGCCCTTGTGTACGACCAATGTTCCAGTGCTCGTCAAGTCGATTCTCTTCGTCGTGCTATTCCATGCCTCTCCCGCCGAGGTCTTCTTCCCCGCCGTGACATACTGCGCCTCTTGTGCATATCCCCCACCCTAACGCATAACATCCCACCTTCGAGATCAACAAGACTATTCTAGCTCCGTAAACATGGCCTTCCTTTTCAGGAACAAACAGAAGAACAACCTCGACCTCGTGAGGTCTACGAAGGAGCTTACTCTGAGGCTGAGCCAGGAAGAAAGACCAAATCCGAAGGTCGGCAACTATGCCAGCTGTCCACCAAGACCCGGCTGATGACAATCTTAGGTTGAGGAGGAATTGGCCCGCAATCTTCAGCAGATGAAAATTACCCTCCAAGGCACTCCTGGTATGGCACCCTAGGCTTCCTCAAACTCTTTCGTGCGGCTGTCTCTTGTAAAACCCATGACAAGTAGCTGACCATGTCTTACAGAAGCAGAAACCAGCCCAGAATCGGTGCACCAGCTGCTCTCACTGATAGTACAAGAAGACATATTATTCTTCCTTGCAAACAATATCCACAAATTACCCTTCGAATCCCGTAAAGACGCTCAAGTTATTTTCTCGACCGCCTTTCGATACAAGCCTGCAGGCGCTTCAGATCCCCAAGTCCTTCACCACGTTATATCGTACCGTCCCGAAATAATTATAGCACTATGCAGGGGTTACGACAGGAGAGAAAGTGCCATGCCTTGCGGTGGAGTATTGCGGGAAGCTTTGAAATATGATGCGATCGCCGCACTATTACTATATGATGAGCCGACACCGGACGGGAAAACGAGGGACCTAGCGAGTGTAAATCCGGACATACCATCTTCTGGGGAAGGAGTCTTCTGGAAGTTCTTTGACTGGATAGATAAGGCTGCATTTGAGGTCAGCGCGGACGCATTCAACACATTCAGGGTAAGGCTATCTCGCAAGCCCATAATAGTCAATAGCAGGTCTAATGCGTATGCAGGATATCCTGACGAAGCACAAATCATTAGTCGCCACATATCTTCAAACGAATTTCGACATGTTCTTTTCGAAATACAACACCATTCTTCTACAATCCGACAGCTACGTAACAAAAAGGCAGTCTATTAAACTCCTGGGCGAAATCTTGCTCGACCGGGCGAACTACAGTGTTATGACTGCATACGTGGATTCAGGGGAGCATCTTAAGATCATCATGAAGTTATTACGGGATGACAGGCGGATGATCAATTACGAAGGCTTCCACGTGTTCAAAGTAGGCGTTTCTCCTGCTCTCGCTTGATCAATCACTGACCAGAACAGGTTTTTGTGGCAAATCCAAATAAGTCTGTCACTGTGCAGAGGATTCTGATCAGCAACCGGGACAAGCTTCTCCGGTTTCTGCCAACATTCCTTGAGGACCGGACAGAGGATGACCAGTTCATTGATGAGAAAAGCTTCCTCATCCGGCAGATCGAACAGTTACCAGCCGCCCCCGTTCCACCACCAGGTCTGGGTTAACCACGTTATGTAAATCTAGGGCCGGGTCGCCCTGCTGCAGTTTCCGTTTTTTTTTTCTTACTAGCATAGGACGGTGTTGAGTTTTGTGTTCAATTATTACCCATGATGCTGGTATCATGAAATGAAGGCGTTTGTCATATCAGCATAAGTCCAGCGATAGGAAGCATACGTACAATAGAGTGGATCAAGGGTCCTCCAAATATCATCATCAGCTTCATGTCTGCTCACATGCGTCTTCCGTTCATTATATATTGCCAGATTGCACATTGTCCATTTCAAAGGCCCACCCACTGGAATTAGCCGCATCAGGTCGAACATATATCACAATGCATTTGAATGAAAAGGCAAACACAAAATAGTGTTGTGAGCACATACGTTATATGGGCTTCGCATGTTCACCTGTGTTAAAGTTTGATCAATCAATGCCAATACTTAGTTGATCTTAATATGCATTATTGTGCACCTCCAAGACAGCAGAATTACAAACAGTGAGCTTCTGACCTTTACTTTGATCTTTACTTCGCTACATAGCCTCCGTACTCCTCAGTGCCCAAATTATCACATCCAATCGAGTGTCACAGCTGCTCGTATTGAAAACTTCAACGTGCATACAAAACACGTGCCAATTGCGCAGCTGAACTTTGGTGGCGCACTCGATTCGGCTCCACCTAACGTTCACAGCTTGGTGGTACCTAATACGAGGAAACTTGCTCTTTTCGCTCTTCGCAGCCTTGCTGTCGATGTATTCATGCAGCTTTTAGATGAAATGGCTTGAATATGGACTGGGATGGTATTACAATCCGTGATACCAATCGAAGTATGTACAACCTAATGGACTTCAGCTCCCAGCCACAAATTGATGAGCCACACTGCTAAATGATATATAAGATCATCTGAATTGGTGTTTCTTGAAGTACCATAATCCAATTGAGAGTTTTCGATCTTCGCTTCACAGTTCATCTCTTGTCCCCGACCACGATGTTCACAACTCAGTATCTGGGAGCGCTTGCTCTCTACAGTGGCCTATCTGCTGCTCTTAAATTCGACGGACCGATTGCAACGCCCATTGTCCGCGACATATTAGCTGCGGATGGGTGGTCTCCGAAGCCAACAGCTGCGCCAGCGTCCTTGCCTGAACTTTTTAGGCGACAACTCGATCCAGCATTCTGTGGATATCTCGAAGGTGATCCTGGTAAATTCCCACTCCAACATACAGATCCATTCATCTTAGCTCACGTATCTCGAAACAGAGTTTCCCATGTCTTGTGATGCCGGATCGAGCTGCAGATTCGCGGAGTCGCTTGGCTGGTGGGGATGTTGCACTGGGACAGCAGTGTCGGATTGTGAGGTCGCTACGAGGTGTATCGAGAGCGCTTCGATTTCCTCGTGTCTAGGGAATGCCGAATGCAGTCAGGATCCATTTGTGACAGGATGGTAAGGTCATACATACGCTTTCACATGTACTATTGTCTGATAATTCAACAGCACGGAGGCCACTGCTGCATCATGCGTCCGCTTGAATACCCTCATACTCGAATCGACGTACTCTCATTTCGCATGCGCGTCACAAGAGACTACCTGGGAAGTCGTATTTACTACCACCGCGAACGCGACATCTGGACGTCCGACCAGCACAGAGGCGGGAACAGAAACCGAATCGGAGACAGGACGCCCAAGCGTTAGCTCTATCCCACGACCGAGTGTCAGCTCCATTTCACGCCCGAGTGTGAGCTCCATACCACGCCCAACTGTGGACTCCATTTCACGGCCAGAGGTCGATCCCGTTACACGTCCAAATGCCAGCTCAAGGACGACGGGTGGAAATTCTCAACCGACGGTCGCTACAAATGCGGGTGCATCTAGTAGCTCGTCTACTGCTGCTGCTGCACAGAATACGGCAGAGGCAATGATTGCGGCTGCTGGTGGTGTTTTGGGATTTATGGCTATGTTTGTCTGACACTATTTCTTCAATTAGCTGCTGGTATGGTGAGGGTTGTTGGTACATCGTTCCTATGCAGCTTCTGCATATGCGTCAACGTCACTGCCATTATTGAGTCGAAGTTTCCCATAGAATTTGAGACGAATGGCAATAGAAAAGTTCAGAGTCTTACTTATGATCTCCCCTCTCCTACAAAATATCTGCAGACCATATCGTCAACTATCGTTCGAGAAAGTCATTCAGCCCGCATATCATATCACAAAGAAAGCATTAATACTCAACTACCATCAATATGTTCAACCACTCGCTCAACATGTTCCTGGAATCTCTGCCCCTCTTCCCACTCCTTTGGTTCCAAGGCGGCGAACCACAGATCGTCTTTCCCACTATCGATCCATCTTTGGTTGTCAATAATTCAGTCGCAACGTGTGCGGCCTACAGCATCACTCGCTCCACGTCTCCAGCGACTCTCAGCAATACCTACCACTCCCAGAAGCAGAAGAGAGACAAGCCGTTATTAACCCTAATCGAAGGTGTACGCGTACCGAGTACCAGTCCAGTGTACGGCCCCATCTCGGTTTCCGCCAACCAGACCCAGACAGAACCACTGCTCATCGTGGAGACCCGTCCGATGCCCGGGAACCTCCCAGAGTCCACAGATCCACCCACAGACCTGCAGCCTTATGCTCCTGTTATAAGTACGTCGATGACTGCGGAAGATGACAGTTTCGATTGCCGCCCGGTAGGAGATCGATATACATGCACCCCAGCCACTACGTAAGAATCCATCTACAGCCATGTTAATGATTGTGTGCTAAGATCTGGATTAGACGCAATCAAACTACAATTACCACCACAAAAAGCAGTGACTGCGCACAGACGCGATGTGTCGGCATCGACGCCGTCGACATGTATTTGATATGGTTCCTGGGTTGTGTTATCTGTCTACTCTTCAAAAAGGCGTACATCTATTTCACGAATGACGGACGACGAACACGAGAAGTAGAAGAGAATGATGTCAATGAAGGCTCTGAGGCTCATGCACAAACACCTCAGGAAGTGGGCGGTACCGAAGGGGAAGTCATTGGCAATAAGGAAACAGAAGAAGACCCAGGACGATTTTATGTTGAAACTCTGGAATGAACCTGAGAAAATAAGCAATGAGGAAGTGGAAAACCTTGGCAGAATGGAACCAACACCACGATCGGTGGAGATCTGTAATCAAAAACCAAAGAGTAAGCGACGAAGGGGTTAATTGAGGCTGATCAGTTCAAGGGAGGCAGAGTTGAGAACAATAGTAGAGTGGAATCCATCGCAGAAAAGTCAGGGTGGAGAAAGCCAGCAATTAGTCTCGGCGCGAGTGCCAATCGACAAGAAATATCAATCTCTCTCGTCTGTTTATATGATAGCTAATCTTGAGGATTGCCAGCTCAGCGATGGGCGCTACGGCCTCTGAGCTGAAGATGCCCATTTACTTTTTTGAGCAAGATCCGACCCACTTCATGAGGTTTCGCACTAAATGCTTATTATTCCCCACCTGTGTCTCCAACAGCTGCTCAAGAGATGGATGAATGAATTACCATTCGCCGTGCGAAGATTCATTATACTACTTAGGGGCAAGAAATGGAGCATGAATTTGCTACCTCACCAATTTTAACACAAACACAAGCATCTTGTCGCAAGTATCCTGACACTCTCAAGGCTTCTCCGTATTACCACCTTTCGTGATAGGCGTCCCATCCGCCTCAGCAAAGTGCCCCTTTTGCGACCCCTCGAGCTCCGCATACTGCTGACCGGAAAGCTCTGCCGGCGGCGCGCTGGGCCCTCCATTCTGTCCAGCGTGGTAAGCGTACACCTGCGCATTCTTGACGTCGCTGCCGAGCTCCACGGCGCCGTTCCTGTACGGGTTCTTCTTGTTCTGTCGTCGCCTCCACCAGAACCAGAAGCCTGCGCCGACGAGCGCGAGGCCGGCGAGGGGGCCGATGACAGCGCCGGCGATCCAGGCTTTAGATTCCTCGCCGCTGCTGCCGGTGACGCCGCCTCCGTTGGAGGTTTCTTGGGATGTCGTGGGTGGGGATGTCGTTGATGTTCCGGTGACGCTCGATGCGCTGGTCTGTGATTGTTGCGACGACGACGCGGAGGAGGAAGTCAATGTGGCGGCGCTTGATGATCTTGATGGCGAAGCCGAGCTGGATAATGTCGAGGATACGATGGTCGTTGTGATGGTCGCTTGCCAGTCGCCTTGGTCCCATGCTGGCCAGCATTGGTAGTTCATGATGGGCTGTTGATCGTTGATATAGTGGAGCACTGTGCCGGTTTGACATCTTGTTTGGGCGGCCGTGCCGGTACTGTTGCAATCAGACGTTAGCTCATGAAGTTCAGTAGTAAATATGTGATTGTAATGGGTCGTTTTGTTTGCATAAGGGACGGATTGGAGGATCGTACCATGTGCTTGAAGTCCCCTCACCGGCCATGATACTGCCGCTCAGGCAGGTGGTCGCTATGAAGCTTTCTTTGGCGGTCTCCGCGCATCGTCCAAAGTTCCCGCTTGTGATGAATGCTGAGCTCTCGCGGCAGTCCCATACTGAATCTATGAAAATTGTTAGTGCAGTGAACTTCAAATTGTACGATGGCAATGCCATTGTCGTGGCATTGATAACTTACATGCGCCTTTGTCGTAGGTATATCCAATCAATCTTGGAGTCTCTTTGTCGAGAATTTCCTGCCGACGAAGCAGCTTGGGTGCTGGAGTAATCGCAGCTTCGAGAGCGAGCGCGCTCGCGCTCGGAAGCAACATCATGAGTGCTAGCAACATGACGACGATTATATTCCAATGTGGACGAACCTCCAGGGCGTAGTAAGGTACACAGTACGAGGTATGTATGTACGAAGGACGTGGGGGAGGATGAGATCGGGGCGAAAGACGCAACGACGGGGCACAGACACACCTATCTACCTAAACGCAGATAATATCTATGCAACTTCGCATGCGCAAAAGTCAATGGGAAAAGCAGGTTTATGGCACACACGCACGCGCGCGGGGGGGTGGGGCAGGGGACTCGAAATACCAAATGGCGAAAAACCTAAACCACCTACGCAAAATAGGAGGGAGGCTTAGCCGTTCGCTCGGGGTGCGGGAGCGGCTGCATGCGTTGGGTGTGCACGCTAGACATGGTTATTGCGAATGTAAGGCGTCCCAATTGTTGTGGACTCGACTGGAATCAAATCAGTCACAGACCATCAATCAGCCCTGTGACGCGGTGCCTCTACGGAGATTTTCGGTGGTGTTTTTGTGGGACAGTATACGAGTGACAGCTGATCTTAAAGGGCGAGTAAGCGTTTCTCTCTGTTTCGTTGCGATACGTGGATGCCGTCAAATGGGTTGAATGCCCGCATTGTTCTTGAGTTGACTAGATTTGCCCCCCATGCAAAGGATCAGTTGATATCCTGACGTTTCGGAGTATTTACCAATTTACAAGACTTTCCCAAACACTGTTGTGATACGAAGTCCGATCTAGCGACTTCATCCTGTGTAACGATTGGCCAGTTTGGTAAAGGTGGTGCTGCTTTGGAAGCCTTAAATGGGAAATCGCTAACCGCATGGGGTAAAAACCGAACATGGGACGAGATTAATTCAACGACGGTCCCTTGGCAGTTCTCACGACACTCGTTAACTCTCTCACACACCTTCAATCACATACATATGTATGTAGGTAATGACACACCTAGCAACGAGTCAATCGCTGCAGGTGCTCAACCTCTGTTTTGCCTGAATGGTGGACAATTGAGTATCAGATATTGTTGTACTTATATTGACCAATTGGCAACGGGATCTTTATCGCTTCTTCGATCCACGTCCGCCTCTGGCGCTTTTGGCTTTTCCTTTGGCACCACCACTGTTACCCCCTCCTCCTCCGCCGCCACTTGTCCCACCAGCCATCATCACCCTTACTTTGCTGACTGGCATAACGCCTACTACCTCAGTCTCTTTCCAGCCACGGATGAGTGATATTTCTTGGGGCCAGATTCTCTCCACATCTTTGCTGTGTTTGTCGGTGGCACGGGGGTTCTTGCCAGCCGCGTCCCATCGCATGAGGATCTCTTTCACGGCCTTGCCCCTCTTCACCGCACCTGGCTGTATCTTGACCTTGTACTTGAAAGAAGCAAGTGCCGACCATGGAGCACACACCGGGATCGCCGAGATGATCTCATCTCCCGGTAGGGGACGGCCCGTGAGCGCATCTAGCTCGAGAAGCTGAGCCTTGAGCGTCTCATCGTCAATGGCATCGTCATCCTGTCCATTGCCCTCATGGGCAGCACGGCGAGCTTCTTCGGCAGCTTTGCCGATGGCTTGTGCTCGAAGGTGTTGTTCTCGACGACGCTGCTTGTTCGCCAAGGCTTCCTCCTCCTTTGCTCGCTTTGCCTCCGCTTCATCTTCTTTTGCTTTTTGGCCTGATGTTGCTCCCAGAAGACGCATTGCGAGTGCCCGCTCTTCTTCATCTTGATCAGCGTATTTCGCAGCCACTTTCTTGGCCTTTCCACGCTTTCCTCTGGGCAGTGGCTTATTGGTAGATGCTTTTGATGTCTGAGAGAACACACTTGCTGCGGGTTGCGATTGTCGTGACGTCTGTGTACCAACCTCTGTGAAGTTAGCTTTAGAGGCATCATCCTCCTCCTCGTCAGACTGCTGTTGTGATTCAGATTTCAGCAAACTGTCTGGGGTCTGTCCCTTCCTGAGAAGACGTCTTTCACGCGCAGATAAATGACGCTTCCCTTGTTTGCTCTCTGTCTTTTCAGAATCGGCAACGGAGCCAACATCATCTTGTTCTGTGTGGGTGGTAGTAGTTTTGCCCGCTACACCTTGAGGTTTAGCTTCTTCGCCCGCGTCAGAGTCGGCGTCAGAATCGTTGCGGTTACCAGGAGCGCTGGATTGCAAGGGATTGGAGCGCCCGGAAGGCTCGTCGTCGTCGCTTGCATCTGATCCCTCATCCAGTTTGGCATCGGGAAAGTCATCGTCCGACTCTTCTTCGATCTTTGCGTCCGGGAAATCCTCTTCACTATCACTGTCTTGTCCATCAGCTGCAGCAGCCGTACCATTATCCGCCTTCGTTTCGGTATACTCTGTGGTGGGTGCGTCTCCAATGCGGTGCTTTTGGTGACGAGCTTTGCTCTCTTCGCTGATTTCAAAAATCACTCCTAATCCGACGATGAGTTGGGCTGGAGGCAAAAATTCCTTTTTTCCTGTGACGTTGAACATTCCCGGCGGTAAGAATGTACCAGTCTGGTCAGTCTTGCTGACTTGTTCGCTGTTGACCCACCACGCCGACATAACGGCCTTTGAATCCCATGCCTCGGAAGTACAGACAGAAAGGTGGCCTGCTTGTGAAAGTGTCGATGGAGGAATCGGTGCATCCGGTGTGTTTGGTTTGTTCTTGATGATCATTGGTTGGGCACCCTTCAGATCTGCATGGACGTAAACGTCTCCTTTGCGGAAGTATCGTCGGTAGATGATTTCGTTTTGCTGGGCATCTTTACCGCCGAGCACAAGATAACCATCAGAGGAAAGGAAGTAGATGAACTTCTCAAACCATTGTTGCCTTCGAACAGGCCTCAAGACCTCCTTCTCCTGTTTCAAGCCCTTCTTGAGGTCGTCCTGCACTTTGCGTTCATGACTCTTCAGGGCCTTCTCGGATGCTTGAAGCGTTCGCGCCTCCTTTCCGGCTGCGGACCGTCGCTGATCAAAGTATTCGGTGGAGTTCGCCCATGCCGAGAGTGACAGGTCTATGTCGATTGCTAATTTTGGCGGTGCCGCTACTTTGGGGGGAGTGTTCGCCTTCTTGGAACTCGTGGCGGGTTCATCCTCATCAGAATCCTCACTGACTGAGCTCGTCTCATAACCTTCCTCATCTTCCTGTCCTACCTGGTCTGCGCTGTTTTCGTCAAGCAATATAGTGACAGTGTTCTCATGAAGCTTCAGAGGAAGCTTAATCATCTGCGCCACCGCATTGCCCTGAGCTTGCTCGCGTTCGATGAGTAAATCAATCTCACCCCAATCCATACCTTGCCCAATGAGGCCATTGACGGCTTCCATGGCCTCGGTAACACGGTGAACATTTGCAAGAATTGCCTCCGCCTTACGGAAATTCAACTCTTGCACCTGTTGCAGGCCACCAATCCGGTTCTCGTGCTCTTTCCTTGCACTGTCTAGCTTTTTCTGAGCTGCAAGTTCGCGCTCGTGCAGTTTGGATTCCAGCTTCTGACCCTCGATGGACGAGAAGAATTCGTCAACGGCCTTGCTAAATCCTTCGAATTCTATGAAAGTGTACTCTGAGTCTTCGAATTGTGCAGGTCGGAAGGGATGGAGGTCGTCATAGAGTAGATTGGGCTTATCAGCACCCTCGCTATCGGGTTTAGGGGCTGCAGGATTGGGTTTCGCAAGAATGTATCCTTTGACGGGATCGGACTTGGTGATGCTCTCCGAGATCGTTCGTGCGTCTAGTAGAATCGTAACGAGTTTATCCAAGAGATCTTCATCCTGTAGCACTTGCTCTGGTTTCAACGTCGAATCGAATTTTGCGATATGCAACGCATGATCTACCAACAGCGGCGAGCATTCTGTTATGGAAACAGCCAGAGCTTTTCTAAGCGCATCCTTGCCCTGCTTCTTGCTCTTCTTTCCAGCGGCCGCATTCTGCTGTCTCTCCACTGCTTTTTGAAGACCCTCGCGCACCCTTTCTTTTGTCAGCTCCGGCGCACCGCCATAATTCTGTCGCAGAGACAAATTGTACTCGAGCCCCACTCTCAGCCGCTCGTGCTCAGCGCCTTCGTCGACGTTTCGCAGAAGCGCAAGGACCTTTAGATTGCCATCGGTGAGGACGATGTTGCCTCCGGCGTAGAATTCCAGATACAAACGATATAGGCCGTCGGAGAATTGGAATTCAATGATTCGATCGGTGCCGACCTGCGAGATCGAGGTGACTCTCCTTGTCTTCAGGTATTTTCGCAAGCGGGCGACGAAGCCCGACGGCGCGGCTGCAGTCGTGCGAGCATAGTTCGTGAGATGGCACCGAAATCCGGATTCGATGATCAGCTGCTCTCGATGGTCCGGCTTGTGGAATTTGATGAGGAATATTCGCTTTGCTAGTTAGTATTTGCTGTAGGGAAGAAACTGCTGGGGATGCGCACAGAGGAGAGGTCGTAGACATTGGTGACTCTGAGGGGAACGAGTGTCTTTGAAAGCTCGTTGGCGATGACCTAAGGACTCATGTCAGTGGCAAATAAGCATTTGGACGCTGAATCGTATTTACCTTCACATCGAGAGACGAAAACCGCTGCTTCATGGCGGGACAAGTAGCTGCTTGAAGATGTTGTCTGTGGCGGGGTCCCGTGTTACACTTGAGAATGACGCACTGCAAGCCAAGCGAGTGGGCGATCGGTAGGGCTGATTCACGGTTCCTGACGATTATGTAATGTATGGTCTTTATTCAATCATTTCTATGTCCTCAATTCGCATCATTCAATTGTTACGGAGAATTATCGTTCTCCTAGTTGTCGCTATGCTTGAATTGCCACAAACGCCGTCAACGCCATATTTTGCCCGGACAAATGCTCTAAAGCCCTTCACGCAATCTATTCGCAAGAGTCCTCTTGCCAAACTCCCAGGCGTTCATCAAGCCTTGCTCAGAAAGATCAATGTTCTTCATAGATGCCATATCTTGTGCTGGTGGGCGGCTGACGCGCGATGCTACAATGACCGGGTCCGTCTCCAGGATGATGCCATCATCTACTAACTCATCGACGGCAAGGGACTGTATGCAGTCAGCAGATGCAACCTTTTTAAAGATGTACCGTTAAACATACCACAAGGTCGTAATTCTCGACAATTGTACGCTTGTCAACGGAATTCCTGCACGTTGTTAGCGGACTAAGAAACATCTTCAGAGGATCGAAACTTACTTTAGGAGAATGTTGAGCGAGTCGCGCAAAGCAAGGACAACGCTGAATAAGTTAGAATCATGATATTGCCCAAGCTTGATATCCGTGTGCACTGTACCTGTATAATAGAACTTCGTTCTCCTCCGCTCCTCCAACCACGTATAGCATAACGTCCGACTCCATCTTGAACACAATGACTTTTTGGTCATAGAGGATAATGTCCGTAGTCTGCTTGGCCGTTTTCTCTGCAGTAAACCATTAGAAGGATTATAATGATAACGGCAGGGTAGCTGTACCCAATAGTCCCTTCTCGAATGCTTTCTGGTCCTTCACGGTCTTGTATGCGATCTGGCCGGGGTATTCGGTTGCGCCCTGAGGAGGGTGGGGATTGGAATAGTATTTCGTCAGTATGCGAGAGCCGTCATCGATAGCTGTATCGTGGTCTGTTAGCATCTGTTCTCATGGGCTTGACCCTCGACCCATTGACTAGAGCATACCGAGAATGAGGATAGCATTGACGCTAAACAGCGACAGTGGGCGTGCCATGGTCGGAAATTTGGGCGGAGCAGATCTGTAGCTTCTCGGAGGTGTCTATGGGCGGTATATAGCTTGCAATGTATCAATCAAGCTGTCTCGCATGCGGTGTCGGGGATGATGGTTGCCAGTGGGGTTTTGATAGAGGTGTCTCCAGCGGCTCGTTTAGCGCAACTCCGACCAATCGGGCAAGTCCTTGGCAATCCAAAAGTTCCAATGTCAACGCGACTTGACCTCAATCAACTTTTGAACATCCAGTTCGATAAATTGTAATTGTGTGGAAATCACCAACACAAATTATGCCTCCCCCTCGGGCATCCCTGGCGTCAATTATATGCCCTTCCACACCATTTCTGGCTCCACGACTGCTTCGTGCTCCTCCAGCTCGTGCCGCACCGGAGCTATTATGCTATACTCATACGAGAATCCAGCAGCACAGCACAAAACCAAAGCGCAATGATCGCAAAAAGAAGGCCGAGAAACCCAGAGCGAAGCGTCCGGAGGATTCTATGCATAGCACACAAGTAAGTCCTCAATTCTTTGGTAATGTAAATCATTAGCTTATTCGCGGTAGATGCAAATGCTAGATAAATTCTCCAAGGCATGTGAGATGCGCGCACTCCCAGAGATGATGGCCTGGTATCCAAGCATCAAAGGATCTTCATTGCTTAGCAGACAAGACACACGACGCATTGCACAAGCGATCCATACCTATCTTCGATCGAATCCGTCTCGAAAGCCAGACATAGACCCTTTCATTGAGCGCGTTGTGCAGGACATCTGCTCAGGAGGATTGCCACCAAGCCCTCAAGCCAACGTTCATATACTTAGTTTGTTCAAGGAGAGCAAGGAGTACGATCGAGGGATCAAATTTTGGCAATGGCTTTCTGGGAAAGACGATACTTTCGTCGACCCAGCCGTTTATGGCGCCGCAATTGAACTATTGGCCTACCAAGGCAATACTGAGCTTCCGGTGCTTGAGGATCTATACATCCAGGCCTTGAAGCGCTTTCCTGGCACTTTTGCGGAGTATCATCTCTCGCCCGATGCCATTGTACCGGACCGAACCCAGCCCTTGTCAATCATGGGCATTCCCATGAGTCTTTTACAGGGTATTATGACTGCAAGGGTACTGGCCCACGACTGGAAAAACGCATACCTGGCTTTTGATACGGCACTACGTCTTCATCCAGCGGATCTTCCACATAGATTTTTCGAAATATTCATGATCGAACGGTCACTTACTGAAGCGTATACAGTCTTTCTGATGGGCTGTCGAGCGGGTGTGGTTTTTCAACCTGGTCATCTGACCTCACTTCTGAAGAAACTGAGAATAGCTGAAGAGAGGACGTATTCTTTACAGGATAGGATCACGCTAGTTCGTGGCATGTCGAATGCGATATACGCCTACTTGGAGTGTGGAGGTACCTTAGAAGGACCGCATATTGGCTCTTTGTTGAATGCCTTCGGTGCATTGCTACCATTGAAAGAGCCTGGAAACAACTTCGAAGGCGACGAAGCCATAATCCGCGACCAGATAGCGGTGACAGCGCACCGGATTGCGGCTAGCCTGTTCGAAGCCGCAATGACCCCACACCCCCAGGTGTTCACCGCTCTGATCAGTCTAGCTGGCAAACTCAGAGTGCCTGGGCTACTGACAGTGTCTTTGAATGATGTGCAGAGTGCGCAGATCGACATATCTGACATAGGCCGTAGGATCGTGCTTCTGGCTGCAGGAGACCTACAAGACACAGATCTCATAAAGCAATATTGGACACAGATTGCCTCGCATGCGGAGCAGAATGCGGGGCCAATCACGCGTGTTGACTGGCTCACGCTTGCTAGAGTTTGTAAGCGTGCAGGCTGTGAAGATTATGCCAGAGAGCAATTGAAGACTCTCAAGCACGCCATTAGTACTGAGCACGAGCTGAGTGTCTTAGAGGAGCTGAATTTAGAGCAAACCAGACGGGAGCGACCGCTCACGTTTGTAGATCCCACAGCATTCTCTCGCGAGCTAGACGAGATAATACGACAGACGAAGGATATCGCGACTATAACAATGTCAGGACAGCCCTTAGACATCCACCAATCGCCTTTTTCCATGGTACTAGACCCATCCAAGCCACCTCTCGCGACGTTGTCAGACTTGAATGTCGTTTATGACGAATTGACTACGGATCCTCACCAGCCTCCTCCCGAGGCCGATGTCAAGACGGTAGCCCAAAGCCCTACAGGCATCTCCTTGGGAGATTTGCGCTTTCAGAATTGGGTCTCAGTCCTAGAACTGATGGCTGAGGCCGAGAGAGCCGAAGCGATTATGGAAAAACGAGTAACCTGGGCAATGGCCAACAATAGACCTTTAGATACTTCCTTCATCAACAGTTTCCGCAGCGAGGGAGCTCCAGCAGAGTCCCTGAAAGATGAATTGCGCTCTCTGTCGGAGCTTCGATCCGAGATTAAACGTCTTCGAGCGCCTACTGGACCCGTTGAAAATGGCTCGAGCAGACATGCAGTAGGCAATTCATCTTGGTCACAGCGTTCGAAGCGGTTCTACACGACTTTGGCCGGTAATACGGCCAATGGCTCCGCTACCAGGACGCGGTTGTCTAATATTGAACCGGAGTTGACGGCCAGACCTACATTGCGATACTATGTCTCCCTCGAGTCGTCGCATGTTGCCCCTCAGCCATGAAAGGTTTTGTATAGAGGGATGCGGAAGAGTGAAAATCAAAGAGCGACCACTGAAGAGGTGACGCCGCCCGAGCCTTTGTGAGATCGCCTCGATATCATTGCCATGCAAAGTCGCAATACAAGAGCATTGTACTGGGGAAGAGCTTACAAACTACCACGTATACTGTGAAAATAGAACACCAAATTTACTCTATACTCTTATTTCACTATGCAAAGCACTTACATGTATTCGTCAATTTCCACGATCTATCATCAAATCCCGCGTCAACACAAGCGACAGACGCGCATGGCTCTCGACCTCTGCATCCTCAATACGAGATGCATAACTGACGCCTGATCTAAACACATGCGTCAAACTCTCCCAGACAACTGCACGATCCTTCTATATTTACCCTTTTATGCATCATTAAGTCATTATCCCCCCAGGACCTACCCGGTACGCCACGGTGATCCAGAATACTTTGTATGCACCCCAGTCCAACCTGAACCGGGATTTTGACGACAAGCCCCCCCGTATTTCTCTTCAGCCGATTTCGGGGTATACGTGTAAAAGAGATACGAACGGCAAATTCCCCATGTTGGGGTAAAATCCAAATGTTGGACATCTAGGAAGAAAAGGATGGAGAAAAGTGAGCAAGGACTTGTACTCCTTCTTGGACGATGCCACTACACCAACTCGCTTCAAGCCTGGCTTTCGATATTCATTGCGTAAGTCCAGGTCCGCGGAAGAGAGGGATGAGAAAATGCCTTTGTCCCTGGTCGACTATACATTTGCGCCTCCGCGTCGAGAATGGAAAGCTTCCAGGTGTCGTCCTAAATTCTAAATATGGAAAGTGATCACGCATAGCAAAGCACCAACTACCGACCCACAATCTCACATATCCATGCTCACGGCATATAGACATTAATGTCCACGGTGGAGCGAGATCATATTGTAAACAGGACCGTTGCCAGGCGCGTTTCAAAGCTTGGCTCGGTTCGGGAGGAAGGGAGGGAGGGAGGAATGGCCCGCGACATCAACGGGTTGACGATCCGATCAAGCTATACAAGTAGTTTCACCCCTTAAGCGACGCATTGGAGAATGTATCGAGACTCGGAAGGCCCAGTCACTCAACTATGCCTTTAAACGAAAGGGAGCTTGCGATTGCAACGGAAGGGAATTGCGATACAATCTCCATTATGGCAGTGAACGACAGGTGAATCGAATTAATGCCCTATGATATACTCCGTATAAGTGCCTATATTAGCATCGATTGCAGGTGTATATTGGGACTTGTATTTTCGGATGCTGCACCCCGCAAAATCCCTGGTGCTGGCGCGACGTGGGCATGTTTATGCGTTTGAGGCGATTCGCTTATATTGGTGCCGGCATCAGGTTATATGTGCATCCTTGGCTCTTCGCTGTTTTGTATGGATGGTGCGTGTGGACGTCTATGTCTTGTTTCAGGAACAGGGAATGTGGTGTGTTGATCTTACAAGAGGCCTTGATGGAGGTAGAGATCAACCGAAGTGCGATGATGGAACTCAAAACATCTGGCCAGCCTTCGAACTTAACCCTTCGGTTCGGAGGCACGACTGCTTCGAGAAGAAATACACAAAAAGGACATGATTAGACGGAGGACCTTAATTGCAGGATCTACAAACTTTCAACCACCCATGCAAAACCTCGCCCTCTGACAGTGCGTGCGGTCCATGCAGACTGCCTACTTACCATATTCTACCTGACAATCCAAGCCGGCGCCGCGTAGATCCAACGTCCACACTGCATCTCCGTCCCATATCTCTCCACGAATGAATCCCACACGTGTGAATTACCCGCCCGAGAACCAGGGACGAAAGGCGCGACTCTTCGTACAATACCCATTGCCGTCCTGCCCACACCTCTCTTCCATTCTATTCATCCAACCACCCATCGGCTGCACCGAACGACGAAACGTCTCGCCCAAACCTTCTCTCCACCCCCCTGACCGCATCCAAGATTCCCCCCAATTCAATTCTTCCAGACTTCTTCCATGCAGCGCGGTCTGCGGTCTGCAGGCTGCATGCATCCCGTGAGTGAGACGGCCGTTGCATTGACCAACCACCCAGCGTCGCCTGGGATGTCACCCTCTACACCCCATCCCATCACCTTCACATCCGCACTGGACGGAAGGACGTACCGTATGTACATACGGTTCATGTATCGACCGGGGTGAGGTTAAATACCCATTCCCCGACCATTTCTTCCACCATGCTGCGCTTCATGCAATATCATCCACTGCCGCTGTCCATAGCTTGCAATCGGTTCGGATTGGACCAACAACCAGGCAACGCGCTTGCGTTTTAGCATCCAGGCAAATAGGCGTACATACATATGGATAAGGCGGACATGTGAAGAATGAAGCGATGCAATAGCAGGGCCTGAGCTGTAATAATGGACCTTGCGTCGTTTCGCACGATTTGCTTGCTTTCCTGCGCGCGAGTGCGGCGTGCAGACAACGCAAGTTCACAACTCGCACGAATGCATGAATGTATGTGTGTAGGTATATTATACATTATGTATGTACATGGACGCTATACACACGTCCTGTTACGGAGCCGATGTACCCTTCGATGCAATAACACGCATTGTATACCCTCCCCTCCTTCCCACCCATCGGTCTTGCTCGCCATCCAATCCATAGCCACCTTACGAGGCAACCCAAATCGAGAAATCCGCCATGGAAAGCAAGAAAAAAAAAATGCCCGTCTTTCCCAAAGAAGACCCCATCGCGAGCCGTAGAAAACATTGACCCGCGTTACGTACCGTACCGTGCCGTACCATAGCTTAACTTAACCACGACGATCCATAACCACACTCGTAACCATTCGCCCAACCTACCCAAACAAGTCACCGCCTGCCTGCCCACCCCTCACATACCTACACAAAACGCGGAGACACATGTCACGAATCTCACCGCTTCCCCGTCCCCCCGGCCCGCAAACGGGCAGTTTTCCCGGGGGAGAGGCGGGGGTGCCCCCTCGGGAGCGGGTGCGGGTAACGCTGCGGCGGCGCGGTGCGATGCGGTGCGGGGCGAGGCGAGGCGAGGCCGCGGGGCGAAAAAGCGTCTGGGTGTGTTGCCTTGATTGCCTCGTGTCTGCTTACGGGGGGTGGGCTTGGGGGCGGTGAACGTAAGGAGTATGGGGGTGGGGATTATGTGAGAAAGAGGTGATGGGATGGGGTGGGATGGGGATGGTTGTGCGAAGTTGTTTAGATGAGGTTTTGGGTTTGGGGGTTGGTTGGTAAGCTGAGATGAGGTGATGGAGGGAAATTGAGATCGGAGGGGATGGTGGTGAGGGTGATATGGAATGGATGAGTGAGGTTGTGGTATGAGAAAGGGGCTTAAAAGAAGGCGTTCATAGTTGGGTAGTTAGTATTGTACTTGACTGATCAATGGTAAACATGGATGACGAGACAAGAAAGGTTGCATAGGGAAAGATGAGTTGATTTGAAGGTACCAATATATTTTTGAGATGGTCAAATTCATGTCCTTGTGGATTGCAACGGAATGCTGAGTTTGGAAAGGAAATGGAATGAAAGGTTACTTGCGCGAGGTCCAATATATCTATCTATCCCAAACAAAAAGAAAAGAAAGAGACGGAAAAAAGGATAAGGTCAGATGTATACCAATGGTGGATTGGTTGTACATCCTCAATAATGAACATGAAGAAGGGGGAATCTAGAAAGAAGCGGTCAATGCGGCGGCGATCAACGCACGGGAAAGAGATAACTATATCAAAAAGAAAAGAATACACGATGACAACCGAGGAAGATCTGGAGAAAAAAGGAGAGAGAAGCAAGATTCCAAGTCAATAACTCCTTCTGCGGTGAGCAGGGCCCCGAGTCCTTTGGCTTTCTTTTTTTGGTCACACAAAAACCCAATATGCTCCGAGAGGACCTGAACCGTAACATTTTCCGACCAAACCAACCAGACCGTTCGCTCGCTCGCTAAATGCACAGTTCATAATGATGGTAAAGGGAAAGCAAATCAAATCGAATAGAGGTAAAGTTTTGAGATCAACGCGGCACGTCAGCTCATTTGAAAGGGAAGAGAGCAGGACGTTGGCGATCAGTTCGATTCGCTTCCACTGGGACTCCTCTGTTCGGCTGGGGTCGAAGGGAATGAGAAGTCCACGGGAGATGGTGGTGGTGCCGGGGTCTCGCCAGCATCATGTGCTGAGCGTGTGCTGAGGCTGGAGGCTTTCAGAGCAGCACTGACATCGTGGCCCAGTGTTGAGTGGGTGAGGATGGAAAGGCGCTGGCGAGGGCTGATGGAAGAAGCTTGGAGAGGCATTGTATTGGTTGTTGTTGATGTTGTGATAGTGGTGATGTAGTTTGAAATTTGCACCTGGATGATCTGGGGCAGTCGAAGTGGATGAGGAGTTGATATAAAAGATGGTGATGTGGTGGCTATATGGACAGTAGGCCAAAGGACAGTAGCCGAGGCGAATGAATTATCAGATGAATCGCCGAGGGGACGGAAGAGTCTAGGGCTCAGGAAGGCACCTGGGGTTGAAGACTGGGGGATGGGAGGCTAAATAGGGAGTACCTCGGTTCGTAATGGGAAATCCGGGGAGGGTGAATTGTCGAGTATGGAATCCAGCTGCAGTCTGAAGGTGGCTCAAGCAGAGGTTATGAGCTGTCTCGGACAACTAATAAGTTCGTTGGCAAAATTGGAATGGCTGTTTTGGGAGCTCCGACGGAGAGAGGCTGATATGCGCAACGAGAAAAGGCCTGGATATTTGTGAGTCAGATTTAATATTAAATGATGCGCGCAGGGCTGATGTGTTGGCACGGGCACGCTGGGCTTCAAGCAATTCTCCAGGATGGCTCTGAGCAGGACGTGCAAGGTTGGATTGGAAGGGAACGTGCAGATGGGCTGCATTCAAGGCTTACCTTTGCTGATGTACCACGGAGTTGTGCGCTCGAGGTTGGTTGGTTGACGATTGGATTGGTACCTACGTAGACGTGGACAGGTATACGAATTATCCGGCGACTTGGATGGTCTTGGAGAGACGTTGATGGTGGTGATGATGGTTGGCTAAAGATTGGTGTATAGATAGGTAGGTGGCACAGAAGAGACAACGAATGACGATGAGGCAGGATTGTTCAACAAATTTGTTTCTCTTTCTTGATGTATTGACTGCTTAGGGAAGATGATCTTATTGAATGAAGTATCTGAAGAAAAAAGAGCGGAACCGGCAGGGTGGGGATGAAGGTTTCTTTTATATACCGAAGGAGGAGATTGGGGAGGGGGTGGGTTGGATAGCGGAATATGGGAGAAAGAGAGAGACAGAGACAGACAGAGAGACATGGGATAAGACATGGCACAGTACAGCAACCAACCGTAATAGCAAGCTGCAACGGTAACAAGTGATTAGTGGGGAGTCGGGACCGTCCCCATCTTGACTCGCATTGAAACTAGGTAGAGTACGGGAGATGGCAGCGAAGCCCAGCGTGCACAGAAGAACATTCGAAAAAGAAAGTGTATCACCCGGTTTGGGGGGTTGTGGGTGGGTGGAGAGGGGAAGGGGGGGTGTGAATGTGTGAAAGGAATGGCAAGGGAAAGGAGGCAGAGACAAGACCAACAGACCAACGGACGAACGTGAACAGACCAACAATCCACGGAGCAGCGGGCAAACATGATACCCACCTATCTATCCTACCTTACAATAACTATCTAACTTGTATCTAGGTAACCACAGTCTACGCGGTTTACGGAGATGCATACAAGCAAAGCCTAACCTACTACTAAGGGCAAAGCTACCACATAATACAGTACGTAACTACGGTACACGCCGTACGTTGCTCTTTGCTCCTTGCTCCTTGCTTTCTCTTCCCTACTTCCCCGTCCGTTACATGAAGCCGGAGCGAAGGGCAGTAGTCCCGAATGGGCAGCCGACAAAGTGCCAGAAACAGTCTCGAAGACCATGGAGAGACCATGGAGACAAGACCATGGGCGGAAGAGAGCAGTGTTCATCCCACGCCACTGCACCCACGCTGGCTTGATACTATCCCTATCCAATCCATCCATCCATATCATATCATATCATATCCAACAACTATCACTTAATACCAGTAGTAGTGATCCGAGCATGGATTGGACATGACCGCCCAAACTTGATTGAACCAAGGCATCTCGCCGCCCCCTTTGGTTGCTTCTTCTTCTCTTCCCTGCCGTATCGCCATTCAACAATGCCTGCTTGCGTCCATCGGGATGTCAAATGATATGTAGTGTGGTGTACGGAGTAGTGTTGGCTACAGCAGGTGCATTCACCCCCTACCTACTCGTACCTACAGTACGGCGTACGCAGCAATTAGCTGCCGTATGCGCGGAGGGATGTAGGTGTGTAATGTGCATGTAGGTGGTCGCCATGTACGTCCTGTACCACCCTACAGTAGGTTATGGCAGCGGAAAGCAGCCAAACGATGCCATGACGGAAAACATGACCAGCCAACAGCATTCGCTGCTTCATGGCACGACCCTTCATTTCCTCATCTCCCCAAAGATCACAGCAGACAGCGCACACAAGACACAGCGGCTGCATCGCCGCATCGCCAACACAAAGAGAGGTAGGTATGTTGCTTTGTTGCATCCTGCCTGCTCATTCTCATTCCCGCGGGCGGATGCGCGGGCGCGGGATGATGCTGATACCAACATCAGCATCATCATCATCATCATCTATCATCACTATCATTGGCATAACCCTGCTGGCATATACTTGCTTTCCCTGTGTCTGTCTGCCTGCTTCGTAGCCCTCTCTTTGCTACCTAGGGGAACGCGGGTAGCCGGGAGACAACGTGTCTCCCGTCGTCTCTTCCCATATACGCCTATCCCTCCCCCATCTCCACATAGCTCCACGCCATACCCGACCATAAGCAAAGAAGAAGGTAGGCGGTATGTATTGTTTTCTCCGATCAACGATAAGACTGAGATCTTCTCCATGATTTGTCTTAGAAGATTTACACCAGTCGGGGTAACTTGGTGGAGTACTACAGGGAAGGGGAAGTAGCCTGTAGGTACAAGACAAGCAAGGACGCAATGGCTGACCGCCTTATGCACGTCGCTGCACTTTCCCCACGCGAGGGCTTGCGCTGAGTCGTCCCAAACGCTTGGTTACCCGGGGAAGAAGGTGGACATCCCATCCCATCATCCATTCACCCCATCGATTCATCATTCACCGATCCATCCCCCATCCTATCCAACATCATCGTCTGTAGCCCTTCTCTTCCCCACTCCCTCCCGTTCGACGCCACCAGATAGTTGCAATCCTGATCAAGGATTGCTCTATTGGGTGACTGCTTACCCTCTCACAGCCATCTACGGAGCACTTACTGCCAACCAGCAACTCCTAATCCAATCAATTTCTATAATACTTACTCCGTACTCCATACATCATCAAACCCCCTTGCTGCCTCTCACTACGTACAACAAGCAGGATTTGACCAGATACAGCTCCGGACCAGACGGATCGCGCCCTCTCCCTCCCGTGGTCGGAATCATACATTCGTGCCCGTTGAACCTAGACAATAGCTATCAAAGCATTGTGTGCCCAACTTTGTCGAAACATACTTACCAATATACGCGGCCCTTATTGCCCATTTCAGAATTCAGGAGTTTATCCAAATGCAGTAGATACTTAACTTGAGTTGGGAAAAGCGCCCAACAGCCGGGCGGATAGACAATCAGCCCGGCGCAATTCTCCTGAATTCGGGCCTCACTTTAGCGGTCGCGATCTACCTCCGGGCCAGTATCGTCCGTCTTCTGGAAGGACGCTCGTGCCTCTGCCTCAGTCGTCTTTGCATCTCACGCTTGGACATCTGCCTGGCTCTCACTCCAATACGGAAAAGGATCCCTAGACCTCTAAGTTCTTCCACGATTCATATTCAAACGTTCCGCTCGCCTTCCGATGTAGACAATACGTCCGTCATGGCAACCGGCAAATGTACGGGAAAGCCCTACGATAGTGACACCTCATCTTTCTTCCCTCTCCCCCTGCAACAAGTGCCGCCTCGTCTTGCAGTATGCCTGTCTGGCAGAATGCAGCAAATATTGACGCCCGCCAGCAGCCTCGCCCGCTCGGAAGGGGCCTCCTATGAGAGATGGATGTTATGCTCTCTTCCAGGGCCACGCCATAGACTGTACTGTTCGTTTTGCGTTTCAGTGCTGCAATGCTTGCGCCCGGGAACAATGCTACGTCGCATGGCAACAACGCTTGTGCGGTTCTGCCGCCATTCACCTCGGTTCTCACGTCGTGCAAAGAGGCTTGAGCCAAGACCCTTGTCATCGTGTCCTTCTATTCAACGCCGAATGGGAATTCCTGGAAGACATGTGTCAGGCCTCGACGCCCACGTCTGCTGTGTTGGGGTAGGACATGATGTAGGCTGCCCGCGGACCCAGCGTTGCCATTGTCCATAGCCTCCCCTTCTTGGAAAGTTGTCCCTTGGTCTTTCCCTCACATTGAAACATCCCCCGCAATATCGTGAAACCAGGGAGTAGCCTACGATGTCCAGGCCGGATCGGCTTCCTGCTGTGGTAGCTGCGATCATCGTTGTCCTGCATTTCTCTTAGCAAAAAGTGCTTAGCCGAAAAAAGTGACAGCGAGATCCCCATTTTGCCCTCGGGGAGTCATCCCATTGGACCCGACCGTTAGGATATGCACCTTGAAGATCTGCAAATCCCGACAACATGCATACAAATTGTGCTTTGTTCCCTTGTGCCCAGTCACTCTTACACCGTTCACATATCGCTCGCTACACCGCAACTTCTGACTCGCGAATTACGGAAGCAAAAAGGAAATGACAATTTCCACGACACGAAGCAGACTTTTTCTGTCAAACGTCTTGTCTCATCTCGACCCGTGAGAGGTAGGACAAAGGTTTCTCAAAGCCAAGAGCAGATGGAACGTAGTATTTCGACCAGTCAGGCCAAGAAGAAACATACTGTCCGTATCCAGTGGGTGCATGTATCTTTCCGGTAGTCGTAACGCTGCTTCTGAAGATCTTTGCAGGAGGCTTTTTCATCTTTTGCCCGGATACGTGAATAATCAGCTGCTCCAATCGCTGCATGGAGATACCAAAGAGAGTAAACGATCCGGACGAATTATCAAACAGGGCGACATGTGAATCACCCATTCCCGAATTATCAACATCGCCAACATCTCGGGGTAATCCCCTCGAAAGCTTCTTCATGTGACGCTACACCAAATCCCCAACATAAGCTGTCTGCCCATTTTACACATTTTTCACCCCTCACCACATCCCCTCACTTTGCGGTCACAAGCTCCCTTTTCGACAAACTTAAAATGGTAAACTAGCCAGTCAAATCGCTTCAACGTACGGAGTAGATGTAACAGAACACACTGCATTTTCATAATGCAGTACACTACAGTACACCGATGCTGCTGTAGTGCACCAACAACTATACACACACGCGCGTCCTTCGCAAAGTACGTATCAATAACCATATCCACCATCCCTACAAAGTTGCCCATTCCCTATCATGCTACAACTTTCTCACTTCTCGATATCTACATCCACGTCGACAAATAGCTCCGTGCTCAACAATCCCCCTCACACGTTGCCCAAGACCTAGGTAGACACAAGAGACTAACAACTGCTGGTGCACATTATATGGCTAAGTTTTCTACACGCACTCATACAATCTCTACTATTTAGACTATGTTATCTACTCTACTATTTACTGTGATCTATATTCCATTTTATTCTCTACTACAAGGTAAGCTTAACAACAGTCAGCTTCACAAGGCAATTCTTCGTGTTCTACTCCATCTACATAACAAAAGTATATAAATGTTTGAACTTTACTTATAGTAAAGATTGCTTCAGGTTATATTCTATACATATGTATTATAATTTGTATTTGTTACCAAAAAAAAGAAATATTCTTGGACTCGTGTTTTGGTGTATAATCGTATAAGGTCAATTACTCTTTACTATATTGTCTACGCTCACAGCTCTCTACTACGCCCTCTACTTAAACCTCCACTTAAACCTCTACCGCACCATATACTTGTTACGAACCAAGAAGAGGGGGCAATCTTCCAGCCTATATAGGTAGATAACCAATCGCTAGCAGACTTAGCAAGGACCAGCGAGGGAGGAAACCAGCAAGCATTACGTCACGTGGTGACCCGTCACGAGTCTCATGAGTCTCACGACTCTCACAGATTCTTATACCGTGAGAATCCATGAGAGTCGTGAGAATCATGAGAAATTCTACGTATATAGAGAACCCAAAATACCCTTATGGTCTTCTGTGTTCAACCTAAGCTGTACTCGAACAACACACTCTACTGCCCCCCCGAACTTATCGCTCAATATCCTTGTCCGCTTCGTGCTCTCTGTCAGACTACTGCACTGTCTACGCCACCATCTACACCACGGTCTACGTGACCACCGAATGGTACACCATCTGCACCACCGTATACCATACCAAAAACTGCACACACACACGCATACTACAACTCCCCCCTTTTATACTATCATATATAATCGTGTATGTACAAGTCCTTCTCACTCTCTCTTACGCCTATAAAATTACAATCAATTATTATTGTTATACTCCGTAATTACAATTATAATCAACCATCATCATTATCTTCCAAATCAAAACCAAAAACTAAAATCAAAAAATTCTACATACATGCATAAATGCACGCGGTCCACCGCTTCAGCGTCCGACGTGTACTACAATACCACCTCCTACAACCACCATACTCCTTCCTACGCTTGTCCAAGACCAGACTCGGGAAAACAAGACACAACGATACAAGAAACGGCAAGACAATGTATGATACAACAACACACATTACAACAACCTTCCTGCCGCCGCCGCCGACGACGACGACGACGACGACGACGACGACGACATCTAGGAGGATGAACCCTTCCTCTTCAATTCACGCCACTCTCCTTCCAGCTTCTTCCCGTCTTTCATTTCCGCTGTTGCTATGATACCCCCCCTCCCTCCTCCCTTTATCTATATACAGGGACTTTCTTCCCTCCTCGTCTTTGTCTGTCCTGTCATGCATCACCCTGTTGAGTCTTAGCGAACAGTGCACAGTAGCGTTTATACAATGCTGTGTGGGTTCGTTGTACTTGTAAGATCGTAGTGTTAGGTTGGGGACGCGATGAGTGGGTATGATTGTATGATTATGTGTATGTGTATATACATGTGACGGAAGACGGGGAAGGGAAAAAAGGGAGAAGAACATGGATTTGGTTTTTGTTTCGTTCGTTCGTTATGTGGCATATATGACATGGGGATGTTTACATGCACCCCGTCGAACCGTCCGGTATATTTTCATGACATCAGAAAAAAGATAATGACGAAGAAAAAGAACAACAAAAACAACAGGAGGAAAAGTCATAATCCCAAAGAAGTCCCTCACCCCCCAACTACACAAAAGCGACCTTGATCTCCCTGGCCGGCTGCAGCACGATATCCATATGCATCCCCGGCTCCTCACCGCCCATCCTATTCTCCACCGTCTCGAACCGCTGGAACAGCCTCACGAGCGTGTACGCCATCTCCGTCAGCGCGAACTGCTGCCCTATGCATATCCTCGGGCCGCCGTTGAACGGAATGTACGTCCAGCTCTTGGGGGTCCAGCCGTCCCATCGCTCGGGGCAGTACAAGTCGACGGCCGGGAAGCCCGAAGATGGCGGCGGGTAGAGGTCTGCGCGGCGCTGCATGACGAGCGTGGAGTAGGCGATGGGGGTGTCCTTGGGGATGCCGATGGGGAGGGTGCCGTCGGGGCCGCCGCCGGTGGGGAGGGTTGTGTCGGTGAGGGAGACGCGGACGTTGAAGGGGACGACGGGGTAGAGGCGGAGGGTCTCGTTGAGGATGTGTTGGAGGTACTTCATGTCTTTTAGGTGTTGGTATGTTGGGGCGGCATCGAGGCCGACCGTGTTGATGATTTCCTGGCGTAGCTTTGCGGTGATGTGCGGTTGGCGCGAGAGCTCGTAGATCGTCCAGGTGAGGGTGCAGGCCGTCGTGTCGCGTCCGGCGAGAAGGACGGAGACGATTTGGTCGTGTAGCATTGTGCGGTCGCGGGTGTAGCCGGCGATGGCGTGCAGGAAGGTGTAATCTTGGTCGTGGGTGGTTTTCTTTTCGAGTTCGGAGGGAGGGAGTGCGAGGGCAGTGTCGATGTATTGGTCGATGAATTGGTTGATGATTTTGATGGAGGAGTCGAAGCCCATGCGTTTGCGTGGGACGGCCCAGTTGAGAGGTCTAGGGAATTCGTTAGTTTGAGATTGAAGGTAATTGTTGGGTTGGTTGTGGTGGTGGTTGTGGTTGGAAACGTGAATGAATAGATATATAGACTCACCCAAGTCGTGATATAATGCTCTGCACCCTCTGAGCATTCATAAACGCATCAGCGAATCTCGTCTGCGGATTCTGCAAGCTCTCGACGCTTTTCCCGAGAAGGAAATCCGTGGCGGCGTCTAAGGTATACCTAGCAACCTATCAGCATGGACGCCAGCCGACCACAACGACGACGATACACGAGGCTCAGGAGCAGTACCATCATTGCCATTCGCTTGTAGAGAGAGATAGTCACTTACCGGAAGAAAAGATCCATGGCGTCGATTTCTCGTCCATTAGAGAACTCCCTCATGAGGATTTGCACGTGCTCCTCGAAGATGTCGAGATCACTGAGTCGATCCTTGACGAATTGGGGTCGGATCAATTGGCGGGAGTTGTGCCAGAGATGGCCGTCAGTCGTGAAAATACCTGGAGAAATTCCATGTCAGCTCTCCGTCTCATTCATGTTCATCATATCTCTTAGCCCCCTTCCATCCAAACTTTCAACCTCCCCTCTCTCCTCTCCCCTCACCCTCCCATACTCCACAATCAGAAACTAAAAAAGAGAGAAGAGAAAATGAACATACCATTCCCCAAAAAGTCATAAAAGTCCTTCCTAAACTGCTCCCCCTTCCCATAATCCTTAAACTGCGTCGCCAGAATCGCCTTAACGTTCTCCGGTTCCGCCGTCAGGATAACCCTTTGACCGATCCCCGCCTCGACCGTGAACCCGCCCCGGCCGTACTTCGCGAACATGCCGACCCACAGCTCGTAGTTCTTGTCCGCGAGCAGGTGCGTCACGACTTCGTAGAGCATGTCGAGGCCGTAGGGGACGTAGGTTGTGCGGATGGGGGCGCGGGCGCCGAGGCGGGCGATTTGCCGGGAGGTGCGGAGGGTGGAGAGGAGTTTGTAGAGGATTAGGAGGGCGAGGAGGGTGGGGAGGAGGGTGAGGGGGGTGAGGTAGGGGGTTAGGAGGGAGGGCATTTTGGGGGATGTGGTGGCCTGCCGGGTTGGTTTTGATTGAGGTGGTGGTTGGTCTGGAGATGGGGTTAGTTTTTGTTTCTATGGAGAAGGGATGGCGATGACGGGTTGGACGTCGTGGTGCATTTGTATAAGAGCCATGGAGGAGAAGAAAGAGTGCGGAGTATCGTCAAACGAACCTGTATAACAATATATCAAAAGCGCGAGAGCAATCCCTAGACTACCATCCGACTAATCTAATAGCAGCAAATAGTCGAGTCGTAGACCTTACTCGTATAAATGGTGTAAGAAAGATCACAAGATATCGACAAAGAAACCTCTCATAAAAAACACCCAAGTGTATCCTCTTTTTCGCTTACGTCGATTCAATCAACTCATCATAAATCGAACAACAACAACAACAGCAGCAGCGAGTGCAGCGTTGTTCCTTAAAGTATTACCCCTACGACATATGTATTACGATGATGGGGTTGGGTGTGGGGTCCAGCTCCGTCATATGCAAACCTCGGTACGCATGGCACGCTCGCGACTACTGCTGCATTCGATCTAATGGCCCTTAAACGACCTGGGCGGGAGCGGGCCCCCCTCCAATTACGATACCAGACGTCGTGAATGGACGGTTTCCGAATGGGAGTGCGGGTATGCCATGCCCTTGCATGTCTCTTTCTTACAAGTAACAAGCGGACGAGAAAATGCGGGGTGGTGGTGGTGGTGGTGGTGCGGAATTGGCGAAAGTGCGAGCATGCGCTGCCCGTTAAGAGTAGTGAATGGTATCCCACACCTGGAGCGCTAATGCGAGTCGGAGACTCGGGAGTGGAGGAAGGCCTTAGGTAGGGTGTTAGTTGGTTGCAATTTATACGAGCGTGAGCGAGGTTTGCGAGGTTTTGCGAGGGTTCGCGGACCCTTGTTCGTGGGCGGCGGGCTTTCGGTGTTCGGTTCTTGGTATTGTTCTCTCTCCATGGTAATTGTATGGGCTTCGGTTCTTGGAGTTGCGAAGGGGTGCATGAGGATGGCTTGGATGGGACTGTGGTATTACGTACCGTAGCAAGTGATCTACGATGTTAGCTGGTTGCCTTTGCGATCACAAGCTACCTAGGTTGATATATCATTCTTGAGGTCCTGGGTGTTAACGATGTAGCTTTTGAGACGTAGCAGCTTCCCGCAGATTGTCACACTGGTTCCTAAATATGATATTTACAATAGTGCGAACCATTCATCCTATGCGAGTAATCCCAACTGACACTGCTCACCATCCATGGTGCAATACGGCATCTGTACGGGCTCTGCGCCCACACCCCTCGCGACCATCCGCTCTCTCATCTCACTGAGTCTGGGACTCGCATCGAACTGGCTTCTGTTCTGGCCCTGTGCGTCCTTCACGCCGCTCCATAGCACTTCGGCGGCGGCGCTCGCTCGGGGCCATATCATTCTGTCGAGATTGATGGGGTCGGTTTGTTCAGACCAGAGATGAGCCTCGCCGCCGATGACGAGGTGGTGGTATTCGGAGGGCACTCCTGCTAGAGGGTCGTAGGAGTATACGAGACGCCAGTTGTGGAAGGGAGCGCAGTAGTCTTGGAAGGGCCATGCTGCTGCTGCTCGCTCAGGGGAGAAGTCGAGCCATTGGCCTTTGCCGCAATCGAGGTACTTCTATTCGTCAATTTCATGTCTGCTGTGAGGGGAAGTGGGATAGGTAGATATAGGAGAAGGGACTTACCCAGTATTTATAGTTGCCAACTAGAGCCTTGTATCCTTTACTCACAATGCTGGCGACCGCCTCGTCGCTTCGCCAGCTCTGAACCACAGTGTCCTTTCCGAGCGTGAGGTTCCAGTCCAGTAGCATCTCTTCCCACACTATCGGAGTCAAGCCTTGGCTTCTGACCTGATCGTGGTTTCGATCGATGAAAGCCTGCATCAACGGCTGCAGGACCTCCGGATCCTTTGACTTAACCGTATCATCCAGCTCGTAAGCATTCTTGTTCACCTCGTCACCGCCGGTGTGAAAGTAAGTAGAGAACGGGAATATCCGCGGGAGCAAGTCGTCAAACAGTTTAGACAGGAACGTATCCACATCGCTGGAATTGAGTTTCAACGTGCCTGACGGCGGTTCCGCAGAATACGTGTCCCAATTCGGCTGGATGTTATACGCAGCAATCAAGTCAGGATAGGCTTCGTGTATGATACTCGTATGGCCTGGCATGTCGATCTCTGTGATCAGCTCCACGCCCTGGAGTGCTGCTCGCTTCTGCAGGTACTCGAACTCCTTGGTGCTGTAGTATAATTCTGGCCTGTAGGCTCCTTTTGCGGCTAGTTCGGGCAGAGATGGGATCTCCAATGGCCAGGACTGCGAATCCGTTACGTGGAGATGGAATCGGTTCATCTTGTTGTAGGCGGCGGTATCGATCATGCGGGCTATGTCCTTGGCGGGATACCATTGCCGTGCTACGTCCATGTTGATGCCTCGATGCTCGAACTTGGGGGCGTCGAAGATTTGAACTGGAGCGAGCGCGGTGTACGCTCCATCGGACGAGTGCTTGTAAAAAAGCTGAGTGAAAGTATTGAGACCATGTCGAAGCCCGAGAGAAGTATTTGCCAGAATCGTAGCTTCGCCCGTCGTCGTCAGGGTTAACGAGTACGACTCATCTACACTACCAGCAAGCGGCTTCGCAATACTCGGGGGATCCTCTCCAAGAAGTTCCAGCGTGATCGATGATACATAAGTCGCTCCCTCCGCAATCGGTTCACTCCACCCCCTTGGATGAAACTTCCAGGGCACGAAATTCCGCTTCAAAATCGTCGATTTCGTCTGCTCGATCGCGAACCTGATGATATCATCACCACTCACACCTTGCCACTCCGTACCCTCACGTTTTGGTTTCCGGTTGCTGGATTCATCGCTCTGTCAATTGGGGGCAAAATTCGTCAGTTCTAAGGGCGATTGTGTTTCAGACGTACAAGCTCGAGAATAGATATTCTTGCAAGACTAGAAATCTCGAGCCTACATTACTTGCGCTAGCTGCTGTTCCCGCCCAGTTGAATGCTACGTCGTCGGACATCCACAGTACAGTATCTCCATGGTCGTATGATGTGGGTAGTGGCCAAATGGCCGATGTGAGAGATGCAAAGAAGGGAAGGTAATGCACTGCCTTCATGTTGGAAAATGGCAAATTCAATATACATGTAGTAGAGCAAAATAAATATCAAGAACAGGTGGCGGTCGTTACGACTACTACTCGTAGCTATGGGGAAGCGTCAAGTGGAATGCGCGGGGAGATACTGGAAGTGGATGTCGTCTAAATGAGGGGCGGAATGTAGGCTTGCGCAAGGCATGTAGACACGAGGCTCTCTTGCCACCAATACCGTGATATCTCTTTCTTAAATTATCTTTGTGCTACTTTTTCTGTATGTCGTCGATGATGGTTGGTGTGAGGTGAAAGTTGAGCGGTGAGATCAGGTTCAACGTTCTCACGGTACCAGCCCGCCATGCTGGGCCCATCACCCGTGAACCCTGATTGGCGGGAGGGACGACATTCCTCTTATAGGAGGTCCTTGTGAGCCTTCTTGTACAAGGGACGTGATCCTGCAACAGTATTCACAGACTACTTTGGGAGTTTCTTATTCCGCTGAAAGATATGTGGGCAAAGGTGTGACTTCATGCTTGCGTAGTTGTGGAACGGTAGATTGTGTGTGATGTGGTTCATTATTGTGATTGATTCTATAGATTTCGTATTTTACTCATTCCTTCGATACCATTATGCACAAGAGGTGAGTCTCGCCATATCTACCATTACGACTCATCTCATAATTACTTCGTCAATGCATGTGTCCTCGTGGATTTTCTCTAGTGAGCATCTCGTCTGAACCGAAACAGATAATACCCAAATGCCAAGCGCCGCGCTGATGCCGAGTTGTAAACCAACCCAAAAACAAGAAAGCAGTATATACAAAAACTGGAAATGGTGTCATCGAAACCTTTTGTTTTACAAGATGACGGGGAGGGCGCCGATGAATGCAGCTAATAAGACAAATCCCTTGTCTGCAAGCGAGCTATGTGCGCTGTTTGGACGTTCGGGAGCAGGTGGAACGGAGGAGGACACAGCGGCGTTCTCCACGTTAGCATTTGCGCTAGGAGTGGGAAGAGCTTGTGTAGGAGCCTGTGTGATCAAAGAGTTGCCGGACTCTGAGGCTGCTGTGTAGCTGGTCTGGAAGCCAGAAGAGACATGAGACTCAGAATCGCCAGACGAAGCCGAAGGCGAAGCTGCAGGCGATGGCGTAGATGAAGCGGGAGGGGATGTCGACTAGAATGAAGTTAGCATCGTGATTCTGAGTAGATACTTGAACTAAAAAAAATGGCTTACTGACAGGTGCCGAGCTAGGCGGAACGACCTTTCCTGTATCCGACACGGTCCATCCGCTGGGAAGGCCGGGGTAGTTGGCATAGGTAGGGGCCGCTGCCGTCGACAGAGTTTTGGAACCATCGGGGATCCAGGGGTAGACGCTGGGGCGGACAACGGTCTCGCTGGGGTTGAAGGGCATGGGCTGTCCGCTGGCGGAAGAGGTGATGGCGGGAGGGTTCTCAACCGGAGAGCCGCCTCCAGAGTTGATCTTTCCGCCGACGGATTTGATGGATTGCCAGGTGCCGCTCTGGTCGCCATAGACGTATTGGGTTCCGGTAGAGTAGTCTGCCACCATCAAGGACTTGACGTGCATGGAGAAAGGACCCTGGGAGTAGTCGGTGGGACCTCGAGCCCATTCGATGGTTCCGGGAGCATTGGCGGAGTCTCCTCCACTCCAGGCGCCAATCTTGATCTGCATGGGAGTCTGGGGGTACTGGTTGTCGGCATTGGCGGGCTCTAGAGTTCGAACGACGTTTCCATTGATCGACCAGACGATTTGGTTTGCGGTCCATTCGACGGTGTACGTCTTCCAGTCGTTCTGGTTGTTGGGGTCTGCGTGGAAGGCACCACGGTTGTAGGTAGTGGTTTGGCCCTTGCCAAAGTAGTTGGTTTGGACTTGAGCATTGTCGGCACCGAGCCACTCCCAATCGATCTCGTCCAAGGTGTCAGACTGCATGACGAAGCTGCTGACAATACCGGCTCCTGGTGCGGACTTGAGTACGACCTCGACCTTACCGAACATGATGTACCATTTGGAGGTGACCTGGGGAGCGTCACCTGATTTGGCAACTGTGAAAGATGCACCATCGGAGCTGTAGGCGATGTTTCCCTGGGGGGTAAAGCTGTCGGATGCGGCGCTGAAGTCAATGTTCACGGTACGGCCAAGGGCGGAATCCGGTGGGCAGTCGGAACGTTCTGTGGGGTTGCAGTTGGTGTATGTTTGGGCGAGAGAGGGTGCAGCAAGTAGTGCCGCTGAAGCAAGAGCAGCGACAGCTCGTACGGCGGACCGCATTTTGAAAGGATAAAGTGGTAAGTGGTTGGCGGAGATGATTTAGGATAGGCGATTGTATGTATAGTGCTCAGATGAGGAATGGAGAGCTGAAGGGAGAGGGGAGTGAGCAGTGTCTTATACGGGTGAGCGAGTGCGTGGGTTGAAGTAGGCGAGCTGAGGACTGGAGTGGATGAGGTCGGCTCTGCCTGGTTGTAGGATTGTGAGGTGAGGATTGCTTTGTGATGATGATTGTAACATTGGAAATGGAGACCGGGGGAGGGTATTTAATAAACAGAGTGCATCCAGCCATCTCTATTAGTCGCTACAAGTGTGTTAGTACAATATTGGTCGAGGATGAGGGTATTGACCATGTGGTGGGCTCTCGTGTTGGTCGAGGCAGCGAGTTCCCAACCACCTAATCGGGGCCCCCAGCCACAACCGACCATCCCGCCACCAATTTTCATCCAACCAGCGGCCATCACCCAATGCTACGCAAACTAGACGAGCAACGACAAGCCATGGTTACGTCGCTCATGACGTTCCATTCAGCAATAATCTGTATTATTTGACATATTCACAGGATTATTATTTTGACTAGAATAATGACAAGGACGACAAGAGTTTCAGAGTGCGTGGACAAGAGACTCGTCGCAAAATTCTCGGTGGTAGGGACTATTGATTTGTTGCGTGGTTTATCATCCGACCAAAAGAAGTCGGTCACTAATACATGCCTAAGGGTATCTAGATACTTACGAGGTGCACTGATAGGTACGATGTACACAAATAGATACTTACGAGTACGTACTATTTCTGTACTACTACTGGCGGAGAAAGGAAAAAATATGAAGGGAACGGATGAATTGGTGGGGGAATGTCACGTGCCCCACTCAAACCACACACTACCTAGAACTACCTAGAACTGCCGCCGGCTGACCATTGACTGTCATGTAACCGTTCGAACCACTTCTGGATTCCCCTCCATTGCCTTTTTCTCCTACCCTTTCTTACCCTCCTTACCCTTTCTCGCTATACGGTTTCTATTCTTAGAGAACAAACTACTCAATCTGTCATTCGACCTCCGCCTATCCTCCTCGAGTATCCGGGGGCGACATCGTTCCTTCTTTTCTTCCTTCCGAAAGAAGACCCTGCATTCTATTGTTTTAGTCCCAAAACCCTCTGTTGAGTCACGCGCCATCCTCCGAGCGCACTCTATACGGTGTCTCCCCACCATCACACAGTATTGAGTTACATCAGACCGGTGTGAAAGAAAAAAAAGGAGCAAGAGATAAACACACGTTAAAAATAAAGTGAAAAAAAAGAGAGATGTCTTTAACGAACGCAACACCACTCCAGGTCGCTCAGGCCGCTCGACTGGGGTCCCGTGAGCTCGCCGTTCTCTCCACCGAACAGCGCAATGCCGCATTAACCGCCATCCACCAGGCACTCGCAGAGGGCAAAGATGAGGTTCTCGCTGCGAATGCAAAGGATCTCGAGGCCGCCCACAAGGCTGCAGAGGGTGGTACGCTTAGTCAAAGCTTGGTCAAGAGGCTAGATTTGGGCAAGAAGGGCAAATATGAGGACATGCTCCAGGGCATATTAGATGTGCGAGACTTGGAGGACCCGAGTACGTATGCCCTTATACAGAAATCTACCTGGGGGGTTTCCTCTCCTCTCCATGATATCAATCAAGATGCTTTGTAGATATTAGATGCTAACAATTGCACAGTCAACAAGACCACATCCCGCACTCTCCTCGACGACAACCTCACCCTGTCAAGAGTTACATGTCCCATTGGCGTCCTCCTCATCATCTTTGAAGCTCGCCCAGAAGTCATCGCCAACATCTCCGCGCTGGCCATCAAATCCGGAAACGCAGCAATCCTCAAGGGCGGACGAGAATCCAACCACAGCTTCGCCGCCATAGCCTCCATCATCTCCCAGGCCCTCTCGACCACCTCCGTCCCCTCGGACTGCCTCCAGCTCGTCCAAACCCACGATGTCATCAAGGAACTCCTCTCCCTGGACACCTACATCGACCTCTGCATCCCGCGAGGTGGCAACAAGCTCGTCCGGTTCGTGAAGGACTCGACCTCCATCCCCGTCCTCGGCCACGCAGACGGCATCTGCACCGCACTCCTCCTCAGCGACTACCCCTCCGACAAAGCCACCAAGATCATCGTCGACGCCAAAGTCTCCTACCCAGCCGGCTGCAACGCCCTCGAGCAACTCCTCGTCGACACCCCCGCCCTCACCACGAACCTCCCCACCGTCGCCACCGCCCTCCTCTCCCACGGCGTCTCCCTCCGCTGCGACGCCCCCTCCCTCACCTCCCTCCAATCCTCCCTCCCCCCACACCTCGCAGCCCTCCTCCAGCCCTCCACCCCCTCAGACTACACCACCGAATTCCTGGACCTCACCCTCGCCATCAAAACCATCTCCACCATCCCCGACGCAATCACCCACGTCAACGCCCACTCCTCGCACCACACCGACGCGATCCTCACCCTCGACGCCGCAACCGCAACCCGCTACCTCTCCGCCATCGACTCCTCCTCCGTCTACTGGAACACCTCGACCCGCATGGCCGACGGCCAGCGCTACGGCTTCGGCACCGAGGTCGGCATCTCCACGAACAAGATACACTCTCGCGGTCCGGTGGGGTTGGATGGCTTGACGATTTATAAGTGGGTGCTTGTGGGAGATGCGCAGGTTAGTGCGGAGTATGGGGCGGGGGGCAAGAAGTGGAAGCATGAGAGGTTGCCGGTTGAGGAGGATGAGGGGGTTGCGAGGGATGAGGAGGAGAGGGAGGTGTTGAGGAGGTTTAGGGAGGGGAAGAGGGCGGCGGCTTAGCGGTCGTAAGGTTGATTCTAGGTGGCTCTGCTTTTCGCCTGTGATCAGAGGGGGTTAGAGATTGGGATTTGGAAAAGAAAAAAAAACTTGAAGAGGAAGATAAAAGGAAAAGAAAAAGGAAAAATTTCTTCCATAGACATGTTCGCCCCCTTTCCTTTAAAAAAAATCAAAACATGAAGCATCCTTTTCTCATCAAACCCGATTCAGAAAAAAATGCAATAGTGAAGACAAATGACCTGACATTCGCACCACCTATCTACGCATTCACAGCTCACGAACATATATATGTCACTGTATCATTTTTCCGGGCAAGTGAGAGGTAAGCAGAGTAAAGATGCATAAAAAGTGGTTTAGCTGGCTGGCCTGCCTGCTTGGACGACATTAAGGTTTGTATTGACTATTCATAAGGGGCGGATGTGTTAGTTGGTTGGTTGGTTATTGTTATCTATGTCTGGAATTGCTGTTGCTTTGGAGGGAGAGATAGGGGATGGGGATGGGGATCAGTTGTATACATGGATTATATGTACGCGTAGAGACAGACATAGACAGACATAGACAGACACACATCCAAATGCAGTTCAGTTCCGCACGCAGAGACGACAAAGGTATGACAAAACACGCTTTGAATTGTAGCGAAGAATCATCTAACTATCTATCTACTATCTATGATGCTACCACCTCCCTCCTCCCCTTTCAGCCCACCCCCTCCTCTTCCTCTTCCTCTTCCCATCGTGCATCCTGATGTCGTAAACGTGTACAACGTTTGTGGTATCCCGTACTATACTTAAAATAACCGTCATAAAAAACCCTTATGTTTATGTTTTATCCACCTGGCATCATCAACAAAGTGTGTTTCCCAAAATGCTTCCCAAGACATGTTTCTACTCTACTCTTTCATCAAGGCGTTCTAAAAAGGATGTGCGATGTAATGCCATGCCATGCCTGCCTGCCTTTCCCTCCCCCGTGTTTCCCCCTCTTGCGTCTAAGATCTCTAGCTGGCTTAGTTCTTAGCCTGGGAGAAGGCCTGGGCACCATCAACGAGACGGCGCTCGGTGTTCTGGCGGCCGTTGACGAAGTCGGGGTAGTTGAGGGTGAGCTCGACGGCGCCGTTGACGATGTTGTCGGCGGCCTCGACACCCAACATGAAGGAGTGGTCCTGGTTGCCGACCTCGTATCGCCAGGAGCCGAAGCGGCCGCGAGACCAGATGTCCTTGGCCTGCAAGGCGGGGAGGAGCTCCTTGAGGACGCCCTCGCGCTCCAGGGATGGGGTGGGGTAGCCGTGGTCGAAGCGGCGGTGGTAGGTGGAGACGATCTCGTCGTCGGGCTTGATCATCTCGGTGTTGATGAGACCCTGGATGGAGTCGCGGAGGAGGTTCTTCTGGTCGACGGGCTTCTTGCTGGACTCGGAGACTTCCAACATGATGGACCAGTAGGGGCCTTCCTTGGGCTCGGAGGAGCTGGGCTTGGAGCCATCGGCAAGCTGCTGGGTGGCGAGCTTGACGTCCTTTTGAGGCTGGTTGTAGGGAGAGTAGTTGGAGAAGATGGTGGCGCGGTAGAAGGGGCAGTTGTCCTCGGGGAAGTAGAGCCAGCACTTGTCGCCAATGCGCTCCGGGCGCTCTCCTCGGATTCCAATACCGATGACGTGTGTGGAGGAGTAGAAGAGACCCTTGCTGAGGTTGATCAACTGCTTGTCTCCCATGGACTCGACGAGAGCGTCGACGGCCATTGTGTTGACGAGCTTGTTGTAGTTGACAACAGTTCCGTCCTTGAGGGTCACACGCTTGCTGTCAGCGTCGACCTTGGTAACTGTGCCGTTCTCGCCGAAACGCTTCTTGGAGTCAGGAAGGGTCTTTGCGACGGCGATCCAGATGCCACCGGTACCGTCGCGGGCAGGGAAACGGAAGGTGGCGTTGGGTCCCCAGTTACCGGCGGTCTTGTTGAGGATAACGTTCGTGGTGACGCGCTTGACGTCGGGGGCAGCGACACGCTCGCCGAGCCATGCGCATTGCATCTGATTGCCATGTGAGCCAAAGTAACTCGATTGTATGGAGAATTGCAACTTACGTCGGTGGTCGGGACGGCCCAGACCTTATAGTTGTATGGCCTCATGAAAAGGTCGGCAACACCAGTTCCCATCATTCGGATGATCCACTCGTCGAAGTCCTTGGGCTTTGTGTTGGACACACGCGCCTCAAGCGCGGCATCAATCATGCCGTCAATGCACTTGACCTGGTCCTCCTTGGGCAACATGGAGATGTTGTTCTGGAATGGGTAAGGGACCCAGAGGTTCTTGCAGCGGACGTAGGAGATACGCTGGTGGGTGTACCAGTCGTCCTCGTTGGGGAGGGCCTCGTCAATGCAGTCGTCGAAGTACTTGTAGTGGGAGAAGATGACATGGCCACCGACATCGTAGAGCTACACGGCAAATTAGATTATGGACTCGAAAAGTTGAGGAGTTCGACTTGAATGGGCATGACTTACGAAGCCTTCTGGGGTAACATCTGTCGAAGCCAAACCACCAGGGATCTCGTTCGAGTCCACGATCAACCATGAGGGGCCATTCTATTGCCGTTATTAGCTTCCGAACAAACGATTCTAGGGTGTAAAACGAGGTCGACATACGATCTGGTTGAGCCTCTTCGCAGCACCGAGACCAGTAGGACCGGCACCGATGACGAGAACGTCGACGTTACTGGAGTTGAGGTTAGCTCAAGCTTTTGGTGACAGCAAAGAAGAGATGCGGCAGGCGGTGAAGAGGCGAAACTCACATTTCTTCCTTGGCAGAACCCATTGTCCCCTGTAAGAGCTCTTGAAAACTCGGAACTCTCTTAAGTGTCTGGCGAGCGTAATTGAGCATGTACTCGACTCGTCGAGAAGCGTCAATGAGGGGTGTGTTGGAGGTGGGAGCGGTTTATGAGGCGGTGGGGGAGGGTTGCTGGGGCATTGCTGGTTATGATATTTATCAGGCCGAAAACGCTAGCGCCCGCTTAGTGTACAGGACATAGGCTATCACACTATCTGCTTGTACAGTTACGAAGTAGGTAACTCCTCCTACGAGTAATAAGTGCAACCCAGACCCGTACTGTGTATGTATGTGTGCCTTGGTATGCTTCAGAGAGTCTCAGACGTGCCATGCTATGCCAGACCAGCACATGAATACGAGGAGAGCATTGATTATCGGAGTAAATCGTTTTTTTCCCTCTCTCTCTGATACCCCATCCCACCTGTGCTGAGTCTTGACACACATCCAAACCTAGATACATCCCCGCCAACCAACAGTTTACAAACACACAACCACTATTACGGGACACTGCTTCTGCTGTTTCCGCTTTCATTGATGCCAGCGGTTGCCTCGCCTAATCCATGAAAAGGGGCATAAGGGGAGAGGGACTACATTACACCAGGCAAATATTATTACTCCGTACAATGTCTGCTACAATGTATAGTTACAAGTACCAACCACATACGAACGGGTACAGATGCAGCGTGGCTACTTTGATTGGCAACGGTATCCTTTTTTTCTCTCTTCTGTCTGTGCCATCCGTTGCCGTGACTCGGTGCTCCTTGTGGCGATCCGCATCGAAAGAGGAGATCGGACTTTATCAAAAAGTTAGGTTGGACTCTTCACCAAGTTACTTTAGTATGCTCTGGGCAAGCAAGATTGCAAGAGGCGGTCGGACATGGCCATTAAGTTATTTTCTCATCAGTCTAGGGACCGAGATAATGATCCATTGTTGCATTTACGATGTGAAAAATAAGTAAAGCAGCCGGGGAGGCGACCCCTTTTGGTGTCAACCCCTAACGGTAAATGGCCTGGAGATCCCATCCATCCCCAGGACATCACCTCTAGCATCCTCAACAGTAGGGCGCCACCCTCAATCTCTTTTCTACAGTAAGCAATCTTGACACGGCCAAAGTGCGACGAAAGAGGCCACGATAACCGCCGAATCGCCTGTTCGGTGGAGCGTAGGGCAATCCTGATATTTGCGAAACGAACCATGTTAATGCTTTGCTTGCTTGTGTGCGTGCTTGTGTTCACGACCATCCCATCCCATTCCCCTCGCGGGCGGTGTCTCCGCCCGTGCCAGTGCCAGAGCCAGAGGGGAAGGGGGAAAAAACTGCTCCAGGGAAGCTATTTTAGGGTTGGTGCCGTAGTGCATAAAATCCTCCGCTAATCTGAAGGTTGCCCTTATTCTTGCAAGTTTTGCGGGCCAGGTTACGCGTAATCCAACTGTCCTCATCTTTTGCGACCCACGCCGTCGAGGCTGATCTGTTTCATACTGGTTCTGACCTGCGCCGTCCCGAATTCTCGTTCAGAGGCTGCTGTCTAACAATCTCTCTATCCGAGAATCACAGCGCCGCCTTGGACTGTTGCCGGCCCCCCCCTCTTTTTTCTCCAAACGCTTTCCGATAGGCCTGACCTATAGCGAGAGAGACATGCATAATAGAATCGCTAGCATCGGCCTGTCACTTGCCCCAGATGAAGTAGAGATGTATTTGGTATGCAGATGCAAACGTTGTTCTAAGCAGACGCAGTACCCTGCATCATCCTCACCGTCATCATCGTCCACAATTAGTTAAGATAACAGATAGGTCAGGAACAGCAGACCGTTGAGACGCGACGGGCGTGACGTTGGGCCATCCCGCGGGAAAGATGGTTGTAGTCGCTCGTTGTTGCAGTCGTAGTAACAGTCGTAGTAGTATTCCAATCATCTCACCAACCACAGAAGATTGCTGCACATTCCCGTCCACAAAGGCCGGATCCATCTGTCACCACGAGCAACGAGGACGAACATCCTTGCAATCGGACGCTGTCGTCATGTACGGAAGTAGTAGTAGCGTAGTTTCTAGTCGGTCGTTTTCGTAGATGATAATTTACTTTTGTAGGATGAGCAGAGTTGAAATAATTAGGGGAGGAAAGTACAAGTAGAGAATGGTGAGTGGATGGTTGAGGTTGTGAGCGATCCACCACACCAAAGACCAAACTAGGAACTCCCTAGGGATTCATCCACCCTCCACTCCTCTTGAATTCTCCTAGTTAGTACGGAATACCTGTTACTACTCATCATCCTCATCCATTCTCCTCCTATTACGAGTGTCCATCTTCTGCCATCTGGCCTGGGCGTTGCCAACCAGCTTTGCCTCCCACCGCCCGCGTACCAACCCCTGTCGCTAATTTAAGCGTCGTCCTGTGCGGTCTTGGTTGACCTTTTTGTCTGAACCCTTCCGCTCTCTCTACTTCATCTCTTCAACCCGCAACTTTCTGTCCCACGACACACCCACCTCCTTGTGCGCCGCTCGTAACTACACTTGTTTGTCCGCCGCCGTTGCTGCTGGAACTTCTTGTGTATTACACGTTGCTTGTTCCATCTTCGAAGGATCCATTGTCACGGCGAGGCGCACTTCATCAGCCGCGCGCAGCATCACAGCCAGCGCCCCTTAGATCCTCGTTTCCTCTCCTTCTTTTCCCCTCTCTGCGAGTCAATCCACAACGTTCATTTAGACTTCCTCCCCGCCCATCGGCAGCAAAGGCACATATTCACCACTCATCATGTCTGACGAAAAGGTCCGGTCCTCAGTGGACAATGCCCGCGATCCCGCACAGCCAGTTCTCCCCACCGTGAACCCCAACCTCGAGAAGCAGAGTGCCCCAGAGGCAACCTTCCATCCCGCCGTCTATATCGCGTACGTTACCTATGTCCAGCATGTCCAGATGCAAACCAGACTGACTTGGGTGTAGAACATGGATCGGCCTCAGTTCCAGCGTCATCGTCTTCAACAAATGGATATTAGATACGAAGGGTTTCAGTACGTTCAAAACTTGCAATAACGCAACTTCGAAGAAAGGGACTAATTGAGACTTCCAGAGTACCCCATTTTCCTTACGACATGGCATTTGACTTTCGCAACCTTGATGACCCAATTCCTCGCCCGCTTCACCACCATCCTCGACTCCCGTAAAAAGGTTCCCATGACTGGACGTGTCTACCTGCGAGCCATTGTACCTATCGGCATCTTCTTCAGTCTTTCTCTGATCTGCGGTAACCAAACATATCTGTACTTGAGTGTAGCATTCATCCAGATGCTGAAGGTATGTGCAATCAAAGCACCACGAAGACTCATTGAATTTGGCGCTGACTTTCCCAGGCCACCACCCCTGTTGCTGTTCTCCTCGCGACCTGGAGTCTCGGCGTTGCACCACCAAACATGAAGACTCTCGGAAACGTTTCCTTCATCGTTATCGGTGTTGTCATTGCTTCCCTCGGCGAGATCAAGTTTGTCATGGTCGGTTTCCTCTTCCAGTGCGGTGGCATCATCTTCGAGGCCGTCCGTTTGGTCATGGTCCAGCGTCTCCTGAGCTCTGCCGAGTTCAAGATGGACCCTCTGGTTTCCCTCTACTACTATGCCCCCGCCTGTGCTGTCATGAACGGTATCATCTGCTTGTTCACTGAATTCTCCCGCCTGTCCATGGATGACATCTACAGAGTTGGCTCCTTCACCCTGGTTGCCAACGCTCTTGTTGCGTTCCTCCTCAACGTCTCTGTCGTTTTCCTCGTAAGTTAATCACTACTTCGCCTGGTGATCTGTGCTAACCAGAAACTAGATCGGCAAAACCTCTTCCCTCGTTCTCACTCTCTCTGGTGTCCTCAAGGACATTCTCCTTGTTTTCGCCTCCATGTTCCTTTTCGGCGACCCCGTTACTCTGCTCCAGGCTTTCGGTTACGGCATTGCTTTGGCTGGCTTGATCTTCTACAAGCTCGGTGCTGACAAGATTCGAGAGTACACTGGCCAGGGTGGCATGATGTGGGCTGAATTCGGTGCCACTCGCCCCGCCGCTCGCAAGATCCTCATCTTCGCGGTTCTTCTCGTTACCATGTTCGTTCTTTTGGGTGGTCTTGCCCCTAGGTTCGCCCCCACTGCTACCGACAAGGCCTACAACAGGATCGGTACGATGCTCGGTGAGAAGGGCGCTTGAACGCTTTGCACTAAGATTCAATCATCAATCTGGAGTATGTGCGATGCAGTCATTCTCGGGCCTGTTGCATGCATAGATTCGCAGATCCGCTAGGAGTTTTCGAGTCCATATCAAATGGGGGGTTTTTGGTCCAGTGATTCATGGAGCAGTTCTTGGAGCGGCAATGGTTACCACGTGTTCAGGTGTTTGCAGTATAGACATGGTTTCTTTACCCTGGTGGTTCTACGGGGTTCGTCTACTCTGATTTTCGAGATTCATCTCAGAGACGTGACCTCTTTTCTGTTCGACTTTCTTTTATTCCATTCTGCAATTAGGAGCAATGACAGGGAAACGATGGAAAACTTGCACATTTGAGTGTCTAGATAGAGATGTTTCAGTGTGCATGACACGCTGTACACGGTATATATAAACATAAACTACATAATAGTAATCTGCTCGTGAAAACATATTCGTTCCTATGCTTACAATCTGTGCTAATGTGCTCTGTTGTACATACTTTGTACGGTATCAGATGATCTATGGTTTTTCAAGGCTGTTTTAAAGGGGCACTGTCCTCGCTTACTCAATGTAGCAGGTTCTGCCACAGCTGTCCTTTTTTTCTGCCGAAGGCGGTGGCCAACTGCCAAGCCGCGCTAAGAATTCCGCTTCCCACATTGTCGAAATTCACGAATTGCTTCAACCACCTCGTCAACTAACCCAACAGCAACATCTTCAACACCGTAACTCCGGTCGTCAGTCAAGATGGGTATGGAATATCAGCATCCTAGATATACACTCGAGGCTAACAGAATTGTCAGGTATCGATTTGGACAGGCATCATGTTCGAGACGGGCACCGCAGTATGTGTTTTCTCCCCGCGAGATTCCCCGTCGAGTCGCACCTCACTTGAGGTTGTCGGCGCGCAGCTGTCCCTTTGGATAGCGCATGATTGCATGAATTGCGAAGGCTAACAACTTGTAAAGAGGTCGCTAAGAGCTCCAACCCCTACATCACTCTTTTGGTGAGGCTGTACAAGTTCTTGTCCCGTAAGTGCTCAATCTGATGAAGAAAATTGAGAAAGTCTGCTAATATGCTTCAACAGGCCGTACCGATGCCAGTGAGTTAACCGCCGTCGGATGACTTGTCAGAAACGATTCCTAACGAAAATTAGACTTCAACAAGGTTGTGCTTCGCCGCCTTATGATGTCCAAGATCAACCGCCCTGTTAGTACAACGACATTGAGAACCAGCCCGGATTTCAACTGACCCTTTATAGCCCGTTAGCTTGTCCAAGATCGTCGCCACTGCCGCCAACAAGCAGTCCGGCAAGGAGCACGCTGGCAAGACCATCGTGATCGTTGGAACCGTCACCGACGACAACCGTCTCCTCGAGCTCCCCAAGCTCTCCATCGCCGCTCTCCGCTTCACCGCCGCTGCCCGCGCCCGCGTTGAGAAGGCCGGTGGTGAGGTCCTCACCATTGACGAGCTCGCTCTCCGTGCCCCTACCGGTGCCAACACCCTCCTCCTCCGTGGCCCCAAGAACGCCCGTGAGGCTGTCAAGCATTTCGGCTTCGGTCCCCACTCCCACAAGAAGCCCTACGTCGCCAGCAAGGGCCGCAAGTTCGAGCGTGCCCGTGGTCGCAGACGGTCCCGTGGTTTCAAGGTCTAAGCGACCTTGGTGGAATGGAACGGTTTCTTTGGCTCGTCGGCGCGCGCATGGCGGGTTGGCTTCAATCAAATATGGCGTGCATCATGTCTGGTATGGGCTCCAATATGGGCGCATAAAAATGATACTCAATGTCCAATTATGCAACGGAATTAAAAAGCAAGAGCTCTTCGGAGCCCATGGAATAAAATCCAAGGAACACCATTCTTTCCATTGCAAATGTGACCTTTATGATTGTGAATGAAGAAAAAAGTGATTTCTATGCACTGTGTAGTACAAATGCGGGCAGATCAAAGCATATCTTCTGCGCACTGCTGTTCTCAAATTTGGCAAACTTACGCCATCAGAAAATTTCCCCACGGTCCGATTGACCAACCACAGCACAGCATCCCACTTCGTTCTAATTTTCCCATACTAAACACCTACCCACCACATCTATGACTGTTGATACTTACAACAATCTATAATCTCCAACTATATAAATTTCGCCATGGTCGACACAAGAAAAGTGGGCGTTCTGGGCGGCGGCCAGCTCGGTCGCATGTTGATCGAGGCGGCAAATCGACTCAACATCCAAGTCAACGTCCTCGACGTAGATAAATCGCCCGCAAAGCAAATTTCGTCACATGACGGCCACATTTCCGGATCCTTCAAAGATGCAGCAGCAGTTAAGAAGCTAGCAGAATCATCGGATGTCGTTACCGTGGAAATCGAGCACGTGGATGTGGGCATGCTGGAAGAGGTATCGAGTCAGGTCGCTGTGGAGCCCAGCTGGAAAACGCTCAAGATTATCAAAGACAAATACGCCCAAAAAGGATATCTTGAATCCCACGGAGTCCAGGTTGCTGAAAGTATTGATCTGGAAGGAAAAGGTGTGGAGGGTTTGAAAGAGGTTGGCAGCAAGTTCGGCTACCCGTATATGTTGAAGAGCAAGACTGAGGCGTATGATGGACGAGGAAACTTTGTGGTCAAGAGCGAGGGCGACATTGAGGCTGCACAGAAGGCATTGGGCGACCGACCACTCTACGCCGAACGCTGGGCAGATTTCAGGATGGAGCTTGCCGTCATGGTTGTAAAGACCAAAGACGGAGTCCTGACCTTTCCCACTGTTGAGACCATCCACGAAGACAGCATCTGCAAGCTCACATACGCACCCCCAAGGAACGTATCTCCAGAGATCACAGCAAGGGCTCAAGAACTCGCAAAGAAGGCCATCGGTGCGTTCGAGGGCAAGGGAGTCTTCGGTGTAGAAATGTTCCTGCTCAAGGACGACACTCTCCTCATCAACGAAATCGCACCCCGACCTCACAACTCTGGACACTACACCATCGAAGCATGCCCTCTCTCCCAGTACGACGCCCACCTACGCGCCATCCTCGACCTCCCCATCCCAGAGTCTGGCCTCCGACTCCGCGAACCCGCCATCATGCTCAACATCCTCGGCGGCCAGACCACAGACTCCCACGTGCAAATCGCAAAGAAAGCCCTCGAATCCCCCAACGCCTCCATCCACCTCTACGGCAAAGGCGACGCCCGACCCGGCCGCAAGATGGGACATCTCACCGTGACCGCACCAACCCTCGCCGCCGCCGAAAAGGAAATCCAACCCCTAATCGACGTCGTCGACCAGCAAAAAGGCAAAGCCGTCACACCTAGCCCCGCCTCTTCCTCTCCCGAGCCCCTCGTCGCCGTAATCATAGGCTCCGACTCTGACCTCCCCGTCCTAAAAGCCGGCCTCGACATCCTCACGAAGCTCCAGGTCCCCTTCACGACGCGCATCACGTCCGCGCACCGGACGCCGGACTGGCTGCGCGAGTACAGCAAAGCCGCCGGCACGGCCAACGGCCTCCGCGTCATCATCGGCGCGGCGGGCGGAGCTGCACATCTGCCCGGCATGTGCGCGAGCTGGACGACGCTGCCAGTCATTGGAGTCCCCGTCAAGGCTACGCACCTCGACGGCGTGGATTCGTTGTACTCGATGACGCAGATGCCGAGGGGGGAGCCCGTGGCGACGGTGGGGATCAACAATTCGACGAATGCGGCGCTGTTGGCGGTCAGGATACTGGGGGCCACGGATTTGGAGGTTAGGGAGAGGTTGAGGGTTTGGATGGAGGGGAATGAGAAGGAGGTGTTGAGGAAGGACCAGAAGTTGCTTGAGGAGGGGTATCAGACTTATTTGAAGAGTATGGGGAAGTAGGGGGTTCGTATGTTTTCAAGATGTTATCAAAAGGGGTGGGTAGGGGGTTGTTAAGTTATGATTTAGACGCAATTCAATGATAGAGATGATATAGTTCTTATGGTTGCCGTGTGAAGAGTTTTGGCAGGTGGAGATCGTGATGATTGCCTCGAATTGCACGGGTGTGTTGGTTATGGGACAAGGGCCTTTGGATAGAAATGTTTGAGCATCTATTTACTCTCTATCATCAACCGCTGTTGTATAGCACCAAACTCCTTTCGTTTCTCCTTAAGACAGTCCAGTCGCCATGGGGTATTTCCCTGTCTATCTATCTCCTCCCGTTCGTTACGAAAGCTTGATAATTTACATTGCTAAATCATAGAATTCTATAGCTCATCATGCCCGTCGGGCATCTTGATTGGACCCTCGGGGCGACCCAACTCCTGGTCAAGGTTTTTGCCGCTCTTCTTGCGGTACTTCTCCCAGACACTCCAGAACTCTTTCGCCATGCCTTTGTCCATCTGGTCGGGTAGTATGACGGTGTACTCGATGTGGAGATTTCCGAATGCCTCGTCGACGCCCTCGGGGAGGTATTGGTGCCATACCGGCATGCCTTCGTTCTCAATGATCTCAACGGTATTTGGCTGTACCACTTCCCCACGCTTGCGAGAAAGCTGTACGATGTGACCGTCGAGATGTGTGATGTTGCGAGTCCAGTCGCCCATCCATGCTTCCCGTAGACTGAGCACCTCTCGCCAGAAGAGATCCTGGCCTCGGCGACGGAAGAATGTGCCGTCTGTTCGCTCGTGGTCTGCTCCCCCAAGCTTGGGCTCGGTGGCCGTGAGATGTACCACCAGGTCTCCAGCAACCCAGTCTGGGCTCTCGTCCGCCTCGTTCTCGTAGTTGATTCGTACGCCCTGTGGCATGCCTTTCTCGACATGAAGTTCGTGGGTTTCGGCCTCTCTGACAACTCTCGTCCCGTCGCAGACAGGGCAAGGGTGCTTGATCGTCTTTCCTTTGCCACCGCACGCATCGCACATGGCTTGGACCTGTTGGAACAGGCCCGGTGCAAGTTGCTGTCGCTGAATCCGAACGCCGCGTCCACCGCAGACGTTACATGTCTCGACGTGTCCGTCTTCTGATCCTGAGCCCTCGCACGCAGAGCAGATCGCTTGCTTTTCAACCGTGAATTCTGTCTGCCTGCCGTTGTAGAAGTCTCGGAGGGGAACCGAAACTCGAACCTCCATGTCTGGGCCCTGTCGTTGGCCACCACCATGTCCGAAGTGTCCAGAGCCGCCGAAGAAGCGTGAGAAGAGGTCGAAGGGGTCGTGGTGCTGTGCTGGACGGCCGCCACCGCGTTTGTGTTGTTCGAGGCCGTCGTGGCCGTATTGGTCGTAGATTCGGCGGGTTTCTTCGTCGATCAGAGCGTCGTAGGCTTCGGCTACCTTAACAAACTTATCGTGGGCCGATTCGTCCCCACTGAGAATGGTTAGACCTTGGTGTTTCAAATCTGAAGTTGCAGAGAACTATGTTCGCAATTGGGAATTGGGCTCGACATACGGGTTCTTGTCTGGGTGATACTTCTTGCTCAGTGTCCGGTATGCCTTCTTAATTTCACGCTCGGAAGCATCTTTCTTCAATCCTAGCAACTACACGTTCAAAGACTTAGCACAATGTCACACAGTCAACCTTGAAAGAAAGAAAATTGAAGGCCACACATACCTTATAGAAGTCTTCCGCACCCAATGCCACGAGGGCAAGACATCCCAAAAAGATCAGTAATCGCAGCAACATCTTGCTCGACTATAGTTCGGCGTTCCGAATCGGTGGAGGGAAACGAGCAAGTGAGCGGACGGTGTGAGGCCAATTAATTTCTCGAAATCTTCAAATCATGAAAGCTACATGGAAGTGAAAAAGTAGGATCGACGAGCGAGACCTAAAGGTTTAAGGAACGTTACTCAGGCGGGGCGGCGCATTTATGGGGAACAATAAAGCTGGAGCTTCCATTCGGAAATGCCAGATATCATATGCACAGCAATCACGCTAGCCTATCATGGTTTGGTGGTGCCGATATGGCTTACATAACGCATTATTTTCAAATGAACTCACGACTGGTCAATTAGAGCATGAGTGCATCCTCGGATCCATAATAGTCGAACGCAACTCAAGATCGAATAACTTCATATATAAAACAATACGTCGAGGGCATACCGAGTGCCTGAACTGCCATTGAAGCGCCAGAACGGCGCCTTCGTCCTCCTACGCGACCTTTACGATCTACCACCGGAACGCCCGCCGCATCCTCACACATCATGTCGAGTCCCCTCGCAACCGTCCTGCGGAGGAATGTCTCCAGCTCCAAGATTGGCGTCGTTGTATCTGCAGGCAAAATGTCTAAGGCTGTGAAAGTTCGAATTGCGGAGAAGACATGGGACAAGCACTTCCGAAAGGTATGCCTCTCCAGCCCCTCTTTGCGAAGGATTTAAGATTTTAGGAACAAGGACTGACGGCAAGATAGTTTTTCCCATCACCCAAGACATATTTGGTCGCCGATCCGAACAACTCTCTTGTCGAGGGAGACGTCGTCCGCATCGCCTCGGGATATCGTACGAGCAAGCAAATCCGCCATATTGTATCCGCCATTGTCGCGCCATTTGGTGCACCCGTTGAAGAGCGAACTCCTGTTCTTACCGCAGACCAACTCATGGAGATCCGCATGAAGAAGAGGCTCGAGAAGGACGTTAGATCAGCACAGAAAGGCAGAGTGACGAGCATACGACGGATCAAGGAGGCCAGACAAGCGGGATTCGAGATTCCGGACTTAGAGACAGCAATGCGAAATGTAAAGCTCGGAGAGGCGGATGCAGTAAAAGAAGCCGACGAGGCGCACAAGGGACAAGCAGGGCAAATAATTACTAGCAAAGAAAGGAGGAGACAGGCCCGTGAAAAAACAAAAGATGAGCGAAGAGCAGAGGAGAAGCTGAAGAAGAGCAAGACTCAAGAATTGTAACTTTTACTACATGCAGAACTTGGGAATCTGTAGGATACCACTTGTATGAGGAGAGTCACTGTATGATACTATCGCATTTAGGGCGCCTCGAAATGGAAAATTTTATGTAGATATATTGATCGTCGTATTACATATGCTCTCAGTGTAATTATGTTATACAACTTCGCAGGGTATCGTATAAGAGAATTATACCGCCATCAAAGGGCTTGTACACCGTAGAATAACTCCTGATATCATACAGTCCAACATGGTAAAGTTAGACTCGAAACGCCGTACCCATTAGTGAATGCCGTACCATCATGTCTCATCTCGTGCTTCAGACATCAACGAGGTCAAAATTGTCATCCTCATCTTCACTACCCTCATAGTCTTTAGTGAGGAAAGGGTGCTCCAAGGCCTTCTTTGCAGTAATGCGCTTCGCAGGATCGCACTCGAGGAGCTCATACAAGAACTCCACTGCTTCTTTCTCGTCATCTTCTAGCTCTTTCTTCACACCACTGTTCTTATCGCTGCTTCGGCTCGTACACCAAAGAATGATCTTTTCGAACGAATGCCCATTATCGCTGTAGGTAGGAATGTTTGTTTCGAAGACCTGGCCGTGCAACAAAGAAGTCTCCTTCATCTTCTTGCGCCCAACGATCGTGGTGATTTCTAGCAGAGCATCGATGTCGTCCTGGCTATGGAAGAACGGGAAACGGCGAGATAGTAAAGTAAGTAGGATAACTCCAGCACTCCACATATCGATCGAAGTGTTCTGTTGTGTGCATTTTAGAAGTACCTCTGGGGCGCGGAAGCCACGGGTGCCTGCACGATTTGCACGACGACTGGACCGATTATCGTTCTTTGGGTAGCATGATGGGCGATGCTGAGTCTGCGCATACACACTGTGGGATACCCGGTAGCTACGCTCCTCAGCTCCTAGCGTGCATGCGCACTGCTGCCATTCCGTGCCTAGGCGCTCTGCGAGACCAAAGTCAACCAGTACGCCCCGTGACTGGGCAGGGTTGTAGAGGAAGTTGGTAGGCTTGATATCTCGATGGAGTATCTTTTTGCTGTGCACATGTCTTAGAGCAGTGAACAGACTGCGGAAGTAGAGGCGCATCTCTGGAACTTTCATATCGCGATAGTATTCGCGAAAATCTCGGTGCTGGAAGTACGGCAAGACAGCCACGACCTGATCCAGATGGCGGAACGCTGTGATCAGCGGGCAGACAGAATCAGATCCCCTTAAGTCATACAGAAGCTCCAGCTCGTTGAATATACGCATGGGGCTGCTGGTGACATAGATCTTCTTGATGGCGACGTAATGCGGTCGTCGTGAGTTGCGTCTTCGATGTCCGGGAGAGGACCATTTTCGTTTCTCCTGCTCGTCGATATCCCAATTATTCCGGTATTGGTTGTACTCAAGATCTTCCGCTTTGTATACTGTAGAAAAGGTACCTGTAGGGATACTGTGAGCGCAAGCACACCTTCGGAAGAGAGGAAGAGCTCGAAGGAAAACCTACCTTCTCCGATGCGATTGATCAGGCGAAATCTGCTGTTGATGCCGGAAAAGCTCTCCTCAAAGCGTGCAATATCATCAGCGACTGATTCCTCTATTTCCTCATCACTGCTATCGACAGTACGTCCACTTTCCTCCAATGGGTCGCCGCTCTCGTCCAACGTTTCTTCTGCCTCCTCTTGCTTCATATGGTCTTCGTCCAACACGATAGCCTCCACTGCACGCGACTGCATACGTGACTTCGCCATGTATATTCTTCAACGTATTCCTGTCGGGGTTATCCTCGTCGTGGTCGTTGTCGCTGCGGCGTTCTGCGAGTACTGCTTACTCTTGAATGCATTGGCGGGACAGTCAATAATAACATTGAAGTCGCGCCGCGCGCTAGCCTGATTAAGCAAACTGTTTTGGTTGGACGCGGCGAAAGCGGAAAGCGGCGACACATGCGGCTGCAGGTGTGGGACAGTCGTGCAACAACAACAAAACACCCCACAACGTCCTTTCGTACATTCGCACAGGCTTCCTGCCCTCTTTTCTTTCTAACCACTCTTTTCTTTTATTGCCTCGATAGGCATCATGGACGCGCCTATTGATTTCGACATTAACGAGTCGCTGAAAAATTATGACATCGACCCTACGACAATCGCGACACCAGAGGCACCTTCAGAGCTCGTCGATTGCGAGCATGATCCAGAATCACTGACGCCTGCCTTGATCAACAGTGTATTGAATCCAGTGGTTGACGATGTGGCCCGGAGTCCGGATGCGATTACTCGAAGCTCTAATTTCGACACACTGCAATTCCTCCTCAAGTACGTCCTCTTTTCTATGTCTATCTTCACGGAGATGGATTATAACATAGACTAACCATATGTGCCTAAACAGGTCTTCTTCACAAATACCCCATGCTACACTTAGCAAAATCCTCGATTTGATACCCTCTGCGTTATCCGCCCAAGCAGACTTGGTCCATGCCGATATAGAAGCAGATGAGCAAGAGGAGATCGCTGTACACAAGCGTCTATTGGAGATCTATGGCTTTTTGTTGCGGTGGACAATATCTGCGGTAGAAACCAGGGCATTGGAAAAGTCCGCTTCCGCTCCCCCAAAAGCACGAGGCAAGGGTGCCAAGTCCAAAAATGGGTTGGCAAAAGATGGTAGCTGGGATGCTTCAGGACAATTGATGAATGCTTTGGAGGTCATGTGCAAAGTGCTGAAGCTGAAGTTGTCAAGGATATTCGTGACGACCTCGGAGCGAGACACCTTTGTTCAGTTATTTACCAAACCAATTTACCAGATCTTTGAGAATGAGGCCAGAGTTAAAAGCACGGCGATAAAAATGCACTGCTTTCGAGTGCTTTGTATAGCTGTCAAACATCATGGCCATGCGTCAGGTAAGTCAATATCATTTTAGAACGTCTTCGGAACTAACTGTGTGTATAGACGCCCAGATAGCTATCAACCAGAGCCTGCTATACTACGAGCATCTCTCTGAACCGATGGCCGAATTTCTGCAAATCTTATCGGAACAGTACGATTATTCTCAGCTCACTGAAGAGGTGCTGAAGGATATGAGTATGATTGAGTTCAGTAGCAACGATCTCAAGGGTCCCAAATCAGTTTCCACTTTCCTGGCCAAAGTATCCGAATTGACGCCACAACTCATCATGAAACAAATGACACTTCTTGCGAATCTCCTTGACAGCGAAGTACTACCACCCGAAATCTTTTGAAGATTATTGCTAATCTCTGTTAGTCGTATACTTTGCGATGCGCCATGATTGAGGTTTGCGGCAACCTGATCGCGTTAATCAGCAAACAGCCGGATGCAGAACGAAGCGAGAATCAAGCAGCGCAAATCGAAATCTACTTCGATGTCTTGGAAGAGCGTTTCCGTGACATCAATCCGTACTGCCGGTGTCGAGTTATGCAAGTCTATGTAAAACTATGCGACCTACAGCAGAAGTTCCCCAAGAGGCGGTTGGCCGTCGCTGATCTTGCCACACGAAGTCTCGAGGACAAGAGTAGCAATGTACGACGAAATGCCATTAAACTACTTGGAAAGCTGGTCTCTACCCATCCCTACTCTGGACTCAACGGCGGTTTGCTCCCGGCGAAGGCATGGGCCGCGAAGCTGGAGGCATGCGAGAATGATATCAACGCTCTCAAGCCTCCGGAGGAGTTACGCGAAAGGTCCGATCCAGAAGACCAAACGCTAGCTGAGTCTGCATTGGCCGATGCCACGCAAGTGGATGCTACCATAACTGAAGGTCCAAAGCACCCAGCCGAGATGACAGAGGAACAGAAGGCTGCAATCATAGCAAAGGCTCAAAAAGAGGCAGCCACAACTGAGATGCTCAATGTTCTCCAAGATACACGAAAGAGAATCAAGGAGGTTCTATACTTCATTGGGGCAATCGATGATGCAGCGGAGATCGTCACCCAACTTTTGTCTTCCAAGAACAAGAGTGAAGTTATCGAAGCCATGGACTTCTTCACCATCATCGACGCTTACAAGTTTGAGAATGCTCGCATGGGTATCAAGCGGATGTTGCGACTGATCTGGACAAAAGGCAATAGCGACGAAGGGAAGGGAGTTCAAACGCATCTCATTGAGTGCTACAAAGCATTGTTCTTCGATGCACCGCCCGATCGTGATGCCGCTACTTACATCGCGAACAATATGATCAGTCTTACATTCGGCACCACGCCTGCCGAACTCACGTCCCTCGAACAGTTACTCAGTACGATGATGAAACAAGGACTAGTAAAGGCTCCAGTGATCCAGCGGCTATGGGCGATATACGGTCACCAGCGAAGGGACAAATCAAAGAGCCAGCGACGTGGTGCTATAATTGTCCTTGGTATGCTTGCCTTGGCCGAGCCCAATATCATAATACAAGAGATGGAAACATGTCTGCGCATCGGCTTGGGTGAGCTTGGTCGTCGTGACCTTGGCCTCGCTCGATACACTTGCATCGCCCTTCGTCGCATTAGCCCACCACCAGGCAAGATTTCCGCTGCTGCTGCATCAACACCCGTGGTAAAATTGCCAAACGATCATGCTGTTCTAGTCAGACTAGCGGCTATGTGCGAAATCGTTTCGGACAACAAAGAGTGGTTCGGCGTTGCTGAGCAAGCTATTAGTGCTATCTACGTTCTGTCCAAACATCCCGATGTTCTGTGTTCTGAGATTCTGAGGCGGAAGACAAAGTACGTGTTCTCACACCAAGCACAACAGAAACCGCCTACTGCTCTGGAAACGAACGAAACCAGCCAGCTGTCCGCACAGGCGGACGAGGATGTGATCATGGAAGATGCACCTGCGGAAAGCCCTGCAGTAGATGTTCCTGAAGAAAGGCAACAGAACCCGGCACTTGCGCTTTCTCAACTGCTGTTCATCGTGGGCCATGTCGCCATCAAACAGATCGTGCATCTAGAACTATGCGAGCTTGAATTTAAACGCCGAAAAGCCGAAAAGGAGAAGAAGGCACCAATCCGCGAGTCTGTCGCCTCAGAAATTGCCACACCAGCCAAGAGGGGAAGGAGAAAGGTATCTGGTAAGGAGCCGACACCGGCACCTGCAGAAGCTGACGAGTTGGACCTCATGGCTGGAACTACCGAGGACGACTTCACGGAGGCCATCGCACACATCCGAGAGCGTGAGCTTCTTTACGGTCCGCAGTCTTTGCTCGCCAATTTTGGGCCCATGGTTTCCGAGATATGTGCCAATAACACCTCCTACAACAACCAGACGTTGCAAGCTCAAGCAGCACTTTGTCTTGCCAAGCTGATGTGTGTCAGCTCTGAATACTGCGAAGGAAATCTTGGGCTCCTATTGACCATACTTGAACGGTCAAAGGATGCGGTGGTCCGCAGCAATCTTGTTGTTTCACTTGGTGACATGGCTGTTTGCTTTAACCATCTCATTGACGAAAATACCGACTATCTGTACCGGCGTCTAAATGACAACGATCCAAGCGTCAAGCGAACCTGTCTCATGACTCTTACGTTCCTTATTCTAGCCGGTCAAGTCAAAGTTAAGGGGCAGCTTAGTGAAATGGCGAAATGTCTCGAAGACAGCGACAAGAAGATTGCAGATATGGCCCGCATGTTCTTCACTGAGCTTGCAACGAAAGATAACGCGGTGTACAACCAATTCGTTGACATGTTCAGTGTCTTGAGTGCAGATACCGGGTTGGACGAGGACGCATTCAAGAGAATCGTGAAGTTCCTAGCTGGGTTCATTGAGAAGGTGAGTTCTGCGACTATATTAACCATTTCGCACATACTGATACTCTACAGGATAAGCATGCTAAACAGCTTGCAACGAAGATTGCTGCTAGACTTCCTCGTGCGGAAAATGAAAGGCAGTGGAATGATGCAGCCTATGTTTTGGGTCTCCTACAACACAAGGACGAGGAGATTCAAAAGGTGGTCGCCGAAGGCTTCAAAGTCGTCCAGGCAAATGCGTAACGGGCTGCGATACTACTAATAAATGCATGATTGGAAATGATACCCGGGCTATTGCGATCGGCCAGTGCACAGCACCTGGCTTTGCAATGGCGAAGGCGTTCAGGTCGGGGCCCCATTTCTGCTTGCTTGTTTCACATCAACGTTTTATGACAAGAATCGAAATTTTAATCTATCTACTACATATACATATCCCTTTCCTAAATGACAATGTGTTATGCGCGGCATACTGTACAGTGTACATAGTATACGTAAGCCGTTCAATATGCAAGCATACGCTTTGCGCCTGTGCATTCTAGCTGAGATACTATTATCACAACGAATGTTATGGTTGCTCATAACGAACAGGCTGTTATTTGATTTCGAAGATGACTAGCAAGAGTACGAATAAGATTTTGGTCAACAGAGATTTCCCTTCATTTTTTCCAATAAGTATCTGAAGTTCAACAGGGCCCATAACTACAAACAGCAAACAGTCAAACGTTCCCAATCCACATCACCAGTACACTACGTTTTCAACTTAATCAGTGTTTTCACTGCCGAGAGCCCGCTCGTGCATTCCAAAGTCTCATTGGTCTTTCTCGGAGAAAAGCCGTAGAGTCTCTGACGTAGTCTAGTGAGTCGATTCGAGGGCATCTAATCGCACGTTTGATTCCGAGAGCTGCGCGCTAATCAGTGGCTCGACTGACTGTAGTTTTGCCAGCGAGATCACCAAGTTCCTTTGCCCATTCCTGGGGTCGAGCTTGTACTGCTCGACTAGAGCGACTGTGATGTATTGTCTGGGCTTATTAAACATCCATCCTTGAGCCCCCCTCCACGGTAAAAGCTGAAAAATACCCCTCTCATACATTTCCAATCCTATTGTACGGTAAAGCTGGCAATGTCGGTTCCGGATGTAGTCGTTGTGGTCGTACTCGTGGCAAGCTAGACCGTAGGGAAAAGGAATGTCACATAGAGTGAGACACGTCGTCGCTGCTCGTGTGCAGCCAAGGCGGTATTCTAGGTGAGCAAGCGTCTCACCTATGTGCTCCCATGACGTATCCACGCCCTGGTTCAATATTGCAACGCGTGAGCTGATCCCCTGGTTCCCAGATTGGCTCGACCTTCCTGGGATGCTGTTTGCGTACTCGACAGCGAGGTTGAGGACGTGTTTCCGCGCTGCTCTTGCAGTACAAAATCTTCCTCTTGGTAACTGCTCCGGGTGCTTAGTTGGCGGGGTTGCGGTGGTCGGATCGAAGCACAAGGGACGGAGTGGTAAAGCGTTGAATCGTTCCTCGATATCAGCCAGTGGGATTCCACTTCTTTCGCCAAAGAACAATATCCACTCATCAATCATGCCTGGAAATGTCACCTTGTGCATGTCCCCATGTCTGCCGGTAAATCTTGCAAGTTCTGAACGGAGTCTCTTGGCGTGCTTAATGAAGCCCTCGTTGATCCCAATCTCTTCCTGCGATAGCTCCTCCATTTCCTCCTCCAGGGCGAGGACCTCTGATCCAACATCTACGTAATCCAACTCCTCCGCCCATGGGTCTGGTATTGGAATGTTGTTGGTCGTCACTGTCCAACCCCCCAACCAAAAGGAATTGGTCACAATAGTCCATTGAAGGTCTTCAGGCATCGCCGCCTGTACCCTGGACAGAAGCAACGGGTGCTCTGGTCGGCAGGACTCGTCAGTATCTTGTTCCGGGCAAGGTAGGGGTCCGAAAAGCACAGTCTTGCTGGTTTCATGCCCGCGCCCAAATATCAATACCAGCAGCTTTTCGCCCTTCTGACTGGCTTCAGAAGCCTCACGACCCAGAATCCTCAGATAATCCTCAACTGCCGTATATTGACTCAGCAGTTGCACAGGCGTGAATAGCTTCTGATCGATAATGTCCTGATTTAACACGACTCTCTGGTCTTCGTTGTTCCCGTGCGTATATTCCGTGTACTGTGATACTAACTCTTGCGGTTCCAGTAGGCTCAGCCACGTCTGCTTGGGAGTAAGGTTGTGGAGTAAGACGTTAAAGAGATAAAAATCGGAGAGAAGGCAGCCGTCTTCCTCATGATCTGCATCATTGATGTCCATGACTGCACAAACTGCTACAACTCTTGTGTTCTCGTGAACGTCGGGAAAGGTGGATGTGGTGAACTCTGTAGGATTGCTTCCAATGATGTTGTGAGTAGAGGATGACATGGTGATGGCGGTGTAGATGTCGAAAAGGTAGGGTCCGAGACAGAAAGTGGTCCACTGGGAAAATGTGATCAAAAGTGGTGGAAAAGATGACAAAGGTTGGAAATGCCAGTTATGTGCTCGTTCCAATAGCTAAGGAACCAAAAGAAAAAGGGTATTTTAACAGGGAGCTCAATGAACTTTTATACTTTTGGTTTTCCAAAAATGTTGCGTTTACGTATTGGCAATAACCCGGTACCATGGTTTGGTTGGCTCCCATTTCGTGGGAACGGATATATACTTTCTCTACAACTGATCGATTCTATCCAAAGGTGGAACAATACTATGACTGTGAGTCATTTTTGTTGGGAAGAGATGGTCATATGATGGATAGGGACTTGCCGTGTGTGGCTAAAAGGGGGAGTGGCACTGCTTTAGATGGAGAAGGATGTCCTTGCGTACGACAGTGAGTGTTCGAATACATACGGTTCGAAAATTCGAAGTTGATATATGAATTAATTACAGAATACTATGCTATGATATAAATGCAAATGCTAAGAAAGAGCCGCCACGCTATGCAAATATAAAAATCATCAAACACTCCCCAATCCATAATCCGCTCCATCGAACCCCCAACCCTCACAAACCACACCTGCGAACGCACTCCTCAACCGCCAGCGCAATATTGGCCGGAATCAGCTTCCTAAAGCTCTCAATATCCTTCCCATCCACCGCCTTCGGGAACCCGAGGGTCGCATTAACAACATCAGGGTTCAACCCAAAGAACGTCTGCGCCATCTGCGAGGTACCCGGGTCCGCGTTGTCCAAAGTAGCCACAAAGGTCGCATTGTCGCACGTCGGGTTGAACTGGTAGTGGACGGAGCCGATGGGGAAGACGGTGCCTTGGAACTGGGCGAGCGTGCCGTTGATCTCGGCGTTCTGGCCTGCGGATACGAGCCCGTTTTCCAGGATGTAGCCGAAGTTGAGGCTGCCTTCGACGACGGTGAGGAATTCGGTGGCGCGTGGGTGTACGTGTGGTGTGTTCATGCCGCAGCCTGTGAGGAAGCCGACGGTGGTAGAGAGACCGAGGCCGGAGAGGATGGGGAAGGTTTCGATGTTCTGATGGAAGGGTTAGTGGTGGGAGAGTGTGAGAGGCTGGAGGTTGTGAACTTACGGCGGACTTTGTGGCTCCTCCTTTAGCACCGTTGTTGGGTTTGGCGTTGTTGAAGTCGAAAACGGTACGCTCGGCGAGTTGCTGAGGCTCAAGAAGCTTCTCGCCCTTTCCGTCGACAGTGAGAAGACGTTTGAAGCGGGTTAGGGTTGAGGGGGCATTGGCGAGCTCTTCGAGAAGCTTGGTGTTGTCTTGAGGAGTTACATAGGTAGGTGTCGCCGTTGGTGCTGTTGATACGGAGGATGTTTGCTGCTGGGGAAGAGCACTGGTTGTGCCAAAGGCGGCGAGCGCAGCAATGAGGACTTTCATGGTGGTAGAAGACATTATGATTGAGATAGATAATAAGAGATCTTATAGAACCTAGGAAAGAGAAGACTTAAAGGAAATAGAAAGATAGGAAAAGAGGTGACTGGGGATATATTGTAAATGCAAGTGATGTAGTGATGAGAAAGATCAGCAATCACTGCAGATTATAGTCTACTTTATACATCTTCATTCTTCCTCACAGTCACTGTGATATCTACTGTGTATCTTGGAGCTAGGAGGCGTGGAGTAATCGTCATTTCGGAAGGAATGTATCCGGAGCATTCTCTCCACGTTGCTAAGCCTGTGCCCCCATAAGGAATCCACACGCTAGCAATGAGCTTATTTTGTTTGGAACAAAAATGCTGATAATACGATTGGATGGTGAAGAGAAACATGTCTGGTGCCGTCAGCCTGGCTCTTGGATCATTCTGCTACTATCCCTGCCTGATGAGGCGCAGGTACTGCCACGACGCCGCAGAGGAAGTTGGTCGATCCGTGCAGCGCGCTTGCGATTATTCCCTTCGAGAAGTTTCGCATCGTGAAATAGATTTTTCTTTAAATACAACGTGATCGAAACGCTACGCACCATAGCGGCGTAGTGGCACAAACGGCGCTTGTGGGTAGTCCTCGCACTGTGGTAGATCCAGAGCCTAACAACCACTGTAAGATGACTGCATCCACCAAAGGACAACATTCAGGGAAACAGGGCATAGTCTTGTGAATATGAGTCAAGGTAATAGCTGAAAACGCTCGAGCAGAGGATTTTGTGGATTGACGTCTGTGTACTTTGATGCAAAACCAAGCTTTGTGTGAAGTGTTGGGTGTGAATTACAAGTATTATGTGGTATACCCGATTCGGGCAATTGTCGACGCGCTAAGACGTTGGCGGCAACGGTTCGGTCAGCGAGTCCAAATTTAGACCGGAGGTATTTAAAAATTTCCCTGCTGCATCTTTGACGTGGCACCCGGCAACCATGCCTGCTCAGGATCTCTATACGACACATAATCACTACTTTGCGATAACACATTGGCATGCGCTTAGAAAGAAAACAGGATGCAGTTGATAAAATTGGAATGTCTCAATAAACGTTTCGTAGCCTCGTAAACACATGAAGAGATTTTAGAAAAAAGAAATCCTTGCCCAGCGGCCACTGGACAATGGGGAAAGGTTTTGAAGAAACAGGACGAGGCGTCGCGCAACACCAAATCCGCGAAGGATCTAGTATAGCCACCACATACTGCTAGGCTCACAGAGCGCTAGGAGGACTCGTCTGAAGATTCGCTTGACGACTCGATCAGGACTGGCTCATCTGCGAACCAAAACGGCAGTTCGTCGAGCGTGAATCCATCGTCGGAAGGGATCGATGGTGGCCCTCTCGTATGTGGTATGCCGTGCTCGTCAGGCTCTTCCACCTCCATAATATTGTTAGAGTTCGAGAATCCCCTGTCGATGAAGACAAGAGACTCTCTCCTGTCACCTGGACCACGGACACGGCGGCGGAGTCGACGAGCTGTCAAATCGACATCATCCAGCGGATCGTTATCGGAATAACTGCTCTCTCCCTCAACACTTTGGCTGTGGCTTCTCTTGAATACGCCAGCACTCCATCTTTTCTTCTTCCGTCTATAACTTCGCTCTTGCTCTTCCTCATCCGAGGATCCTACTTGGCAGTTCATCTCCATGAACTTGTTGAGGAATCCATTCTCTTCCAGTTTCCCTCCGCTCTTCTCGCTTCGGGCATCTTCGCATTGGTACGGGCGAAGAACTTCAATGTCATCATCGTCCGAGTCACTGTCGAACTCTTCAAGCACGAAATCGGGCCTATCAACCAGGCGAGCCGGCACTTCGTAGACACTTTCATCGTCAGAATCGTACTCATCCTCGGTCTCCTCGGGCGTTGCAGCGTGAGCTAACCCGGAGGCCACCGAGGGCTGGGAAGAACGATCCTTCGAAGGCGGCCTTCTGAAGTGGAATTGTGGGCCATGCCCGATAGGCTCAATGTATTCCAGCGGAGGCGAAGCGATACCCATATTCTTATATAAAGGTGAGGTATGGCTGGTTTGCGGCGGGTAGCGGGAATGCGTCCGTGAGCCAGGCGTGATAGGCGGCGAAGACGGGTGATACCCGTTCATAAAGGCGTGAGTTGGTAAAGTATCGTGGGTCGTCATGATGTGGTGGTGTGGTGGTGTTCACCGGACGATTATCCGCAGGGCTGGCGTAAGGTGCGGTACGTCAATAGGTGGTGGGTGAGAACAATGTATTTATTGGGTGATTCGGAATTCCTTTAAGGTATAAGGTGCCGAATGTCGGGTTTGAATTTGGTTATGTGAGAGAAGAATTTCGCGGACAGTATCATTTTCCAGAGGTGACTTGGAAGTGTTGACAGAAAGGTGTCTGAGCGACGAGGAATTGGGCGGGATGTGCGAAGTATTTACAAGTCAGGCCCTGTGACGGCTTGGCTTATCGTGGGGGAGGAGGGAATGAAGATACTATAGGCAGCAATGCAGGAATTGCAGGTCGGAGGACCTAATTAGCCACAGAGTGCTGGTCAGGTCGGAAATGTGTGTGCGTGTGCGTGTGCGTATGTGTGTGTATGTGTATGGGAGATGCGTGGTGATGGTCGAATGGGGGAGACGGAGAGTAGAAGACGACGAAAGAGGCGGGCCTGCGGTGTTCACAAATCCCTTGAAGATCTGGGATGGTGCGGGATGTAGCCAAATATTACCTGCGTTTCAGCAATGAGTTGGCGACTGTAGTGCGGGTCAATTTGCAGAGATGGTTCCCTGCCTTGCCATGCCATGGCTCCGATATCTGGATGGGATATGTGGTCGCCAACAATTAGTTAGCGGCCGGCATCCTGCCAGCGTGCAATGCAGACTCGAATAATCTCACCTTGCATCAAAGCACGACACTTGCGGCCCAATGGTCGAGCAGCGCATAATTACAACGTGCAGCGACCGGACGGAGTGCTGGCACGACGATGGACAGCTGGCGACGGTGCGGATTGGTGTAGAGGCGGGGCGTGCAGAGAGCAGAAAGCGATGACCGGGGCATCAATTCGCTGTACACATAGCATACAGTACACTACGTGACCATCTACTCCGTAATGGATTGGACTGGATTGAAATGGTCACTACTACTGGCTGGACTGGCTCGACTACTGGTTCTCTTTGCAGACCGAGCCACGCCGACAAGAGGCAAGATTTGGGCTGCCAGACATGCGAGTCCCGGGGGGTGGCCTGCGGACAGACGGTGGCCGAATGTGAGGCTCTCGTGGAGGAGGTGTTCCACTTGTAGATTTCGAGATGGTTGCGTTGCTTTAGCAGCCCCGTATCCGATCATTCATGAGCAGTAAACTAGTAATTGACGATGGGTAGTTCGCCAATTCTTACTTTGACGTCGAGGTCGATCAATTGTCGTGTGTCAACATCAGAATGAATGTCAATGTCAATGTCAAATGGCAGTACGAGCAGAAGTAGTGTCAACAAGGCAAGATACGGAGTTCTCTAGTAAGTAATGTTCGGTGGTGGCCGCCACTCTACCACTGTCGGGAGTCGTCGGCGGTGGTAAGTGTCAAGTGTTAGTTGAGTGTTAAGGGTGAAGAGAGTCCGTCACTCAGCACCAGGGTTTCGAGTCGCCCGGAGTCACGTGATGAGGGGTTCCATCCCAGCAATGGCACATTGGCACCGCTAGACCACTTCGGGTATGGCCAAAATTTGCGAATAGACGACACATTGAACATTTGGCCAGTACACACCACAGCTCCAGTGAAGGGCAGCTTCACCCGACCTCACGATCCGACATCCTATCCTACCTTTCCTATCTCTTCTCCTCATCTCTTCTCCTATACACCTCTAACCTTGCTCTGCCCTCTTGCTGATTGACCCATCTGGGCCCCTCCGAAGCTGCGGCTTCCCCCGACCATTCCACTATGTCCTCCTCCCCTTCCATGTTGACCAAGGTAAGCAGCTCGATCTCCACCCATCTCCATGCGCTTTGCTCACCGGCTATAGTTCGAATCCAAGTCCTCTAGGGCGAAGGGCATCGCTTTTCACCCCAAAAGGTATTTGCGCATCCTCCACCCATCCATTGCACCTTGCTGACCGCTCCTCCGTAGGCCTTGGATCCTCGTTTCGTTGCACTCCTCCACGATCCAATTATGGGACTACCGCATGGGAACTTTGATAGATCGATTCGAAGAACACGATGGGCCGGTTCGCGGCATCGATTTCCACAAAACCCAGCCATTGTAAGCATTCGGTGATATCCGCGGGGATCAATGTTCGTAACTTAGGGAATTGCAGGTTCGTCTCAGGTGGTGACGATTACAAGATCAAAGTGTGGTCCTACCAGACGCGGAGATGTCTCTTCACGCTCAATGGCCATTTGGATTACGTCCGCACCGTCTTCTTCCACCACGAATTGCCGTGGATTTTGAGTTCCTCTGATGACCAGACCATCCGGATATGGAACTGGCAGAACAGATCTCTCATTTGCACGATGACCGGCCACAACCATTACACCATGTGCGCACAATTCCATCCGAAGGAAGACCTGATCGTCTCCGCATCCCTAGATCAGTCGGTTCGGGTTTGGGATATCTCCGGTCTGAGGAAAAAGCATTCCGCACCAACTTCCATGTCGTTCGAGGATCAAATGGCGCGGGCGAACCAGAACCAGGCCGATATGTTTGGAAATACCGATGCTGTTGTAAAGTTCGTGCTGGAGGGACATGACCGAGGCGTGAACTGGGTGGCGTTCCACCCCACACTCCCTTTGATTGTATCCGCAGGTGACGACCGGTTGGTAAAACTGTGGAGGATGTCCGAGACAAAGGCTTGGGAAGTCGACACATGCCGTGGTCATTTCCAGAATGCCTCCGCGTGCTTGTTCCATCCTCACCAGGACCTGATCTTGTCGGTTGGTGAGGATAAGACCATCCGCGTCTGGGATCTGAACAGGCGCACCTCCGTACAGTCTTTCAAGCGGGAGAATGATCGATTCTGGGTCATCGCTGCCCATCCAGAAATCAACCTGTTTGCCGCTGGACACGACAATGGTGTTATGGTTTTCAAGCTTGAGAGGGAACGTCCCGCTTCGTCGGTGTACCAGAATAACCTCTTTTACATCACCAAGGAGAAACACGTACGCTCATATGACTTCCAGAAGAATATTGAATCGCCCTCAATGCTCTCTCTGAAGAAGCTCGGAAGTGCCTGGGTACCACCTAGGACTCTCTCTTACAACCCCGCGGAGCGCTCGATCCTCGTTGTTTCGCCTGCCGATGGCGGCACATATGAGCTCATCAATCTTCCAAAGGATGCGTCAGGGGCCGTTGAGCCAACAGACACCAAGCGTGGCTCTGGCAACTCGGCTGTCTTTGTTGCTCGAAATCGATTCGCTGTTTTCAACCAGTCAAACCAACAGATCGATATCAAGGATCTGTCGAACTCGACAACGAAAACTATCAAGCCCCCACACGGGACAACGGATGTCTACTTTGGAGGCACAGGTAATCTCTTGTTGATCACTCCTACCTCTGTTGTATTGTATGATATCCAGGGAAAGAAGAATCTTGCCGAACTTGCGGTCAACGGTGTCAAATACGTTGTCTGGTCCTCTGACGGCCTTCACGTCGCTCTCCTGAGCAAGCACAACGTTACAATTGCCAACAAGAACCTCGAGCAAGTCAGCACTTTGCACGAGACTATCCGGATCAAGAGCGCAACATGGGACGACACCGGTGTGCTCCTCTACTCAACTCTCAACCACATTAAGTACAGTTTGATGAATGGCGACAACGGTATCGTTCGTACGCTAGAGCATACCGTCTATCTCGTCAGAGTGAAGGGCCGCAATGTGTACTGCTTGGTACGTATCTCTATCATTTAGTCTAAAACCATGCGCTAACAGAAGATAGGACCGAGCTGCCAAACCGAAGGTTTTGCAGATTGACCCCACAGAGTACCGATTCAAGCTTGCGTTGGTGAAGCGCAACTACGATGAGATGTTGAACATCATCAAGACCTCAAGCCTTGTTGGCCAGAGCATCATCTCCTACCTTCAGAAGAAGGGCTACCCAGAAATCGCCCTTCAGTTCGTACAAGATCCGCAAACACGTTTCGAACTTGCCATTGAGTGCGGTAACTTGGATGTCGCGGTAGAGATGGCAAAGCAGCTTGATCGTCCGAAATTGTGGCAGCGTCTTAGCACCGAGGCTCTTGCACACGGAAACCATCAGGTTGTGGAAATGACTTACCAGAAGCTTCGCAATTTCGATAAGCTATCCTTCCTGTATCTCACTACTGGAGACCACGAGAAGCTTAAGCGCATGGCCAAGATTGCTGAACATCGGGGTGATGTCACAGCTCGTTTCCAAAATGCTCTTTATCTTGGAGATATCCAGAACCGAATCGAAATGTTCCAGGAGATCGATCTTTACCCGCTAGCATATGCAACCGCCAAAGCTCATGGTCTTGAGGAACAAGCGCAAGGAATACTCGAAGCCAGTGGCCTTACCGAGGACCAGATCAAGGTTGCGCCTGTTGGACAGCCACTTGCACCACCAAAGCCGATTGCTCCAACTTTCAGAGCCAACTGGCCCACTCGCGGCGCTTCCTCGACTGTGTTCGAGAAGGCACTGTTAGGCGAGGGCGATGGCATCGCTGCCGAAGAGCCAGCTGCCAATGGTTTCGGAGACGAAGATCTTCTAGGCGATGCCGAGGCACCTGGAGCCACTGCTGGTGATCTTGGAGGCGAAGAGGATGATGATGTTGGAGGTTGGGACATGGGAGACGATGGTGATGTTGAGGCTGAGGAAGAGTTCGTCGAAGTTGAGGGTGCCGAGACTGGGGCAGGAAGCAGCGAAGCCGATCTATGGGCACGGAACTCTCCTCTAGCAGCTGATCATGTCGCTGCCGGCTCCTTCGAAACTGCCATGCAACTTCTCAACCGACAGATCGGCGCCGTAAATTTCGCACCACTTGAAGGCCGATTCGAGGAAATCTACCAGGCGACGCGTACTTTCCTACCTGCTACTCCCAACATGCCCTCCCTGGTCAACTATGTTCGCCGAACAGTTGACGAGACAGACTCCCGAAAGATTCTGCCCATTATTCCACGAGATTTGGAGTCGATTTTGGCTACCGAACTTGCCACTGGCAAAGCATCTATGGTGAAGAACAAGCTTGAAGATGGTGTCGTTATCTTCAAGAAGCTGCTCCAGCTGCTCATTGTGAACGTTGTCTCATCGCAGGCTGAGCTGTCCGAGGTAAGAACGCCATATTATGTGACAAGAGCTTTACTAATGTTTTCGACCAGGCGAAGAAGGCTATTCATACAGCAGCTCAATACACCCTTGCGATGTCTATCGAGCTTTCCCGACGACAGCTGGTGAAGGGCGCAACTGACATCTCGGGTCTTCCGGAGGATACTCGAAAGCGCGCCTTGGAATTGTCCGCATACTTCACCATCCCCGAGCTGGAGGGACCACACAAATCATTGCCTCTCTCTGCCGCGATGACTTTCGCAAACAAGAACAAGCAGCTGAACACTGCGCTCAACTTTGCGAACGCACTTCTTGACCGAACAGGAAACGCCAAACTCAAAGAGCAGGCGAAGAGGGTGAAGACTGTTGCCGAGAGGAATCCTTCTGACCAGATCGAGATTGATTTTGATCAATTCGCCGACTTTGATATTTGCGCTGCATCCTTCACACCCATTTATAGTGGCAGCCCATCTGTCGCCTGTCCATATGACGGAGTGAAGTACCACGGCAAGTACAAGGGCACAGTTTGCAAAGTTTGTGAGGTGTGTCAATTAGGTGCGCCGGCTAGTGGACTCAGGTTGGTCGGTTAAGGGAGTGTTGATCATCTGGATGTATGAAGTGATGCCATTATTCTACAGTTGGAAGCATAGCGTGGCAATAGCTGTCTGGTGGTACAAGCGAACGATTAGACGCGAAATGTAGACGGCCAGCGTCGAGTCAGAGTGGAGAATTGCCAAGTCATGAAGTAATTCGAGGATGAACTGTCATATATGCGAAAAAATTAAAAGAGGACTTTTAAACTTCAATATGGGCCATGGACTCTTCCTATCAGCATCTGACTATGTACAAAAGTTGTACCTGTTACTGTTGTGCAAACGTTCGCGACCGTATAGTGTGACTTTGTGACAGGGGTCTTCAATCTATCCATCAGCACTGGTAATATGAGTACCGCTTTGCCGACGCAATATACCTAAGGAATTACTTCAGTCAACCGATGTTGGCTCAAGCGACGTTCATCATCTAGATCTATAGCAAAAGGTATCGAATACAAAATTTTGTGGGTATTTCCAAATATGTTGGTTGGTAATGAGTTGGGCCTTGCACCAGAGCATAGGCATATTGACGATGATCTGATCAGATATATGAATGCTAGCCCTTGTGACAAGAACGGTGTACATCACACAAAGTCATTCTCTATGTGCGCGATTACTGCAATTTTGATATCGACATAGAAATAATTACGACTACATAACCTGCTAACATCACGCCAACTGCCGTAGCTCGGTCCCTAGTATGGCGTGGGCTCCACGTTCCACGCCCTGCGAACAGAAAATCTTCTCTACTAGTCTATAAGCTTATAAGTCCCCCACATTGCCCTACACCATCACCATCTTTCGATACTCGTTACTAGTGACGGTTCTCCACAAACATGTCGCGTACTTCAACATCAATTGAGCTCACAGCTTACCCCGAACCATCAGTATTAGCCCATCCCGCGGGTTTAAAGCCATCAACCAAGGGCGATGAGACTCCTAATATATCAGACGATACTAGACCTATCAATCAGCCGGTCGATGCGCGGACAATAGATGTGCCAAACAAGAAGACCACAGCGATTGTGCTAGTCACAATTGTCTGTGTAACTTTCATCAGCAGTTTACTTTCTGGCCTGGTCACAGTCATCTTGCCCACCATGGCGCGAGATGTGAAGTTGGAGGCGAATCTACTACTTTGGTACGTGCAATGTCCAGGATAAGAGTGGTTGCATTTACTGATCTTGAAATTAAGGCCAATATCTGTCTACGCATTGACTTGCGGTTGTACGCTCCTGCTACTAGGATCTATTGCCGATGTTGTCGGAAGCAGGCCAATGTATCTTACTGGAACCTTCCTCCAATCGGGATTTACACTGGCTTGCGGTCTTGCCCAGACTGGCATACAACTTATTGTGTTTCGTGCCTTAGCTGGTGTTGCAATCTCCTTCTGTTTGCCAACCGCCGTCTCTATTATCACGAGTACGTTCCCAGAGGGCAAACGGCGCAATATCGCCTTTGCGTCGTTGGGTGCAGGCCAACCTATTGGTTTCTCTCTGGGCCTGACGCTCGGAGGTATTTTCAACGACAAGATCGGTTGGAGATGGGGTTTCCATGTATCGGCGATCATCAACACTATTGTATTCGTTCTCGCCTTCTTCGGGCTGCCCAAAAACAAAAGGACTGAAGCTGAGCGAGTTCAAGTGTGGTCTCGACTCAAGAATGACATTGATTGGGTGGGCATCCTGATTGGTGCTTTATCCCTGGCGATGCTCTCCTACTCGTTCGCCTCCATCACCGGAAACACTTCGAGGATCCGCGAACCAGGAACGCTCGCTATGCTTGTTATATCGATCGCCCTTGTGCCAGCGTTCATACTTTGGGTAGGCCGACAAGAACGTCTCGGACGGCCCGCTGTCATTCCTAATTCCCTCTGGAGGAACCGCATCTTCACCTGCATTTCGATCGGCGTCTTCGTAATCTGGGGTACCTTCAACGCCATAGAGACCTTATTGACACTATTCTTCCAAGAAGTGCAAGAGATCTCTGCAATCCAGACATCGATTCGCTTCCTACCAGCACCCATCTCCGGAGCGTTGAGTAACATCGTGATGGGACTCATCGCTCACAAAGTTCGAGCGGATTGGTGCGTCACCTTTGGCATTGCCCTGAGCACGATCGCAACCCTCCTGATGGCAATCATCCAGCCGGAGTGGAACTACTGGGCCGCCGCCTTCCCGGCTGTCTTTTTGAACCCCATCGGTGCCGACGCTCTCTTCACTGTATCGAATCTTGTTATTACTCAGGTTTTCCCGGAGAAGACACAGGCGCTCGCTGGAAGTGTGTTCAACACTATTGCACAGATTGGCAAAAGCGTGGGCCTTGCTACTAGTGCGGTCATTGCGGCGTCGATAACAGAGCACAGTCACCATGAGGACAAAACTAGCCCGGAAGCCTTGATGCAAGGATACAGGGCTGCGTTTTGGTATCTTTTCGCTCTCAGCACGGCCGTCGGAGTTCTTTTCGCTTGGGGTCTGCGTGGCATCGGCCGTGTTGGTATGAAGAGAGAGTAAGCTGAAGAGATATCATCATTCTATATTGAAAAAGAAATTCGACATCTAGGTAACAAAATGTATAGTACTGAATCACGATGACTGTGCAGACTCATCTCTCCAGTCATGTATTATTGCTGTAGTCATAGTCAAGAACAAAAGATAACTATTTAGAACACTTTTTCCTGCACCACCATCCAGTGCTCTCCTACAACTCCTTGTTCTCATCAAAATCCTCACTGCCGTTGCGTATTCTGTATCACCAACGATACATATGGCCACGATAACGAAGTTGGCAGTTCTAATACTCTCTCTATATACACTTTCAAGCACTGCAGGTCCAAACGAGACCTTACCACCCTTCTCAATTCCCAACGAGCCCTCTCCTAAATACTGCGTAGGATTTAACTACCAGGCAAACACTACGAACTCAACGCTCGAATCACTATACCCAAGACCCACTCAAGGCTATGGATGGAAGAAGGAAGACGGCTTCAAGTTCGGCAACGTCGTGGTCCAGAACAACTGCGCCTACGATCTCTACCTCCGCTCAGTCGGCGTCTGGCCGCTCGGAGGACCAAAACTTCGAGACACCCCTGGTGGACTCAGCAGTCCCTGCGACGACACAGTGATCCCAATCAAGGCAAACAGCACCTACACCGAACCCTACCGCATAACCTGCCCCATCCCCGTCAACGGAACCTTCCCGCACGGCCAATACTGCGCCGATGAAGACAAACTCGCCGGGCAGGGTATATCGATGAAGTTCGGTCGCACGACCGATGCCGCAGCGGGCGGGATCCTGCAGTTCGAATACGCGCTGGTTCAAGACCCCGTCCGTGGCGACGACTTCCACAGACTCAACTACGATGTCTCGCTGCTGGACTGTGGGACCATACAGAGCGGAGTCGTCGATGCGAACGCTACGAAGATTCAGCATACCGATAAGGTTGACAATTGTCCTGGGTATGATGGCGGCGTTGCGGTGACGTTTCTCCATGATGGAGGCAATGCGACGAATTGTGCGCCGATATACTGTAATGGCGAGGAGCCTTGCAAGATGATCTATACGTGGGATAGGACGAGACAAGGGGAGGCGAGTCTGGCGTGTGAGAGGGAGTATCGGGGTGATATGAGGGTGGATTTGTGTGCGAAGAATAATCCAGAGCGAGCAATGTAAGTTCAACCTTTTGAATGCGGAACGATGTGGTATGACAATTTGCTGATCATTGTGTTCTTTTAGTAAGGCGATGGAGTTGCTAAAGGTGTGGATGGCTACAGCGACGAACACCCCCTCGGGCTACGAACCAACAAGTTCGCCAGTGTCTCCTCCTGGGGGCTCTCCGACATCGAACGTCGGCTTCTCGAGTAAATTACCTCCAGTATCACCAACGTCAAATGCCATTCACTCAAGTACAATGCCTCGGGCATCGCCTCCCCCCTCTACCTACTCCTCTAGACCCGCAACACCCCCATCAGTCTCACTACCACCAGCTATCACTTCAGTAGAGGCAGGAACTGTCACACACTTCGTCACCTCGACAGTCACCTCATTCATCACTGCTTTTCCGTCGACAAATCCAGTGCCTATTCCTTCTTCATCCTTTGTCACAAGCTTTACCTCCAATTCTCAACCCGCAGATCCCAGTCCTCCTGCACCCACAGCATCGGCGTCAAATAAACTCGTCATGAAATCCGTTTTCACATGGCCACAGTCTTCGTCATCGAGCACTGAAGAGAATGCTGAGCCAACCCTTTCGAGCATTGAAGGAATATTGAGCCGTCATCCTCGAGCGTTGCAGACAATTTGGAACCAACACCGACGAGCGCCGAAGAGAACTTGAAACCGTCATCCTCAAGTGCTGAAGAGAATGTCGAGGAAACTCCTACAAGTGATCCGGACGTATCAACGGAAACACCCTGTGCAACAACTGCCTCCTAATTGCGTCACATCACTTCGGCCGCCTTTCCTTTTCCACATCTCTAGACCCTTTTCTTTCGAGCTAATTTTTCACTTAATTCCTTTTTTATATCCCGATGATATGGGATGGATATGGGTGGTTATCATGTTATTGTGTAAAATTATCTACGTTTGGCTAGGAGGATCTTGTGCTTTTCGTTTGGGAGGAAGTATTTCTTGATCTGTTTTGCGAGTTTTCTTTCTGGGAGGATCTTGTGCATCTGGAACGAATACGGGAGGGCTATTTGCTTGCATATTCTTTGCGTTGTTTTCCTGGGAGGTTCTTGTGCTTTTGTTTGTTTTAACGTTTGGATAAATTGAGGAGGGTATCTCCTTGAATGTTTTGTGAGTTGTCTTTTTGCTTTAGATTTACATTGAGGTGGAGAAATTGTTTAGTTCGGTCCGTGGTGGTTCAGTGTAGTGTTAACGAAATATATCTTAAGTTTTGTATTCTTAGTTGTAGTTATATTATTTGATTTGATGTAAATCTCATGTCGTCGATTGAGTACACGAGTGCTGATACAGAACAGGGAACTATTATTCTTACATACACACACATATGATTGACTAGTAATTATGCAGCTATATGCTCGTAGATGTGCAGAAAATGCCTCGCCCCCCAATTCTAAGGTATCATGTCCGAATCGACCACCCGCAAGAATACAAAAGGCCATGCTATTCAAAAACGCCGCGCTACACCAGAATTCGTGATGATATATATCGTACAATATGGGATTTCTTTGCTTTGCTTCGCTACTCCTCTTCGAAGATTTGGACATTGTCGGCATACTTCTTGATGTTCGAGTGTATGGTTTCCTCGATGAGTTCGCCCCTTCCACCGGCGACGCGGAGGATGAGGTCATTCAGTGAGGACCGTCCGAGGATATCGACGTGGTCACCTACGGTGGATTAGCTTGACGGTCTTCAAGAATGGTTGGCACTACAAACCTGTATTTGGTCCACCGCGAGGGGAGAATCGATCCGGCTCGTGTGGCATCTCGTACGTCTTAATCTGCACACCAGCCGGGTTGAATCGCTTCAATTTCCAACCTTTCGAGCACATGTAACCTGCGCTCAGCAAGTTCACTGTGCCGTCGCCTTCGCCCAATACAACACCGTGATCGATTTTGCCATTGCTGCTGTAACCTGTATCAATCGTCACGTTGGTCTTACTGAATGGGTCGTTGTCATCTCTGTAATAATAGGCCCGCTCGGTCTCCTTGCCGATTCCGTAGAAGCAATAGATTTTCAGGTGAGGAGCAAGAGGTAACCTAGTTTCGAGGGGGTTTATCCATTTGGCAGGGATGAGTTGGTTGTCTTCGACCTCCTTAGATGTGTGCGCCACACCATGGGAATAAGATGATTGGACCATGTCTTTGTACCAACCTTCCGCGTTCTGGAAAAGGAATGGCATACTCTCCTCGACCGTCAAGTTTTTGCTAGTCAAGCTAGAATTGCTGTCTCGGAACTGGATGAATTTCCCGTAGGTGATCTCTTGCCCGGGCTTGTCGTCAGGAGCCCATGTGGAGTTTCCCCACACGGCATCTCCGCCGATGGGCAGCATCGACGAGATGCCCGGCATAGCGCGGAATAGCTCAGCCCGCTCGTGGCGAGACAGAAATTTCTCGAGGCCATAGACGGCAAACGCATTGAGCTGGGCGGTATCTTTCATCTCGCCGGAGAGAACCGCTGGCATTCCCTTGAGAGCTCCGAGCATGCAACCACTGATATTGATCCAGGAGTCGATATACGCCTCGACCCATTCGGGCCCTCCATTACCATGCCCTTCTGCTTCTACCCAGTGTAGGAAGTAATAAAGCACCTGCGAGCCCATACTATGAGAAAGGAGAACTACCTTCTTGTTCGAAACGCGGACGGCGATCTCAATGTGTGATTTTAAACGCGTGAAGAATTGGTCGCGCTTCTCGTAGTTCATGTATGACATCCGCCAGTCATATGCCGCGGTAAAGGCATTTGTAGGATCGTAACCGATCGTCGCGAGATTCTCTAGGATTTTGTTCCATATCCAGTAGCCTGTAATGAAGAAATCCGTCGCATCGAAACCTTGAGCGGCGCGGAGCTTGATGCCTGGAGGATCCATCCCGGTCTTCTTGTCAAGCATGATATGCTTCTTCCAACCCGGTTTATCAAGGACCAAGGCCCTCATCATTGTCCACGAGCCCCATAGTCGCTTGCGGAAGTATGGCCTTGACTCTTCTTCGGTTCCCCAGGATTCGAGACCTGTTGAAATGACACCGGGAATCATGATAACCGGGTGTAAAGCGTGGATGCCTTGGGATCGTGCGTGGAGGCCGACGGCGAAGGAGTCGTAATTCACGGCGTCTCGTTCTTGTTTCTACTGAGTTGGACTATTTAGCAATCTGATACCGGATGGTGGTGTAGTCTCTACATTATCTAAATGAGAGTCGCATTGCGTACCTGCAACTGTTTTGCATCCTGAACCAATCCTGCGGGTAAGACATCGAAAAGGCTCTCGAGATTCATACTCTCGAGGCCCGAGAGGTCGATCATGTCATTGCTGCCCGCGAAGAAGGCCGCTACCAGCAGTCCAAACACACCACCCAGTCCAAAAATCCAGAAATTCTTCCTCTTCCCATTTTTCGGGCGATCTTTCGATTTCAGTTGCTGAAGCTTCTCGGCTGTGACGACGCGGAGGTTTTGGGGACGATCCGGATCTGGCGTTGGTTCTCGAGACGGTTCTGTGGACGAGTCGCCTCCGCCGCCGAAGCGGTGCCGCAAAAAAGACATCTATGTCGTAGTTCTCACACAGGGGAAAATTCACTGGGAAGGGACCTAAAATTTGGGTTCAGTTCTAAGTTACATGTGTTTGGGACAGCGCCGAAAGGTTTTGGGACATGTGAAAGGATCGTCATCATGCGGCTAGCTTAATCGTTGCCAAGTAGCCCAAGCTTTCGTGAATGCTAACCTCATCTGCCCCTCTACCAGGTACTCGTATTCCACGACGACACACGATCGGTCGGCAGAGCCCTGTGACGGACGGCCATGTCGGCGATTGCGAACGATAGCGACAAGCAGGCCTCGTCCTCCGGCGAGCTGCAATATATACAGTATGAAGGCGACAAGGAGGAGACATATCTCCCCGCAATTAGACAGCTGATATCGAAGGATCTCTCTGAACCTTACAGCATATACGTCTATAGATACTTCCTTTACCAATGGGGAGATCTATGCTTTATGGTACGGCTCAAATAGGGCTCTTCAATCCCAGATTCCATTCCCTGACCTAACACATTTAGGCCCTTGACCCCTTGACGAATGCGCTCATTGGCGTTGTCGTATGTAAACTCGAGACCCATCGCTCGGGAACCTTCCGGGGCTATATTGCAATGCTTGCGGTCCAAGAATCTCATCGAGGCAAAGGGATAGCCACAAAACTTGTATGCATGGCGATTGATGCTATGGCCGCGCGACAAGCAGACGAAATCGTGCTCGAAACGGAGGTCACAAACACCGCATCCATGAAGTTATACGAACGTTTAGGATTTCTACGGAGTAAGAGATTGCATCGGTACTACCTGAATGGAAACACGGCCTTCAGGTTGGTGCTCTATCTGAAAGCAGGCACGGCATTGAAGAGGCCGGATATGGGCGACGGTGCCATGGGTTACGGTCGGTACGAAGGCGGAGATAATGCTATGTTTGGTGCCGAGGCTATTGCATAGGATTACATAGGATTACATTGGCTGTTCGTGTGCCCAGGACAGATGTGGGATCGAAGTCGCGCAAGATGACAACAACAACGTCCGGAAATGCGACCGATTGTGGGCTTCTAAGGGTCGATGAACCCATTCGAACCCATTGCTAAACCTATGGCCACTTGTCGACATTACGACTCTCGAATCTTATGACAGTCTGCTCCGGGGTGAATTTAGCCAGTGCTGCCCATACCGCGCGGGCGAGGGTTCGCTTGCGAACGTCCCGTGGCTTGTGGTATGCCGTCATAGGATCGGAAAGAGGCACAACATTACTCATAGCCTGCCGCGACTCCAACATCTATGCGCTTTGCAAGGCCTTTGCACGTCTCTTGGATCAACGGCAATTCCTTGCCAAGTGTCTTTTCCGGATAGAACACTTGTGCTCTCACTCGTGGGGCTTACTGGCAGTAGCTGGACGTCGTAATCGTCAACCCGCCTAATTGACCGATCTCGTTCTACCTTCGATGGTATCGCCCCCGACCCTGATGATCCTGATGCGGTGGTCCATCCTTGGTGACGAGTATCTAAGCCACGTAACCGCTGGAGCCATCGCGTAGCCCTGACTACCAAAGGCTTCATCAACGGTAGGCAAGCGCACATTATTCCCGCCGAAGATTCTGTTGCTGTAAGTACGATATCGAGATAATTCGAATACGCTTCGTTAAGTCGATTTGCGCGATTTATGAAAAATATCGTTCCTCGAATTACTGAAACAATGGAAGCGCTGGTGATAGTTAGCACATGGCATAGGTGAAACATGTAGACCTGGTTGCAAAGACAGTCGCATGGCAGTACACCATTGATGTCCGAGGATGAACCATGTCTTGTATGAATACATACATTCCACCAATCATGAAAATCGAAATTAGCGCAATCTTTTGTCTTCTTCTCAATGACATCTTCGTTATCCTGACAGCTGGCAGTCCTAGAACGAGGAAGTCCGTGAAAGCATTTACAATAGCAGTAACAGATATGCCTAATCGTGAAAAGCCGCCCTTGGGGAGCCGGTTCGTCCTTTGAAGAGCGAGCAGTATGATGCAGGTCGAAGTCCACATCAACACAAGGGCAAAAATGGCCCACCAAGCCCATCGAAACCAGGCCGTAAGCATTGTGAAGGTGCGTCGGTAGAGGAAAAGAATTGATGCCTTTATAAAAGTTATGCTGAAGACGTAGAGAAGTGCAAGTGCATCATAGACCTATGCATGTGAGTAGACGACCATAAGAAAATGGAGAGGAAACCCTACAGGCATAGTGAAATCCTTCTCTGACTGACTCTGGACAGAGATATCTTCAAGATCGAGAGCTCCACTAGCTGTGACTTTGAATTATTAGTCCCCTATATGCCAAAACATGGAGTACTATGGGTGCTTACGAAGGAAACCGGAGATCAATAACCCTATGTTTGCAGCCTACTCAAAACCCGTCAGCACATTGCATGAAAAGGTACTGTATGTTGGCCATTTACGTAGGCAAGGTAGGCAAGATAATCATCTACAGAGGGCCTCGCCTTCATAACTCTTCGCGATAAAAGCCGCCCAATGACCGCCGATGTTGTCAAGACGACGTCCAACGAGAGTATGCCATAGGCTGGAGCGTTGTATACGGCTGGAACTGAACTATTCGCGCCCATCTCGACGGAGGAATAACAGTTAATGTAGATTGAGAGACGCAAGTTAATTTGGCTTGCAAAGTGCGGGCGTAATCACCCTTATGTCTAGTTCATATCGTCCTGCCTGTCGGGTATCACAAGGATATTTGCAAAAAGTGTGGCGCATAGTCACCGACAACAATGGCGTTCACCAGATTCAAGCATCCTCCGCGCTCAATCAGCTCTTGCTGGGATAGACTATTGTGATGCGCTGAATGTGATCTGGGGGCGTCGTTTCCTTCCTTCTGATGTCTGTTCGATGTATGTATATTCGGTGACCCATCTCAGCCATAATTTAATCAAATTCGGAGTTCGTATTGCAAAAAGTGTTGTGAAGTACTCAAACAGGAAGAAATTTTGTATGTACATTTTTTACTTATGCCAGGTCTCACAGGTGAACCCATTGACTTTCCATGACCTGCATAGTCTATATGACCCGGCTTATGTTGGACGGTGATCAACACCAAACCATCAATTTTATTGGCTCCTTACCTGCGAACTGCGGAATGCCTTTTTCGTTAGTTTTCCCTAAATGTGTTATACAGCCAACAACAAATAAGCCCGACGTCAAAGTGAGTTTTCCATTGCCTGTAACGGAACCCGATGGATCAGCGAACGCTGCGGGTGGATCGATTTACTGCTTATTCTCCTGACCAAAGACTCGTGGTATCGTCATGGATTCGCACTTTACACATGCAGGTCCCATCCAAGATATGACTGCGGGGCTGAAACGGGATTCGACTTTGAACATTTGAACGTTTATCTTTACTTCTCTGGTCATGGAAGAGAACGTGTAAGTGATGATATTCATCCATGCTTAAGGCTTGATTTGTCTACATGTCCGTTGCGTATATGACCTAGCGCACCATGATGCCTCATAAAGACATTATCGAGTTAAGAAAGAGCGACTAAGGTGAGAATGAAAGGAAAATATGAAACTGATGACTGCAGACATATTCAACGTCCCCGTTCCAAACAGCGAGGTATTGAAACTTCCGAGTCCTTCACAAATTGTCCAAGTAGTACCACTGGCCATCGAGGGACCAAGTCCCAGAACGCCAGCCGCCTTTCAAGCATTGGTTGATGATTTCCCTGCGTCGTAAATGTTAGCAAGTTTGCATTTACTAGACTCGCCGTTACGCACTCAGTAGCATCCCAACAATGGCTATATCCTTTACCGCCATCAAGTCGCTGTCTTTGGAGTGTTGCCGCATTGACATTTCTGGTGCATGGTTGCTGGAACGGACAGCCACCACCGCAGACAGTCTCGCGGACTTTCCAGGCATCTTCGATATTGCCTCCCGATCCATTGTGATCACACTGGGCAGCTAGAGCAGCTGGGCTGAAAAGAACAGCAAGAGTAATGATCTTGGAAGTAGAAAATTGCATTTTCAAAGTGTATGGTGCAAGATGGGACTGACTGTCTTTCAGTTGAGAAGTCGAGTTGTTGATTTGCGATAATTTTATTGACAAAGAAGCAGACATATTTATACTTCGACAATGTCACATACTCACTTTTATTGATGACAGTTCACGTGTACCTTCTGAGGCAATAGTTCATTCTGAGGATTACCATTGGCCATTGTTATGCTGACAAGATTTACTGCATTTGGTATTTATTACGACCAGATCTTCCCCACAAAGCCAAGAACCTTGAAATGGATATAAGTACGATTCGTATGTAGTGCCTAAGCGGGAAGATGCAACGAAATTCAGACCGCTCTTTACTCCGGGTATAACTGCATGGAAAGCTTTCTCCAGGTTACCTGCTGATAGATAATCAGAGACCCAAAGTGCCTCGTGCGTGTAATTAATCAAGTCATGTCGGATTCAAATCAGTGAATGATACATGGTTGTGATATGAAAAGCAGCCGAATGGCTGATGTCACATTCTTCATGGATAGTATCGAATAGGAAGTCTCTATAGACCCTATTATCTTTATGTTCAAGGCCATCAAAAATCCCAAGCCCCCTATCTTCCTGTCCAAGCCCATCACAAATCCCAATGCCCTTACATTTGAGCCGAAGTAGGCAAATCCCAATACCCCACTATGTTCATGTCCATGGCCTTCCAAAATTCAAGGCCTACATCATCTGATCTGAAGCAGATTCCGAATACTCCATCAGCCATAACTAATAGTACAAGAGGAGAGAAACCTAAATGCATCCCTATCATTAGTCTCAAGCCTGTTGCCCAAAGTCATTTGTATGAACACCTGAATCTCGAAAGAACATACGACAGACCCCGTCGCAATAGCAAACAGTCACATGTGTCCTTCCTTAACGACTCTGGTCTCCCCAGCTCAGCTAAGCCTTCCGCTTGCCCTTCGCGACGTCTGACATACCAGCTGAAGAGTCATCTCTTCTGCTGAGCGAACGAGGCAGACGAGGGCTCAATTCGGATGGATCGTCTAGAGAGGCCCGCTGCTTCTTTGAGGGCGAGACCAACCCGCTCGAATACCCTGAGTTTCTGTTGGCCTTGTGGGGCGACAAGCTACGGAGCCTCTTGCGTAGACTCGAAGCCCACTCCCTCCGGCTCGATTTGAGAGTCTCCGAGCGCAGTACGAAATCGACGAGTTCTCCGATGACTTTGTCCTTCACGGACACCAGTTTGGCCACCGAAGCTTCCACGATTTTCAGGCTATTTTGACGGTCGAGTTCGTATTGCTCCAGCAGAGCCACCGCAATATACTGTTGGGCCTTGATAAACCTATGTCCGTGGACCTCCAATGGCTCCGGCATGATACGTGCGTCCGTCAACAACTCCAGTGCGTGCTCGTAAATATGACTGTGACCTCCATCAGGTATGTTATTGATGTGGACCTGCTTGTCCCACTTATCACAAGCCAGCCCTTGAGGGAATGGGATGTTGCAAACAGTGAGATAGGCTGTTGCTACCCTCGTGCAGCTAAGACGATACTCTAATTGAGCAAGAGTACTAGCCATGTGATCCCATGATGTACCAACATTCTGATACACCCTTAAAAAGCTCGAGGTGATTCTTTGATTCCCTGCCATTGAACTTCTCCCTGGGCAGCTGTTTATGTACTCGACTGCAAGATTAATGACATGTCTCCTTGCTGCTCTCGCAGAACCAAATCGTCCCCTCATGCTCTGACCTAGAAGTCTAGTCGGTAAGTCCTCGTTAAGGGAATTTGCTGGGTCCCGGTTGATCCCACTTTTCGTGTCCATTGAGGTAGGGCGAATTGGCAAAGCGAGGAATCGTTCCTCGAAATTAGCAAGAGGTATTCCAGTCCTTTCGCCCCAAGACGTACTCCACTCGTCGTCTTGGGTAGAAAATGACAGATTATGGGTGTCCGCCAGTCTGTCGACACGTGTCGCGAGTACCGAATGGCACTCCTCGACGAATTTGCTGAACGCCTTGTTTAAAATCACATAATGTCCTTGGCTTTGTGATTGCAATTCCTGCTCTGCGGGCTCCTTCATTTCATCCTTCAAGGCCTTGAGCAACTTAGTCATCCAAACAGAGCCTGAGTATCGCATCGAGCCGCTCTCGGGCCAGGACTCAGACTCTAAAAGATGACTCGCAGCTGTCAATGCTGTGCTATTCACATTAGCTGTCCAAGCTGCTGAGTAGCATGATTTTGATAACATGGTCCACTGAAGGCCCTCTGAGATTACTGATTGCACCTGGGACATGTATAATGCCTTCTCAGCGCGTAGTGGCACTTCAGCCCACACTTCTTCTTTACTTATGGACCCAAAAATAATGGCCTTTGTGGTCTGGTGCCCATGCCCAAAGAGTAACACCAGTAGGGGCTCGCGCTTGCGCTTGGCTTCAGCAGCCTCTCGACGCAATATTTCGACGCAGTCGTTGACTGCTGTATCCGGCGAAAGTAGTTGCACAGGAGTCAGCCTGTTCTGATCGAGAATATCCTGGTTCAGAACGACTCTTCTGTCCTTGTATGGGTTCCCGTGAAGATATTCCTTATACTTCGAAACAAGTATTGACGGTTGTAGTGTCGTTAACCAGGTCTGCTTCGATCCAAGACCGCGCAGCAAGATGTTGAATAGATAAAAGTCGGAGAGTAGCCAGCCATCAGCCTCAGGATCCGCATCATCTAAGTTCATAACACCACAGACTGCCACAACCCTTGAGTTTTTATGGAATTCCGGGAACGTGTAAGTATGGAATTCCGTCGATTCCCTTTCCCTGATTCGGCCGATGGTGTCCCTTCCAAGTTTCAAGGAAGCAAGATCGCTTTCCACACTCTTAGTGTTGTGGGAAGACATTATAGTTTATTGCGGAGAAGAACCAATCTTGTGTCGGTAATGAAAGGGATTAAAGGGGGCAAGATGGTAGAGGGTAGAAGCGATAGAGGGCAGACGTGATAGATGAGTAGGGTGATAAGAGGAAAGAAGTAATAGAGGCCTGAAGTCGCAAAGGGAGAAGTAATAGAGGCAAAGTGAGAGAGGGAAAAAGGGTTGGAAGGCAGACGTGATAGATGGATAAGGTAAGAGAGAAAAGAGCCGAGAGAGGTAGGAGAGGTAAGAGATTGGAGAGGTGGGAGAAGAAAGAGGTTGTGGAGGCAAATGGGAATAGAGGGGACGATGAATGGAGGGAACAGGTTTTGAAAGTAATGATAGGTAGTGATTTTCAAAGACTTAAGGATCGAAATTCTTGAAACAGAATGATGGGAAAAAAAGGAGGGTTTGGGAAGGAATCGGGTCCTTTTATATCTGACTTCGTAGGTACCCCGTACCATGGGACCGTATTTCGTTGGCAAGTCGATCCATGGGATTGGATTTTGTTTGCAACATTTCTCATGCTTCCTCCACGGTACTGTAATTCATTTGCTGAACAGTCACGAACGCGCCCTACAATAGCAATTCGGCTACAATAAGCCATACTAATCCCATATGACCATCCTTGCTTGTAATTAAACTACGCCCATTCCCTGTGAGAGAGATCGTATGCCGGATGGTGGACTGAGCGATTGCTAGCTTCACATCAAATTGAAATCTGCCCGTCATGAAATTGATCACCGGGAAGCCACAGAATAGCATGAATGGATTTGTGAAGGCAGCACGCGATTATATTTCTACAAATATCCAATAAGTGTCTTGAGCTCACCACTAACACTGTCTTTAGTTTTCAAGCTCATTCCAGCAGCTCTCTGCGCCAGGCCAACGACGTCCTCTACCTTCTTTCCCTTCACCAATCCGGCCGAAAGAACCCCAAGGAAAGTGTCGCCAACGCCATTCACACTCACTACCTCACCTTCACCCAAAATCTTGTCTGTTGGGAACATTCTTACATACAAGCCACCCACACCAATCTCGTTATCGTTGTTCGACCGTCTCGAGAGTACGTAAGGCGCTTCTTCCCGGGAGCTCAACGCTGGGTCATCTGATTTAAGTAGCTTGGTGAGGAGAACGCCTTTAGAGCCGAGCTTTGTCAATATGGTGGGAATAAAAGGCAGAAGCTTGATGGCTTGCTGAGGTATGCCTGCATCAACGAGTTCTGGATTGGTCGTATGTGCCAGTGGTACGCGTAGACCGGAAGAAGGTATACCCAGCGCATCGATGACACGAAACCAGGAAGAAAAGGTGCTGAACAGATCAAGTTCCAGGGCAGTGTTGTGGAGTGTCGTCAATTCGTAGATATTTGGAGTTGCGAGGTCAACAAGGTTGGTAGGGAAAATAGGAGTCGGATTGTCGGGACTCGGCCGTGAGAAAAGTCGGGTCGATTTCGCGGTTGAGACTGGTTCGAATATATTGAATGCGTTGATGGATTTGCCATATTGGAACCAAGCTTGAAGCGACTCGGAAGTCCAATTCGCATCTGCTATGAGACATTTGGGTTTAGCGGTGGACGGAGTAGTCAGCCAATGTTCGTTGATGCTCGAAGGTGTTATCGATTCAAGAATGCTCATATCTGCCATAGCCATAGTGAGGTCCTTGTGAGCATTGTTGACTGCAACATATTGCGCTGTTCTAAGCGGCTGGGGTAAAGTCCAAATCGCTTCAGTTTGCATGCCTTCCGATTGCATTTGGCTGACAGCTGCCCGGCCACTAAGGTCATCCCCAACCGCGCTATAGAGGCGTACTGATGCACCCACTAATTGAGCGGCCTTAGCAATGTTATGCGCAACACCTCCCAACGATTGACTGATCACTGCAGGGTTGGAAGTGTGGAGCGATGGGTCTACTTGGTTTTGGGAGCTTGATAGAGGTGCAAAGTCACAAGAAAAGTCTACTGCAAGTGCACCTGCAACTATGATGTCCGGAGGGGATTCACTAATACTAATGTCCGACGAGGTGGTGCGAGATGCCGCTGGTGGCGTGTCGTGGACTCTAGCTTCAGAAGATGTAGATGGGTTCGCAGGAAGTGGAGTGAGATATGCGGAAGTGCGTCTACATACTTACAATCAGCCAGTGTCTACAATGTTGCAGCAAGAGTGTCTGGCTCACCCCTGGGCATCAGCTTGTTTAGCTTCTAGAATGGCAAGTTCTCGAGCTACAATAGTGGCTCTCCGCACATTAGACTCTATCAGTGCCCGATTGGCCGGAATACTCTTGCCGTTGCTAAGCTCCTTGATCTTTGCTAGAATGAAGGGGGTGTTGTCCTTGCCGGAAACACCTTGAGCATCGGCCTGCCGAATTGCTTCCTCGATAATTGTGTCCATGGTCTCTTTGGGTATTGCTGCCTCCGCTGGCACAGGATTTGCAAACAGTAGGCCGGATGAGATTTGTAGTGCATGCTGGGCATCTGTTTGGTGTTTTAGTCTCTGTCTTTGAAATAGGATTATGCCGAGAGCAGCATAAAATGTAGGTATCCTTACGTATAATCGCAGCGGCTTCGATTTCGTTCTCGATGGTTGTCGGGCTCCTGACACCGCTGTCTCTGGACCAGAAAGCAGGAAAATCAACCTTTCCCTTCCTCCCGTCTGCAAAAGTCCCTACGCCAACACCCTCGGTCTCGAGATATTCGAGTGTTCGGGGAATGTCAAGAAAGCTCTTGCAACCACTGCTGACCACAGTGACTGGCGTCCGTCCCAGCTCAGTGAGGTCAGCAGAGATGTCCATGCTGGACTCCGCACCTCGATGTACACCCCCAAGACCACCAGTACCAAAGATCTTGATTCCAGCGAGATGGGCAAGAAGCATTGTTCCAGCGATCGTAGTGCCACCATTATATTCCTTTCCTGCCAGTCGCAACCCACAAACGTAGCTTAAATCTCGCCTCGATAGCTTCAGGGTGTTTTCCTTTCCTGCAGACGAAGCAAGCCGGATCAATTCTTCCGCGGACATGCCCACGCGAGCTACACCATCGAGGATTCCGATAGTTGCGGGTACTCCGCCGTTGACGCGAACAACGCTTTCGAGAAGTGAGGCGAGGGCTACATTTTCCGGATATGGGAAACCTGATTTAACAGTCAGATTGATTCTCCTAGAGCAGAGCGGGAGCTTCCATACCGTGAGTATATATCGTTGTCTCAAGTGCTACGACTGGCCTCTTCGAGTTCAAAGCTTCCTGTACCTCGTCCGAAACCCTAAAGAACCCATTGTTGGTCAAGGCCCGTCGTGGGACTTTCGGCGACAGGATCGACTTATGTAGCGATATACCTGGCCTTATCAGAGCCTTCTGAGGGAACTTCATGGTCGAAACTATGAGGGAAATGTGATATTGGAAGAGTCAAAGCTGGCCAGGTACTGGGGGCGGGGCGGAGATCCTAGGCGCGGAGCGGAAGGCGGCCCGCCGTGGCAGAATCGTTGAAGACACGCATCAGCTCGAGACAGTCGTAATCGCCAGGAACATATCAACATCCCCACCATTCTGTTCTATTGTCTCTTTTATACCTCATCTATGCTAGGACAGCTAGCCTGGTACCCAAGATGAGGTCAATTACCCTCGTAGCCAGCTGTCTGGCAGCTCTTTCGAGCTTCGTTACCGCCGAGTTGAACCTCTCCCAACCTTTGCGATCAAAACAGGTGCTATCCAGCGCATTCAAGCCGCCGCAGGTCTTCAAGAATGCCAATTTGGTCCGCACGACGAATCTCGACAAAGCCTTTCCCCGAGAGACCATCAATGTCGTTATTGAAAACATTGATACGAAGCCGCAGTCCGAATACTACCTTCCGTTCGAGACAAGCTTGATTTCGAAAGTTGGAGGTTTGGAAGCTTCTGATAAGAAGAATCCTAATCTTGGAGCTTTCAAAGTAGAGGTCGTAGGATTTGAGGAGGCCAGGTAAGATAATTCGAGCTGGCGAACCCGAACTTTCCACTAATGCGCGCATCCTCCAGTTCAACCGAGTTCTACCTCATTCATCTACCGAAACCGCTCGCTCCCAAGGAACAGCAGACGCTCAGCATTACCTACTCGATCCTTTCGACGCTTTCTCCAGTCCCGGCGACCATTGCTCAGTCTGAAAAGCAATATGTTCAGTATACCTTCAGCGCATATACCCCATCTGCATACACGACCGACAAACAGAAGACCAAAGTCAAGTTCCCCAATGGCGACATTCCGGATTATACCACTCTCCCTGCAGACGTGAACGCCGAGAACAAAGCCGACCCTCAGAAGCAAGGGTCCACATTCACTTATGGGCCGTACGAGAAGATTCCAGCCGGTGCGGAGCAGGAGGTCAGCGTGCGCTACGAGTTCACGAAGCCACTCACCCACGCATCTTTGTTGGAGCGAGATATCGAGGTTTCCCACTGGGGTGGTAACCTAGCGGTCGAGGAGCGTTACTGGCTTCAGAACCTGGGCGCAAAGCTCAAGAACCACTTCTCTCGTGTTGAATGGCAGAAGTCGTCCTACATGAGCCCACCCACATCCGCGCTCAAAGCGCTCAATCTCCCCTTGAACCCAGGTGCTCTGAACCCATACTTCACGGACGACATTGGTAACGTTTCGACCTCGCGATTCCGACCCGGCAAGAGGGAGGCTCTCTTAGAATTGAAGCCACGCTACCCTGTTTTCGGAGGATGGAAGTACAGCTTCCGTGTTGGCTGGGACGCAAACCTTTCAAGCTACTTGCGAAAGGTTGCAGGTGGCGACTCTTATGTTCTTAAGGTGCCCTTCTTGGAGGGACCTCGCCAACCCGAGGGTATCGAGTACGCGCGCGTCAACCTCCGTGTCATCCTGCCCGAAGGCGCTACCAATGTGAAATATTCCACCGTCGTTCCGGTCATTGACAGCGATACCACCCTGCACAGAACCTTCATGGACACCATCGGCCGTACCACGTTGTCCCTCACTGCCATTAACATTGTCGACGACTTCCGCGACCGTGACCTGATCGTTACCTACGACTACCCCTGGACAGCCGGGTTCCGGAAACCCGTCGTCATCACGCTGGGAATGTTTGCCATTTTCGCCACGGTATGGGTAGTGGGAAGCCTTGACACCAGCATTGGAAAGAAGAAGACCGCTTAGCAGAATATAGGACGGACAGCAGTTAGGATTCAAGTCGATTGAAATGAGTGGAAGGATATCAAAGGGAACCAAAATTATATAGGAGTATGGGTCTCTGAAATGTATTATGCTTTTCATGAGCGTTGGTATGTTTGTTACTTCATGTAGAACAAAACATTGGTGTTTTAGCAATTCTGAGCCTTTGACTAGTATCACACAGTATTGATCGTTTTCTCATTAACTTTATTGCTTAACGGAAAGATGTAGCCTTCAACTACGTGTGTACACATAAACTCCGACCCACACGCCTCTCCAAAAGCGAATGCACCTTCAACTCCCCAACCCATGCAAACCCATATATCCCATTCACCCCTACCATCTCTCCGCAAAAGAAGAAAAACATTACGCAAAACTGAATCTCTCCTCACCCCTCCTCACAACCCTAATAGGAATCTTCTTCCCCCTCAACTGCAGCGTGATAACAGATCCCATCGTATTTCTTAGCAGGTACTCCGCCCCATCAATCGCCTTCTCATAAACCGCCTTCCTCTCCTCCCCACCAACCGGCATCCTCTCCACCTCCTCGTCACTCGCAAACTCATCCACCGCCAACTCGACGCTGTTCTGCGAGAAAATGACGACCAGCGCGGCCAGGATCTCCGTCTGCGCGAAGCGGCGCCCAATGCACGAGCGATAGCCGTCCGAGAAGGGAATATACGACCCCTTGACCGGCTTGAAGAGCCGGGACGTCGGTTCATCGCCTGGCGGACCGCGCAGATCCCCATCGATGTTATCGTCGGGCGTGGATTCGGCCTGTGGTTTCGTGCTGCCGGTGAGCCAGCGCTCGGGGCGGAAGGTGTCGATATCGGGGTACTTTGACGGGAATGTGTCGTTTGATGATGTGTTTGATGCGGGAGCAGCCCAGTACTTTGGGTTACGGTGGACGGCGCCGCTGAGGTGGATGTATACTCCGCCCGGCATCGTGTACTGTTTTCCGTCCATGGTGAAGCGTTGGGGGGACCCTGCGGCGGTGGACTTGGGGATGTTGACGACGGGTTGGAACATGCGGAGGGTTTCGTTCATGACGGCGGCGGGCATGCCGTCGAAGAGCTTGGAGAAGTCATCTTCGTAGGACAGGTCTTGGGGGTTTCTGCCTTTGAGGATGCGGTCGATGTCTTGTTGGAGGCGGCGTTGGCAGGAGGGGTTCATGGCGAGGAAGAGGAGGGAGAAGTGGATTGCGTTGGCGGTGGTTTCGTGGCCGGCGAGGAGAATCACGAAGGCGTTGCCTAGCAGGTCGGATTTGGCGAAGCGGCTGTTGGTGTCGGTGAGGATGTTGGAATGGCGGATTAGGGAGAGGAAGAGGTCCATGCCGTCGACGGAGGTGTTGCCGGAGAGGACTTGGGTCTTCTTGAGCTCGTACATCTCGCTCATGTATTGACCCCATTCTTTCACTGATTGACCCACTGTGCGGTGGAGCTTGAAAGGAGACATGGCTACAAAAGAAATCAGTATAAAATGCTCAAAACGGAATAGAAGAAAAAGTGACAAAATAAAACCATGATTAAACAAGAAGAATAATGGAATCCGAAAAGAAAATAGCAATAAAATAAGAAAGCAGCCAAGTGTAAATTAAATATCAATATAACAAAAAGAAACAAATCAAATTATAGAACTGGCTTCAAGAGACATTCTCGTGAATGTAAATATAAGAAATTTGAAATCGTATACGTACGTAGGTATTTAGGAGGAATGATTTGAGTCCACATCATATTCTCCAACAATTCACTGATTGCTTCTCTGTAATTCATGCTGTGGCCCTCTGGTACTTCGGATGTGACAGATAGTGAGTTAGTATCAGTTTTCTCTTCAGCAAACTGTCCGTTAGCCCTAGCCTCCTCTTCATGAGGCCAGAAGACACGGACATCGAATCCAGCACGACTGACGACATAGAGAGCAAACCTCATCGTATCCAAGGCCGGGTCAGTGATCGTCGTATCGCCTTTCCCATCGGCGCCCGTCCACAACCTCAGCAAGGACTTCGCGTGATGCAACGACTCGACGAAGACGAGTTCATTATTCTTCTCGCTGAAAGCCGGCGCGGTGAGTTTCCTATGCATGCGCCAGTCGGAGCCCTCGGTGGACACGAGGTTCTTGCCATAGATGTCAAGCGCCCCGTACATGTCGAGCGGCTTTGGGAAGTCATTTCTCCGGGTGGTGATTTGCGTGTTGGTCTCTGCGTCAGCGACGAAGGCATTGATCTTGTATGGCGAGACGACGAGAAATACATCTGAGCCTATCTTTTGGAACGGTTCGTGGCCGAACCGGTACGCCCATTCTGGATCTAGGATTCTGCAGGGAGTGCCTGGTCAACGAAAGAGTGTCTGACATTGGGTGGTCACGAGTGCAGGGAGTGGTTTTTGAAGGGAATGAGACATACTGTAACCATAGGCCTTTACAGAATGATGGCAGCTTGTGAAGTAGTGGGAGCCAGATGGCGTTTGTTGCTAGCCAAAACATAGAATACACATTCCACAGAGTGATTACGTAGGGAAGGCCAGATGCCTTCGCCTCGGAGATGTTTCTTGCTAACCTGCGGTATCTGGCAAGGACATTGTACAAGACAATAACGACTACTGCGGTCAATACTAGGCGAAGAGCCATCGCACCCTGTTGTGACGCGCTCTTGTGAGGGGTAGACGGGACTTGCAGCGAACACTTCAGCAAGACAGGCGCAAGGAGAGGATGAAAATCACAGAAGTGGAGAAGTAAACGCGGAAGAACGGTGAATCTGGTTCTTAGGAACTGTGGACTGTAGCAATGGTGAGAAGTGAGGTCGAGTTGTAGACATTTGAAGCTGAGGCAAAAGATGCCCACACTCTACAATTGGACTAGATCTGCGGGTTGTGCTTCATGACGGTCTCAGATTGACCATTGAGCGTCTCGGTATTAGAATGCTCTAAATTAGGCTGGCTAGGTACATATCGTATTGCTCGTTGGAACGTCATACATTCAAACTGAATCTCAAGAATCGAATATCTTCCTCAGAATATTTGACGATATCAAAGTCACCAATAATTATTTTCAGAGGAAGATGCGTTAAGAGAGAGCATGTTGGTTAATGCGGGAAAGGGAGGCCTTGTACTAAACCGGATTGGGCCAAAGTGCGGTGAGATGATTGATCCACTGCGACAGCCAAAGGCCGAGCGACATCTCGTAGCTCGAGAGATGTCCAACCAGAAACGTGTGATCTATCACACTTAGACCTGTCACAGTCACATAGTTATGTACTCCGTACTTGACCAACGAGCGTTATGATTTGATTGCTCCTCCCTGTAGGACTCGAACTCTTCAAGAGTTTATCGGAAGCCACGGTGATCTTGCGGTATAGTAGGGTGCCACTGAATATATCTAGATCTGTCTCACACGAACGCAGTCAAAGGCGACACAGAACCTATCTGGATGACGACAGTAGCCTTGCATAACGACGCAGGCTGCGGCGCGTCGTTGTTTGGGAAGTGGTAGGCGACTGAAAGGAGGCATTGGACGGATGCTGTTCGTTTGTGATGCCTTTGATGCGAGCATGTCCACTCGCCAAACATGCAGTCCCACTTCATGACATGTCGCTACCTACTAATATGTATGTACTACAACCTGCCCTGCACATAGTGATGGCGCACTGGTGCATTGATGCAATGTTCACAGACCCAGCGCTCTATACTGTGTATGTGCAGGGTGATATTGTGTTGGTTGCACAGTCCCTTGAATGCACATCCTGCTCCGCAAACCCTGATGCCAGCAGACGAGGCTGTTTCTCTCCATTTACAGTCAAACGAAGCCGGCAAATAGATTACAAGCAATTATACACGACTACGAGATCACGGACTAGGGGAGCGAGCAGAAGGTCCGCAATCATTCCGTTCAGCTTCTGTAACACAGGCCTGTGTGTGTCCTTGAACACGGGTGGTTGTCTCAAAGGAGGCTCGTCTGTTTCGAACGTTTTCTGGAATTTCAAGCAGGACAGGACGGGGCCTCTAGGGTCGGCCACGGCCCACGCCGGCGCTCCTAAGACCTCGTGGCATTCGCCCTGATCCACGTGGATACCTTTCATCGTGGAGGGGCCGGGATGGGCCAGTCTCTAGAGCGCACGCAGCGATGGACATTGGGGTCGTGATAGGCTCAGTTGGACTGATTTGACCCTCGGACATATTGTCCGTGAAGCCTAGGCGAGAATATTGGCGTTTAGAGAACAGCCTCACCGTATCCAACCCATTACCGGCACGCTGAACAACCGGCCACCCGATCGGCTGGATATTTGACAGCGAATTTAACGATTTCACCGCTTTGAGGATCAATCGGCGACCCGGTCAGGTTAGCTCTGTACGCCTTGTGCTGTTTCTAGGAAGTCAGTCGAGTGCAGGTGACCAAACTTCTCGCTCGTTCGTGGTCATCAATATGCAACTACGTATGGGGCACGAACTAGGGAACTGAGGGGAATCATGCCATTTTGGAGCGACACTGCGCAGTCTCGCGCCGATTAATGAAGCACACCTTGCTGTGCATGGCTCGATTACCAGATTTTATTGCATGTTTTTCCCAGGGTTGCTAGATTGTACGATCAGAAGTGGTCGAAGAAATGCGCTGATGGCAGGCCTAGTCTGCCAGCATCAAGGGTGTTCGGCGAACATGGGGCTCTGCAAGTAGTCCTACATGGCAGCGTCGAGGCAAGGCATCATGATGATCCTACCTACACGATGCAGTGTTTGGTTCGTCTCGAGCTCGACTCGACTTTGTCGAGTAACGAGTTATAGATGTGTGTACACAGTAGGGTAGGTGCAGTCGTATTGGGAACGAGAATATGGGCGAGTGTTGTCCAATCGTCCAGGGCATGAGCAGGGCAGGGCAGGACCGTGAGTTGATGTAAATGATGCTATGACAGACATACAGCAGCGCATTCGAGGGCTTCGGCGGCTCTGCGGGGGCAATTCCAGGTACAGCAGCATTGGAGTAACGCAAGGTGTGCGGGCTGGTACGGTAGGATCGCATTGACACAGCAGGATTTCTGATAGAGACGGCAACAGAAGGGAGATGGCTGGCCCAGGGATGGATACAGCGGCCCAACCCTGCTGATCTTGGGCAGTCAGATCGCGAAGCATGATGACAGACGAAGAGCTAACTGTACCCTTATGTCGTGTAGAAGGTCAACCGTGGTCAACCGTGGCGGACTACCTGAGTCGTCGTTGTCTCAAACAGCGGTGGCACTCTCGGGTAAGGGGTGGTGGGGTGGAATTAGAGCTTGGTGGCATCGGACAGCTTCGGGCCGTGCAGACATTAGTTCAGTTAGCCAGCTACACCAACGCCTACATCTCCACTCCCAGACTCTGGCCACACGCGATGGCAATGCAGCTCGTTGCAGTGATTCGCGAACGCGTCCGACCAAGGGAAGCCAGGAAGAGCCACTGGCCCAAGATTGACACGGCAGGCGAGTCAATCAACGGACAACGACAGACGAGAGACAGAGGAGAGCGAAAGTCAATGGCTGGAAGGGCTATTTGAAGGAACACGAACGGCAAAAGGCCCCCTCCGTGCCATTGTAGAGGTCAACGGAGCGCGCGCATCGCGTCACTTCTCTGATATCTTCTGGAAGGTTTTTTCTCGCACATAATTGCAGAGAAGAGCCTGAACTGCCGGGGCACACTAGCGAGTGGGCAAGTCGAAGTGGTGCGGTGCGGTGCGGTGCTTCACGCGACGGACGGGCGGTGGGGCACAATTGCTCACCGTCAGTGAATCCGTAACAGTCCAGTATCATTGTCTAATTGCGGTGTATTCTATTCTTCACCGCTTGCTTGGTTAGGCCTGCGGATCGCCCTGGACGCTCAATCCCGTCGACTTCACGGTATTATTGTTTCTCTGACATGGCCATTCTAATCGTTACGGACCGTCTAATGCTATGCTGGCCTATAGCCTCACGAGAGAGTCCAGAGCATCAATGGAATTCATTAGTACGGGGTGTTATGTATCTGTCATACTCCGTGATATGATCACCAATATGTTTAACAGTCAACTTAATCACCGGTCAAAGATTCACTACGGGACACTCCGTGCTGGATGTCACGACGAAGACACTACTAACTATAGTCAACTAATAATGGGGCAGTTCGAGGTTTCATGCACTGGAAATCCCTAACCGCGCCAAGCTGCACACCTCCTCGCATGATTGGCATATGGAATTGCGATTGGTGGTGCGACCTGATCTGCCCTAGTTCGCCATGTACTGTTCCTGTGGTGCTGAAATTATCCGATGCGGGCCAGTAACAATTGCAGAGGAAGGAGTTTAGTACTCCGTTCTGAGCAACTGTTAGTTTTCGCGAGCGTAACGCGGAGAACCGCGCAAAATGATAAGCCTGTCAAACGCTGGCTGGCTACACAGGCACATGACGGATGGAGGGGAGGGGCGTACATCTAGTTCACCGTACATTGGTGATGGAATCAGCACAGTGCGTGTAAGCAGTGCTGATTGGGCATGTGTGTGAGCAAGATGCGGAGAGTCGTGGCATAGACGGAAAGGGTTGTGCATTTGTTGACCTGCGTCTGCGAATGGCTACCAGGTGGCAGGCCATCTTACGGGCCAGGTATAGCCCTGGACAGTGGTGGTCACGTTACAGTACAACGTTTGCCCATGTAGATTGACCCGGTCAGACTGGACTGGGTCTGGGATTGAGTTGCAAACGCAATACGCGACAGTACAGATTACAGATCACGAATGACGAATTGCGGTGGTCCATGATGAGAGTCAGTTAGGAAAGATCAGTAGTTGTTTGTACGGAGTGTATTCCGTACAACGCAACTACTATGGATCAGATGGCAGGGCCATGTAAGAGGTGCTTGGTATGGCATGCATCTTTCCGAATCATGGGCGCGGCTCGTCTAGAATCACCACGGTGGCAATGGTGAAGATAAAGACGACGGCCATGGCTGGTATCGACACAAGGTGTATCATTCATTGATACATGCATGCTATTAGAGGGTTGGCTGTTCCATGGCACCACTTCGGGATATCGCAGCCAGCAACCTGCATATACGGAGAAACTGCAGCGAATGTAGGTGAGGTCTGAGATGGCCAAGTATACCTTTAGTTACATACATACGACGTCGTGTACGGAGTAGAACCATAGAGAAAGAAGAGATGGACATGGACTGGCAGGTGAGTAGGGGTTGATATGGAATGGTACGGAAAACATGGCAAGTGATTACTAGGGTTGTCTAAATGATACGAGCCAGATGGTGTGAAGAATCACACAGATAGGCATGTAATTACAGTACGAGAATTTATTACTTCGTACTTGACTAATTGGGTGGAAGAGGAGAGACAAGAGAATAGAGAGGAAGTTGGCGAATTGAGAAATGAAATTGGAAGAAGGATGATGGAAGAAGAAGCCCAGGGGAGAAGAAGGGAGCACGGCTCAGTATCAGATCAAAGGCATGAATCGAGAAACCCACCAGCCGCCTCGCGCGTTTTCCGGTGCTTCGGTTTTGGGTCTTGAGGCGATTTTTCTCATGAGTCCACTGTCCACCGACCATCCACTAATCAATTAATTCACCGTCCCGTGTTATTATTACCATGGGTTTTGCCTCACTTTTCACTTACACACAGCCGTTTACTAACCACTACCACCATCACCAGCAGTATCGCTGGCATCCCCATCGGTTCCAATTACCATCCATCCGAATGATACGATACGCATATGCACGCAACCAACAACCACGTTTCGTGAATCGTGGACGCCGCCCTGTTTACCTTAGTCATGTCTACCCATCTCGTCTCATCCCATGACACCAAAGCTTCACTTTTTCCGCTGCAAGCAAGTAATTGTAATTTACTCTGACTCTAGCTTTGTTTTCTTACTATACATGCTATCCTGTGTGGTGTGTATTGTATGTATACAGATATTTACTTCCTACTTGTATGTAGTTCGTTTTCCGCATGTAATTAGTTACATACATACCTACCTACTTGTAGGTAGCACAAAGTATCGAGTTCTGCGACTAGTAGTAGCACTTGTGTCTGTTATTGTTGTCAATACCTGAAGTTACGGAGTAGGTTGTAGTTATACACAGTGGTTGAAGTCACTCGTAGTGTCGTACTAGGTAATCATCCGCCCGCTACTTTCATCCACACCCGTCGTGTTCATCCGCCAAATGAGTTTTAGTATGTATGAGCGCCGCCTCCGTCTGTTACTTTTTTCACCATCTTTTTTCCAATACAGTACGGAGTGCAATCACACTGACACAGTAACCAACCATACAGCAGCACACCCCATTACAAACACATATTCATATCCATATCCATACTTATACTCACGCTCACAGAGTCAGACTCGCACTCATCCACGCAGTACTCCGTCCCTACCTAGGTAGGGTACCTGTTAGAGAGAGATACCACACTAGAGCATCCCTGTCTTTCTTCTGTCCTCTCGTCCTCTGTCCCTTGCCCTTCCCCCCCTCCTCTCGCTCTACTCTTCCCCCTCCTTTCTCTCTTCTGTCTGCCTCTGATCTATCGTCGCCCTTCTTCGCTCTTATTACTGTTTCATTATTGCTGCTGCAGGTGTTGTTGTTCATCCCATCCTTCCTTCTTCCTACCTAGTTTACCCATTCCCCACTATCCTGCTTTCATCCTCCTCCTCCTCCTCACCTCCTCCGCTTCATCACCATCATCATCACCATCGTCAATTCTCCACCATCACCACCATCCCCACCCTTCGTGACTATCCTCTCTTTATTCGTATCGGGCAAAGCCCAAGCTCCCTCCCTCTTCCTGTCTCTCTCTCTCGTTATTTCGTTCTCAACCCGCTCGAGCCCCATCTTCACGCTCGGCTACAGCGACTCTTGCTCCATACCACCACCACCCCTACCCATCTACTACAAGTACACGAATAATTCGGCCATCACGGACTTATTATCGTCACGCCTGGCTATTATTGTGCCCTGGCCCATCTTAGCTATACTGCTCCCGCGCCTTGTTGTTGGTCGGATAGCAAGCCCTCTCTACTCGTACAATACTCCACCATCCGCTACTACCACCACCACCGCGACTACCTAACCTAACCACCTCCACCACCACCATCACCAACCCCTGGCCCTCTTCGCTAGGACCGTGCCCTTTCTTCTCTTCCAAACGCCACCGCCGCTCCTCCAGGACAAACGTCGACGCATAGACTCACAGTCGCAGGCGATCTCGCCGTCCTGTCCAGTCTCGTCAGTTCCTGGTCAGTCCTGGTCCGTCCTGGTTCTCTTTTCTGCTTCCAGTAGTGGTCTCCGGCTCCATGGTAAGGCCGCACTCAGCACTGGGTCCTATTCACGCCGCTTGACTACTGCCGCCAGCGCCAGCATCCCACGGCGACACTCTCTGCCCTACCGTCCCATACCCGTCTGGCCGTAAGTCAGTCAGTCCTCGTCTTCATCCTCGTCTCCGTTTACCTCTCTATTCCATCTGCCGCCGATTGTCTTTCCTCCTCCTACTCGCAAGTTGCTACCCTACCCTACCTTCCTTCTTGCGACGCTTGTCAAACTCTTCACCACTCCCTCGCTCAGTGATGTCGCGGATTGGCCCGCACTGCTCCTCCGCCCACCTCCACTGACGTGCTGCTCAATTGCTCTCTCTGTCATTCTTGTCAGTGTCAGTGCCAGTGTCAGTGTCCTCGCTGGTGCTCATCATTGTGCCGAGCCCAACCCGCCTAGGTTTCCTGTCCTGTCAGGTCCAGTCTGATCCTGTCCGATCCTGTCTGTCCTGTCACCCAATTCCTCCGAGTTTTCTGTGCTTGGACGTCCGTCACGGGCTTTCCTCTCTGTACCTGCACTTGCAAGCTCCCCGTAGCAATATAGCCCAAGTGGATTGTCGCCGCATGGCCTAAGCGGTGTCGGGCCCTTCTCCTCTCTCTCTCTCTCTCTGATATAAGGATGGAGGTCGATTCGGACGCGCCCTCCCACAAACGTCTCCGTTTGGACTCGGTCACCCCAACCACAACTACGTATAACGGCCTTCCCTTCCCTCCTCACACGCAGCCTCACTCTCAACCTAACCCTCCGCTTCGACATCATTCCGTCACGGCCTCTCCGACCACTCGCCAGTACCCTGCCCATAGCTTGCCGCCGCCGCCACCGCCGCCGCCTGCTCCATCACAATCCTATCCTCCACCGCATTCGCAAGGTCCTCCACCAGCACATCATCAACAACAGCAACAACAACACCATCAACAACACCATCAACAGCAACACCCTCCTCCTCCTCCTCCAGGACCTTCCCCAGGATCCTACCAGCCTCCCGCACCCTCGCCGTCCCTCCCTCCCACCGATCTGCGCTCCTATCAGGATCCCAGGACTATACCATCGCCGGGCCAGCGCACCCATGGCGCTCCTCCGGTGACACATCCTAACAGAACCCCAACAGTTGCCCAGGATTCTATCAACGACTACTCCTCGCGTCCAGGTGTCACCCCTCGCTCTTCTGCGCCCGATATCCCAAGCTCGCGCCCAGCGAGCGTTGAAACGAAACCACCGGTAATGGATCATGGCAATCACCAAGCACAATGGTCGACACCAGACCACCGCCCCAGCGTAACCTATAGCAATGGTTACCCAGCCCCCGCAGTCGTGAGCCCTCCACACCCACATGATCAGCAATTTCATACCCCACCTCTTCCTCAAGCCCAGCACTATGGCCAGCCAGTACAGGCCTATACGCCGGGTCCCTACATGCCAGGCCCTTCTGGGCAGTATGCTGGACAAGGTCAGATCAGGCGCAAGCAGGTTCGAGCTACACAAGCTTGCAACCACTGTCGTTCGCGTAAACAGAAGTGTGACGAGGCAAGGCCGTGCCAGTTTTGCCGGGAGAACAACTTCGACTGCCAGTATAAGGATGTCCCACCACCAAAGTAGGTTGTTTGACACCTTGATAATGTTCCTTATTAACAAAATACAGGCAGGACAGGAGTATGATGCAGCTTCAAGATAGTGTGAGCAGCATCTCGTCGACACTCGAGAAGTTCATTGAGAGATTCGGCGCCTTTGAACGAGCAGTAGAGACTCGACTTCAAGGACAAACATTCAAGCAAGACGACCAGATGTCGATGTTATCTCATCCTTCCCCAGAACAAAGCTACGGAATGCGGGCATCCTTCAGCCATCCAGGTGGTACGAGAATGCCAACGCCAGTGCAGGGACGAGGGCAGCTGCACAGAGTTAATAGCATGAAGACCGAGTCTCCAGTCGTGGCTAATTCCAACATGTCTCCTATAGCTGCACATGCGTCGACCCCCATTAAACAGGAAGCTATGCTTGCTGCTCCGCAGCCCCCGGCCACTCCAGCGGACAGCGTGAGAACCGACCAAACGAGCACCGCACAAGACAACAAGGAAAAGACGGGTTTGCAGGGGGATCACACCACTCCAGCCCACCAGCTGCTCTACGACTGGACCTCGATGAAGGAGTTTTGTGATGGAGTTGAAACTATCACAAAGCTCAAAAACGCGGGCTACAAGGTCTATGACTATCCAATGCAATTGGAACGATCGCGTGGTCTCGTCCGTGTCTGGGGTGTAGGCGAGGGTCTTGATCAGAATGACGGGGCCCAGGGTCCAGGAAGCCCCGACAGTCACGAGTCTGGAGACTCACCCTCTCCAGCATCTGGCGGCGAGGGCCTTTGGGGCCCAGTTGAGCCGTCAAGTCCCAGCACAATGAGCGCTGATTCCGACAAATCGGACGACAGACTTCCCGGTGGTTTGGATGCTGATGGCCGTTTGAAGCTTGACTCCGAGACGTTGAACAGGCTTCTCAACTCCTATCACACACATATCCATACTCTCCATCCATTTCTGAATCCGAGCAAATTGAGGAGAATGGTCAAGGAATTTGGGAACATGTATAGCCCTGACGCAAAGCCTGGCAATGCACACTCCCCTAATTCCGCAGCGCACGCAGGATTGAAGAGGAAGCGATCAGGAAGTACTTTCCTTGATCCTCATTCGGCGAACAGAGAAAGGTCGCCCGATATGATCGAAAAGTCTTTGAGGAATGCCATTGTTCTCCTCATCCTTGCCTTGGGCAAGGTCTCGGAATACCAGGGCCCATTGCCCGCGCCTATTCCCGATAAAGACCCTATCACTAACGTGTATGGCGTTAAAGATTCGCCTAACAACAGTTTCAGCAATTGCGGAACGGATTCGCGCAAGAGAAATATTGACATTCTTCCGGGCATGGCCTATTTCAGCTATGCGACTGATATCCTTGGCAACCAACAGGGGGGCAATACTGTAGCGCATGCACAGGCCATGGTTCTCGCTGCTCTGTACCTGGCCCAGTACGCACGAGTTCTCGAAAGTTGGAGTTGGATCAACAACGCCTGCAGAGTCTGTTTGGTGCTGATTAAAGCGTAAGAGTGTCTATTCCTCGCCACCAAGTTCATACACTTACCATGGAACAGCGACATGTCAAAGATCAACCGTTCGAACGTTATAGGCCCGATGAACCAGGCGAACATGCCACAACAGCCGCAGCTGCCACAACAAGAGCTCTTCCGACTGAACTTGGTAAAATGCATCTACTGGACATGCTTGCAGCTCGAAACGTAGGAGCCCCATCCCAAGATCTGCCATTCGTATACTAATACCGAAACAGCGATATTCTAGCGGAGATGAGCAATCTTCCTCCTACTGATGTTTCCAAGTACCAGGAAGACGTCTCATACCCGTCGGGCGTCTTCGAGAAACTCCCAGAAGACATGCCATACAACGAAGGAACTCATCATGAGAAGACAATGTGGATATATTCCAGCCAGATTCACTTGCGCGTTATCCTGAACGAAGCGCATAATACTCTATACGGCAACGGCGGCCGGAACAGGCCCAGCTTGGATGCAAATAACCTGAAAGAAGTAGCCGTCAAGGCAACCGTGCACGCGGAGATTCTGAGGAGCTGGAGATTGCTGCTTCCCCCAGATCTAATCTGGGATGACGAGGACCCCCCATCAGAGGACTTGAATATTGCACGACTACGCGCAAAGTTCTACGGAGGTCTTTATATGATTTTGAGGCCGTTCTTGGACATGGCTGTTCACGAGATGGAGCTGCCACCAGGCCCACCGAGATCTTCTTCAGTATGGTCATCACAGACCAACTCGCCAGCGATGGCCAACGACTCAGTAGCAACGCCTACGACCCAACATTCGAACAGGGCCAGTTTCGTGGATTTGACTCCCGAACAGAGCGAAATCTTGAAAGTAGCAGGAGAGTGCGTTCAAAGCGCAATGCGCAGCACAATTGCGTTCGACCGTGTTGGCGCGGATCCAAACACGCCTTACAACGAATACTATGATACGCCAAAACGTCGTCTCATTCTTACGAACATCTTTGGTACATTACATGCGTAAGTTACTCAGACAACGGCTACTAGACGGTTCTAACCCACGTGCAGTCAGTTCGGAAACATGATAGTACTCGCAGCAGTGTATAAGAACGAAAAGCTTCGACAGCATTTGCCAGCCAACACGCAGTTCACAAAGCGCACGCTGAGTCTACTGTTCAGGCGGACCATACTCATGCTCAAAGAAGTTAAACCCAATTCACCAGTGCTCAGCGTCGACGCCGATATCCTGGAAAACGTGCAGCGCATTTTACGACTCGATTGTTGTTAGAATACCACGACGGCTGCTCTAGGCATTGAGATCGAGAGCAACATCAACCCCTCGCTTCCATGCAATTTTACTTCCAATTTGAGCGTATACCATCCCTGCGGCGACGTTCGACGCCTCCCGACCAGCAATCTCTTTCATTTTGCATCGTCTCAGGCGTTTCTTTGTTTGGTTTTCATCTGTGCACAGATTGGGCGGCTAGCGCTGAAGTATTTGGCAGATTTGCGCAACATTTCTGACTGCCATATTTTCTCATTCTCATAATCAGTTACAAACACTTGGGTGGTTATATCTACTCCTTCTAGCACAAGTTGGATATCTTATTCCCACAGTCGGTTCAAGGTGGAGGGTCACATTTCTTTCCTGTTCAGCGGCATTGGAACAAACAAATAGCATTTGGATAAGCACCACTGGGTCAATCCATATTGACGCCAGACTGGGCTCTGGGAGGCATCTGCTTTTTTACACGACTCCGCTCGCGCGACGTGTTCTGTGGATTTCACATATATGTTTTCGGGTCCTTTGGTTTTTCATTACCCAAACTTCTTGCAACATGTTAGCGAGCTATCTAGCGACAACGAGACTGCGCGAACATATTGGTAGACGAAAGTTGCAATACGTGTACGAATGAAGGAATAAGAACCACTTTTTCGACCTTCTCTCCATCCTCTTGACAACCACCAATTCTCAACCATCATTTGGTTTTCTTCATATGACATCAGACAACGACGTCTACCTCGTACGAGTACGAGTATGACCATGGCAGGAAAGGCAGATCTCATCCAACTTTCCTTCAAGGCCAGCCGCGGCCGCTGGCTCGCCTTTCGCCCGCTATGGGACGATCACAAAGAGTCCAGTCTGAATAAACTTTGGCGCCGGCGTAACAGCCAGCCCTACTGCGCACACCCATATCCGATTTTCCATGCGACCATACCCTACCTACTCGTATACTAATGCCATGCTGCAAGGTATGTTGATACCCAACTCGGTTTACTTTACACTGCCTTGACCTGCCCTGCATATGCCGGCGAGACGGCAATTCTCTACACAGGAAAGGTTCCTAGCTAGGAGGGGTGGACTCAGCGGAGTGCTTGAGTGCGTGCTCAGTGCTCAGTGCTCACACCGCTTGCCGATCCCATCCGTCCAGCCGAGCCGAGCACGCGTTTCACATCCTCTTTCACGTCCCGTCCCGTGCTGGCAAAGCGCACTGAGTGCCGGAGTACTTCTCCGTCGACAAATAGCACACGGTTGCGGTATCTAACGAATCAGCGCGCACGCACTCGACTCGTCCATCGTCCGACGGTTTCCGCACCTGTCCGTGTCGGAGGACAACGAAATGGCCCCGAATATAATGAGACGACAAACAATTAATTACCGTTACACTGACAGACGAACAGAGGTCACTCGTAACTTAAAAAATACAATGCACACCCTACCCTGCACAACGACTTTTTACGAACGTCAGTTGTTGTCGCCTACGCTTTCTGAACAAAGCATTATTGAATATTATGATCATCGTTAATACCAATCCCAATCCCCGAAACCCCCAACCAACCTCCAATTATCCATCGATCACCACCGACAGAACGCACGACCATGCACGCGGACGTCCGACACAAACACGTCCATATCCTACACGCCTCATCTCATCCAATCCCACCCCGTTACATCTCATGAAATCTCACAGATGCAGCATACCGTAACGTAACATGCAACAGATCCCCCACCATCTACCTCCAGCAAAGATCTCCTGAACCAGCCTCATACCTCGTACGCGTACAATTGCACATGGCATCGCCCCGGAAGCCAGAATCCGAGCAAATGGCGCCCAATGCACGCGCTCTACTCCTACTACCTACCTTGCCTGGCCTGGCCTGTGTAGTTATTTATTATTCCTCTGAAGTTCCCTTCCGGATATGTGTATGATCTTCAAGTTGTCGTCTGGAGAACAAGCATGGATGTAGCAGGCGATCTGTGTGTTCAGCTCCGAGCGAATCACGACGTCTCGAACTGCAACACCGAGAGGCAGCGATGCATGCGGAATGTATTCCGCCATCTCGATGGAAAATATACTCTCCGAGAGTATATCGAAACTTTGATGAAATTATCGGATCGCCAGAGACAGGCCAGGTGATGGTTCCTAGGACGGAGGGATATTCGAGGACGAGTGTGATCGATTTGCATTTTCGTCGGGGGGTTTAGCGTCTGTATGCGGTTTATTGCTTCTTACTTAGTTAGTCATTTTTGGAGGGTTGTTGTTGATGTTTGCTTCACTTTTTCACTTTCCACATGTCTTTCTTGCGGACGATAGCAAGGGTGGTACATGGATAGGACGAGGTAGGTCCCCGCGGACGACGTGATGAATCTCCAAAGAATCTCGATGGCACGTATTGTAGATGCATGCATGCAACTCTGAGGCTTGAGCCCAGACGGGTTTTCCATCGATCATATCATGGATCTACACAGTAACGTACGGTACGGCACAGTTGCTCCCGCCCGGCATTTCCGTCCAGAATCCTCCAGACTCCACCAGAAGGACGCCAGACCACGTTTTTTTTCTTTCCTTCCGAGACGGTCGAGACATCGAGATTCCACGGCATATGATGCTCGTGAAGAGGGTGGGGGGATCTAGAACTCGTATGGCAGAGGGAAAAGTGAGGCGTTATTACTTAGTGGTTGGAAGGGTAATTGCTTCCAGGCCGGGGGGAGATGTCTTGAAAGTAACCGTATTATCATCATTACTGATGATGAGGCGTGCATTGTAACTAGGGATTGCCGGGCTGGATTACGAAGACAGATACAGAGGAAGGGATTCATGCTTGGGTGCTCAGTGGTATCAAGATTACCTTTTCAAGTATCACTCGACCAAGAAGCTACACTGATGATAACAGTTGCATGGCAAATCGAGATCCATACCGCCAACGACGCAGGTAAACAACGGGATTTACGATACAACGGGACCTCACCAAAACAATCAATTGATGCACAGGTAGATACTCCGCACATACCTACTCCACACATAGGTAAGATACTCCGCTACGACGTTACTCTCTCGCGCGACCTCCACCCAATCCTTCCCTGCAACGCAGCCATTCCCACACAACCCCAACACCAAACGTTTGGGATGAAGGATTCAGAGCGTGCGTTCGTTAGGTGACCAGTTCCAGTCCCCACGGAACGCCGTCCGTTACCTAGGTAAGGTTGAGGGCGGCCCGTGTGCTGCGCAACAGCAACATCGTTCGTTCGTTCTGTTGGCACGCCTCGCCCGTGGCTGGCCTGGTTGGTTGGACGGATCACATTCGTCACATCACCCACCGTGCAACAGGTACTTATCGGACGTGCTTTTTCGAGTCGTTCGAGAGAAACGTTACGGTATGGTATGGTATGGTAGATTATGGTGTGCTGTTAAGCATGTTGTTATCTACCTACCTACCTACCTACCTACTCCGTACCTAGGTCGTAGGTAGGTTACTTGTGGGCAGGTTCAATGCGAAAACAACGCCCACGGCCACATGGTGAACCCCCCACTCCCTCCCCTCCCCACCCCCCGGCGAACGAGGGACCATGCGCATTTGCATGTGCGGCGGCGTGCGTGCGTGCCCTGCGAATATCGCGTTTACGGTAGGTAGTTGTAGTTGAGCAGGTTGTTTGGACATTTAGGTACGAGCGGTAGGTAAAGTAGGTACATATGTCGGTTGTACGCTGCCGACATAAGGGCAACCGTTCGTATGTACCTACGCACGCATGCAGGTAGACGGACGTACGCGTGCGGCGTGCGTGCGTGCACAGAACACGGTAAAGTTACCAGGTAGTTCGGTATACTTTTACTTTACGCACGCACGGTGTCTGGTGAGTTCGCAATGTCGTATCTGTGACGTGTATTATTGCGAGCGTGTCGAGAGTTGAGAGTCATGATTGAATCGATCGATTGCATTGAAGTTGCAACTGTTGTACGGAGTACATGACTTGTGAGCTTGGGGTTTGACGACGTCAGGAAGATTGGTTGGCTTGGACGTAGACGTAGGGTTGAGTACAGTTTCGGTGGCATTTGTCGCGAACGCTTTGGTACCTACTGGACGGAGTATGTACGAGTACATACAATTACACAGTAAGTAACAAGTTACACACAGTACTCCGTACATAGGAGGTAGGTACTGAAGTTGCTTGAGCGTTCCGTACATAGGAGGTAGGTACTGAAGTTGCTTGAGCGTTCGTTCGGTTTAGTGCATGCATTGCCTTTCGGATCTAATGCTTCGATCTACGGTGCAGCAGCAGTGCAGCTTCTCCTACGACGGTGACTATGACTATGTCTGTAATAGTAGGTGGTAGTTGACCTCATAGTTATCATATTTGCATTTGTTAACTCGAGGGTTCCCCATGATACAGTTCCAACAATTCCATGATATGATGATACCATGTCTTCGAGATAGGCAGTGCAAGCCTTCCTCCGAGTCAGAATTACCCACGCGAGGAGGCAAAGATGGACAATCCCACGACACCGACAGCCAACCATTCGTCTTTGAATGTGACGTGCAATGATATCCAATGAAGTTGACCTTGATGAGAAACCCTGATGATGATGATGGACGATGAGGTCGTCACATGGGAAAATATCCACAAAACGTGAGCACAATAATACTTCCCACGCACGTATTGTCACAGACTCACAAGTATACCTACATACACAGTAAGCACGGTCCGAATCCAAATTATCCGCAATGTCACGACGCAGACCCAGGTCTCTCACCTGGGTATAAATTACCATGTGCCAATTATGCTGCCCCGGCCAAGCTCCAGCCCCGTCCAAGCCCCCCATGTTGATGTGGAAGTTAGGTGTGTGAGTTGAAGTGTGATAAGTAAACAAACTTTGGATCCCACCCACAGCGCTGGAACCTGGAGCGAGCTTGACCTCAGCCCCCCGACCTCTTCGATGGGTATTGCTTTCGCCTTCCCATGCAACGCTTTGGGTCCAATTACTTGATTGAATTCTCCGAGACAAACGCGAAACGCGCCTCAGTCTTGCACTTTTTGCCTTTTGCCTTGAGTTCTTGTGCCGGGATCCTCTCCGCACTTTGCGGTGGCGCTGCAGGGTCTTGTCGATGGTAATACCGGTATGGCATTTCTCCGCCTTTTGAACTTGGGCTTATGTGCCAAGTGGTCTATACCTGGATGCTCGCAAATGGAACGAATGGCATGTCCCGTTTCTCTTCCTTCCACTAATTTCTCTGAAAGTCTGAAAGAGGGACTATTCTTTCTTTCGGAAGCTCGGATTCGGCATATCAGAGAACAAAGACCTCTCGGGCTCCTCTCCACGGTAGTCGCCGTTTAATGTAGCAACATTCGGGTCGCGTGCGTTCCCCATTGCACCATTTCTTCGTCCATCACCTGCATAAATCGTACCATTTTACCCTTCAATTGCCGTTGACTAAAGTAGCCCATATTGGTGTTTTGCAGATCCTTTGCCAAAGTTAGCAAAAAAGAAAAAACTGGCAACTGCCATTGTCTCCGAATTTACGTACATATTCACACAGTACGTACGCAGGTGCCCAACTCTAGATGATATGCCTGGATTGATCATTCCGGCCTGCTTCGGCTTCCATGCGCTCTCATTCGTCAAACACTGCGAGGAGAGAGCCGAAAAAGGAAAAAAAGAGAACTTCTTGACCGATCAGATAATTGCGACAGACGCTAACAAAAAAGCATCGTGCGAATTTCCTACTGTGTCTTTGCTGTGGTTTAGCTCAGGACCGGTGGGATGGTTTTCGTTGAAACGGTTGGCTGACATGGCTTGCTATCTGCGGGCGGGCACACCCGATCGGTCGCTCATCTGGCCGCCTGGCCCACTCGCCATCCACGGTTCACCTTCCCTCGCTCCCTTTCCCATTCCCATGGCACTAAAGATGATTAATTCAACGACGACACTTCATTCAAGTTGCTGGACGGCCCGAATACCTTTCCCCATCGGGGTTGCGAGAAGGACCGAAACGTGGACTACAGGCGAACGCGTCTGTAATGGTGGAATGTCACTGCAATTTCAATACTTCATTGGTTCGGGAAACTAATCCAGGCAGAACGCGCGGGGCGAGTGTCTGATAACTCCTTTGGCCTGGCCTGTTCGACCCTCTCAGAGTCTCAGTCCTGTGTAATAGTTTTGTCTATTTTAGAGCCGCGCCATCGCTGCCACCGTTCGCTTGACGGGCCGACCTTGGGCTTCTATTGTCGAAGGAGCAGTAGTAGTCTAGTAGACCGTCAATAGTGGTTTTTGTCGTTGGGCTCAGGCGTATATGCATGTATGCACGCAAGAAAGGGGGTGAAGTAAAGATAACACTCGTCCATGTGGCAGCCAGATGCACAATTTAGATTGCATATGCATGCAAAAGAGATAGTTCGTGGCGCCCTTCTTCCTTCTCCTATTCTTGTTGTTCTTCTCTCCCACCTTTTGAACGTGGCTTGAGGCTTGGGGGATCTAGGCTTGATGAACAATGAGTTGAAAAGCTTCGGATGGTGCACTCTTCCGGCGCCGAAATGCTGACATATAGAGGGCGAAAGGGGTTCGGAAGAGATGCATTTCGAGCTTTGGGTTTTAGCTATACCCACTGGAATCCTGTGGCATGGCGACGATTCCACACTGCTAGATGGAATGGCTATGAAGTTATGCCCGCAGCATCAGATATCTGATACCCTTTATGCGGCATGCCATTGACAAGATATGCAACTAGGGCTCATAAGCGCAAACACAGTCCGTGTGTCTCTGCCTCGACAACTCGTAAATGCAAAAGTCAAGATTCAAGAGGTCTCATAGTCTTGCTGCCGCCTTAGACTGTAACTTGTAGGTCTGATGTTTCCTTATTGGTGTGGTTTTTCTTTTCGTCGAATGGTTCTTGTGCACATGTTTCCTTGTCTCGTAGATTCATCGCACTCTGCGAACTTTGAGCCACTTTGTCTTATCGAAGTGGAAACCTTCCGTTGTCAGAAGCTCACAAACGGGCTTCTATTCTTCTCACTACGAGACTCTGTTGAACATGAACCTCCGACTGTCTGTATCGATGGTGACAGATGCATTTCACGTTCAGTTCTTTCGTGGAATCTCCTCAAATCATGTCCTCAGTTGATTGTGGTCGACTTATGGCGTTCAACGGATATCTTTTGCTGTAGGCCCGACGTCAGATCGTGTTGTCATCTTTGAGTGTGAAGACTTCGTCTTACTGCTTGCAGAGGCAACACAGTTGAAGTTGTTTACCACTCCTTGCGCTGCGAATGGCAGCTACGACAGATGAGGTCGATGCTTTCGACTGCCCAAGCAGGAGCAGAGACTCAGAATGGCCAGAGCGTGCATCGTGATTACCCCAAAGAAACGTAGTATGACTGCGTTGCCTTCAAGCTCCAACCACGTCACTTATTCCAAGTGCTTCAACATCATCGGAAATCCAACTGAACGGTGGGCGAGGGGATTGCTAGAGTCGAAAAGCATCAGTTGTATCGCACGGGGTCCAGACAATCACAAGCTTTCGAACTGAGCGAAGCCAGTATGAGACATCACCATCATCGACATAGATATGATGCGGATAATGGTGAAAATATCGTTCCACAGACTATCCTGGAACCAAGGCCTTTGCTACGAAACGCATATGTGGCTCATACCGGTACCCCGGAACGCCTGCAGCATTCCCATTTCAAGACATTGTCCCAATCAGCGACATTTACAACTCATGTAGAGCGGAATCAACTGCAGTCACTACCTCATAAGAACAGGCCGCAATCACTTGTGGTTCATCCGCATTTCATTGATCACAGAAACGCCTTCGATCAGACTGATCGTTGTTCACTCGATTACAAGCGGCCCCACGACCCACCTCAGATTGTACTTCGGCCTTCTTTCATGGGACGAGGCGATTCACAGATGCCGAAATATATACCTACGGTACACCTTATTTCGTACTCTCATAATCATGTCATTCACCACTCATCGATTTCCTCGCTACTTTCAGATCTGCTGCCTCCGTACACCACACATCTCTACACAATTCGAGCGGGCCATTTCGATAAACCTCCGAAGCCGCTCTGGCACCGCTTTAGCGGCACACATCCCATCGTGCAAGAGCATGTTATGGAGGACGAGAGGGCAAGATATGCTGTCCAGGATGCAGTTGGGGACTTACTGGAGGAGGTGAGAAGGATGAGTCGTGGAGGCACATATGGCCGTCCACGTCCGGAAACTCTTCAGGTGGCTTTGAGTGCAAGCTGCGGTGCTGGGACACACCGCAGTGTTGCTATCGTCGAGCGTATCAAACAGGAGTTGGAGAACGCTCTGGGTCGGCGTACAGTGAGCCTTCGAATTGTACACGTGCACAGAAGTAAGGGCGATCATGATCCTTACTGAAAACTGGAAGAATACGAGGAGTTGTAAGAGGATGTTTGCGAGAATGAGCTAGACTTTGTATGCCTTAGAGAGGTTCTAATCATATGTATAGTATAAGAAAACATCAACTTTGTCTAATGCCACTCTTCCTGACTTGCATGAAAACGGTTGCTTGAGAGAGTTTCTAGTACGTATGAAGAGCCCGAGACGAGTCCAGATGACGTTGATTCCATATCTACATGATCACTCCAAGTTGTTGAGATTTCGAATTTGCTTGAAGAGTGGTCGTTCACATAGGTGATGTCAGAAGCTATAATGATGACTTCGGCGTGGGGCACGGAGGTGCTGCGGCGCCCTGGCCTTATCGATAGCGCCAAGATGTGGACACCTTCGGTTCTCGAACGTGTTACATATTCTAGAAACAATCATTACCGCCCTTTGCTACCTCATAAACGGTGTGTGTCTTTCGAGCAGCGCGTCTTTGAAGAGCCTCAAATACAATTGGCAGAGGTTGGGTATTTTCAGCCTTAATTGGCCCCGATTACGGAATGCCATACGTTGCAACTTTGATATATTAGAGCTCCGCCAACTACCTTGCTACTGGCTCATCCATCGCCCAGACTTCCCCGGTAGGACGTTTAGAGGTTGAAGGAGCTCCACCAGCTAGCTTGAAAGATGCGGGCATTCAGAAATTCTTTGGGGCTGAAGGGCCTCTGCTGGCTCAGCGCCGCGGTGACGACTGGGGTTTTCGGCGAACAGGTTAAGGTCGAATTGAAAGCTGCGTTTAACTCTGCGCCATACCTCGTGGAATTGCTGTAAGTCATAAATTTCCATGCTTCTTGGATAGGTATTGACACTTCATAGGGAAACCGCAGCAGAAGAAGTACCCGATGCTTACTTTCCCCTCCTCGATCGCATCGCCGGAGGCTGGTTCGACGAAGCCAGAACGGACCAACAGTTACACGCGATGTTCATAGCGACGTTAGAAGCGGACGGACATATGCCAGAACCCGAGGAGAGATCGTCTTATCAACTTGCCCTGTCGGTGCGATCAGCAGCACCGCGAATCGAGGCACATTACCAATTCTACAACACATCCGTCGAGCCATCAATACCGGCCGGACAGGGAAGCGGCTGCGAGACATGGGTGGCATTTAAGGGCAAACAATACTGCGATCCGGAATTGGCGAAGGAACATGGAATCATCAAGAGTGAACATACGAATGAGCTGCCGTTCGATCGGATCTCGGGCAACAGCTCACACGAGCTACCCTCGATATTATACGCGGATATCACCTCGCCTTCTTTTGCAAAATTTCACAATGTTTTGAGGAAAACGGCTAAAGAAGGAAAGACATCATATCGAATCCGTCATAAGCCGTCGACACGTGGAAAACAGAGGCCCCTGTTGGTGAATGGGTATGGAGTAGAGCTGCAATTGAAGCGAACGGACTACATTGTCATTGACGATCGTGACAAAGGCGACAAACCTACCGAGCAAAAGCGAGCCACCGCTGGACTGGACACTGAGCACGAAGTCGCGGATCTGAAGCCCCTATCGGCATCCGAGGTCAACACACTTGGCCAAAATGCTGCCGACTTTGTCTTGAAGAGCGACAAGCCGTTGAGCACCCTTCTGAAGTTGGTCCAGGACTTCCCTAAGCACTCTTCGTCAATCGCCGCCCACGAGGTATCCGAAGAGTTCTTGAATGAACACAAGAACAACCGTCAACAGCTTTTGCCATCGGGCATGAACGTCATGTGGATCAATGGTGTGCAAATTCCCAACCGTGACATCAATCCCTTTGCCTTGTTGGATCATCTCCGTCGAGAGCGGAAACTTATCAATGGAATACGCCGCCAGGGTCTTTCCGGACCCGAGGCCATCAATCTCCTTTCGAATTCTGCAATTTCAGAGAATCAAGCAGATGATGAACCCCAGCGTTATGACTTCAGGGATGAAATTGAAGGTGGTAATGTCATTATCTGGTTGAATGATATTGAGAAGGACAAGAGATACGAGAGCTGGCCTACGGATATCACCGCAGTAAGTTGACTGATATCGATTGCGATGAATGCCGTATTGACTGTAGATGTAGCTTCTCCAGCGTACTTACCCCGGCCAACTACCTTCTGTCCGCAAGGATATCCACAACGTCATCGTTCCAGTTGATTTCTCCTCCAGCGACGACGTAATCTCCGTAGTCGATGTCATCCAGAATATGGTCAAGCGTAAAGTGCCAATTCGTTGGGGATTGGCACCTAAAACCTCAAGTGCTGGATCGGTGGGGCAGGCGAAGGTCGTCTACCATCTGTCGGAGACGTACGGGCTTTCCGCAGTCATGAAATATCTCGACTCCATCAAGGAAAATAAGAAGCTTGGGACTCCAGAGCAGGGGACCTTTGATGCCGCCGTGAAGGATGCAAAACTCCGCACCGATCGTACCGCCCTCGCCCTTGCTGAAGTCTTGCAGGCCGAGTCTCTCAAAGCTCGTACTGATGGTGCAAAGCAATATCTTACACGTCTCGCAGCAACTGGCTCAGACGCTCCTTTCTTCGTCAATGGTGTGGCTCTAGCACAGGGTGACGACTGGTTGTCCACGTTGAGCCAGCGCATTAGCATGGATCTCCGAATGATCCAACGAGGTGTGTTCGAGCAGGTTTTCACGGACGATACCTGGCTGCCTCAGTACTTCCTTTTCAGTGCAGCGACGAAGAGAAACCCATTGATCATTCCGGAGAATGAGAAAAATATCATCCTGGTCGACATGGCCGAGTTCCAGCAAAAGTACCAAGAGATATTCGAGCAATTGCCCACCATTGCGGCTGCAGATAGTTCTGTCAAGAAGAACCCGGCACACTTGACTGTCATTGGCGACTTCGACTCCGAATCAGGGCTCAACCTGCTTAAATCTGCAGCTGAGTACCGAAAGGAGAACTATAACGTCGAACTTGTTCTGATCCACAATCCTCAGGCTGGTGCTGAGCTATCAAACGCATCCGAAGACATCCTCGAAAGCTGGATCAAGTCTAACCACGATCTGACTATCAACCGGCTTCTTGAAATTCTAGCTCAAGAGCCTACATTTTCGCCAGTGGTCGGAAATTCTACATTGTTCTGGGAATCAGCGAAGCCAATAGTTTTGGAGGCTTTCGGACTAAAGTCAGGCCAAAGCGCTTTGCTGCTTAACGGCCGATACGTTGGACCCATTCCTGAGGGGCAATCATTCTCCAAGGACGATGTCGACACCCTCGTTTCTTACGAAACTACTAAGCGCATCGGACCTCTCAGCAACGCCCTTGAACAGCTGCAGATCTCAGACAAGATTGCCTTGCCCTTCGATTTCGCGAAACTGCAGTCACTTGTCTCGCTCTCAACCATCTCGGATGTGCCAGAAGGAATCTTCGAAACTGCATCTACAGTAAGAACGAGCCGTTTCAATGTCTGGAACGATGCCCACACAGCCATTATCAAGGGCGATAACGCCACCGCCGTCATTCAGATTGTTGTTTCCCTCGATCCAGCTACCGAGTTGGCCCAGAAATGGGTTCCAATCTTGAATGTTCTCTCCGAAATGAAAGGAGTCTACCTCAAACTGTTCTTGAATCCCAAGGATTCGCTCCAGGAACTACCCGTCAAGCGATTCTACCGCTATGTGCTTAACTCTGAACCCATGTTCGATGAGAACGGTGACCTTAAAAGCCTAGCTGCCTCGTTCTTAGGCATTCCTCAAGATGCACTACTTAATTTGGGCATGGACGTTCCTCCCTCGTGGCTAGTTGCACCTGAAGAATCAGTCCATGATCTTGACAACATCAAGCTTAGACCGTTAGGATATCACGGCATCAAAGCAGTCTACGGACTCGAAAGTATCCTCATTGAAGGTCACTCGCGCGATGTAACGAATGGTGGACAGCCTCCCCGAGGAGCGGAGCTTGTCCTCTCCACTGACAAGGACCCCCACTTCGCCGATACCATTATCATGGCTAATCTGGGATACTTCCAATTCAAGGCCAACCCAGGGTTCTTCAAGATCCAACTCAAGGGCGGTCGCAGCCAGGAGATCTTCACAATTGACAGTGCAGGACCTGCCGGCTGGGCTCCTGTCCCCGGCGATGAAACCAGCGAGATTGCCCTCATGAGCTTCCAGGGTGCAACACTTTTCCCTCGCCTCTCTCGCAAACCTGGCCAGGAAGAAGCCGACGTGCTAGGTAGCGAGGAGAACGTAGCCGCCGAACTCGTCGAGAAGGGCACCCAGAAGGTCAACAAACTGCTCGGAAAGATTGGTCTCGGAGGATTCAACACCGACAAAGTGCAAAAGGCGTTATCTAAGAAGTCCGCCGGCAGCGGCGTCGTACAGGCGGAAATCAACATCTTCTCCGTCGCCTCGGGCCATCTCTACGAGCGCATGTTAAACATCATGATGCTCTCCGTGATGAAGCACACCAAGCACACCGTCAAATTCTGGTTCATCGAGCAATTCCTCTCCCCGTCCTTCAAAACCTTCCTCCCGGCCATGGCCGCCGAATACGGCTTCCAATACGAAATGGTAACCTACAAATGGCCGCACTGGCTGCGCGGCCAGACGGAGAAGCAGCGCGAGATCTGGGGCTACAAGATCCTCTTCCTGGACGTCCTCTTCCCTCTCGATCTCGACAAAGTCATCTTCGTCGACGCCGACCAGATCGTCCGCACCGACATGTACGAGCTCGTGCAGCACGACCTTCAAGGCGCGCCCTATGGCTTCACACCCATGTGTGACTCCCGCACCGAGATGGAGGGCTTCCGCTTCTGGAAGCAAGGCTACTGGGCCAACTTCCTGCGCGGCCTCCCCTACCACATCTCCGCGCTCTACGTCGTCGACCTCAAGCGCTTCCGGCAGATCGCCGCCGGCGACCGCCTCAGACAGCAGTACCACTCGCTGTCTGCGGACCCGAACTCCCTCTCCAACCTCGACCAGGATCTGCCGAATAATATGCAGTTCAACCTTCCCATCCACAGCCTGCCGCAGGAGTGGCTCTGGTGCGAGACCTGGTGCTCCGATGAGAGCCTCAAGGACGCGAAGACGATCGATCTCTGCAATAATCCGCAGACGAAGGAGCCCAAGCTCGATCGCGCGAGGAGACAGGTCCCCGAGTGGACGACATACGATGATGAGATCGCGGCTCTAGCGAAACGGGTCAAGGGAGGTAAGAGCGAGAGTGAGAGCGAGAGTAGCGGCGAGAGTGAGGGTAAGAGTGGCAGCAAGGGGTCTGCAGGTAGTCACGGCGAGCCTCAGGCTTGGGGCGGAGAGCGAGTAAAGGACGAGCTCTGAAGACACCGATGATGATGACAAAATGAACTGAGAACCTCCCTTTAGATAGATAGACAAAGAGCGGAGCGGAGCGTGTAAACGATCAATATGTAGTAGTAGCAGGTGGTTGCGGGCAGGCAAAGCTGTTGCAGTATAGTACGAGTAGTATACAGACATAACATGACACACACTTTAGACTCTCAAATCTCCTTGCTTCTATAATGTAGTCAAAAAAGCGACCTTTCCCATACCCTCGTGCCATCACTAATGATTAGAGAGAAAACATCACGGTGCGTTTTCCCATCTTTCCTTCGTCTGAATGTGAAAAAGTGCTTCGTTTCTTTTGCTGTCGGTGTACATGCCAAATGGTATCTATCTACCTGCTTTCTATCGTCTTCTCATCTCTTGAGGTGGCTAGGGGCAGATTCGTCGAATGGGCTGCGGTGCGTGGGTGTGATGGATTGAACATCAATCACCACCAATTCTCCCTCTCTACGCGGAAAAAAGGAGGAAAGGGCCTTACGCAACCAACGAACCAGTCATCTAACTCAGAATCCCCTCACAAAAACGTCTTCCTCCTCCCTCTCTCAAAAAAAACACGTCTCGTCCATCTCTACTTCTCCTCAAGGCCCAACTTCGCAACCGCCTCCGCACCACCGTCTGCGCCAACATCAACGACCGCCTTGTCCGCGCCCTCGACGTGGCCGTCCGGCTTGGCCTCGACCTTCTTGGGGTAGAAGGATCCCTTGTCCTTCTTTTGCTTCTTCTCCTTCTTCGGCGGCGCGGGCGGTGGCGGGTAGGCTTTCTTCTCGATCCCCTGCCAGGTGGGGTCGGCTTGGAAGGCGGTCTGGATGGGCTCGAGGAGCGCGATCAGGGCTTCTGTCACGGCTGGTTTCAGGTTCTGTGGGGAGAGCTATGGGGAAAGGTTGTGTCAGAATGTTTGAAACTTGACTTTTTCGAGTGTAAGAGGAAGGGGGAGGGGGGAGGAAAACTTACGACATCAGCTTCGTAGTCCTTTTGCATGTCGGCGATATTGGTGTACTCCAACGGCGTGTCGTCTCTCCTCTCAACGACGAACTTCTGGACTCCGTAGCGGAGGTAGCTGGCGGGCAGGAGGACGTACTCGACGAAGCTGAGGATACCGTTTCCGTCGACGACCTTGGGCGCCGCAACGGCCTTCTTCAGCTTCTTCCTGACCGCGTCAGGGGTGTCGAGCAAATCGATCTTGGAGTCTGGGTCACTGGCGCTCATCTTTCCTCCCTGGAGGCCGGGCACCATGGGGTTCATGAGATGTGCGCGCTCCTTGAAGCCCACCTTGGGCAGGACGTCCTTGGCCAGCGCGAAGATCTTCCTCTGGTCGACTCCTCCGAACTGTGCGTCAACGCCGAGGTACTGCTCGTCGAGCGCCTGCATGAGCGGGTAGATGAGGCCGGAGAGCGTCGCGTTCTCGACTTGCTTGACGACCTCGGCGCCTGCCTTCTTCGCGTCGTGCTCCGTCACTACGCTCGACAGCCGGAACAGGTCCATGGTGTACTCCGGTGTCAATTGGTAGGAGGATCCGAGGACGAACTCGAGTCGGTCGATGGGCACCTTGACGGCCTTGAGGAGGGCCGTGATCACGAACTTGTAGTACTCGGCGCGGAACTTGACCAGCTCGATCGGTGCTTTGAGGTTGTCGAGGAAGCCGTGGATGTCGGCGAGGAGGATCTTGACGCGGCATCCTGCCTGGAGGAATTGCGCGAGTTTGAGGACGGGGACGAACTGGAGAGACGATTGCGGTCAGTCATCATGAAAACTTTCTTTGTTTTGCCCTTCGCTGGCGAAGTGTTTGGTTGCGACACGAATTGAAGATGTTGAGATGGGTGCATAGAAGGGAAATATAGACATACGTATCCGCAATGCGGCCTTCCGGTCGTAGCAGTACCCCAGTAGATCTTGAGTGGCTCATCCTTTTTCAGGACCTCGTCAATGATCTCCGGGTTGAGCACCTCCTGGAGGTTCTCCTTGATGAGAGCCCATCGCTGCTCTATGGACAGATTTTCTGCCGACATGGTGGGGGTTGTTGATTTCAATTAAACGGGAACTTGGAGAAAAGTCGAACAGGCGAGCGATTGGATGGCCTGAGGGCGAGAGAGAATTCAGTACGAGAAAGACGCAAAATAATGCGCTTCTTCAGGATATATGGGCTGTGCTAAATATTTGTGATATCTCCAGAGCGACTTGACCCTTGAAATGGAACGCGGGGAGTCATAGTGGGCAGTTCGTGGCTCACCGCCTTCGCCCTGCGGCTGCTGTGGGCACGTGATTCACGACGACCCTCATTCAGGCACGCATGTCGTTCTCAGCTATTCTAAGAAAAGAGAATGAAAAGTCTTATTCATGTGAGCTGAACAAGATACATGAAAGTCAGATCTGGCTTCTAGAAAGTTTCTTAGATGCACCACTTGAGACCCCCATGCCAGACTTCCTATTTGCGTAAAAGCAATTGATTGATATTGAATACAGACAAGACCATTAGTACAACAGCAGTGCCAACTATTTACAATCTACCAAGAAACACGTAGACAAACATTTTGCATAAACATTCCCAGCGCCCATCACCTTGCATCCAGGCCCCAAGACACTTGACTAATCAAAAACCGAACAGTAACTACTCGGCCTGTTCAGCCCTTCAAGCCTCCTTGCCAACCGCCACCACCCAATCTCACACCGAAACTTGTAGCCACCGCGGCCAAAAGTCCAATGCAGAGAAGAGTCGGGCCCCATTTGTCGTGGTACGTGACAGCTCGCCTCTTCCTAATCATACGAACTCGCCAGAGATATAAGCTCGCGGAGTAAAACAAAGCGCAGCATGCGATGATGGTAAATGCCCAAGCGGCCGCGAGGGCCAAACCATCACCGAAATTGAGCAGTGTTGCGGCAATGGATCCAAGAAGGATGGAGAACTCGAGCCAGGACAGGAATGTACGCTCGGTGGCTAATTGGACCTTGGGCTCCACGCGGACAGGGACGTGGATGCGTTTGCCCTTGGGTGCTTTGAAGCGTTTGATCTCTCCCGGCTGTTTCCAGCTGGGAACTCCTAGATGGAATCCGCCACCGCCGACATCTGTTGGTCGAGGTCGAGGGATGATTGCCCAACCCCATTCGGCCAGTGTGTTACCGACCTCTTTCGCCTTATGCTTGATCAATGTTTGGCGGTATTGCCATCCTCCAGCACGACGAGCTTCCTCTAATTCATCCTCCTCGTCCTCGCTATCTGAGTCATAAATGGGGTAGTCATCAGTGGCAACTGGCTGAGCTGCAATGCGCTCCTCGACGTCAAGTGCGTTAGGTCCCTCGCCGCCAGAGATGGCACCGTAATTCCTGCGCTGGTTGATATCTTGTTGCTCCATGACATCCCTAGCCTCACGGAGTCGTCGGATTCTGTCATCATCTTCATTTCCTTGAGCTTGCGGTAGGCCATAGCTTGCGTCGTCATCATCACTGTCGTCATCCATGTTACCACTGGTACTGATATCGTTGCTTGCGCCTGGTCGCTCGATTCCGAATTTGTGGCTCACTGGCTTACGGATATCGACTTTCATCTGCGGTGCCCAGTAGGGTAGCAAGTTGATGCGCTTGGGGTTGAGAGTGGCGGTACCGTGGATGTATTTCGAGAATTTGGGAACAGCTTCCACGAGATGGGAGGCTGTCAATTCGCGAATCCACTGCGGAGGTTCCTGGCCAGCCTGGGTTTGGAGCTTGACTTCGAGAACCGCGTAGGGGAAGCGCTCAATGTCCTCTGGGGGTAGTTGAGAGAAAGGCCAGTCAATGCCGATGTCCATACGACGCCAGTTGTCACCGGCTCGTTGGCGACCATCAAGGTTGTCCTCGCGGGTCATTGTGAGTTCGGTATCTAGGGAAATACGGACACGGGCGTCGCCAGGCAACTGGAAAGCGGTACGGTGGTAGAAAGATCGCGTGACGGGGACGAGGCTGCGAGTCAACACTCTGTACTGGATTTCACGCGCAAGCTGCTCATCCGATGCAATGTCTTTCTCCGGTCTCTTGTTGTCGCGGCGCTCCTTCTCGAAAATCTGCTCAGGCGTGTACTCGCCGCGGAGGTAGGCATTGACATGCTTCTCCTTCAGCTTAAAACGAGCCTTGACGGATTCTTCTCCAGTCCAATCCTCTCGGTGAGTTTTCCGCTCAACATATATGTTTTCGTTCGACATGCCGCCATACCAACGCAGGCGGATGGCCTCGGCACCTTCCGTCTTCTTCAATCGGCCCTGATACAGCTCCCAAGTATCCGTGTTATCGAAATAGATAGAAGTAATGGCCGAGTCATCGACCTGGAATTCCTTGCTTGCATTGAAGACAAGAACCGGCAGATGCTTTAGAACGATGAGTTTCAGCTCGGTGATGTTATCCGGATGCACCCAGTACTTGGTGGTTTGTCGAACGAAATTCTGTTGCTTTCCTCCAGCAGCCGAGTCGCCCTTGACGGGATTTCCGCGCGTCCGCACATCGTCGTAAAGCTTCGAGAGTTTAACGATAAAAGAATCGTAATTGTCCTTGTAGAACGGCTTCTGCTTTAGGCGGGTTGCGAAGACCGGCTTCAACACCCAACGTGTAGTTTTCTATTTCTGTTAGCTTTCTGAAACATGCGCAATGAGCGGAATCGCATACATCGTGCTTCTTAATGATCTTTTGAAATCCAGTGTAGTTGAGCTGGGTGAACTTGGCTAGGTCATGCACATCTGCAATGATGTCACTCAAGTCCTCCTCCAAGAGCTCAAAGTCCTCGTCGGTCGGGCCATTGGGACCGGGCTGGTCGACCTGCGCGACAACGTCGTTGACCTCGTTCTCGGAAGCGGCAATTCGGCGGATGATCTCCTCACTCTTCACCTGCGTGAAGCCGTAGACCTTGTCGAGCTCCTTCTCGAGCTTGGAGACAAACTCCTGCTCGGCCTTCTCGTCCCATGTTCGGTGCAGGTGGAGGGCATCCTTAAGACCTTCGTAGTCAATGTAGTAGAACATCCAATCCCTAACGAGGGAGGACTTGAGCTGTTGACCGAACCTATAGTACGCGGCAAAGTTAGAACCGTAGACGAGGATTGCATCATGCAGCAGAAGGCGATTGGAGGATCGGGCGGGCTGGGAGGAAAGGCGTGCCGCGACGTTGAACGAACCTCATGATGGGCGGATTGCGCCAATTGGAGCGCGCAGCACCTGTAGAGAATGAACGACGAGTGGATGAAGCTGTCGCGACGTTTGGGAGACGTAAGGAAGGGATAGAAAGTTAAGTCGTACAGGAAGACAAGAGCTCCCCGCTGTGTGAAAAAGAAAGAGTTGGATAGGAAGCGCAAGATCCAAGACAGTCGGCAGTCCGAAGCTTGGGCAGGGATCTTTGGAGAGGCGCTGCTACGAGTAACAGAAACTAACTGGCTATTATGAGACGGCTGGGAGGGCGGGCGCGCGCAAGTACCTACATGTGACGCTCCAGGCCAACGAGAGCTAGAGGAACACCCACGTGCTGGTCCTTGTTGGGAGGCGATGGCTCTGTCGCGCTCATCGATTCCTGACGTACTGTCCTACGATCGGAACTATAGTAAAAGTCTATCACCGAGAGAATACGAGCAGGCCAGAGAAAGTTTCTTTTTTCATTCCGTTCGTCTCCTCCTAGAATCTGGGAGTTTGTTTCGATGGTTGGCTCTGTTTCCTTGGGTCGCGCTTTCCTTGTCCGGCGACGATGCCCATGGTCGCAATTGACCAATCAGACATTGAGCTAGTCTCTCATCCATCATTGGCCAGACAACCACCATCTCCATTTCCTAAATGAGCATCGATATATTCAGACATCGTGAAATGATACTCACAGTTCATGCTCGCAATTCATCAAAGCATCAAGGCCGTCATTGGGTAGAAAATTAATCATCCAAATATGGCCATATCTGATTGATAAAATTGTATTTCAAAGCACATCAGCCCTCCGCATCCTCCTCCGCACCTCCGTATGCACTCCGCAGCCTCATCCGCAATCCTTTGTAATAAGATACAGAACAGTTATGTCGAATCTAGCAACAGTGCAATGTTTCAAAACAATACATAAGAGGCTCTTCCAGCCCTCACGAGTCCATAGAAACCACTTTCACCAATATCTACCTTCAATTGAATCCCTAATCAGAACCTCATCCCTTTGCTGTTTGTCACTAGTAACTAACTATATTATCAACATCCTCAAAACTAAAAACTCCCAACATGTCCCCCATAAAAGTCGGCATCATCGGCCTCTCCTCCACCCAATCCTGGGCCGTATGGGCGCACCTCCCCGCGCTCCTCAACAACCCCTCTCAATACACCATCGTCGCCCTATGCAACTCCTCCCTCTCCGCCGCCCAAACCGCGATCGCAACCCACAACCTCCCGCCGACTACGAAAGCGTACGCCTCCCCCGCCGACCTCGCCGCCGACCCGGACGTCCAGCTCGTCGTGTGCTCCATCCGCGTGGACCGCCACTTCGACGCTCTCGCGCCCGCGATCAAGGCAGGCAAGGACGTCTTCTGCGAGTGGCCGCTCGAGAAATCGACGGCGAGGGCTGGGGAGCTGGCGGAGCTGACGAGTTCCCATGGCGTGAAGACGCTGGTCGGGTTGCAGGCTTCGCAGTCTCCGGCGCTCAACAAAGTCAAGGAATTGGTTGGCGCCGGACGAATTGGAAAAGTGCTGAGTTCCAACTTCTACGCGACGTCCACGTTCTTCGATCGCACTGGTGATGAGAAGACGGAGTACATGAATGATAGAAGTGTTGGCGCGAACCAACTTACGGTGTATGCGGCGCATTCGCTCGAGTCGATTCGTTGGGTTTTGGGGCCGTGGGAGGAGTTCCAGTCCACGCTGGATGTGTCGTACCCGGATGTCGAGATCGTTGATGCGGAGGGAAATCATCTGAGAGATATCAAGAGAAGCTCGCATGATCAGGTTCTCATTCAGGGGAGGCTTGAGTCCGGGGCTGTGATGTCGTATCACCTTCGAGGTGGGCCTGCTTGGGCTGGCAAGGAGGGGTCGAAGTGGAGTATCTACGGCACGAAGGGTCAGATTGAGCTGAAGGGGGGCAATTCTCATTTGCATCTCTCGGATGACGATGTTAGTATCGAAGTGTTCGATCATGAATCTAAAGAGGTGGAGAAGGTGGTTGTCGAGAAGGATCGACACAGCAGTGAGGTTTTGTACTCACGGAATGTGGCGAGGTTGTATGAGAGTTATGCGAATGGAAAGGGCAAGGAACACGGTGTATTCTCATTTGATGATGCTGTCAAGAGGCATCAGTTCATTGATGAAGTGTATGCGAAGGCGGGGGTGGTATAGGCATATAGTTCACTCTGAGTACATATTTGTTTCAGTGGTACTCGGCTCGTTGAAGGATTTCTAGTTCGTATTGCTTACAGTCTACATTACCGTCCGTTCATCTTACAGAACCACAACCATTAGACCAAAAACAGAATGATCCCAACCATGCTTCCTAACTAAAGTCCATGCTCCAATGCCATTACCAATCCATCTGATCAAAACACAGAAACAGCCTACTAACACCAATGTCGCCCAATGCAGTAACCATCAAGACATATCAAGTTCAGCCACGTCGCCTTTGCCAATCGGCATCTCTGATATGCGGATGCTGCACCATAACATTCACACCCATCGAATCGATTTCCTCGCCGATGACCTCTGCAATTGCTACGCTACGATGTGTACCCATGACACAGCGTGACTCGAGCCAGACTTTGGAGTGACCCCTCTTGAGTGCATCCACGATGTCGTGGACTGCTTTTTCCCTACCACACAGTTAGTCTCTGGGCGGTGTCGTCAGTAAAAAGATTCAAAACTTACACGGCATTTTTGGCCCTGGGATCGTTCATGACCGAACGCTTCACGATCTCGGCCGTTCCCGTGAAAGAATCGCAGATGTGCTGGGGCGGTGGTTTCATGTGTACGCAGTTGATCGTGTACAGGTAGTAGGCGTCCGTGGGCACGAACTTTAAGGCCTGGTCTAAGCGTCCCTCGGCGTAGGTCCTGTCTTTGACATCTCGGCTATTCAAAGCGGAGGCGGAGTGGGAAATGATGTTGACGGTTGGAGTTTCCTTCTTGACTGGGGGAGGGTTACTGATTGAGCGGCGGCGCACGAATTGTGGGCGATCATGGTGGCGCACAGGTCGTGGAGGGTCGGAGAGTTCAATATGGATGTTGGTACGGTGTTTGTGAGGTACGGGAGATCTAGGCCTAGCATGTCGACCATAGGGTTTGTGAGGAAAGTTGACGATTTCGAGTAGTGGACGCCGTGAGTCATCTAGGATGTTGCAATTGCTATGCCGTCGAGGAAGAGGTCGGTGGCCATGAGCTCTGATGTTGCTTTGCTTGACAGTGACAATCTCATACCAGCTCATGATGTCGTTTGCTAGGTGAGGGTCGAGGTTAAAACTCCAAGTAGATATGTCAAGTGATGGACTGAAGTACGAAGACTTGGTTAATCAATGATGGGGATAAGAGACTCCTACAAACAAAGAATGAGGGGTTGTGTTGTAGTCAAAGAAGTATCGTGGCCTATGCATGCGAGCACAGAGCGAGTTACAACCATGACTTCCAAATTATGCTCTCCCTTGCTCTTACTTTGATCAAAACACTTCTATTGTCGTGATTATGTGCTTTGGCCATCCAAGTCAAGAAAAGAAGCAATGGCTCAGTGCCCTTGCCCCTCAGATTTGCCCGTCAACAGAAACTCCATTTGTAGTTACACCGGTGCCTTGTTGCTGTTGTGTGACACTGCGTCAGTGTACATTTGTTCCTACAATAATGTAAGTTGTCCGTCAATGGAATTGACATGATGTGGGTTGCTGGCCTGTTGACTTGAATCTCATGGCCACAACGCCAGGTCAATGCACACAGGAACAAATATTGAACAATAGTGAGACTGAAGCTTACAATAAAAAGGCAGCGAAATGAAACAAGATATTGTCGTTTGGCTGCGAAAGAAAAATTTCTCGTTCGGACGAGCAGCGAGAGGCTTAGCGGAATGCATCAAGAACAATAGCAAATTTCCTTACCTACCAGATTTGATGACGCTTTTCATATCCTCCGCATACGTCGTACTACGCGAATAGTCTGTGCGACAACTAATGAACTGCAACAGTGAGAATTACTCCTAGGAGGGACAATACCGTAGCAATGCATTCGAGTGATATACTACATCCAGCCCTATTCGGCAGACGCTGCCGGAGAGCATAGACTAAGCGGGCCGCTTGAGGCAAATAGCGTTGCTCTGTAAGAACGAACAACTGTTCAACAAAGTCCGCACGTGGGTACTTTGAACAACTACGACCAGCGACATGGCTGCAAAGACATCCATCAATTGCTGGATATCTCTCTCTTCTCCTAGCATGGTCTTCATCTCGGAAATGCCGATTTTCCGCGTCCCACTGTCTCCAACAAACTTCCCGTACAAGTAATCCACTGATTTCCTCTGTAGTGTTTAGTCTACAAGCTCGTCTAGGCGCCCAGCAACGGAATTGCTAGCATCGTCTTGATTGATGCGAACTCCACCTTCCCCTAAGAGGACATCCCAAGCCCACGTGTATTACTTCGAGCGCTCTCAGTAGCTGGATTGCACTCCTACACTCACGTGTGCGATGGTTGTATTGGGAAGGAGACTCTTGGCACGCAGAGTCGGCTTCATGATTATCATTCTGGGTTGTTCGGAATGAGGAAAGTGTTGTGGATATAGCACTTTTGTGGAAATAGGATGGGATTGCGATGCCGCGCTGCTCGTGTAGAGGGTGGGAGATGGAATAAAGTATAAAGAGAAGGGGATGATCAATGGGATTTGAACCAGGGCTCAGAGACATCTCAAACAATCAAGATGGTTGCAAAGAACATTCTTTTCACGCTCGCGTGCGCTGCTGCAGTCGCTGCAACTCCCGCTCCGTCAAAGGACAAGCCTCCCAAGGTCCCCAAGGAGTGTGCTACTTTCGACTATGAAAAGCTCAGCCTTCGTGAGGTTGGTGCCAGGAACACTCTTGTAAGTTCTCCCAACACATTTCTTACTTCAAGTACAACATCTTCCTCACACTTGCACTCAGGACTGGCGTATCTGGCTCGAGCTGAACGGAGAGGTCATCTCCTTCTGGCACGATGTTCCCATCTACCCCGACGAGAAGAACAAAAACGTCGTTTCCATGGTCGTCGAGATCCCCCGCTGGACAGACGCGAAGATTGAGACTCGTCGCCCAGAGCCTTTCAACCCGATTTTCCACGACGACAAGAAGGAGAAGCCTCGTTTCGTCGAGAGCGTCTGGCCCCACAAGAGCTACCCCTTCTTGTACGGCTCGATCCCCCAGACCTGGGAGAATCCCAACGTGAAGCACAACTTCACCAACTTCGTCGGCGACAAGGACCCCATGGACGTCATCGATATCAGCGAGACCAACGGATACGTTGGCCAGGTTAGGAAGGTCAAGGTGCTCGGCGGCATCGCCATGGCCGACAGCGAGGAGACGGACTGGAAGGTCCTCGCCATTGACGTGAACGACCCTCTCGCTCCCCTCGTCAACGACTTCAAGGACCTCGAGAAGTACCGTCCCAACCTGACTCAGCAGGTCTACGACTGGTTCACCTACTACAAGGTGCCCCGCGGAGACCCCGTCAACCCCATCATCGGCGACAAATGGCAAGACGCCAGCTTCATCGTCGAGACCATCGAGGAGAGCAACAGGTACTGGCAGGATCTCGTCAGCGGAAAGGAGGACCCAGGAAAGATCAGGATCGAGCAGACCAGCAACCCTGACCTCAAGAGCTGGGTGAGCTGCAAGGACGCACACAAGAAGTACGACGTCCCCAAGAAGAGCAAGGTCAAGGACGCGGCTCCCAGGCCCGAGCAGTACGACCACTGGTACTACCTCGATGCAAACAAGAACTTGATCCAGCTCCCGGCTAGCTCGTAGATTGGAGTTTTGGTATATATAGAAAATGTAATGATCGAAATGAGTCCGACTTGGCCACACACATGTCAGTTACGCTATATCTGCTAGTGATTTGAGTCAAACAGCTGCTGTGGGAAACAGCTTGTGAAACATGAACGATCTAGGGAGCTTCAAATGGAGCTCCATACCGAAGCTACCCCACATTGCGTCACTAACCCAACAGCACCACCTCCACCACTTCAACGACATAAGAGCTCTGTTCCCCATTCTAACGTACATCCTCGGCCCAACCTGAGCTACATTTGTCAGAAAAGCCACAACTATCTAATCTTCCTAATCTGCACTCCCGAAAGTGCAACAATTGATCATACCACATCTCCTTTCCTCTCACTAATCTAAGAAACAAGCAACAACAACACAACCTCGAAAGACGAACAGTCACCTCCCTCTCCTCACACCATTGATTCTCCACTCAAGAAAACATCAAGAAGCAATCATGACAATCCCAAACCCACCGTCCTCCTTCCCCCCACCCGAACTCCGCCCCCTAATCGAAGAAATCGCAACCCTCCTCAAAGACCGTAAAGAAACCGTCTGCGTCGCCGAAACCGTAACCCTCCACTCTCCTCCCATCCTCCCCATCACCCTTTTTACAATAACTAAGCATTTCGGAAACTGACAAATTTCAACAGGCAGCAGGCGGCCTCATCTCCGCATCCCTCCTCTCCTACCCCGGCGCATCATCCTACTACGCCGGCGGCCTAACCCTCTACACCCTCCCCTCGCGCCTCGCCTTCGGCGGCTGGACCGACGCCCACATATCCTCCTACGCGGGCCCGACGCCGGAGATCGTAGCCGGGCTCGCGGAGCACGCGCGAACCACGCTGGGCAGCACGTATGGGATAGGGGAGTCTGGGACCGCGGGGCCGACGGGGGGCGAGGCGAGGAATAGGAGGCCGGGGTATGTGGCGCTGGCTGTTAGTAGGGAGGGGGGCGAGACGGTCACGCGGGAGGTGGAGACGGGGAGGGGGGATAGGGAGGGGAATATGGTGGGGTTTGCAGGGGAGGCGTTGGGGTTGCTTAGGGATGTTATTAAGGGGGTGGTGTAGAGGGGGAGAGAGGAGTGTGGAGTAGGGGAGGGAAGGAATGAGAGGGAAGGGGGAGGGGGAATGTGTTAGATTCACGATATAGATTTAGGTACACGTCCTTTGGTTTGAACTGTCTCGCGTTATGTGTCTGCGAAGTGCCTGTCTAGCCAAGTGGTGGAGGATACAACGAAGGCAAGATACAAGTAGAATAAAGAGGTATATGTGTTGGTTACAGGTATCACGTAGGCACTGAAGAAAAGGTCAACTATAATACACAAATCTCGATTCGCGGGTGGTAGATTCATTGACTATGGAAGGTTGGTTGTACATCGTGCAATAACATTGCCTGTGTTGGCCGTTCACTGAACGAATACATCACAAGAGGCGCAAGAGCTCGTCACAAGCCCTTTAGTATGGATGAAACAATCATGAATGTGACATGAATCGAAATTGTATCTCCTCCATACTACCAATCTCTCTCCATATTCTCCAGAAACCCATCATCTTGAACCTAAAATTACAGTATAACACTTTCTTCCCTTTCCCCCTTACTATGTCTCCCGTGAAAAGTAGAAAATCAAAGACCTTTAAACGCCGTATTCATTCGCCACAGAATTTGTTGTGATGGTCGCTAAACGATGCCAGGTGCATGCAGGGTGAAAGAAATGCTTGGCTATGCAAAATCATGCTTGGGGTAATGTTGAGAAATCGAATGTAATGGTATATGCCGCGGGCGCCGATGCTGATGTACAGGTGATGTAGATGCCGAAAATGAAAGTGCTGTAGAGCCGACCAAAGGTCCCATGTTGTGACCATTGGAAGTGCTACGCAAGTAGTCGCCAGGTCAGAGAAGCTTATGGCTTGGGACTATTGGCTCCTTGACTTGTCGAAGGAGTCTTTTGTTTGCTCGAGGGCGCTTGTAGCTTGGAGTCTTTGGCTTTGGGCGGTTTTGGGACTACCATAGCATCTTCGTCCTTCAGACTTCCCGTAAGCCACTGCCCCATGTGTGTCTGCCATCGCTTTGGATCGCTGTCCTTGGTGGCTTCGCGCGCTCTCCTATGGCGTACAAGTCGTTCTGCTACTTGTTGCAGGACCACTTTTGGTGGTGCATACTCCTGTAGTGCTCGCAAGGCTTCGTCTCTGGTCAAGTACTTGTTGGTAGCCTCTTCCATCCTCGAAAGTGTGCTGCCTCCGGAAACCTCCTTTTGTTCTCCAGTTTGTGGATTCTTCCACGGGCCCTTCTCCCAGTCATCAAGCTTCATATCCTGAAGACCGTCGTCGACGTTCAACCTCTTATACCAACGATGCTCTCCTCTAGCGATAGCCCTCATCGTTTGGTGAAGCTTCTCGCCTTCCGTGTACTTGATCAACAGATTCTTGAAGACGGCCATTTTGTTCGACCACTTCTTCACCAGCGACATCTTGCTAAAAGGTCCTGGCCATGCCGCTGCAAATCCATCGTTGTTCGACATATCCGGGCGTCCGGTACCGATAGAGAGTAGGAGCGCAGGCTCATGCTCGTCGCCCTTCAGAGATGCATGCTCGCTATACGCAGCATACGACGGATTGTTTTCTCGGATGCCGCCGTCCTTGAATTGCATCTTATTCTTTCCCCCGAAATCTGCCTCCAGCATCTCGAAGAAGAATGGCGCAGCTGATGTGGCTCGAGTGACTTCCCAGATCCTGAGTTTGTCCGCGCCTTCGTTGTATGGAGTAACCCACATTGGGGCGATGTTAGGATCGTATCGGTGGTCGTAGGTTCGCAGAAGATGTGCTTCAACAATTTGGCCGGAGTGGGTCGCGGTGAGACATATCGATTGGCATATTCTCTCCGTGTGGACCATTGGGCTTGAACCAGCCTCTTCTCCCTGCCATGGATGCCAGTCGTGCCCATCGCAATCGGTATGATGCTTGCAGAACTCCCTCACTATCCTTTGCACCGCTTTCTCCAGGGGTTTGTGGTGGTACTTTGTCGCCAATGGCAAGACATTCCTCCGGTGTCCAAATAAATCCTCCCCGACTTGTCTGTATATCTCCAAGCATTGTGGCACCGTCATGCGCAATCGCGCCAGCATCACCGATATCAGTCCTCCCGTGCTCGTTCCGTACATGTAATCGAAGTAGTGGCATAGTAATATTTCGTCCTCGTTGAAAGTGTGCCGCGTGCTGCCTTTAACTGGTCCCTCCTGTTCCTGGAGTCGATTCTCCCAAACGACGATCTCATGTACCAGGCGTTGTAGAATGAGAAGGCTGGCGTAGCCTCTGATACCTCCGCCATCTGTAGTCTAGTTAGTACATACTCATAAACACTTCAAACGAACAATGATGCATTTTCGCGGACACACCAAGCGTAGGTCCAATCATCAAGGCATGCTTGGATGCGTTGCAGAGGCTACGCTGGTACTGCCAATAAATGGTTTAAAAACAGACCATCATGTATTCTTGAGGCGACACCAAACGCAAGCCCAATCACCAAGACTGGCTTGAATGTATTGTAGACCCTACGCTGATGTTTCCTCATGAATAGTTCAAGCCCAGACAAAAGTGTATTTTCGCAGCGACACCAAACGTAACTCTGCGCATCAAGACAGGCTTCGATATGTTGCAGAGACTACGCTGGCACCACCCAGGGCCAGCAAATTCGCGACGGGGAAGGCACGTACCCAGCGTTAATATGAGATCATCCCATGCATTCTCCTCTGTGACTGTCCTCGCCCACGTAGCTCCAGTCTTGTCTGCCGCCGTAGCTGTCGTGGCCGACGTGGCCGTGGTCATGATGGAGAGCGGCCGCGACGGCGAATCGGTGGGGGGTTCGAGCAGGCCGGACATCTTGAGCGGCGCGGTGGTTGTTAGTTATTTGTCTATGGTGTTTGCGAAATTCAGGGCGTTTGATTTGCGAGGGTGCTCGCGGCAGATTAGGGCGTATGTGCTGCTGCTGCGACTACTATAGGAACGGTGACATTAAGTTGCAAGCAAACAGGCAAGTGAAGGAAGGGTAAGGTTGGTGACGAAGGCTAGGTAGGGGGGGAACAGGCTGGAAATAACAATGCCACTGGAGATGCGAGAGCCTCACGGGGCAGGCTGTAATGGACTAACTAGCAAAGAAGGGCGAGGTGTAGTGGGAGAGGGCGGGAGTGGCTGCTGGTTGATCGCGGAGAGAAAGTGATGGGAGGAGTAGTAGAGTAGTAGAGTGGTCGGATAGAAGAGCGCGCGTTGCAGTGCCCTCTCTCCATCCCATCCCTCCTTGAAGATCCCTCCACTCCCACATTACGGAGTATTGTTTTGCAATATAATCATTTAATGGGAAACTTTGGGGTCCAGGACGCCAACTCGAGGCAGAAGCATAGAGCGACAAAGCAGAACTCACCCCCTAATTGGTTCACCGACGCCTCTGCCCCTTCTTTCGCTTTATTCTATTGGTCCGGCGGTGAGCTGAGTATGGGTCTGCAAGCTTGATGCGCAGTGCATTTGCAGTTCAGCATTTGCGCATACTGTGTGGATGTTGGTGGTTGAGTCTTGTCGTTTTTCGGTTTTCGTCTTCGAACTCCGCCACAATGCGCCAGCCTATGTTTCGCAAATTCGCAATGATATAAATGGCTTTTCGTTTCTACGAGTGCCTTCCTCGACTAGTCCAAGTGTAGGTATAGATACCCGTACAGCTTGCTTTCATGATGGTACTATGGGTTACAGACAGGTATCTTAGTGCATGCCTTTGGGTTGGTGACCATTTTCTCAGACATCCATTCCAATCCTAAGCAAACTTTGCCCATCTATTCCATAACAGATACCTAGGTAGTCAGATATCGTAGGAGGTTTCAGGGGAGTTGTAGTATTGTGCTACGCAACTGGGGGATTTTAAGTGATGAGATCATCCCGCTCCCGCATCTCACAAGCGATCATTAGAAGGGGGCGGCGGACCCATCAGCGGCAATCGGTTCAACCCGCCGCATAACCACGGTTTGTAGCCGCCTTAGTGTGTACTACGAGCATCTACTTAGGGACACAGTACGCCATACTCCGTACAATATTGTTGAAACCCTAATCATCAAGCCAACATACTCATACTTTCTGTAGGCAGCAGCATACACAAGGTGGTCGTAGGATGTTTTCTGCCTCAGGTTTGTGAGTGATCCTGAACATTTCCCCTGCCAAAATTCTAATTTCCCACGGCGGCAGTGCTCATCACAAGACCGATGATGTATTTACCGATCAGTTACGGAATAGTATGACTATGGATGAAGAGAAGAGTCATCTGCACCAGTACCCCGTATAAAGAGTCGATCGCTCGCCCGACTCAATGATGGGTGACTGGTGACTCCTGACATCGACAGTCATCCGGTACCATACATGAGTACTCGGTAGATGTTACGTTACCCCTTGCGTGGCATAACCTCTATTTACCTGCCTTTGATGGAAATGAGGCCAATAGAGATCGTTACATCGCGAGGAAAATTTTGTGGGTTGTTATCACGCAAGGCTGGAGCCCACTGGGAACCTCCTCTGGAGTAGTCACGGTGTCGTCCGTACTCCGTACCGACCACAGAGTGACTAGATCTTGTGTAGGTAGGCACCTCGTAGGTAGTACCGCAGTAGGCTGTGGAAGATATGCCTGGAACTGCTTACCCTTCTAGATTGATCCGTCACGTTCTGTCTGTCACACGGAAGGTCATCTTCTCCTGCTTACTTTCATTATTTCCCAATTCGGCTTTATCATAACCGCAAATGCCAGGCATGAAAGGCAGAGGTAGAGCCTAAGGGTTATCAGAGGTTATTGGTAGCATCCATCGGTGTTGATTACTAACTCGTAATAGAGAGAAGTGAGAAAGAACTAACATAATGATCTTGATAATCGACCATCTCGTCTTCCTACATAGCCCCATCGGTGAATGCCGAAGATGACAATCATCACCAGCCACAGTACAGCCCAAGCCACGACGCCACCATTTCACATTCGTCATTCGTCAACGTCTCCGTCGTCTGGACTGGCCTTTTCTCATTCTCAGCCTAACTGTGATTGGATGGTCGTGTCACAAATCCACCGATCAATACAATCGTCCCATTGGTCAACATTTCCCACGCCCAATGCCTTCCATTCATCCACCCATTCATCATCATCCAACCATTCCATTCATTCATCCCTTGCGACACAAACTCTTAGTCACTGCGCCTCAATCGTGACGCTCTGCTGTTCTTTCAGCAAGCCAGACTCTGAATCAGGATTCTCACTCCACTCCACTCCACGTCCTCCGCTTGCCTCAACATCGCCTTTGCCTTGCCTTGCCGTACCCTACCATAACTCTAACTAACTCCGTCCGCTCACGCCGCCATCTTCTCGCCGTTTCCATTCTCCCTTCATCACCAGACTTCGCTTGCTCTGCCACCTTCCGCCGCCCATATACAAACGCAGGCAAAGAACTATTGTCCGTAAATTCGCATTCCAAACAGAACGTTCCCGACGTCCACAAATATATTCCACGCCCGCACACCGAACCCACGCCCTACGTAACCTCCGTTTCAGCCCCGTTCATTGCTTTCGGTCAACTCATCGCTATCACATCTCCACCATCGTCACCGTCCACCGTCACCGTCGCAATAGTCACTATCTCAACCACAGTACACTCATGACCATGACTTGGAAAAGTTCCTCCACGTCCTCGTCAAAGGCGAGCTCGCTGTTCGGTCTAGACGAGGACGACACATCCAAAATATTGGTTTACAAGTATCGCTCGGGCTCAAAAGCGCTCGAGGTGTCGTCACAGCATGATCTGTGTAAGGCTTTAGACCACGGTATGTTACCCACCAGCATCACCACCACCCGTGGTTGATGTATCATTGTTCACCTTCTGACTTTGAGGGCGCCCGCCCGTACAGATCCCAACCTAGAGTATATGCGCGTCACCAAGAAGCCCATCCCGAGAGGCAACAGCAGGTTAGAGGTCTTCGGCGAGGATCTCATGATGCCTGAGGACCAAAAGAAGTACGCCGAGAAGCCGACACTGAAGTCCTCTCTCGCCAACGTCGGGCTCCCTTCCACCGCCTACTGGAAACGACTGCTGTTCAACTCCTTTCCCGAACTATATATCGTTTCGAAGTCGATATCCCCTAGTAATTCTCCCAACAACTCTCCCGAGAACTCTCAGCACGTCAGCCCTTCGACGACGTTCCCCGTGGACAACGCGCATCCCTTACAGGACCCGCAGGCGTCGTAGAGATGTGCTTTCGCCGCGGATAGTGGGCTCAACGATCCGTACAACGTTCCAGTCGATCCCAAGAACGGGCATCCGACTGTGCGATCACGCCGTGAAGATTTTGTCTCACTCCTCCATCCACTCCTCGCTCACGGCTGCCTATCGCGGCCTGACAAACGGGGGCTTCAAACTCCTGTTCCAGGCTTCCAATATATACCCAACTTCACCGTATCTTGCCCCATCCAGCCGCACAAGCCACAAGCACATCTCGACGCAGTCCTGCGTACAGCCTTCTCTCAATACGTTGCAATACACCGCATTGCATAACTTTCCTTGTATCGATACCCTAACGTCACATGTTTTTCCAGCGAGCTTTCGAGCGGGCGGGCGCTGCCTGCCCAGGTGTTCTGGTTTCTAACGGTCCTTTTTTCTGGTGAATTACTTCGTGCCCTACCATACTATCATCGGGGGGTTCCAACAATCCTATGTTCCTATTCTACCCTAGGCGTTGACGAAAAATCTCAAACGACACCCGGGCGGCTATAGCGATCGAGACTGTATTGTACTCTCGCGCCTGGTGCTATTCTCCATCCTTAATTGATTTCCTATTGTTTTGGAGGACTTTTCCTTTTGTTTGGGGGGAGGTGGATGAAAAGGACAGTCGCTTAATGTAAAGATTTTTGGCGAGGGCTATTTATGAATTGACAATTGAAACCAATGACTATGACTATTTACCTTGTCCTTCCTCGTGTCATCTCATCTAGCATCGTGATCTTATAATTCCCCAACTCTTACTCAACGTCCTCCACCATCCCACCCCTCATATCATCATCTTGTTCGTCCGCTTTATAAGTACTAAGAAATTGAAAGTGATCTTCTGCCTTCGCTACCGTTGATTTATCCTCGCAGTCACATAAGTTCACTCCCCTTCTCTTTCTTTCAGTGGGTTAGTCGATGGAGAGGGGACAAGCACATGCTACTCCTAGTCTCATCTTCGTCGCTGTCTTTGAGTGACAGTGAGATGGTACGTCACTGGATTCTCTGAACGGATAGATTGGAAGGAATTGATTGTTTTTTATTTGATGTGAGTATCGACTGATTGATCTACATCTTTTGCAGCGCTTTCCAACCTGATAGACACAATTAGCAATAGTCCCCCAACTCGACATCTCCCCGCCCTTCGCCCAAGGAGAAGAAAACTCACTAAAAACAGTAGGCTTAACATTAAACCTCGTAACCCTCGCCGTATCGCCCACCCTCAACCTCCTCTCCCCTCCATTCCCCTCATCCCAGAAACTATACCTGCCAAACACAGGACTATACTTCGTCCCGATATCGATCCGCCTGTCCTTCTGCAGCAACTTGAGCACCGTCCCCTCGGGCCCGGTACCGTACTTTCCAGTGTTGTAGTCGACGTTGAGGCTCGCGCAGCGGCCGCAGTTGTGCGAGGTGTGGAGAATGGTGCCGGAGATATCGATGCGCGACCAGTAGTCTTCTTCCCAGGCGGATTCGGCGCCAGAGAGGATGATGTTGGGGCGGAATTTCGTGGGGTCCATTTGCAGGGCCCCGGGGAGGCGGGAGGAGACGTCGGCGACGGAGGTGCTGGAGATGAGGAGGAAGGGCGCGCAGTCTGCGAAGCCGATTTGGGGGGTCTTGGTGAAGGGGGAGAAGGGGGGGAGGAAGGACTTGGTGGGTTGGAGGTCGGTGAAGAGGACGGAGCGGCGGTGGGGGCCGAGGTAGGCGAGGACGACGGGGTAGGTGAAGCAGGTGGTGAACCAGGCGTTGATGTGGGAGGGCATCTTGTAGGCTTGCGTTTTGCTGGTGTAGAGGTCGACTTCGAGGGTCGGGAGGGTGGTGGTGTCGGGTTCGAGGGGGATGGTGATGGAGTTGGTTTTGGAGCTTCCCGGCGCGGTGAATTCGACGTTGATGGATCCTGAGTCCTTGGAGTCTTCGGATGGGAGCGTGATGCTGGTTAGGAAGCGGCACATTTCTGGTATGCGTGAGACCTGCATGTTTTGATAGATTCCGTCGTCGTTAACTTTGAGGAGCATGAATCGGCCTGGGGATCGGGAGTTAGCAATGCATGGTCGAGATGGGATTTGAGACGCCTACGATCATAGTCGAATCCATCCTTGGTGGCTACCGCTTCGGAGACTTGCGCTCCTCTCAGCGATTTGATGGGATATACATAGATCTTGGTCACGCGAGTCAGTATGAAGCATGTTGAAGCATCGCGCAATGGCGATTTGCTAGATTGGCCAACTTACCTCTGAGATCTTCAGATCATTAAACTTGTGCAGAGACGGAGGTTGAGTCCTCAAAAGGAAATAGATACCAAGGTGGATGATGATTAGGATCGCAAGGGCGACAAGTGGATTCCGGACGAGGTATTTGACGGAGTTCTCGAGGAATTCGTCAGTTCCTTCGAAGAACTGTTCAAGATCCCACGAGGGAGCCATTGTCTGGAATTACGGAATTGGCAATCGTACAATTGCTGGTCAAGGACGAAGATATATAAAAGTCCTGCACAAGACTATTTGTTCAAGCGAGAAAGAAAAGGGAAATCATGTCAATAGCACGCCTTTGGCAAGTCTTGGAGATATCGGTTGCGCCATCCGAGAGCATATCTGGCCCACGTGTTCGGCAAGTGACATTAGACAAGACCGAGGGAAGGACTGGGCAAAGTCGCGGCTCCGCTAACAAAGTGAGAAATAGGATTGGCGGGGTAGCTTAACAGCTTGGTATTGCTGGGCTGTTTTTTCTTCTTTCTTTCAAGAGCCGTCTCGAATCTTGAGAGACAGATTCCATATTGAGTTGAAGAGAAGAAAACAATGCTCCAAGCAGAATCAAGTGGGTATCGCGATCGAGTCGCTATAGATTCGTCACAACTTCATAAGGACGGATGCATACCCGAGATGTGGAATAAGTTAGACCAGTCTTGGTTGATGTATATCCTATTGTAGACACCGTCAACTATTTGTTGAAGTAATTAGCAGTTGGAATGTTTACAACCTAGATGCATTAATACAGCACAGCTCAAAGGGTCGATGATACAAGTAGTCCCGTAACGTATACTACGATGTATCGAGTACTCAATGTTCACAGCAAGATGTATGTTCGCCCTACCAGGAGGTACTACTGGTACCTAGGACGAACCGACCGACCATTCGTTCGGACTTCGCGATGAAGCAGTGTATGATAGACAAACCGTTATGCAGAATGTAGAGAGGCGAAACATGATGTGCAATGCTTAAAGTCGTCAATCACATCTACATTTGAAACCCGATGTGCGAGCACAGTACAAGTAGTCGGTGAGAAAGGCGAAAGAGGTCACGAGCATCGTTCAAGTAATTATGACCGTTATGGCAAATGGGTAATCAAGTACCTCGTAACGGTGAGTTGTCGGTTGGTTGGTCGGTCCCTGGGAGCTGGGAGGAGGGCGATGGCGGGTCAGCGCGTAGCCGGCGCAGGGACGGACGATCTATACCGGACGACCGAATGGGCGACCGAATGGAAAGGCGACGAGTTGGGTAGAGTTGAGGCGGTTCACGCAGACGAGGAGGTGCATACCAGGATGAATGATGGTGGCACATGGAGTCATAGAGTGGAGGTGACTTGGATGGTCACTTTGCTTCTTGGGAGGTGCGGTGAGGGAAGTGTTGGTTGGTTGCTAAGGTAGTGGAGAGCAGGCGAAGTGTGGCCGAAGTGTGGCGAAGCAGGCCAAAATGCCAGGGAATGTCCAGGGAATGTCCAGGGAATGTCCAGGGAATGTCAAGGGAACTGGCGGCGAGTCGTAGGGCCAAGCTGGAGATACCGATGCTGATTCTCATGGCGAAGGCGATGGCGTTGCTGATGACCTTGTCGGTGGGGAGTCATAATGTGCGTGTGTATGTATTGGGCATGTATACAGTCTGTGTGACTAGAGTCTAGAAATGACAGCGAACTGTTGTTCCGGTATCCAAACATCATGTAACTAACTAAACGACTAACGAGGAGGAATAATGAATAATACTTTGATCCAAGGTAGACTGGATAATGAATTTAGGTACCGAGTAGTTAGTGCCCGATGGTTTCTGTAGTATTCTTGTGGATTTCTTATGTATTCTTGTGGGTAGACAAGCTGAAGATACTTCAATGTATTGTATTAGTTAGAGTTAGAGGACTTGGTGGGCCCCGTCAGTGACGTTTTCCCACCAGTTGTCGCCGCAGTTGCACCTTCCCGCTGTGTACCTTCCTCGTACTGAACCGTACCTTCCGTGGTTCACGTTCTATTTCAACACTTCTTCACTAAACTATTACACTCACAACTAACTATTCCGTTGCACTCCGTACACAATAACTATACTATACTATACTATACACACTCCAAACACAATCGTTTCTCCTTCACATCCAAGCACTTCTCCTCCATTCCACCACTACCATCATCAATAATCCTTCAACGGATCTTCACCCTCCAGGCTACGGACTCCCTCCTCACCCACGCTTCATCCTCAGTTACAAGCTAGGATCCTCCGCATTTCCGTACCTCTTACCTACTGTGTACCTACACCTACACCTACACCTACACCTACTGTGCCGAACCCTCCTCAAAGCCTAATAACCCATTCGCCGTCAGCCTCACCAGGCACACTCCGTCCCTCCACCTTCCCACCGCTTACTAGTACCACCACCACCCACCCAACTACCCAACTACCCAGCTACGCCGCTAAACATCCTTTCTCACACCTCACCGTTACGCGGCCCTTCATTTTTCTTCCACTTCATTTCCTATTCACACTTACTGCCACTTGTATCTTTTGTTGTGAGTCTTGAGCTTCGAGTCTTGAGTCTTGCGTCTTAGAAGCATACACCACCCAGCTCCACCTGTCACACACCCGCCATCTGTGCGCTTGACTGTGCGCTTGACTCGGCCTGTGACGTCTGCACGCCCTCTTCTGCTCTCCCATTTACCACGCCGGAGTCGCCGCCACTCCACCACGACTCTGTGCATTCTCTACTCTTCTTCACCATGGCGAACAGCGGCATTCGACGGAAGGACACAACCAAAGGTCCACCGCTGCGCATCCTCTCCCTCGGTTCGTTTCCCCTCGGCTCTTCACATGTCACCTACTAACTCAGCTACAGATGGCGGAGGCGTGCGCGGCTACTCTATGCTAATTATCTTGCAAGAGTTGATGCACAGAACATTTGTCGAAATAGAAGGACGAGCGCCTAAGCGACACGAAATTCCCAAGCCATGCGACCACTTCGACTTGATTGCAGGCACGGGCACCGGAGGGTTGATCGCAATCATGTTGGGCAGGCTGCGACTCGACGTGGACACTTGCAAGGACGTGTACGTTCGCATGACGAAGAGAGTCTTCGAGACGGACAAGACATTCGCCGGCATACCCTACCGATCCACCTTATTCAAAGCCTCCAAGTTGGAGGAAGCTATCATGGAGTGCGTGCGCGAGCATACGATCTACGACGATGAAGGCAACGATGCGCCCGATGCAATGTCCTCCAGTGTGGACTTGAAGACGCCCATGACGCCTGGAAGCGCCATGGGCAGTGTCCATCGAAGTCCGAGCACTGCCAGCAGGTACAGCCAGATCGGAATGACGCCCGTCAACATGCGCATGGCCGCTTTGAAGTGGGGCAATCCGAGTGCAAGGCTGTACGACGTTCGGGAAGAACGAACGAAGACGTGAGTGAATGATCCCAATGGCTGGCCTAGCATTCCCAGCATGAACTAACATCTCTCAGCGCCGTTACAGCCGTATACAAAGGCTCCAAAAAGGGCGGCAACGGACAAATCCTCCTCCGATCCTACGACTCCCGCAAAGAGCCCGCCATTGAACCCAACGCGACCATCTGGCAGGCCGGTCGCGCAACCTGCGCCACCGCCCTAGCTTTCAAACCAATTCAGGTCGGCCAATCCGTGTTTCTGGACGAAGGTGCGGGAAAGTACAACCCGGCGCCGCAAATCCTCGACGAAGCCGTGTGCAACGAATGGCCCGGTCGCGAAGTCGGCGTCTTCATCAGCATTGGAACGGGAAAGCGACCAGAGGGCACGACCCAACAACAGCACCTTTGGTGGGAAGACTTTGTTTCGAGCGGCGTTGGCGACTTTGCAGAAGCCAGGAGGAGGTTGATCGGCAAGATTGAAGATTGCGAAAAGATTCACCAATCTATGAAGGACCATCTGGCCAAACGTCAAGTGAACCCGGAGCATTACTACCGTCTCAATGTCAATGTTGGAGTGGGCGAGTTCGGCATGAACGAGTGGAATCGACTGGCGGAGATCAGCACCAACACCCGCATGTACCTCTCGGAGCAGGACGTGCAGAGCAAGAATCTGGACGCCTCTGCAAAACTCGCCCGCATCCACCGTGCGAAGCAAAGATGGGAACGCGCAGAGCGGGAAAGGGCGAACGGTACGCCTACGTTGAGAGACCCAAGAGACGCAAATAGTTATCGCCAGCGGCCGTTACCCAGTATTCCTGATGCTCCGACATTCGCCGTAGAGCTACCAGCAGAAGATGTCACGCCAGGTTTATACGCACACAACCAGCATCACCCCGCCCACTCTCGAAGCCCTTCAGATGAGAAGTTCCTCGTCGTCTCCTCAGACGAATATCCGCAACCACTCAACGGCGACGTCCAACCTCGCCACTCTGGCGAGCTCTTCTCGGATCGCCGTTCAGACGAACAATTCCACGTAGACGATCGCCCGTCCATACACAGCTCTCCAAGTCTGAGCTTCACCGAGGTCCACCGACAGAGCCCACCGCCGCTGCCACCCAAGACTCCTTTGCAATCAGATAACTCAAAGTATGCACGACTCAACGGGCCACCCGTGCTGCCCCCAGCAGGTGTGTCAAGGCCCCGGCCTCCACCAGGTGCTCCATTACCATATCCCGACACGGATGGACCGCCGCCTATTGTCAACAAGGCCACAAAACCTGAATTTTCACGATAAACATAGACGTTCGAGACCATCGAATCGATGGAAAAGGAACCGGTGTAATGATGATGTCAATGGCCCTTGCATTGCTCGCTTCGCGATATGATGGGTAATGATCTGATGGCCTCGCTTAACGAATCTCTTGACTCTCTTACCATCTTTGGATATTTAACGATGTTCGACGCGCAGATCTTGTCAGAAGCGTTTTATTTTCCCGAAAGCATAATCTAGCAAAGCATATCCGCTTCCATTTTGGGAGACGGTGTCTACATGGGTGTGGGTTGTGAGAGGTTTCCTTATGTTTTTTTTTAGATACCCTTTCAGCTGTAATCACCATCTTGCATATTTACGATCAAATTGTTCTATACGTTCTGTGCTATACCATGCCCTGTGAACCATGCTTTGTGGATATGTTACCAATGCTATGTAAATGACCATCCTGTGCGTTAGAGCCGTCCACTGTTAGCATTCTGCCGAATTTACATCACTTCAAATGAAATAAAATCATGTTAGCTTGCTGGATTCCCGATCACTTCCACCCTGTTCTCCCAGTCCAATACCTGTGCATGTTACCTACATGATAGGAAGGCATCTCGCCAATAGTATACTTGGCATACATAGCCTACATCATTTCATGGAAGTTGAAGGCATATAGGTGTTTACATAAACACCATTATCAAAGACATGTGTATATAGACATATATTCATATATTTATTCATAAGCCATCAACACACCCAAACCACTATCTACAAATCCCCTCAAACCCCCTCCCAAGACCCTCATACCTTAACTACGAAATCGTACAAATAACCTTCCCCGTCGTCTCATTCCTCTCCAGCACGCCCTGCGCCTCCTGTATCCTCTCCCAGTCAAACACCCTATCAACCAGCACCTTAAACCGCCCGTCCACAAACCTCGGCAGCGCATGCTCTACCAGCTGATCCCTCAACTTCCCCTGATACACCTCGTCCCTACTCCTCAAACTGCTCCCCTTGAACGTAATCCTCTTCCGTATGAACGCCCCAATGTCCGTACCGTCAGGCACCCTCGTACCCCCCAGGAACCCCAAGTTGACGATAATCCCGTCGCGCGCCACGGCGTCGAGATTCTGCGCGAAGTACTCCCCGCCGACGAAGTCGATGATGATGTCGACGCCCTTGCCGTCTGTCGCTTTCAGCACCTCGGCGGCCCAGTCGGACGTCTTGGCGTTGAAGGCTGCCGTCGCGCCGAGCGTGGAGACCGCGAAGTCGCATTTTGCGTCGGAGCGCGCGGTCGCGTAGACGGCGGAGGCGCCGTCGGCGACGGAGAGTTGGATTCCGGCGATGGAGACGGAGGACGCGCCCGCGTGCCAGAGGATGGACTTGCCGGGGGTGAAGTGCGAGACGAGGTAGAGGGCTTGGGTGGCGGTTATCCAGGTCTGTTATGAGGTCGTCAGTTAGTCGGATTGGTTCTTCTTTTGGAGGGGGGGATATCATACCTCAGGGATACCAGCGCACTGCTCCCAGCTCAGCTCCTTCGGCTTGTGCACCAGCATGTGCGTGCTGACCGCGATGTACTCCGCGTACGCGCCCCCGTACGCGAGCCCGAACACCTCGTCGCCGACCTGGAACCCCTTCTCGGGGCTCGAGCCGAGCTCCTCGATGATGCCGGAGAACTCGACGCCCAGGGTCTTGGGTGCTTGTGGCGGGAGAGGGTAGTCGCCCTCGCGCTGCACGAGATCCATGCGGTTGAGGCCGAAGGCTTTGATTTTGACGAGGGCTTGGGCGTTGGTGGGGACCGGCTTGGGGATCGAGGCGATGTACAGGTTTTCGATCGGCCCCTTGCCGTCTTTGATTTCTGGGTGAGGGGGGTGGTTAGTGACTTGTGGTGCGGATGGTGGTTTTGGGGGAGATGAGTGTGTACGAACCTACTGCTCGCATGGATGCGGACATCTTGCGTGTATGGTGGTGGTTTTGATAGATGGGATTATGAGGACGAGGTGGGTGGATGATGTAGTGTGTAGAAGGAGGTTGAGAGTTGATGTTGAAATGTATTGAATATCGACTTCTCAAGCTTCAATTGACCTCTTTAAGAACAGTTGCAGTTCCAATATCCCCCTCCTTTTCTGATTGTTAATCAAGCAACCGATACGTATGCTTCCTCGAGCTCGGAACGGCTTAGGGTCGTGATGTGCGTCAGCTAGCGATTGCGAGATCTCGAGCTTGACTGTTATGGATGTAGATCCGGGTATATCTCATCGAAGACTCCCCGTTTTCTAGAAAGTTTAGCGAGAAATATAGCGATACAGTCTGGTGGAGTTACCCGCAATTGAAGATGGTTGCTCGTAGGGCTGTGGTATTTCCCGTTCCTGAGGGGTAGCGATGACCTCACAGGGCTGACTGCTCGGGCCGCGGACTCCCGCGTTGCGGTAAGATAGCCCATCAAGGAGTAGCCGCAATTATAAAGCATCGACCAGGGCGCTGTTGAGCCTCACAACGCTCTCGTATCCGGATAACCAGGAAAAGCATCTAAATTGATTTGAAACTCGTGGGCATTGTGTTTATGATTATATGTAAAAATCTATACACATCTAGCAAGACTGATTCGGTGGGCACAATGACATGCCCCATCTGGTCCAACACACCGTTGTTGCAATATCGTCAGGCAATGTACAGCACACTCATTGGACGACAAAGCCCAGCAACTTCGCATTACAATATTTCCCATGTTCGTCAAAGTACATGATCGCTGAATTACTGAACAAACAAGCTGTTGTCGTCGACGTTGTACTGCTTGATAAGCTCCGCCAGCTTGTTTGCCTCTGCAGCAAAGTTGAGGGTGTTGATGCTTTGTACCTGGTATCGTGCCCTGGATGCTTCGTCAGTGAAAGTACTCGTCAACAGTGTGCGATTCAGCTTACTTGGGCTGGTCCTGGAAAGTCTCCATCCTTTCTCGGACCCTGAAGATATAAGTTCGGCAGGTTGCCTCTTGCATGAGAGCGCTGAATTTCCCTTCATCCTCCTTCATGGCAACCGCCTCGTTTGCTGACATGCCTAAAATTGTTCGTCCACCGTCGTCGAACATGCTCAGCCAGAGCGAACCAGTATGGTCCCCGACACTCACTCTGAGGACATAGCGGTACTCTGGCTTGGGGAACTTCATCTGGCACTTCTCGCACCACCATTCGTCAGGATTTTCCTCGATGACTTTCTTGTTGCAATTGGGTGTCTGGCAGGCTGGGTAGGCAATCGTCGAGTTGTGTGAAACAAAAAGCACAGAGGCCTTGATGTTGTAATATGTCGGTGTGTCTTGCATATAGGCCTCCTCTTCTATGACTTGCGAGATCAACTTGTAGTCTTGCTTTCCTCCGCCGCCAGATTTCATGGAGTTTTGGTGTGTGGCGAATTGAACGGTACTGCCTACACCGTCATACCAGCCTCGCAACTTATGTGCCTCATCGATGTCAGGCTCAATGGACATCGATCCTGATGCGAGAAGACTAAGGCTTCGACCACCAAAGTCTGATACCTTTACTCCTTTGAATGCAATCACCGACTCGAGAGGCGCTTCGAATGTCTGAGCCACATTGCCCCAGACGGTGAGTCTGACCGATGTCTGAGAGTCGTCGGCAATGGTGAGTTCTCGTTTATTGAAGTCCTTGTTGGTAGTCTTCGAAGTGATTGTCGAAACCTCGCCAACCTCCTTCAACACACCAAGTGTGTCAATCGTGGTGTCCTTCTCGACCGACTCAAGGTCACCAATCTTGGTGAAGTTGTATCGTATCTGGGGCGCATTCTCCTGATCCTCAGCCTTTGCAACCTCCGTATCCCGCTCGAACTGGAGTTCATAATCGTTTGGCAGATTAGAGAACTGCTTCTTGGCGAGCGATACCCTGCACGGTGCCGATATGTAGTAGACGGTTCCTTCCTGGAATATGGAGAAGAGCTTTTCCGCAACATCATTGAACGCAGTTCCCCTGATCTCGCCCGTCTCATCAAGCAGATTGACGCTGAACAGCTTCCCCTCGCCCTTCGTATTATGCCACGTCTTCATGTCGCCCTTGTGTGTGCAGCGTGCTCGAATCGTCCATTTGTGCTGGTATGGCGAGAGAGATTCGATGGGGTAGAGGTTTGGATATGTGGACGGACGGCTCTGGTGGTGGGGAAGCGATCGACCCTGCTGTTGCTGTTGCTGCTGTGGCTGCTGCTGCTGCTGTTGAGGCTGGGCTGGCTTGTTGCCGTAGAAGTTATTGCCGGAGATAGCTGCAGGTTGCTGCTTGGTGTCCTCCTTGAGTTCGAGCGCCTCCGGCTGCCCAAACTTGTCGGGCTCGCCGTACTCCGAAAGCACATCCAACTCCATGAGGATGAGAATCTTCTTCTCTTTTACTTGTTGTGCGTTGAACTTCAGAAGCTTCACGATTGAGCCTTTCTTCAGTTTGCCAGAGGTCACGATGTCGTTGATACCTGTAGATGATTAATTTCAGGTTCGACGCTGAAGAGATTGAGGTCTGGTTGGTACGTACCTGTCGCGATCATGGTCTGAATAAAGTTCTGGATATCACTCAACACCACGCGGAAACGCTGCACGGAATTTGAGTCGCCCGCCTTGGGATCCATCGGCCTGATCTGCACGCATTGCAATATAGGATGCTCGACGCTGTTTCCATCTTGGCTGAAAATGCCCCTGTATACCATTAATTTCTCTCAAATGTACAAAGGCCTGATCCAATATACCTGATAGCACCTTGTGTGATAGCCTGCTCTGCCATGGTCGTAAATCCTTCTTGGTTGAATGGGGAGAAGAAGTCGTGTTTGGTGGCAAGTAGAAAGGTGGGTTAACGTCGTGTGGGACGCGTTTTCTGAAAGCGCGTCGCGCACGTGATGGTCGTCAGCCCCGCAATAAGCGAAATGGGCTTGGGGGCCTACGTAATTGGATTGGACCCCAAACTCGAAACACCAAGTGCTTAGCTGCTATTGCTACTGCTGCGACACTCCTACCAACATAGAAAGAACGACGAACATACACGGCAAACCATGGCTGACAACGATATCGCAACGAGAGCGCCCGAGAGCGATGCGCAGGAGACGAGCGCAGAGCAGACCAAGCAAGAAGAGCAGAGCGTCTTTCCTGGCGACACTCGAGCGCAAGATGGACCAAGCATGGGCGTAAGTTATAGAGAGGGTTCTCAGGTCATGTTGGCTTTTTGATAGTTCGAACTTTGAACCACTGGAAGAGACATTTTCATAACTACTGGTTCGAACTATCAAAAAGGCAATACGATCTGGGAACCCTACATAAGAATCAATCAACCTCGGACGTTATAACTGACCTACATAGGAACATTGCACGACCGACAGACCAACCCGTACGTCCGCAAACCTCCCACATCAGACACAAAAGCAACCCACTAACCCACCCCAGCAACCGGAGAAGTCCCCTCAGGCGTCCGTCCTCTCCTCTCCCTCATCACCCCAATCACTGAAAGCTAACCTTTCCCAGGAAATCACAAAGCTGGGCGGCGTAGATGTACAGGCCCCCCCTCCCTCCTCGCAGCAACCATAACCCATGAAACCCCCCATCACCACACTCGCTGAATCGCTTTTTCTCCCACAGGTATACATCGCCAAACCGTCCGACTACCCGCACTCCCCCTCGAAGCTCCTGCTGCTGCTCACGGGCGGCACGGGCGTACAGTCGACGAACAACCAGCTGCAGGCGGACAAGTTCGCGTCCGAGGGCTACCTAGTGCTCATGCCGGACCAGTTCGACAACGACCCGGCGCCGAATTCCGTCGACATGAGCAAGGTCGAGGAGCAGACGTCGTGGCTGGAGTCGATCAAGATGAGGACGGCTGAGGGCGTCAAGGCGTTTCTGATCGACATGTGGCTTGCGAGACATACGCCCGAGAAGGTGCTTCCGCTGCTACGGAAGGTCATCGACAGCGCGAGGGACGAATTCGCGGATGCGATTGCCAACGGTGGGGGGATTTACGGCGTTGGGTACTGTTTCGGCGCGAGGTACATTCTTCTGTTGTCAGGTGAGCACGCGGACACCGTTGCGTGGGGCCAAGCGGCGCCTAAGGACGAGGAAGAAGGAGCTCTGAAGAAAGACCCCGTCATCAAGGCCGCCGCCATCGCGCACGGCACAATGGTCACGAAGGAGGAGCTCGAGGCCGTGAAGGTCCCCACGTACATCGCAGCCGCGGAGAACGACCCCTTGTTCTCGGAAGACGAGGTCATCACGCCGGGGAGGAGAGCCCTCGAGAAGAACGGCGTCGAGCACGAGGTCCAGATGTTCCAGGGCGTGCCCCACGGCTTCGCGGTGCTGGGCGACTACGACGACCCCAAGATCAAGCAGTCGCAGGCGCAGGCGTACGGACAGATGCTCGGCTGGATCCAGGGACATTAGATCTGTTTCCGTGGCGTGTGTGTGCTGTGCAATTGGCTGGTTTTTCATGATGTCTTTTGATTGTGTGTGCTTTTCTCATTATGTGCATCCTTCGAGTCTAAATCTTCCGAAGGCTGGGTATATATAGGCGTTGCGAACGGCTCTTCTCATAGCAGCAATCTCTCAAAAATCCAAGCAAATCTCCTCAACCTCCTCTCCCCCTTCTTTCCCACCTCTTCAATCACTCCCTTCAAAATCCTTCCCCTCACCCAAAAACCAACTCCCAACTCCGAACCCTCGCAGTTCAAATCAACTCTACATCCCCCCCGAGCACCCACGCCCTAATAGCACTCCACCTCACCACCGAAACATCCCCCCTCCGCATCTCAAACCGCGTCCCCGTCCCCTCGACATAAACCTGCCCGACATCCCTCAAACACCTCACAAACACCGCCCTATCCTCGTCCGGCTTGTCCACCATGCTGACGCCCCCCGTCGTGTCGTCGAGCCGCTGCAGCGCGGCGGGGAACTGCGAGAGGAACGAGGCCGAGAAGTGCGATGACAGCAGCGCTTGGTGCGTCGTCAGGTACTTGTGCTCCGAGGGTGAGAGGAGGGTGGGTTGGCTGGTCGTGTAGAGGTTGAGTATGTGGAGGGGGTGTGCGTCGATCTGTCTCACTTTGTTAGCCCATCTGTCTCCTGCTCCCTCCTTCATATCAAAACCCCCCCCAAAAAAAACCCTTAAAGAGTGACATGTCAAGCTCACCTTAGCAATACGCCCCCTCACCAATCCCCTTACGAGAAACCGCACCCTCTCGAGTTCCGTCTGGAGAATAATCATGCGGAAGTTGGTCCGGGGGTCCGCGTCCCCCGCGTGCTCCTCGATCGTCTCGATCTGCTCGCGGATGGCCTCGAGCACGCGGTCGAGCAGCGCGGACGGGTAGGGGAGGAGTTCCGGGCAGGTGCGCTCGGCGACGAAGGAGCGGGTTAGGGATTGCAGATCGGAGAGGCGTTGGTGGGAGGGCGTGGGCGGGGCGACGACGGAGGCGAGGAGGTCGGATATGTCCATTTTGGTTTTGCTTTGAAGGAAGGAGGGAGGGGGTGGTGGTGTTGGTCGCGAGGTGAGGTGAGGTGCGGCGATGAGGTGGGGTTGAGATGGGTACGTCTGCTCGAAGCGAGAGGGTTATGAGGTGTGTGGAGAAGTAAGACGCGGGCTGTGATGTCGTTCGCAGTAGCGCTTCATCTGTAGGAGCCACGCCGGGAAGGAAGGCGGGTGCTGCGTTGGCAATTGGATCAGAAAGTTTTTTTGACGTGCATGAAGTCGTGCGTGAACTGGTGATGCCGAGAGTTTTTGGAGCTCCTGCGCGCGACGCGAGCGACGTGCTGTGCTGCGGGGCAGGGATGTGGGGTGGTTAGCATTGTTAGATCTAATGATCGACCGCTAGTGGGTGCGCAATTGCGATTCGTCATGTTAGTTTGAATGTCCATCCTCGAGTCCAACTGTCTTGAAAATTGCAAGGGAAAGTACAATGCAGTCACACAGCATCACGCAAGGTTCAAGATGTGTAGCTTAATTGATATTTAGTTTGATTCCTTGTGAATGCGCAATCAGACTCCACCATCGTCCATCCACTACATTACGACGAGGTACCTATGCCAACTCCGTTTCTTGCTCTCTCTGCGGCAAGGCTTGCCCACCATATATACAGAGATGTGGCCTTTTACACGCCCACAATTTAAGCCTACAGAGGAGCAAAGACAAGTAGATAAGTACACCGAAGAACGGACAAGTGGAAACTACCGAGGGGGAACACTGAGAAGCCCTTTGTAAACAGCCCAGACAGAGAGGATGCAGATAAAGAGAAGCTGAATTCGGAAATGGGGCTTCTGTATGATGACAGGTACCGATGTGACTTAGAGAAAAAGGAAAGGATGTTGTGACAGTGATGATTTGTGTGTGTGCATGTGTGTTTGGTGATGAGGTTATGGATGAAGGCTCATAGGCCACATACCATATGTGCTCGTGATGGTTCTTTAGATTTTTCTGGTGAACGTGATCGAGAGCGAGAGCACTTCTCGGCTCTGCGGGTAAAGGGGGCATAGTAAAAATCCGTATGGGGATGAGACATGAATAACAAAAGAAACAAAAGGGTCGCTATGCAGTCGTATAGGCTTGCAATGCATAGGATGCTGAAAACGAGAAGGGGTATCCAGCACACTGCTCGCGAGAATGGTAAATCGTGCCCTGGCCGATTGAGCCGAGGGATAGAATGCAAAAAAAGAAATGGCATCGGAGTTACAGTTGCGTACTGGCCGACGAACTGGGTGTGTTCTTGTCCGTCCGGAAGCCTTGAATTCGAAACAAATATGGGCAGAAATGGTATCGCTGTAAACGCCACAGGGGTAAAGGTAAATACCCAAAACGCCAGTGCTGCAAGTTCGAGATGCCGCCGTCAATCCATAACGCCATGAATAAAGTTGATATGCCATGAAAAGCATAGCTGACTATCGTGAGAAGATCGTGGGGCTGAACCCGCCACGGCTTAGTATGAGGCCATTCGGCGGGCGCCGCCTAGTCGTCCCATGGTGTGGGTGTCGTCAAATCCGAGAGTAAGGACTCCGCCGCTCTTTGACCGGCCAATGGCAGTAGGGCTGTCCTCCATCTGACAGGACTTCTGACCGAAGGCGAAGGTCTGGGCACGGCTCAGTTTAGAGCGCTGACGGAGCTTGTTCATGCCACGTTCGCAGGCATTTTCATGCTCTTTGGCATCCATGCGAAGGTAGTTCTGAGGAAAGCATCGAGACCGATGAGACTCGTAGAAGCCACTGTATCCACCGTCGAGGATGTACACCTCGGGGTAGGAGAGCTGTGGATAGCGGAACGAGTTGACCTTGCGGTCCTCATGACGGACGAATTTGGCCCTACTGGTTGTTAGGATGTGGCAGGTGGGCAGAGTCTACATCATCAACTTACATGAGCGGTGCACGATGCGCGGAGTATTCGCAGTGGAAGACGAGGAGAGTGTTGGGTGTGGTCACGCCGTTGGCGAAGAGCTCCTGGGCGAGTTGCTCCTTTTCGCAGAAGTTCACGGCACCTTCAATGTGGCCTCCTTCGTATTCATACTCGAAGCGACAATCAACAATAACTGTCTTATCAAACATGTTGTTGTAATCACCATTGAGCACACTGATCAAGGTGGAGTGTTCGATGCGAGGAAGGCTGTCAGGCTCATTCTCGGGGACGAAGCTAGGGAGTTTCAAAGCAGGGGTATCATCAACATCCATGACCGATTGCAGGCTGCTAGGCGTGTAATTGGCGGTGTCCTCCTTCTGGTTCATCACATCACCAGGGTGTTCATACATGCTGAGAGACCTCCTGAACTTGCTGGGACGGCGGGAGGGAGGACCGGCAGGCTTCCTCACATGGGCTGCAAGAGGGGAACCATTGGCACGAGCCAGCCCGGAATTGAGGCTGAACTTGGGCTTCGAAGCACCAAGAAGGGGGTTGCCAAAGGGCTTGCGCTCTTGGGGGGGCGAAGGGGCGAAGCACTCGTCCAAAGAGGGCGTGGACATGCTTGGGAAGGCATCGAGACCGGCACCGAACTTGAAAGCAGGCAGAGTATCCTTCTCTCTGGTCTCTCTGGACTTGAATGACACGGTGTTGGTCGAGTAGTTCTTGGTCCTACTGAGACTCGGGCGGATCAGGATCGACTTCCTTCGCCTATAACAATACGATCAGTCAAGCCGCAATGGCAACTCCCACGCACAAAAAACTCACTCGGCAGCAGACACAGGACGCGGCACCTCCAAAAGGGGTGCTGGGAACTGGGTAGGAGTCGGAAGCTCGCACGGGGAAAGCATATCGTCCTCGTTGGCAGGCGTCCTTTCGGGAGAGGGTGACTTGGGACGAGGTTCAGAGATGAAGCTGAAAGGTGCTTTATGTGGCAGAGGAGAGATGTCCATTGAGTCGGGGACAAAGCTAGGAGACGATAAAGGAATAGGTGGTGTTGTGACGCCTTCCCATCTGACAGGAGGGGTCGTTGTTCCTTCTCCTTGAGGTACGTTCAGTTCTTTGTTCCCAGAAAAGCCCAACGCAAGCAAAGCCTTACCTCGATTGTTCTGAGTCTTGAAAGCATTCGATGTGAAGAGAGATCGGCGAGGCGTTACGAATTGAGGGCTGTGACGGAGGTTAGCAAAGAAAAAGGAGGCTCCCTGAGTGCGATGGTGGGATGCAAGGGCGGGTAGTACCTTTGATCGACGTGCAGATTTGAGGACATGTCTGCAGCTAAGCTCGCAGTCGGAGAAGACCCTCGCAGCGGCTGCAAGGTGAAGTAATCCAAATTGGGTTTCTTCATGCTCATGTCTCTGAAATTGAAGCTCTTCGGTCCGAAGCTGCGTTGGCCAAAGTTTGACGTAGGCAGGTCTCGGCGGAAGCCCCACGCGGGAATGGGAGGCGGGTGCATGGCAGCCAGGGGTGATGACATCTCCATGATGGGCGGTTGTAGGAATTGGTTATGATGAGGATGATGAGGATGAAAAAGGTCCAGTCGGTGGTAGGGGTAACGGAGGTGAACGAAGGTGCGGCGGTTTCTTTGACCTTTGTTGCTCGACTCACACACGTGCGGAAGTTGAGGATGACAACGACTACTACTATAGTACTGCTACTGTAGTGCAGGGTACTGTAGGCGATAAAACATATACGACAAGAAAATGAATTCCAATCTGTAAGATGATGTTCGCTGTAGATGTTGTCTCAACCGTACCGCAACTAGGTGAGGAGTGCCGAGAGAGAAGCTATGGTTGTGCAGGTGACATATGGATAGCTAGCACTGTTGGCGTGGGCGTGGTGGTTGATTGATGTTGGTGGTGGTAGCGTGTGGTTGCTGGGGGGAAGGAGCGAGAGTAGGTTTGGTAGCGACGGGGCCCTTTTTCTCCGACCTTTTTTCACACTCTTCTGTCGTCTTTCTTTCTTAGATCTCGTCTGGTTCTGTTCCAATGCAACGACCCAATGTTCCACTGTTGTTAGTATCTTCGACCTGAACCCTGATGAAAAATGAAAGAGAGAGAGAGGAGAGGAGGAGGAGGAGGAGTAAAGAGTGTGGGAGAAGAGGACTTCTTAGGGACGAAGCAGGTCGGAGAGAGAAGAGAGAGAGAGAGGGACAGAGGGAGGTGATGAATGAGATAGCTTCAGCTAGCTTGGTTACTGGTAACTAGGTTCAAGGTTACTAGGGTAGTGATGGGTATGGGTAGTGAGGTTAGAGGGAAGCAATGGGAGCTTTGAGGATGCCGAGCTGCACGTCGTCTCTGCAGCAACCTTGAATCCTGGTGTGGTCCTTAGTACAGTAGGGGAGGAGCAGGTACTTGGTTGGCCAGGTACTGGTAGGGACAGGTAGGGAGGGAACCCACACAACTCACCTGAATGGGTTAGGAAGAGTAAGAGCTGGGATCCCGGCGCCTGGCAAGGAAGAGCATATTGCAAGGGTAATTATGACTACGACCAGGGCAGGCAGGGCAGGCAGGGCAAGGGAACAGAGGATAGGTGGGCCTGAATCACTCCTCTCTACCACCCTCTCTCTCTCTTGCTGTTCCTCACCCAACTACGGAGTAATAATACTGCGAACCTATTGTATGTACAGTCATTGCTAGCTGTGCGTAATTGTGTACTCGAGTACTCGGTATATTGAGTTATTCCCATACGTTACCATCTATATTCCTTCTTCACCTCAACTCCATTCAGATAGAATCATACATGTACGGAGTACATAGTTATCTGCAAAGCAAAGCCTCTTCCTTCCCCTTCTTCTTCTGCATGTTGGTGGTGGTCGCCGGTCAAACTAACCCACCCACGCAGCCAGCCAGCCTTGAGCCAACCTACCACAGCCCCCCTCTCCTACAGCTCTCTCCACAACCATACAGTAGCTCCATCTCGCCCATCCCGTCAACCCACCAATATCATCACTGGCCCTACGGATGTTGCAGCGGGAAGAACCTCGCTTGCCCTGAACCTCTCACATCATGCAACTCCTACTTGCTGCTAGAATAAACTTGCTTGCTTGCCTGCTTGCTTGCCTGCTTGCTTGCTGCGCATGTTTGCAGGCAATTAGTCGGGCCTTGATTGCCCATCCAAGCAATGCACGTATGCACGCATGCAACACTAATTCCCTCCATGCATACAAATCCGGTATCCAGTCGTAAAACTGATGTAATAATATCGGATTGAGCCCATCTATAGCAAAACATCAACACACGCTACGCTTCAGCAATACTCTTCGCCCAGCAACCTGCATTCAAATCAGGTCAACAATGGTGATCCGTCTTGTCATCCGCTCTTGAGTCTTCCCACCACAATGACCACAATGACCGCACACACACCAGTGACACCACAGACACGCACTGCGTGTGAGCAAGACCTGCTTGCTTGCTTCCATCCGATCTCGATCACGCCTTATGGCTTATGGGCGTAACGCAGCTAATCCCACCCCGCGTCTAGGTAGATAGACACACAGTAGCTCCCAATCTATCGATCCAGCAGTCATGAGGTAGATACGCTCGTTAGCTACCGAGTAGTTCGCTCGGATTTCCATGGCTACTATCTCGGCATCTGAGTAAACAATCGTTCATCGCCTGTGGCTCCCACGCGCCATTGATTGCTTTTCCCTTTCCCTTATCCGACTTTCCTTTCCTTTGCTCCACGATGGTGGGTCAACACGATCAAAAACTAAACAGTAGTTGAAGAAGAAAAAAATCCCTTCCGCATACGCCCCATCGTTCAACCCCAATTTCTATCTAACGCGCTCCGTCGCAGTGGGCGGCGCTGCTTCAATGCGAATAGTCACGGTATTTACTGCAGCTATGCAGCAAGTTGCCGGTCCTTTGGCGGGCCGTTGCTCTCTGCTCTGCTTCTTTTTCTGCTTCTGGCGTTCTTGCGAACCCACACGCTTTGCCCCGGTTGCCAGGCAAGAAAAAATTTGGCACGGAGCTTGCTGCTACGGGCATATCCCCAGTAACAAAACGTGTGAAACGCACTCAATTCTCCCGCTTGGGAACAAGCCCGTCAGACGTGGGCTCATCTTGTACGCGAGCATGCGTGCGTAGTTATCCTACTCTGGAATAAAGATATTATTCTCTTTTTTTTCTTCTCCCTTCCCTTCCATGCTCCATCCAACAGACTTCCGCCGCCGGCGCCCTGCGTCGTACCATTCGGTCCCATCCCCTAGGGTACCACGAATTCCAGAGACACGCCAGCGGCTCTGCGCTGGATCTTTCTGTACCTGGAATCCTGGATTGATAGACATACATACAATAGGCAAGCGTCCAACACTCGTTCGGCGCCTAAACCTGGCCGCCCACCAGCAGCTGCCGTCAATCAATCCTCTCCGTCCACAAACGGCCTGATTCGTCGTTTCGTCTGCGAGAGGTCTTTCGTCATGGTCCTTGAACAGTGCACCCGCCGCTGGCAGGGAAACCTCGAGGTGGTCTTGGTCAATGGCATTCGGTTGGCCAGAGGCCCGGAGCCCACCCGCCGTCACGTCGAGGATTACCCCCTTGGAGACCCTGATTGGGCAGGACGGGAGATGCTCGTCTCTGAATTCGTGCAGCGTTGCCCGGAGTCGTAGGCGCTTCTGAATAGTGCTTAAAAGAGAGATGGGTTCCGCAGACGGCCCGTGATTTCACGGCCTTAAACCCATATGAGCCTGCATAAAACCGGATAGGACGACGAGCTAAGCCTGTCCATCTCTCCTCGAGGATCGGTCTGCTCGCTGGATAATCAGCGATTTCGATGTTTCAGACGTCATTCTCCGCGAGGCTGCTCTTGATCTTCCAAGTTTGATGCTATTTATCGAGGCTCTTAAGGCCAACAATCCAAATTGGGATTGCCATGTCAATCAATTGCCCTCTCCACAACAAAATCGAAAAATAGCTGGCGCTGGCGCAACCTCGAGCAATCCGAACTGGTCGAAGCGATTCCTGATCACTCTCGGAGCTGCCGGGGGATGGTTGCTGTGGATGCGTCGCGGGCGGGCTGAAAAGCTGTTCGAGAACGCGGCGGTTGTTGCTATGACATGCAAGGAAAATGGAGCCACAACCGCGCATACGGGGGGCACCGTATGATGGCTAATAGCTATGAAGAGCAACACGACGTGCACAATTCTTTCACAACGAGCACCCGTCTCATCCTAATTCCCTTTCAGACCCCACCAAACAGCCGGTGACCCCTCACCTCAACTTGCAGAGTGCAGAAACTGACCGGCCGCAGCGGTGCGCTTGCAGGGTTTGCTTGGGAGCTGTGGGACCTCCAGACACTGGGCGGAGGCATAGTCGCGTGCTGTTCCTGGGGAGACGCGACTCATTTTCGTAAACAAACCCGCCGAATGTGCCAGATCCCGTGACCCAACACCTGCGCCCAGCCGACCTTAATTACTTTAACTGCTACCCCAACGGAGGGAGGAGGATGCAAAGCAACATGGATACTTTCCAAATCCTGCCCTAGTCCATCTGGATTCTGCAGAGAGTCACGTTTCAAGTCTTCTTGACGCTGCAGGGCGATGGAATCTCTTCACTCGTGCTCAGCTGTCTGTCAGATTGTCCCGCCTCTGGGAACGACCGGCTTCGGCGGCCCTTGTCCTGACTCCTACCAATGCTACTGCTCCTTCTCCAGGGTAGCTAGAAGATTATCTCGCGCGAGCTATTCGAGTGCGAACTCGCGAACCGTTGCCGCAGCCTCCAGCTCAGCTGACGAAGCATAACGAGGCGGCTCCGGCCATATGGGCAACCGGCGTTTTGAGTCTTGACTTGAAGTGTGATGGGCATGGAACAGCATACCACTGGATGCAACATGCACGGCACAGAGAGAGAGAGAGATCAGGCACTGATTACGAGTTCCGATAAGCATATTTCATGCGATGCCTCCCGTCGTGATAGGTGGCAACGCTCAATTGCGATTGCACAATTCCTTCCCGTCTGCGGGCGAATCAGACGTCAAAGGTCGAGGTTCGCCCAACTCGCCCAGCATCGATTTATTTTAGAAATCTGCTCTCGCGAGTTTCAGTTCACAATTTTGTGGGTCGACCATCACGACCGCCAGGCCATGGGTCTGTTGGATCTGCGAACAGGGCCCTTGGACGGCTGAATTGAGGGGGGTTTGAAGGGCCTCAAAACAGAAAAGAACGCGGAGTAAATTGATCATATGTCGGCCGGCCTTAACCGAGGGTTCGCAGCCATCTTGTTGCCATTGCTCTCCGAACATACGAGAGAATGTAACTACAAAAGTTATAGAGCTTACATGAGACAACAATAGATAAACCACATGATTGAGGCTGACGTGCCCCACAAAGCAACACAGGATTCGAAGTCAATTAATCCTTTGCTTACTCGTTCGGCTGTTGGTGGGTGTTCGTTTTCCTATGTGGGTGAGTTGCACACATGCGGTTTAGTTCCGTTCCAGCTATGGGCGGGCCCACGCTAAGTTACCGTCGGTGCGTTTCTGTTTTTGGGACGGACGGAGAATCGTTCTGCCGTTCCGCAACATTTTTTCTGAACGCATGTCGGCATCAACGACGACGTGATAACCAGAGTATCAAACCACAATAATGGCGGATAATGGTCTCAAGAGAAGGAGAGATTCGGAGGGTGCTGATGCAGCCGACAACAAAGCCACGAAGCGGCGGCAAAAGCTCCGGCACCGACAGCTCGATGGAGACGAATTGAAGCTACTGAAGCTCTATGAGGACCTGGCGGCCGAATCTGACAATGTCCGCCTCGAAGCCGCCAAGCAGCTCATCATGAGATTCTCACCGGATGCTGACCCTGCTCCGTCTGCCGAAGCTGTGGAGAAGGCTTTGAATCGTATCATTCGAGGTCTTTGCAGTCAGCGCAAGGCGGCACGTGTTGGATTCTGCGTCACCCTAACCGAATTGCTTCGACAGTTGTTCGGTTCTAGTGGGAAGAAGATCGAGGGTTTCAATGTTGATGTTAAGACTCTCATTGGTCTGGTTGAAGAGAAGACGAAAGTAGAGGGCAATGTCCCTGGACAGGTATGTGGAACCTTTTCGGACTTCGCCCGGTTGTGCTAATATCAAAGACAGGAGAGGCGTGACCATTTGATTGGCAAGCTGTTTGGCTACAAGGCCATGATGCAATCGTCGATCTTGCTCGAGCCAGAATTTTCTCCGGAATGCTGGAACACTGTCCTGGACCACATCTATGGAATGGCACGCGACGTACCCTGGCTTCGAGAGGAATGCGGCTTGATCCTCGTCGAGGCTGTAAAGAGCCTCAAAGATCATTCGGACGGTAGCACTGCTGTTTCAGACCTTGTGCAACGGCTCGACACTTTCAAATTGACCAACACGCCTGAGGGTGTCGCTATCTGGCTTGCTGCCCGTGCGGATTTCAAGGACGTTCTTCCAAGCAATGTTTGGCACCATGATGATCCGCTTTCAAAGAAGGAGAGGTCGAGATTGGCAAAGATTTTGAAGGAAGACTTCCGCAGCGTCTCGCAAGATGGAAAGGAGGAGGCCATTAAGTCAGCAGCTGCCAACCCAAATCCAATCTTTGCATGGGATTTGGTTCTCTCTGAAATCCTACGCAGAGATGAAGAAGCAAAGGCAAAGAAGAAGGATTCCGCGAAGACGGACTTTCCGCAGTTCTGGTTGGACACTGTTGATGGTAATTCGAATTTCTCCATCAAGATATATGCATACTGACCATTTGTAGGCAATCTCCTCTCGTCGTCATCCTCGCATGAAAAGAAACTATGGGGTATCAAGCTTTTCACTACGCTCATCAACGCCATCCCTGACTGGGCGATTCCTGCACTGTTCAGTCCTAACTTGATGCGTACTTTGATCAATCAGAGCAGAAAGGGGGACAGGTTTTTGCACGCTGCAGCATTGGCAGCCCTGAAGGGTGTCCAGCACAGAGTGCAGCGACAAGGAGAGGCTGCATTGCCTATATTCGAAGCCATGACGACCAAGAATGGCACGATTGAATTCGACAAGCTCACTCAAACCAAAACCCTCGAGCAGATTCTGCTATCGACCGATGACGATACTCTTCGTGAACTTGTCGGCCACTTGCGATCTCTTGTTCTCCGACCGGATACACAAGACCAGGCCACTGCAGCCTCCCGTCGCCAGACAATCGCCGACCTGCTTCTCAACACCGTGAAACAGTACAAGCATTACGACAGTGACGTCTTCAGCAGTGGTGACGAGCTTGACAACTGGCTCCGAACTGTTTTTGATGTGCTCATTGAACACGCGTATTTCATCCCAACAGAGAGCGCGAAGACCAGCAAAGTACCACTTCCACCCATCACGGATGCCACCCGCAAGATCTTCCAAGAGCGACTGGCTTCTTGCCTCACGCGACTACTCAAGGTCGACACGGCATCCAGGTCATCTTTTGCAAAGCTGATCATCGATATTATTCGGAAGAAGGCTACTTCATCGAAGCATCTGACGCTTCTGTTCAAGGCTGAAAAGCTTGTCATGAAGACAATCGATGATGCATTCCAGTCCCTGGATGCCATCGCCGCTAAGGTAAATATGGACATGGACTTCTCACTTTAATCACATTGCTAATTGTCTACCAGAAAAGCAAAAGTAAGAAGAAGTCGACCTCCGAAGGTCTGGTCTTGCTTTATTCGGTCGCTCTCCTCCAGGTATTCGAGGGTGACACCGATGCCGTCATGCTGCTCGAAGAATTAGATGCAGCCCGCAAGTCTCTCGACACGAAGAGCAAGACATCATCTGAAGATCAAAGCCCATTTGTAGAGATCATCCTCTCCTTCCTAGGAAACCCCCGTGTCTTATTCCGCAACATCGCCCAGGATGCTTTTGGCGTGTTCGCGGCCGATATCACCGCCGAAGGCCTGCAGTCTTTAACAGAGCTCCTGGATACCCCAGAAAACGAAAACGGCCAGAAGGAGCTATTTGCTCAGGGTGACGAGGACGCAGAAGAAGCGGGTTCCGGCAGTGAGGACGATGACGAGGACGCCTCAGACGTCGAGATGGTTGATGGAGAAGACAAGGCTGAGAACGACAGCGCAGACGATTCCGATTCGGACTCAGGTTCGGGCTCAGATTCGGACAGTGACTCCGATGATGAAGACGGGGCAGCAGCAGACGCAGATGAGGACGATGAAGAATTGACAGCATTCGATAACCTGCTAGCGCAAACCCTCCAAACCTCCAGGGCAAACGTCGACCCCGACGCCCAAGATGACTCTTCCGAGGAATCAGACATGGACGACGATCAGATGATGGCCCTGGACCCCCATCTCGCCAAAATCTTCAAGGAGAGGAGCAAGGTCACCAACAAGAAGAAGCAGCGCCAGGATGCAAAGCAGACCGTGGTGCAGTTCAAGTCACGCGTGCTCGATCTCCTCTCCATCTACTTGGAGAAACAGTACTCCAATCCCCTCAGCATCGAGGTCCTCTTGCCGCTCCTCCGACGCATTCGCACCGGTGCCAACAATCCTCTCACGAAGAAGATCGACGGCGTCGTCAAGGCATACACAGTCACTCGCAAGAACCGCAAGACGCCTCTCCCCACGCCCACCGATGTCTACCACGTCTGGAAGACACTGGACTCCATCCACGAGGAGATGAAGCTGGGCGGCTCGAGCATCCACGCCACGGCATGCAGCAACGCCAGCCTCCACCTCGTCAAGATCCTGGTCAAACTCGACAAAGCCAACTACGCCAAGGTCGTCGACGTCTACGCCGCGATCCAGAAAGAGTGGTTCATGGAGAAGAAGTCCAAGATCCACCCAGTCCTCTTCACCGCGTTCCAAACGTGGTCGACGTCAGTCAAGAACCAGGGGAAATTCTAGAGCAGCAAGAAAAGCTTTCATCGTATGTACTTCTTGTATACAATGTACAATGTAGATTAAAAAATACCCCAACCATAGAATAGCCAGTCCCGCATCACCAAATCAAAAGGCACATTTGCCATATCCCTCACATGCTCTTCACACCATTCAACACATACATCCCCTGGTCCCCTTCACTAACCTCTCCCCCTCCCTCACCACGCCGCCGGAAACTTCCTTCCATGGTCCAACACAGCATTCTGGTTCTCCACGACAATATAATCGACCCCAAGAATCATCCTCATCGACGTATGATCGATGAAATTCGCCTCGTCAGGCTGGATCTTCTCCACGTACTCGGGATCCGTACTCATCGCCTGCAGCGTCTCGAGGTCGGGAACCCAGAACTCCGCCGCGCCGTCGAACTCCAGCACCGTGGGGCCGCCGGGGATGCGCAGGAGGTCGCGGTAGGCGGGCGTGGAGTGGTACTGTCAACTCCTATTAGTATTTGTCCAACCGGCCATCCTGCCGGATATACTTTCGATGGGTGAATGGGAAGAGGGAGATCTTACCTGAGCATACTTGACGACCCCGATGCGCAGATGGAAGTCACGCGCGAGCTCGGCGTGCTTGTTCGCCCAGTAGTCGTCGAACTGCTCGGGCGTGATGCCGGGTTTTCGGTCGTAGAACAGCTTCGCGTGGTACAGGCGCTCCGTGTTCTTCGTGCAGGCGGGCTTGTAGCTCAGACAGCAGCAGCCGTCGGGCACGGTGTAGTTGTTGCTGGTGGTTGCGGGGGAGGCTGGGTTTGGGGGGCATGTTGGTGAGGCGAGGGCGAGGGGGATGGGGAGGGAGAGGAGGAGGGTGGTGAGGAGTTTCATGATGGGAGGATTGAAGATGGGGTTGGTTGGTGAGGTTGGTGGTGATGTAGCGATTTCTAAGTCATGTTGAAGACATGTTCTATTCGGTTTTTATATTCCCAAATTCTATGACATCGATTCGCCTCGCATAAGTCTAATCTTAAAATCACGACAGCATCAAGATGGTGAGGCTGAGCCCAAATATCGTCTTTTTACTCCCCAAGTAGACATTTGCTCGTATAGTATTATGCTTGTGGAGTCTAGTGTCGGTCGTCCATCGTTGAGGCTGTGGTGGGCCTGAAGAAAGTATCGCCGCTCAGCGAAGAGGTACCGGCAACCGGGTTCGAGAAATATTACTATGCATTGCTAAATCGGTAAAAGGTCCTCAGGTACCTGGGAATGGAGAGTGCTGTGGAGATTGGGGGCCGTTGGGGTTTGGGTTTTATTGGATGGGGAGGTAGATGATGTTGGGTGGAATTCCACTTATGGGGAATTTGAGTATGCTTTGCCACGGGATAATTTCTCATCATTGTAGATCTTTTGATGATGTCGTAGTGCTAGCTCTTTTAAGTAGTCTTTCGTTCTTGAGATTGCCTAATGGCAACAGATACACTGTCTTAAATCAATCTAATGATCTAGCGGAGAGATCTGTACAAGATATCAATCATAAAATGTTAAATATATCATTTAGAGGAGGTGCCAATTCGAAATGCCATGTATCTCGTAGTGTGGCAATTCCATTGTCTCGGGGTCATATTGGCTTTCACTGAGTCTGTACCCCAGATGTGGCTAACTATGCAATGTCAGCTTGATGTCGGATCTCTGCCTGGTCGATTTGCCCCACCACAGCTTCGGAGCCTAGTTCGTCGTCATTCCGCACTTCTGCAACTCTACAACAAACTTTCCCCGCCACGACAAACACCAAAAGAACACACGACTCCTTTCTTTTCTAGCGTTTCTTTTTGGAGGGAACAGTATATCCTGAGATCATCATCGTGTCACCCTAGACGGAAAAAATGGCCTGCACGCACATCAACGCACCAGGTAAAGGCCCCCGCCCTCCGCCTCGCAGCTGCAAAGTATACTAACAAAGTACAGAGCTTCGTGCCCCCGGTCCGACGCAATCAGTGTATCGCGAAGATTGCACCCAATGCTTTGACTCTATCGTAAGATTCAATCCAAGAGCTTCTGTTTTGATTTTCCACCCGTCGAGGCTAACGCCAACTGCAGGATGACCCCACCGGCCTCGATGTGTGCCTATACTGCTTCAACGGCGGCTGCACTGGCGAGAATAACCACAGCCTCCTCCACGTCTCCTCGCGCCAACATCCTCTCGTACTAAACATCAAACGTACCCGCAAGAAGGTCAAGCGCGATGAGCCGCCGCAGAAGATGTCGAAGCTTGCCATTGCGGCTGAGACGGAAGCTGACCGCTACGACACCACAACCCAAGTGAAGTGCTATGAGTGTGGCGTTGAGGATGTAGATGATCAGTCGGGAAAATTGTCGGAGGTGGTTGCTGCTGTTCTCAAAGCAAATACGTTCGCAAGGCAAGAGGAAGTCAAGGCCTGGGAGCAGGAGCTTACGGCCTGCGAGCACACACTATGTCTGGAGCAGGAAACATCCAGGCAAATAGAATCCCAGAATCTTGGTCACTGCTCGGCCTGCGACCTCAAGGAGAATCTCTGGCTATGCCTTACGTGCGGCAATCTGGGATGCGGTCGTGCCCAGTTCGGTGGCGTCGGAGGCAATTCGCATGGACTGGCACATACGCAGACAACGAACCATCCCGTCGCTGTAAAGCTGGGATCACTTACGGCCGATGGTACTGCGGATATTTACTGTTACGCATGCGACGAAGAGCGAGTCGATCCCGAACTTCCTAACCATCTTTCGCACTGGGGCATCAACATCAAGGACCGGATCAAGACTGAGAAGAGTTTGACGGAGATGCAAGTGGAACAGAACCTTCTATGGGAGTTCTCTATGACCACTGAAGATGGAAAAGACTTGAGGCCATTGTTCGGTGCTGGTTTTACCGGACTGAAGAATCTGGGCAACAGCTGTTATTTGGCCAGCATTCTGCAAAGCTTGTTTTCTTTCCCTGAATTCGCGGACCGTTATTATCTTCCTAGACAGTCAGCTCCCGAGACACCCAACCCCGCAGAAGATCTCGAAACCCAACTGCGTAAAGTTGCGGATGGTCTCCTTTCTGGAAAATATTCCAAGCCTGACAGCGATGTCTTCGTTTCTGAGCAGACTCCAGAGAATCATCATCAGAAAGGCCTTGCGCCAGCGATGCTCAAACACCTCATCGGTCGTGGACACGCTGAATTCTCGACTATGCGACAGCAAGACGCTTTTGAACTCTTGCTTCACCTTCTCAAGATTGTTTCCCGATCGCAGCATGTTGCTCCTCAGAAGGACCCCGTCGATGCATTCAGATTCGTCATGGAGCAGCGATTACAGTGCACCAACTGCAAGAAGGTCCGCTATCGCACGGACGAGCAGGAGAATATATCCATCCCTGTACCTATTCGACGAGTACCAAAGGACCAGAGCATGGACGTCACAGACAGTTCGGGCAAAGAGAAGGAAAAGGAGGAATTCGAGCCAGTGACATTGAAGGAGTGTCTTGACATATTCACAGCTGATGAGCTGGTGGAGCTAACATGTGCCTCATGCAAGAGCAACGCAGGTTTCACGAAAAAGAGCATGTTCAAGACGTTCCCCGCAGTCTTGGCTGTGAATGCTCGACGATTCGAGCTGGTGAACTGGGTTCCAACGAAACAGGACGTTCCCGTCATAGTAGACGACGAGCCTTTTTCATTCGATGCATACAAGTCTCACGGCCTTCAGGAGAACGAAGAGGAACTCCCGGAGGATGCTGATGCCGGCGCTGGAGCCTCATCGAAGTGGATACCTAACGAGGGGGCTCTATCGATGCTGGAGGCGATGGGATTCCCGCGTGTCAGGTGCGAGAAAGCTTTGCACGCAACTGGCAACGCAGACCCAGAGGCTGCTTCGAACTGGCTTTTTGCACATATGGAGGACCCGGATATCGACACACCTGTGGACTTCAACGCAGGCAGTGGTTCAACAGGCGGTGCTGCATCAGCCATTGATCCCGAGAAAATCGAGTCACTTGGGGCTATGGGCTTCAGTGCACCACAGGCGAGACAAGCCTTGAGAGAGACTGGTGGTGACATGGAGCGTGCTGTCGACTGGCTGTTCAGCCATCCGGATGCAGCGGGTGACTTTGATGATGGTACCAACACAGAGGTACTGTTGCTCACATGTTTATTACATTTGGTCACGATATGCTAACGTAAAGAATAGACAGCTGCAGAACCTGGAGAGAGGGTCTTACCCGGTAGCGAGACGTTGCCCGCCAACTTCCAACTCCAGTCGATCGTGTGCCACAAAGGAACCTCTATCCACGCTGGGTAAGCTACATTCCAATTTGACTTTGTACTCTATTTACTAATGAGGAAATTTAGGCATTACGTTGCATTTGTTCGAAAACAAATTCCTGGCGAGCAGTCCGTATCCTGGGTCCTCTTCAACGACGAGAAGGTCGCAAAAGCAGCCGACATCGACGAGATGAAGAAGTTCGCATATGTCTATTTCTTCAGACGTTTGTAAGACAGATGGATCTAGGTTTCTAGTCTGCAGGAGCGGAGGCATAGGCGGAGACTAGCAATTGGCGACGGAGCACCGAGTTGACGGTGTAGCCTCGGTCATACCTGGCATTTCATTGGGCTCGGCCGCCGGACCGGTGATAAGAATCAAGCATGCGGGACCGTCCAATACAGCGAGCAAAAAAGCGAAACTTGACAAAAAAGCATCACAGCATGATAGCATTAGATATCATAGACGAGAGAAATGAACTGGTCGTCACATACCCCATGTCTTCACGATTGCGATGTGATGTGCACCCTCGGAGATGTAGGATCTGATCCGATAACAGATTGATTGCCATCTCCGAAAACGTGGGGTCTTCATTGCCAAGACCATGGATTAGAGGCGAAACGCTCGGACCATCCATTCATGACGCTTGTACCGCTCGTCCTTTTAGCATTTCTTCTTCCCTCGTCACTCTCTAGCGCCAGCATCAACCCTCCTCAACCCTCAACCTTCAACTCTCCACCCACTCCTACTCACCACGCATACGCACCCACCTCATTACTTTGTCATCGATTGTCGACGCGCAATCAGTTCGATATTAATCCAACACACCACACCACCTCACACATACAGTTCTTCGCCATGTTCAGAAGAGTTGCATCTGCGGTTCCCGCCCAGGCCGGACGAGTTCTTGCATCGGGAGCCAGGCCGAACATTGCCTCTCCTATCCGCCGTGCAGCACCCGCCACAGTCGTTGCTACCAGCAGGCGGCAGTATCACGAGAAAGATAAGTTGCCCTTTCCTGCGTTTTGTCGAAGCTGCGGGCCAGGCGAAGTCGTTTGGGTCCAATTCGCCTCCGATATCTGTTGGTCATAATTTTGATATCGACGTAAAGCTAACAACCACTCACTGCTAGACCACTACAACCGTCCCCGTAATGTCGGTTCCATGTCGAAGGCCGACACGGACGTTGGCACCGGTCTCGTCGGAGCCCCAGCATGCGGCGATGTGATGAAGCTTCAGATCCGTGTGGACCCCAACAACAACACCATCAGCGACGTCAAGTTCAAGACCTTCGGATGCGGAAGTGCAATTGCAAGCTCAAGTTATTTGACTGAGCTCGTGCGGGGGATGACTTTGGAGGATGCTGCTAAGATTAGGAATACCGAGATTGCTAAGGAGCTTTGCTTGCCACCTGTAAAGTGTAAGTTCAATTCGACGTACATGAATCATCACAACCCATGAGTATTAACCTTGCATTGCAGTGCATTGCTCTATGCTTGCCGAGGATGCCATCAAGTCCGCCATCTCCAACTACTACACCAAGAACCCCAAGGCAAAGCAGACCAACCTCGGCGGCACATCCGCCTCTCTCCCCAAGGTCGAGGTGGAAACCATTACAGAGCCCCGCGCCGCAACAGCATGAAGGAATTGACGGATTGAAATTGAGACCACAGTGCGGAGATGGAGTTGATGGCAATAAAAATCCGGAGTTGAACTTCGCGTACATGACCTCGTGTTTCGAAGGCGATCACGGGATTGACTGGCCCGTATGAATCCATACCCTTCTTTTCGTTCAGGGTTCTTTTGGAGTTTTTCTTTTTTTCTCCTCGGTCAAATCGGAAATGGATTGAAGATTTTGGACGGTAGGCAGCATACGGATGAACAAATTGGTTGGAGGTGTGTGTACATGCGTACGCCGCTAGGATGATGCATCCTACTACCTACTACCTATGTGCACTACTTAGCATATTTGCAATATTGAAAGAAACTCATTCGAAATACCGACCAAACCCGTGACTTCCAATCCATCTCTCCTGGCTCAACACAGCAGGCAGCACCATGTGACGAAAATGAAGAAAATGCGTCTGCGGCATCGCAATCGAGATGAATATCAATTCAGCATCTCAAAAAATCATCTCAATGGGACAAACATCCAATGGTATAATTGTAGATTAATAGAAAAAAGAGCGAATCGACGTCTACTTCTATGATAACAAAAGATCCCCCCTAGAGCTTCCCAGCCCGCATGAGCTGACCATCACGCCACGCCACCTTCCCCCCCCCCATCCCTCTGACGTCTGCTCTCGCTCCTGTGCGGGTGCGGGACCAACATCTGATAAAAATCACCATTTGTGCGTGTGCGTGCGACTGTGCGAGCGAGATTGTCGGATCTGATAACAGTAGCCAGCAAAGCAGGGCAGGGTGGCGAGCAAACGAAACGCAAACGCTACGCTTGGCATATGTGCCGTCAGTCAGTCGGTCATTATTATTTCACGAAACGCTCGTGTCCCTTTTTCCGTCGGGCGACGCGGGAATTTCTGACTCCTCCCCGTCCTCCTCCTGCTCGCCGTCGTCTTTTCTTTTCCGGCGTGCAAGCCTGTTTTTTTTTATTACTATTTGGAATCTTGGGCGACGGCCGGCCGGCGAGCGGCTAAGGGAAAAAAAGTGACGGTGGAAGTTTCCGCCTTTTGGACGTATTGTTGAAGCAGAGGGACGGTATTATTAATCGGGGGTTTGGGGTGGATATGTGACTGGGATGTTGTGGAATGGGGCATGGGAAATTGGGAATAGAGAGATGGCTATGTGGGTCGGAGGTGGTTTAGTTGGGTTTGTTGGATCGTTGATGGGATGGGATGGGGGTTTGGTAGGTGATGAGGTATGTGGTATGGAGCGTATTGAGTTGTTTCATATGGAAATGGAAGTATATACTATTTCCAGAAATCATTTATGGCAATGGTAGAAATGGTGCTGGCAACAATGGACGATACGCTGTATGGTGAGTTGTTTGGCACATGCTTTCAGGAGCTTGCTTGAATTCGAATGAGCTAACTAGCAGTTATGAATAATTCCAACAACGTTACATATCGTTCATCTGATAACGGGCGAGGAGGATGTCCAATTCTTCAGATTGAGACACTTGTGCAAGAGAGCATACCAAGTTAAATGACACAGCTATTATCTTTGAAAATCCATTGAAGTGCAGGAGAGTCCCACCGTGCCAACAGCTCAATCTGATATTGGTTCTTTTAGGTAGACGGGACGGAGTGCAGATTGGACATTTATCAGATGTGGGATGCGATTCATTAGATACGGATTTTAGGCTCATTTGATGCTGCTATACTCCGTACTTTCAGTAGTTTGTTAGCAATAGCCACAGCTCTCTAGAGACCAAATGAAGCGATGATATGTGTCTGTGCACATCATGAACGTTGTCCCCAACCCCAGGGGCGCGTCGGGGCGGTGGCAAGCGGCAGAACGCGTGTCGCGTCGCCCATTAAGTGGAAAGTGGAAAGTGCAGTTCTGCCAAGTCCAATCAATTCCTCTACATCACAGAACCACTTCATCTTTTGAATCGTCTTCGTTTACTTGTTATAATAGGTGTTTGTAGGCAAAAATGGCGTCACGACCGGAGCTGAAAGAAGAGGACGAGTCGAGCTTCTGTAAATTCTTCCGCAACTTGCCCCAGCCGGGTGACGACACAGTACGGATCTTCGACCGTGGAGACTACTATTCCGCACATGGTGAAGATGCGAAGTTCATTGCTACGACTGTAAGTCTGAGAGTCGATTGACGCAATTGAGATTGCTCTGACCATGAGGATAGGTTTATCGAACGAATGCCGTTATCCGCAAGCTTGGCCGCGAGCCCGGCCTCGAATCCGTCACAATGACCGTCATGGTCTACCGCAATTTCTTACGAGACGCGCTGTTCCGATTGAGCAAAAGGATAGAAGTCTGGCAATCCTCTGGAAAGCGGATGGATTGGAAGGTGGCAAAACAGGTACGTCCACCGCCCTCGCCGCCATGGGTATGAAATGTATGGAAACTGACATCGATAGGCTTCGCCCGGAAACCTCCAAGACCTTGAAGACGAACTCGGCGGTCAGATCGAAAACGCACCTATAATATTAGCAGTGAAGATTACAGCAAAAGCGTCTGAGGCTCGACATGTCGGTGTCTGCTTTGCAGATGCAAGCGTTCGAGAGCTTGGTGTGAGCGAGTTTCTTGACAATGATTCTTATTCCAATTTCGAATCGTTGTTAATTCAACTCGGCGTCAAAGAGTGTCTTATACAGGCAGATCCCGCCAAAAAGGATGTGGAGTTGGGAAGGATTAGAAAAATTGCAGACAACTGCGGCTGCGCCATCGCAGAGCGGTCGGTAGCGGACTATGGCACCAAAGACATCGAGCAAGATCTTCCACGATTGCTAAAGGACGAGAAGGCGGCCGGGACCCTTCCCCAAACGGATTTGAAATTGGCCATGGGATCCGCAGCAGCGTTGATCAAATACCTCGGCGTCATGTCCGACTCCTCCAACTTCGGACAGTACCAGCTCTATCAGCATGACCTCGACCAGTACATGAAGCTTGATGCGGCTGCCTTGAAGGCACTAAATCTCATGCCAGGCCCGAGGGATGGTTCCAAAACCATGAGCCTTTACGGACTCCTCAACCACTGCAAGACGCCTACCGGAAGCAGACTGCTTGCGCAATGGTTGAAACAGCCGTTGATGAACATTGTCGAGATCGAGCGCCGCCAGCAGTTGGTGGAGGCGTTCGTCAACGACACAGAGCTTCGACAGACTATGCAAGAGGAGCATTTGCGCTCAATACCGGATCTCTACCGACTTGCAAAGAAGTTCCAGCGCAAGGTAGCCAATCTAGAGGACGTGGTGAGGGCATATCAGGTGATCATCCGTCTTCCTGGATTCCTTGGTACTCTCGAATCTGTAATGGATGAACAGTATCGTGATCCATTAGACGCAGAGTACACTTCAAAACTAAGAGAGTACTCGGATTCGTTCGCAAAACTTCAGGAGATGGTAGAAACGACAGTCGATCTGGACGCGCTTGATAACCACGAGTTCATTATCAAGCCAGAGTTTGACGAGTCATTACGAGTCATCCGTAAACGCCTCGACAAGTTGAGGCGCGAGATGGATGCAGAGCACTCACGGGTGGGACGCGACCTGAACCAAGATACGGAGAAGAAGCTTTTCCTCGAGAATCATCGCGTCCACGGCTGGTGCTTCAGACTGACCCGCAATGAAGCCAGCTGCATACGAAACAAGAGACAGTACAAGGAGTGCTCAACCCAGAAGAACGGCGTTTACTTCACCACCGACACATTACAGCAAACGCGACGCGAATTCGACCAATTGTCCGGCAACTACAACAGAACCCAGGCCGGGCTCGTCAACGAGGTAGTAGCTGTCGCCTCATCATACATCCCCGTGATCGAGAAGCTGGCCGCCGTACTTGCACATCTTGACGTTATCGTTGCTTTTGCCCATGTATCCGTCCACGCACCAACATCATATACCCGACCTACGATGCACAAACGAGGAACCGGAAACACCATCTTGAAAGAAGCCAGACATCCGTGCATGGAAATGCAGGACGACATCTCCTTCATCACCAACGACGTGAGCCTCGTCCGGAAAGAGAGCGAATTCCTGATCATCACCGGTCCCAACATGGGCGGAAAGTCGACCTACATCCGCCAGATCGGCGTCATCGCCCTCATGGCCCAGATAGGCTGCTTCGTGCCCGCGTCCTCCGCCGAGCTCACCATCTTCGACTGCATACTCGCGCGCGTCGGCGCCAGCGACAGCCAGACCAAAGGCGTATCGACCTTCATGGCGGAGATGCTCGAGACGGCCAACATCCTCAAATCCGCGACCAAAGAATCCCTCATCATCATCGACGAGCTCGGCCGCGGCACCAGCACATACGACGGCTTCGGCCTCGCCTGGGCCATCTCCGAACACATCGTCAAGGAGATCGGCGCCTTCGCCCTCTTCGCCACGCACTTCCACGAGCTCACCGCGCTCTCCGACACCTACAAACAAGTACAAAACATGCACGTCGTGGCACACATCTCCGAAGGCACCACCTCCTCCCCCTCCTCCTCCTCCGCACCATCCAAGAAGCGCGAAGTCACCCTCCTCTACAAAGTCGAACCCGGCGTCTGCGACCAATCCTTCGGCATCCACGTCGCCGAGCTCGTCCGCTTCCCCCAGAAAGTCATCAACATGGCGAAGCGGAAAGCCGACGAGCTCGAGGACTTCTCCGGCAAGCACGAGCAGGGGTTCGAGCAGGCTTCCAAGGAGGACGTCGAGGAGGGCAGCAAGCTGCTCAAGGAGATGCTCGTCGCGTGGCAGGCGGACGTGCAGAGCCAGGGCCTCACCAAGAAGCAGCAGGTCGCGAGGATGCAGGAGCTGGTCCGGGGGAACGAGAGGTTGTTGCAGAATGGGTTTTTCAAGGGTATCCAGGCGCTGTGAGATGAGTAGTCTTTCCGAATCTGAATACTCGTGCTTGGGGACACATCGCGGCGTTTGGTAGGGGTTAAGGGGTATGGATAGCTTTTTATCAGCTTAGGGTAAGGAATAAGGACGGTTTGGTTTCTGGTATCATGTATGCATAAGGTACATTACATCACATTACGTTAGAAGATTTTCACAGAGAATGTAAAAAGGCGAGCGACGCAGGAGCAAGCCGATCTTCAGACATTTCCAATGATCCAATTGCGTTCACTACGTGACCTATTCCACGCACGCATATTCCTATAAGCTTTGCGAGACTGAGAGTCAAGGGGAAGAGGACCCCCATCGTAGATTCGATGGGCACGACTGCACTTCTCTCTCACACACATTCGAACACAGGGCTGGTTCGCATGTCTCTCACACACAGTAGATCCGTACGTTCATCAGTGCCGGTCGTTTTCATGATTCGTACGTTAGATCCACACATACGCGAGATAGGTGGGAAGCGAAATCGTGGTATTGGATCTCGAGATTTAGAGTGGAAGGGGTGGTGATGCGGAGATGGGATATCTTGTATGTATGGTACGATAGTGAGGGAGTGAGAGTAGAGAGCATGCGCGATCAGTCTCTCGAGTTTGTATATATGCACAGGTAGAATATACAGGAGGGCGGATGTGATCTGTCCACTCTTGAAGCGTGAACATAAAGTGAGCAGAGACAAAAAGCACAGCACAATCAACATTTCACATATTCTCATGTTCTCATTGTTGGTTATAGGCATTCGATTTTCCTATCTTAAGTTCCCTTCCTTACTCCTTCCAGCTCTCGAAAGACAGGTTTGAAGGAAGGAGAGAAAGGTGGTAATTATCGAAAAGTCCTAAGGTACACTTTCATCTTATTCTTCTTCCTATTCCCAACCGGTAATGTCCCACCCACGTTTCCTACAAGTCCCGCCGTGCCACTTGGTTCGTGGTTCTTTCGGCGGTCTGTTTGATGGGATAAGATAGGGTGGGAGGGGGAAAGGGAAGGGGAAGTGCTGGAGGAGCTGGTTTTCTTTCTTTCTCTCTCTCTTCGAATGCAGAGAGGTATGTGTAAGCAAGCATGCCATCCACAGGTGGTGTTATCCTTTTGCCACTGAAAGGTCCATTCAGTACGGGCTGCGGCTGCGCTTGCTGCTTCAGAGAAGAGGTGCTCGAGCGTACACGCTCGGTCTCTTCATTGTAAGTAAATGAAGACTTTTTTCCGTCTAATAACGATCAAGCATGATATCGTCTTCATTGCTTGTTTGCTTGCCCCACGACGTCCGAGATCAACGCTTTCACTCTCATGACGGGACTGATGACGCTCATGCTGCAACTTACAAGGACGAAGTGAAGTTTAGGGGGAGGCGTGAGGCAAGGCAAAACGGGGGAAGGGCATAATAAAAACAGGGCTGGGGGATGAGTTACCCCCATTGTGAATGTTCAAAAAAGGACGTTTAAAGGGCTAGATTAAACCAATACAGTGGACAAGAACACCTCGCTGAATTGCGAATCTGAGAAACCGAACAAGCCCAACATCGTCATAGACCTCAAAGAAAGGATTGAATAGGTGGTTGGTACAAAAAGCTCGTCGAGGGGTCTTCGTCCCCGGCATACAGTGCAAATACAAGGGTTGAGAAAAGAAAATCGTAAGGGCTGTGCAGCCAGAATAATGCTCAGCGGGCGTCCGCGTGAGCAGGTCTATGGTCGTAAATCCGTGTGTATGGGGTATCTGTTTTCGATCTTCAGGGTGATTGATGGGAACCTCTGAGATCCTTGAAATACAAAAGATGAAAAAAATTGCCTATGGGTCTGGATATACGAGTGAAAGAAGAGAATTTGCACCTCGTACATCGTGACGATCCAAGGACTTTGGTGATTTCTTTACAGGTTGGGGGGATGGGTTGTTTTGAGCATCCGTGATTTTGAGCTTGAGCTTCTTCTTCTCGGCGTCCGGATCGTAGAAGTAGGATGCAGTCACCGGGACGGTGTTCTCGCGAGTGCTGAGCGGAAGCTGGTACTTGAATACGCCGCGGACAATAAGCTGAAAGGGGTGTTGGAGAACCTCTTCCCATCGTTCGGTACCTCCTGCTTCGGTCTTGTTGCCGGGCTTTGACAGGCGCATGCCACCGAGGGAGGAAACGTTCTGTCGTTTGATAGGTGAGCCCTCGAAGGAAAGCGGGGAGTCGAACTTGAATATGCGGCCAAGCAACATGGTTCTTGGCTCTCCATCGCCGATGGGATCTGTTCCTTCATCAACGCCGCCGGTCACGTCGACGGCGTCTTCCGAAATAGGAGTCCAGGTCTCTTCATTCTCATGGTGGCCTCCATGCTCTCGCCACCAACGATCTGAGCCGACGTGCTTGCTTTTAGCGAAAATGTTGACGTCCATGTCGGCGATCGTAACTCCTATGATATTAGGATTAATAGCGTCGACAACCAGGTCGAGCATCAGCTCCTCCTGACTTGCGACGACGTTTTGGATCTCGCGGACATTGACTCCTGTAAGCGGCTTTGTCGTTGCAAACACGAGTCCAACAGCACTGAAGACCAGGACAAGTACGAGGATTGCTAGCACGAGACAGCCGGCGAATCGGCGGCACCATCCGCCGCTATGACGATGGCGACGTTCCATGTGGCGGACAGTGGCACTGTTGCGGTGTCGAGGGGTTCGAACTCGGGGGCTTCGCACCGATGATATCAGTGGCGTGCGTTCGTCGTCCGCCGCGTTCTCAGCATCAATGTCATAAGTCGAGAACTCGCCCTGCTTTCTACTGCCGTTGGCGCTGCCATTACTGTTTCCATTGCCCATATTGAACGTATGGAATCTGGGACTATTAGGCTGCGATGGGTGTCTTGACGACGGTCCGCGTGTTCGAGAAGATTGAGGCATGGAGGAGTCGCTGTCGACGAGCACGTGACTTAGAGCACCCCGCCCCTGACCCTGCCGGCCAAGGTGGTGATGGTGGGTGCTCCCATTCACTCTGGCCGATCCGACGCGAACCGTCCCCTCGCCACGCTCACTACCCTCTTGATCGATGTTCGTGTTGTTGTACGGGTTTGCAAACTTCATGCTGCTCTTCTTGTTGGGGTTCTTGTGCGAATCGCGAATCATCATCGCACGTGGGTCAGCCAAACTCGTGACGGAGGTCATGCTGGGGGTCCTAGAATGGTGATGTTGTCGGCTTCGATGCGGTTGCGAGTCAGGCGGGTTCGACTCGTATATAAATGTGGCATCCGAATCTGATGAGTTGGCCTCGTCCACTGCACTTGCGACTTTCTGTTCGAAGACGTCTGCTTTGGATGAAGCTTTGTGGAAGCTAATGTCAGTACTTTGAATAGGAGGAGATGATGAGAAGTGAGAGAAAGGATGCCTAATCCTCCTTCCTCCCGGGCATCTGGAGATGACGGACTTGTAAGTCGATCGGGTCTCCGCATGCGCGGGGATGTGGCATAGGGACTATGGTAGAACAACGCATGGTGCAATAGCAGAAAGGAAGAGGAAAATCGAGATGACCTACCGGTGCCTGAGTTGATCGAGGGAGCCTTTCGCTTTGGCTTTTGCTTCTCTTTCCTAGGTCTGATGGTCTCGTTGCTGGGTTTTAAGCGCAGACTTCCGTCCACGCGACCAGATGCCGACCTTTCCTGATTGCCTATACTAGCCTGCGCCACTGACGGAACAGTCTCCGTCTCGACTGTCATGTTATTTTTTGAAGGCTCAGCACGAGACTTCGGAGCTGGTGGAATTGATGAAGATGCCTTTGATGCAAGATCAGTCAACTTTTGTGAGCTTGCCGATCGCTTGTCTTGGGTTCTGGTAGTGGTTGTGGGTGTGTCACTCCCACTCTCGGTGTGGAGGCTTGCTCTGGTGCTGAGGTCTTCCGTAACCTTTGACGATGCCCGAGCGTCACTCCGCTCGTCGTCTGAAGCTTTGCGATTGTACGAGGAAGACGATGATGAGAGACTATAGTGAAGCAATTTAGCACGGGTGGGCCTACAACAATGACGTCGTGCGTAACCCGAAGTGTTGCCGAACTTGTCAAAGAAAATGGACAAAACAAAATCTGGAACTTACTCTGGCTGCTCGATGATGTCCGTTCCGGGAGTGGCGGGCAGACTGCCTTCCTGGACTGTCTCGAGTTTCGGTGCGGCGCCGCTCGCCCCCCTTGGTGTTGTTTTCATGCTCACTGGTTGCTCTTCTGGATCACTGAATTTCCCGTCATCTTTCGCAGGAAGGCGAGGGGTGCCTGCAGGCGATGAAGCTTGAACGACGATAGCAGGCGTAGAGGATGGATCGGTTTTTCTTGTTTGAGACTGAGCACGTAGCGAGTTCCTACGGGATCTGGAGCGAGTATCGGAGGAGGGAGGAGGTGACTTTAAGCGCGGCGAGACGGGCCAATGGGGAGTATTATCGCCTGAGGAGTTTGCGGAGTTTGACTTCAGAGGTCGAGGAACTCTGGAAGGGTCCTGGACGGATGCAGGTTGCAGCTGGGGTATGCTCGCCGAGGAGAGGGCGCGCTGTATGGCGGCAGCGGAGGGGACAGTGGTGGTGGTTCCTGGGAGGGTAGGACCTCTACTTGGGCTGACATCGGTGCTGCTCTTGCGCGAACGGAGACCTGCCCTAGGCATGTGGCCAGAGGGAGCTGTTTGCTGGCTTTGCTGGCGCTGCGAGGGCCTGGCAGGTGAAGGGTCTCGCGAGGAGAGCGGCGAATTCGCGATGGACGGCGATGCGGAACCGTTCGAGACGCGCGTTTGGTGGAGAGAGGGTTGGCGGCGTGCAGACCCGCTGTCGGACGCAGACGCGGATGCAGGAGGAGGAGTTGTCTGGGCCTTGTTTGTGGAGGAATCGTGGGAGTCACCGGCGTCGCGAGTGGTGGAGATGTGGAGAGAAGGAGCAGCGGATGAGGTAGGTTCTGCAGACTCCAGGGCACCGGTGATGGAACGATAGGAGTTGTCGTTGGAGGTCATGGTGAAGAATGAATGGGCGTGGGGGCCTGGGCAGGCCGTGGCATGCTGGACGACGTACGATGAGTTGTTCGCTGCTCAGGTACTGGCGTGTCGCGAGGGCCCTGGTAGCAGTGAGGTCCGAGAGAGATATGGTGGTGATGAAGCGAGCGAGCGAGCGAGCCAACCGAACAATAGCGGTCAGTTTAGATTTTAGATGAAGGTGGCCAGTCCGAGCGCGCAACGGGGCGAGAGATTGTTGGAGGAAGGCAACCGAGCGGATGGGATATCCGGCCGTAGTGGCACGCAGGGAGGAAGCAGTCGAATCACATCTGTGGGAGGGGGAACGCGTTGAGCGGAAGGGAGATGTGGGGATGGATGGGGGGTGAAGGTGGGAGAAGAAGAAGAAGAAGAAAGGAAGAAGAAGGGAAGGGGAAAAAGAAGATGATGATGATGGATGGGCGACGTTGGGAGATGGGGAAGTAGTTAGGGTAGGGTATGGGTAGTTAGTAGATGGTAAAATGGGGTGTGGGAGAGGATGGAGATTGGGTTATTTGGGGCGACGGAGGGCGGACGGAGGTTTGGCTGCTTGGCTTACGGGGGCCAGGGCAGCGACAATACAGCAACACTGTAGAGAGAAGAGGGAGGGAGACGGTTCAATGGTGAGTGAGTGGGTTCAGAGAACAACTAATGGGTGAAAGAATTAGGTAGTTGAATCGGGGTGAAAGAGACACTCGTAGTACGAGTAATTACGACTACGGACTGAAGGAGTGGGAGGAGTGAGAAAGTGAGCGAGTGATGACGGAGGTGTGACACGGCGAGAAATACAACCAACTCAGGCACAAGGCACACACTGCACAAAACACCACAGTACAGCACAGCATAGCCCAAGGAAGGTAGTATGTATAGGGTAATTAACCTATAGTTAAGATTACTATATAATAGAATAGAGGATGGTGATAATTCCGTAGCTCCTAGTATGATACATAACACATAACACGTATGCACAGCACACAGTGAAGAGTACACGCACAATAATAGATGAGGATAAAAATCAATAATCAAGAAGAAAAGAAATAGGAAAAACAAAACCAAAATCAATGATCCGATCCACACGAGTCAACGCACAAAGGAAAAAAAGGAAAATAATGAAAAAGAATAAACTCCGTAAAGGTGAAAGTAATTATTATTTCATCATTCGAGAAAGATCTAGGATGACAAAAAGGGCCCACCCATCCGCTCCGTACCGACTCTGACTACTAATTACTACTGCCTGTCTAGGTATACTGTATACTGACCAGTGGTACTTGTCCCTGCCTAGTAATTACTGCCAACTACCAGGTACTCGTCGCACTACACACTATGGCGGCTGGCCCTACTGGAACCGTCCACCCATGTCCGCTGGGCCGCGGTACCGCTGAACCGCCAGGCACACATGCGACCTCTTCCTCGTACCAACTATACTATACTATACACAGTAGTTACGAGTACGAGATACCTAGTCCAGTCAGTCAGTCACTTGTCTCTGTGTGTCGTCCTGTCTTGCTGTCTATCTCGCCTTTGCCAACTCAGCAACCAACCCTCCATCCTTGACTCTCATCTTCATCCCAATCAAACCCTTACCTTACCTCTACCCCCTACCAACAAGTAATCATGCACTGCCAACACAACCTAGACACTTCCTTTTTCCTCTCTCATCCCATCAAAGCCCGCGAATTACCTCCCTGTCCCACTCTCCATCCTCCCTCTCCGTCTACGTCTCGCTATCAGCTGATGTGATATGCGGCCCGAGCATCGAAAGTCACCGTTCCCTTTCTTCCCTCCTGATCGTCATTCCCGAACGATGCTTGTAATGGTAAATAATGCGACAATCATCTTTTTCTCTTGTTCCCCATTCCTGTCTTTAGCTGCCGACCCAATTTGCCGCTACGTTTCCATTTCCGGAGTGGATGTTGCAGAATCACTTACCTTTTTCGATAGGGCTGGGCAGACCACTCGATGCTTGATGCCCTCACAGGCTCGCACCCACTGCGTTCATCCACCCTTCCACCCACCATGCCTATCACTTGGGCGTGGGATGTTGGGCAGAAGAACTTCCAGATCTACCCATTTCTCCACATCCCTTCCCAGTTTATCTACATACATGAATCTATTCCATCCCGTTCATCCTAACGTCCCCAATTAGCGTCCCACGCCATCGGGAGGAGGCCGTCTCCCACGTGCCCTTCCTTCCCAGTTCGTAACAAGCCTCTGCCTCACTCTTCTCCCATCCACCATCTACCCTACACAGTGACATTACACACTCTTCCGTGCTCCATACACTCTCTCCCTTTCCAGCCCACTGAGACCCGTCACAGTCACAGCCCCAAGCCTAGGCCATCCAGTTATCCAACTATCATCCAAGGCTTCGATATGATTCAGATCCTTGTGCCAACTTTGTCTTCCTCGATCTTCCGATCTCCATCGTCACACATGGTCATCCATGCATAGGACCTAGGTATTACGACTACTGTGCAATCTCACGGTAGCAGTAGGAATCGTAACCCGTAGCATTACCAGTGACCACTACCAGCTGCTGCACCAGCCTCACTCGGACGCAACCACCGATCCCACTGGCCAGCCCCTACAGGACTACCCATCACCTTCAGCCCCAGCTAATTACGAGTTCCTAACTTTTCCGACCATGGAAATGCACAGCAGCAGAGGGCTGACCGCGAAGCCTCGCTTCTTCCGAATGTTACTTCACCTACTGCCTACCTAGTCACATGTACGGGTGAATACTCGTCCAGTAGGTACAATACACGCTCATTAGGTAGATGCATTCCGCACATTCCTGTGGCGAAGGCGACGTTGGCCTCCCGGGTGGGCAAGTCCTGCAGGTTGTTCCACGTCGCTCAATAGGTACCACGTGCCTCCTCGTCTCATGCTCGGCTCGACGACCTCCATGAGGACGTGACGTTCCAACACTTGATACTACTCGTACTATATGCACTCTGGGAGTGAATTACCCTTTACGGCAATCTCCCGCCCTCATCCCCATCCTCACCGTTCAGCGTCGTACACGGCCCGGGGAAAAGAGAGGCGCCCGCGGGTTGGAACGTCGCACGGGGACTGTGTGTAGACATCGAAAAACAGGCTTCGGATTCGGGTGTTGGTGAGGATTTGCGCTTCGCTTGTGCACGCCTTTGACGCAGGCCTTCGTTGTCCTCATGTCTTGCTCTGTCCACATGATCGGTTTGCGAGAATACGGTCCTCGGCCAGGTCCTGGCGATGCAGGACTTGTGACAAATGGATGGAATGCCATGCATCCAACTGATGTGCAAAGTAGGATTTCTCTTCAGATCTTGGGTGCGCATACGACACCAGTGTGCCGTTGTACACCAAACCATGCATACACACGCCCAGGCAAATGAGTGCACGAAGTACACTTACACACTCTTTCTGTGCACATGCTCATCAACAGCGATAAATTCGGCGTTAGTGAAACCTGGTTTCTTGATTCGCCGTGTCCGAGTTGTATTCCTTTAGTCATATGTGTTAGATTACTGTTATGCTGCTGCCTGGAAACATCATATGCCTTGGCTTTCTGACGACCACAACGTCTGGGTAAGATACACAGCGGTTCGGGTCGAGAGGATTGGGCTCGGGCTCGTAAGCTGAGGACTTCACGGATCGCCGTAAAGAGTGGTCACGGCAGCGCGCAAGTTACAACTGATACACATGGCAAGATGGCTTTGAATGGCAGACCGCATTTTTCTCGTTGACCAACGTTCGTCTATCTATGTTAAGAAGACAGTGCAGACTGCAAGGAAGACGAACACAAGAAGTCGTCCATCTTCTTCCCACCGAACTGTGAAACATATACAGGTACAACCAGATCCAGCACTTCACTGCGTCCTTTGACTCCAACATCATAAGCCCACATTCGAACTCTCGAAGAAGTCCATCAGTCGATCTTTACAACACTGACCTGACCTCTCACCTCCCCAACGACCCAGAAGACGGGCTTTTTGAGCGTAGATAGTCTCTGTCACTCACGCCAACCAGTTTCTTTCCTTTCAAGATCCAGACGCTTATTTGGCGGTTTGCTTTTATCCATCAACGTACATAAGTTTATCTAAAACAAATATATGTAACGTAGGTGGCATACGAGCCGTGGGGATGGACGAGCCGTGGGTCGTGCCAAGCCCCCACCAAAATCGTAACAAGTTTACGACAAAACACGACTTTTATTGTAAATCGCTACAAATTACTACAAATCGTAGTACTACAAATTAATCGCTACAGTCTCCTGCGTCCTTCTTGCACGTGCGTGAGTTGTGGCCAGTCTCTCCACACGTTTTACAGTGCCTTTTGCCTTTAGTGCTCTCATCTGCCTCCTCCCCATCACCACCCTTCTTCCTCTTGTTACTCTTCTCAACCTCTCTTAAAAGGTTCAAGCGCTGGCCTTCTTCTACAGTAAGTGTCCCTTGACGCTGCAATCGCTTCCTTTTATGAGATCTACGACGATTTG